TGTTCATAAGTATACAATTTGTAGTAATCAGCTACCCAACTGCCAGTTATATCATTTTTTGCAATTTGATCTATTTGGTTAGCTAGTTCTTCACTAGCATATATCCCTTCCCACTTATAATGGTTTGCACAATAATCAACACCATAATAGCCACTGCACAAAGGATATAAAGAGTATTCTTTTTTTTGTAAAGTACTGTTAGTATTGCCCATTGAATACTCAGACATAAGTAATGAGCCACAATTAGCATTTTTTTGTACATGGTTTAGAATTACCCATGCATTTGTGGTTTCATCAAAATATCTTACTTGATTAACAGGAGAAGCGCCCCGCTCTAAAAGGATCTTTCCTGTAATACTACTATAAGGAAAAATAGCAGCCCAGGAAGAAATAGAAATGGAAAGAGGACTGCCATTAGTAAAAGACTGTGTTGAATTGATGTTGCTAAGAAAACTTGCTCCACATCCCTCTTAGTCTATAGATCTTTTATGCTGTCCATCAATCATAACACCGTTAACTGCTCCAGGTGTATACCAGCCTACTGTTAACGTCGCAGCATTCATAAAAACAGATGTAATGGCATTTACAGTATCTGTAGTGTAATCACCGCCCAGTGGATCCTTATGGTTTATCTTACAACTAGTGGAAGTATTCTTAATTGCTATAACAGAATCCAAAACTCTACCATCCTCGGCAACGAACGCAGCCCACCAAGCTACTTTTACATAAACCAGCAATTATCTGTTAAAATATGCATATATTCCCTGGACATTCAACATATTACTACTGTATCATAGAAAGGCACGCTTTTCTAAAATTTCTTCATTTCTAGCTGCAACACTATATACAAAGGTTAGAAAAGAGATTAATAAAAGAATACCTAATAATTTCATGATTGTCACCTGTTCCCTATACAGTTACTACAAGAACATCCTAACAACAAAAATATTTTTATAGTAATATCTTTAACCTTGAGAGAAAATTATGACGTGATGATGAACTAGTCTTCTGGAGGGCCATAAATGGTACACTACTTAGGAAAATTTTCGAAAATCAGATCTAGGAAATACAAAATGGCTCTTCCTATATATATGTATAATACATATATGTGAATATTTCATTCTTAAAATTTAATCATTTTGTTTGCAAAATAACTTTGTTCTCTAGAGGAACAAATGGTTGAACTCACTTTCAACTGACGTTGAAAATTTTTGATAAAATAAATGAAACTTTCACTGAAGTAGAAGACTCTACATTATCAAGGATGACCTAATAAGATTTTAACTGAGTTTGAATGAACAATGCTATTTATCAAGTCGACTTACTGTATGATATTATGTACCTATTTCTACACATTGTATGATTAATTCTCAAAATCAATAGGTATTTTCTGTATTTAAAAAAAGAGCCCCATAAAATACATGCAAATAGGACACGGATGGTTATATTGTTTATTTTATGCCTTCTACTTAATTTTATTGTATTCACTATATATAGGTTAGTATCTTAAATATAATTATTAAATAATACCGAAAAATTTCATATTAATTTTGTATGTAAGTAATACCACATATTATACTAACATTAACAATATAGATGCAAGTTTCTCTTAAAAAGTGTGACTTCTACTAATCCTTTTTTCCAGAAGGAGGATTAAATCGCATATGTGTCACAAAGCTTTGGGATAAGAGCGCCCCACCCTGCATGCAAAATATGAATTATGTTGTGTAACACAATCTTGTTAATTCGAGTGGTATCCAGTAAACCTTTTAAATTTCGACCGTTTCAATGTCAAGTTACCCTTTTTTATTATTGAGAGATTTATATGTGATTAAATCTCGAGCATTTTCAAAAACGATAAGAAAAATCCTGCTATGCTGAAAATGTTTGAGTTTTCCTTTTATTCTTATATATTTACTTAAATAAGATGATTACCCTTGACATATCCCTCAATGATCAAAGGTCTCTTGACAAGATCTGATATAATTATCACTCCCTGAAAATTTTCCAATCAGATTTAATACCTTAAATTAACCACTGTTCACATGGCTGTATCAATCCTCCATTCAGACACTCAGATGTTACCCAAGGGATTGCGTATCTACCGCATTTCTAGTTAGGTTCTTTACATATTTCCTTATTGATCCTATACATAAACCAAGTTTAATATTACAGAATATTACGACGTAGAAAATAAGGTAAAACAATATGATAAAAGTTCTTAAATTTAAGAGTATGTCTTTCAAAATCCAATTACGTCTTTACATCAGTTGCTTAATAAGATACTGTATTCATTAAAACTGACAGAATTGGAAATGTAACTTTGAGATAATTACTTTGATAATTTTATAGCAATAAACGTCTTTATTCTAATTATTTCTGTTATCATCTGTCATCTCAGTATAAATGTCAACTTAACTTTTGATAACTCTAGTATTTGAGAAGAATATATAATAAAGTCACAATATATAAACATAACACTTGTTGTTATCAAGTTCGGTACAGGCTGTATATAAAAATATTCTTTTAAATATGACTTAATTTACTTAGAGTTTTTAAATAAAGAGTAACACAATATTCAAAAAATGACAAAATCCTGGAATATATGGTCAAGTGTAAAACTACAAAGGTAAAAAGAGATACCATAAATTAAGCAGTACCTAGTTAAAAAACCACAAGAACTCTAAGTGATTTTTCTATAAATTTACATATAGAGTAACACCTAAGCTAGGTATTTACTCACTAATAGTGTGTTTTTGTCAGTAAAAAAACTCTTATAATTAATCGGTTGTTTTGTGGCTGGGAGATTACTCACAGATTTTATATTGTTATGTTAAAGGAAACCTCAATAAACAACTAATAGAAGGATTATTCACTCTTCATTGGATATCTCAACGTTTTAAAAACAGTACTTCTCCAGATATTACATAAGTCATACATTAATTAGTTTAATTAAAGCAAGAAAGGTATGCTGGTACAAAAATACATCCTTAAGCAACCTTGAAAATCTAAGTTTTGCAATTTCATAAATTGTCCTACCTTAGTATCTTGATATTGTTACCGATCATCTATTAAATTTCATGAATTCCATATAAATGTATTCTGAAAAAATTTCGCAATAATAATATCGAAGTTCCTAAAGGTGATCTAAAAATTTACAGCCACAGCTTTTTTATTACCATTATTAAAAATTGATACAACAACAGCTAGCAATGTTTTGAGATGAGTTGAAGTAACAGTAAAACATTGTATCGTTGTGGTGATATTTTTGGGTATAACATGTTGATTTTCTTAAATAATTACTATTCCATGGTAATTCCTTTTCGCAACTACAAGAATATGACTTATCATCTGAAAAGTAATATAATCTTCTGTAACATCATTTTCAATTTTTATTCACTGTAACTGTTTTACAACTTGATATATAGTTAGACTTATTGTTTCTTCCACTGACATATATTACTAAAGAGAAACAACCAGATCATAAAATGAAAAAAATACAAGCACAATAGACCAAAGCATAGGAACCCTCGCTCAATATGATGCAAAAATTCATCACTGTTACTTATGAAAATGATAACAATTGGATAATAGAAAGCAACTATCTTCCATGGGTTAATCTACAGAACAATCTTCTTTATATATGCATCTTTACTAAACAGAGTAATACTAATAAATCTAATAAGAAATCCAGTACTTAGAGCAATATCTAAGAAAATGCCAACAGAGTTTGCAATTTCCTTTTATAAATTGGCATCTAAGTCATAGATTGGACTGGTGATGAAATTTATAAAAAGAATCACCTATGTAGTATATAATATCATTTGGAAAATAGTGTTTATAAGGAATATTTCCACACATAACATAAGATCATCACCTATAATCATATCACAAGTGATCACCATAATAATACATCTAGCTATATCGATTGTAATAACCTCTTTTTAATATTTATGTTCTTTAAATCATACCAAGTAAGCAGGTCTAAGCCTTAAAAATGAACACACAATCAAATTCAATAGTAATGACTACAATAATTGTTTCCAAATTTCACGTCTTGTTATACAGCTAGGCAATAATTCCCATTTCGTACAACACAGAGGTAATAGTATCATAATAAGCATGCCAATAATCAAGAGGATAGACACAGTTATAATATCTTTTTGTTAAAGATGTTGCTTATATTTAGAATATAATCAAAAAAGATCAACCAAATAATAGTGGAAAGTATAGCAGTAAATGGTAACAATTTATCTATCCATGAAGGTTATCGTAAAGTTATACACTATAATCGATAAGTATATTTAAAACTTGCTAATACTAAATATGATAGCATGCTGACTAGGTTACTTAAATTTGCAAAGACTCTTGCACGATTTTATCCTTATGTTCTATACAGACATATATCTGTTTCAAAGAAATGATGTTAAATGATGTCAAACGATATCAAGTACACTGATATTCACCTGTTATATACATTTGAAAGCTACTAGTAATCGACTAATATTAAATGTAAGTTATCATGTGCCTCATAGATTCGAACCAATAAGTAGAGTTTCACTGTATAAAATCTCCTTTTTGGTTCTTCGATGGGTTTCTTTATTATTTTCTTTTTATACAGAGATCAGAAATCTTTTGCAATTTCCAATAGGTGACAAAAAAAAAATAGAATAACGAAAAAAAAAAAAAATTGGCAATGAATAAATCGATGGTTGTTTTATAAAAGGTTAAAGTCTATATCCATTATTATAGAAATAGACATCACCCACAGAATAGTTTCTAGAATATGAAAAGATAACTGCTTGCTCATAATTAATTCCAAATTTGTTTTTACATTAATTTGTGACTCTATCTATTTTTTATTCATATTGATTTATTTTCCAAAAAGAATAAAGACAAATTAGATAATCACAGCTCAGCTCGACAAATTCAATTTATATCTATTTATTTCTAAAATATAATTGCATATTTATATATTTATTTTATATTATAAGAACCAAATGACAGTAAAGAGTAAAGACGATAAGATCAGGGATTTCTGTAAACTGCAACATGCATGTCAACAGTTTTTAGAATCATTAAAAATAATTTATGATTTAGGTGTCACCCATGAAGAATTGGAAGACATGGTTAACGGTGAAGACGCAGTAGACCAAGCTCTTGCGGTTAGCCCGTGTATGTCTATTGCAAGCTATTTAAAGTTATTGAAAGATTCAGTTAACCTAATGGAAATCTATGATTATTATGAATTTGATCCAAATGAGACTCCAGTTGATGAATTCATCACTATGGAGCATATTTTACCATTGGATAGTTCTTCTAATCGAATATCAAATAATAACAATATCATTACTGAAGATATGGATCGTTTAAAGATTGATACAAATGATGTCGGGGGAAGTACAAAAAATATGACTGAGTCACAAATTTCCAATACAAAGAAGAGTAATGATAGAAATGAAAATTCCTCCAATAATCCTCCTCAACCAACAAAAAAGATTAGCAAATCAGATTTAAGTTTGTCTGCTAATAGTAATAATGCCAACAGTAAAAATAATAATAAGCAATCATCTAATAAATCTACTAAAAAGGAGAACAATAACAATAAAAACAATCAGTTATTTAATAAAGTTAATAACAATGATAACAAAAAAAACAATAAGAAGAAGAACCCAAATAATAACTTTTATACTCCTCAATTAAATGACAGGACCAGAAGATTAGATCCAAGTTTGGATGATAATTCTAATCCATCGAGTTTAAGTTCTTATAAACGATCTGGAAGTGCCAGTAATAACAATAGTTATAAGAATAATAATAATTCAAGTAGGAAATTTTCTAAGAGTGAAAAAGCTGAAGATATTAACACTGAAATCTCACTTAAATTAGATGCAGCACTAGGTAAATATAAATTAGCACCGGAATATACAACTAGGCAATTAAAAAATGGTTCATTTGAGACCACTTGTAGAATCAAAGGTTTGAACACCATTGTTAGTAAAGGTTACGGTAGGGATAGAACGACTGCTCAACATAATGCAGCAAACATGGCTTTTACAAGTCAAACCTTACTCGACATATTATCTTCAAAAGTATAAGTCCTTCTTTTTTCTTATGCTTTCAACAGACTTCGATTATATTCCTCACGATAGCAATATTTATGTTTTAAATGATATGATCAACTGTAATAGAATAGAAAAAATTACAAAATAGGTGATACCATGAGAGTTTTATATAGAATATATCAGTTAGTAATCTTACGTAAATTTCTCCAGCTTTCTTCTATTGCCTTTACTGCCTAAAATTAGATTACTACTGTCTAAACATTGTATATCTATATAAGTCTGTAACATAATATGTAACAGTACATCATTGGAAAAGATTATGATATAATTTACACTTAATATATATTATCATAGTAACTGAACAACTAAATAAACTAAAAAACAAAAAAAAACATGTAAAATTAATAAAATATAATCATAGAGTTTCAACTTTAACATGATCACCATTTTTTGAAGATGATTCCAAGAAAGCAGAAACACATGCTAAATGATGAAAAGCCACTCTTGGTGTACTCTTAACCAAAGTTTTATCTTTCTTTGCTACAGCTTCATGGAAGTTCAAGAATTCGGTGTTAACACCAAAGGATTCATCAAATGGAACTGCATAAACCTCTTCTTCACTGGCAGTTTCAGCAAAGCTACCAAGCCTAACTTTAACGACTGGTTTACTCTTATTAGAAACATCAACGACAATAGATCCATTGATACCATAGATCTTTAAGAAGACAGATTTTTCAGTGGCACCAAATGCAGAGCCATAAGTGAAAGTACCAATGACGTCACTATCTCTTATCTTAACCGTGGCGAAAACAATATCATCAGTACCCGATTCTTTACGAACTTGTTTAGTCAAAGCTGAGACAGATTCGAATTCGCCGACTAAGGAAGTGGCAAGAGCTAATTGATGGACACCACCATCAGATAAAAATCCACCAATATGTTCTGGGTTTTGTCTCCAAGAGGTCGTCAAATATTTGTTGTTACTAATAAATGGACCAGTGGAATTGTGAGTAAAAGAGATAATCGGACCGATTCTTTCTAGATGTTTCTTTGCAACTTCAATAGAGTTTAGATATAGCCAATTTTCACCGATAGCAATTGGTAAATCAGTAGTTTCTGCTAATTGGACCAATTCTTTAGCTTGCTGCATAGTAGCAGCTATTGGTTTTTCTAAGATGATCGGCTTGTTAGCAGCAATGGCTTTCTTAACAGTGTCAACATTGAACTGAACAGGCAACAAGGCGTCAATGTAATCAATATCTTTATCGTTCATAATTTCTTCGATGGTATCATAAATTTTTTCTTCTGGAATACCAGCAAGTTTAGCAAACTCGATAGCTTTACTTTTAGTTCTATTGAAAGCAGCTACCACTTTGAAATCTTCAGGATATTCTTGGTAGGATAGCAAATGTCTATCTCTAGCAAAAATACCTGTACCGACAACACCAACTTTCAAAACAGGAGACATGATATTATTATTAATAATAACCTTTGTTATATCTGTAATCTTTTATTTAAATTATATATCTATTTGAAAATAGGTATACTTAGTGTTCTTGAAAAGTATTGTATGTACAAGATAACTTTAAATATTACACATTCAAATATAATTTCAAAAACAGACTCATTATCTGCACGACTTCCCCTTCTTTTCACATACACGTTGGATTGCCTGACACACACTAACTCTTCACTCTGTCTGTTCTTTTCTTCGAGCATAAAACAGTTGCCTTTGATCTCAAACACACAAAGCAGAAAAGGGGGAGGGGCTCATGATATGAAAGCACAGGGTAAAACACAATAGGGCAAAAAAAAAAATAACACCAAGTTTTCCATTATTTTGGCAATGTATAAGCATTTAATGTCGTCAATGAGAAAGGGAAGAGGAGATCACTATTATGTTGACAACGATTGTAGTATTATAGGATTGATTTATGCATTAAGTACAAAATGTAGAGTTATATCTATCTTGTAAAGTTTATAAACAAGTTAATGAAGTATATATTTAGTTGCAATGTTATTAATTATTTTTCTATGTATATTATTACATATCCAGTTAGAGAAAAATTTCTACTGATCTGCTTATCTACTTATAATAATATCTTTTGAAACATTCAATCGAATAGCAAAAATAACTTACAATACCAATTTATGAAACTGATATTTACCTTATATAGATACATATGTATATGCATACATACATGCTGTTTTTAGTAAATAAGCTAAGTACCATAAGTACGATGACTCCAAAGATAACAACTCAAGCCTCACGTCTAATCTTACGATTCTAGTAGCAATAACAATTAATAAACTATCACATCTGCTTGCTTATTACTTTAAGAAAAAGAAAAGAGATTGTATATCTTATTGAGTTACTAACTGTGACCTCCTTCAATGCTCTTTTCTCAGAGTATATCAAAAAAGGAACATAACATTTCCCAATAGAAATTGTTGTTGGAATACCAATTTAGTAATATATATACAATCTGGCTTTTGCTTGGTTATTTTATCAGTTCTATAGATACACAATTTATTATCAAGCATGTTAAGTTGAAATTTATGAAAAGATGAAATCTGAAAAATGTGAATTTCTATACACAGTAGCATATTTGAAAAAATTACCCATTTATAAAAATGAATAAAAAATAAGCAGCTAGAAAGAGGATACATAACGTTATAATTTGGTTTATTTTGCCAATAAATAGTAAAACCTTTTTTGTGAGTACCTTTATCCCCCCACTGAAACTAGCTAGGTGATATCTTTGAAGCAACATATTTCTTTGGCAACACACAAAAATTGCCAACGGCTTCATTTACTTCATTATTATTAAATTTTATAATGTCAAGAAAGTTAAAAAGAACAAACCTATTCACAAAAGATTTGAATTCGCTACTATATTCATATGGTGATGTGGCACAGCCTATGCAACAGACTTCTCATTGTCTGGATGAATTAGTTACGGCATACCTGGTAGATATCTGTAATTCAGCTTTAAAAACAGCACAAAATTCACAAAGAAATAAAATTAAATTAGATGATTTTAAATTTGCATTGAGAAGGGACCCAATTAAATTGGCAAGGGCAGAGGAATTGATAGCAACCAATAAGTTGATTATTGAAGCAAAAAAACAATTTAGTGAGACTGACAATCAGACTTTGAAAAGGTTTAGAAATAATGAAAATGATGATGAGGTAGATGCTGAGGATGACAATGAGAATGAAAGTGATGAAGAAAGAGGATCTCACACAAAAAATATCAAAAACACATCAATATCCAATAAAATTAAAGGACATAAATAATTTAGAAGAGAAAAAAAAAGATAGAGGTATATCAGTTCACTAGTTGAGTTTGACTAAATGCATATATTTAGTAGCAAGAGCAATTTTTTTTCTTTAAACAAACTTAAATATTCTTTGACATCAACATCTGCGCACAAATGTGTTAAAATGATCACAGGAGCAATAACTTTTTAAATGTTAAAATGTTCATACATTTAACAAAACTATTTGCATGTCTATATATATATTTTTCATATATATTTATACAATATTATTATATTATTAAATATAGGAGGATTAAATAACGAATCTGTCACAGTACTGATAGTTTTTGTAATTGTATTTAATGGAAATCAAGATCATAAACAATTGGATTTTCATCTTCTTCATTGACATAACCTGCAAACCCAATAAATGAATTCCATAATTTAGCAGCTCTACTAATAAATAATCTCCATAGATTTCTTGGTAGATCAAAATAACTTCTCCATATAAATCTAATAGCTTGCATGTAATTATGTAATTCCATATCCCAAGCTTCTTTAATAGTGTTTCTAAATCCCTTTTTATTTGACATTTTGATACCATTTTGAAATGTTTCTTTAGATTTTTTTGGTATCTTTAAATCAACAAATTTTGGAGACTTAGAATTCTTTACTTTCGAAGATGTCTGTTCTCTATCATTTACATTCCTCTTGTCGTTACATGAATCATTATCAGTCGTGGAGACATTGAAAGTATCACATATGGTCTCTTTGGCCTTTGAAAGTAGTTTGAAAAAATTATTGTTGAAAAATGATGCAACACCATTATTATTCAATCCATTCTCGCGCTCATGATACATCTTTTCAAAATTATTAATAGCCTCCACAGATGTAGATAATCTATTAAAAGTATTGACTAAGGAAATCAATTCGAATTTTGTCAATTTATTGACAATACGTTGTCTTGATGATTTATTAGTTTCATCTAGTTCAAATAAAATCTTCAAACTAGTAGCATAACCAGTAGTTTGTACTTTTCCCCATAATTTACATCTATCACAATGAACACAATCCATTATTTTGGTTACATTTTTGAATCTCCTTCTGAAATCATCTTTCAAACTATGATCTACTTCCCCTTTAAACATGACGTCTTCATTAAAGATCTTACTGTCTAATTGTGATACAATATTTAATATTTTGGATTTAACATCATTATCGTAATCATTACAAAAATCTAATTCTTTCAAATATGGTTTAATCTTCCAAAGTGCTTTAGCTACAATTGCATAATTAAAATAAATATTGGATACTCTATCTGGATAATTACCCACTCTCATCATAAATAAATCCAAATTAGGTCCCCATTCACCAGTCTCGGTGTTTAAATGATCGTTGGAAAGATGTGTACCGATAGAGGCATGTAACCCAGAGACAATTCTATAAAAAGCATCTTTGGCCAAGCATTTTTCAGTCTCATTATCTGAAGAATCGAAACAATTTTCTGCATAAATACTTTTCCATATCTGACCAGCTTGTTGACCACCATAACCTGTGAACCTCTCTGGGTTTGCAGTTAAATCAACTAAGCCTGCATCTTCACTAGCAAAATCGTCTATGTCGTAATAATTTATATCATACTCATCACTATTTTCTTCACTATTTCTTCCAACCTTTGGAAGTTGTTCGTTGTACTTATCCTTTTCTTTGTTATCACATAATTGATCTAAAAATGAAGAGTCCTGGTGATCCTTGGGTATATTATCATTTAAAGAGTTATTATTCAAAGAACCAAGAATTTCAGGCTGCCAATATTCTGGTAGACTATCCCAATCCTCAACCATATCAATAGCACAACTTCTACTAAAACATATACCATCGTTATTTTCCCATATAGTGCATTTCTTGAATGGATCAAATTTAAAATACTTGAAGAAGTCAGTATTGACCAAACCAACAAGATCCTTTCTAATATTTTGGTTAATAGTGTTAATTTCAGTAATCGTGACGTCACAATTTGGCCCCAAAACCTGGTTTTTATCCATTTTACAAAACGGTGTCAAATCATCTAGATTCTGTTGAAATGTATTGACTTGTGAACGAGTAATATTAGTCAAATTAGAAATGGTAGTTGAATTTGTATATTCATCATTACTTGTAGTGGTATCTAGATATTCTTGAGCAACCGCCACCGAGATTAAACTACCTAACTGAACAATATTATCCAACTTCATTCTACCGATATATATCTAGGATATATATATATATTTATGTGTGTGTGTGCGTATAGAAAGAGTATACTCAGATATGTTTATGTATTTATGTGTGGACTAATATGTATTTGTATTGCGAGCATTAAAAGAGACGTTTAACCGCCCAGGTACCACAGAATATCAATCCTATCACTATATATACTGTCCCCCTACCAACTGGACTTATTCTTCCTTCCACCTTTTTCTTGAAAGACGAAAAAGTAACTTTTCTTCGGAAAAGAACAGCGCAACCAAAAAGAAAAAGAAAAATGAAAAAAGAAAAAAAATCAAATTTTTGGAAAGAAAAAGAAGAAAAAAGAAAAAGGAAAAATGCGCATTGCTGGAAATGAACCCTGGAATTATTGTCTATAAAAAAACACTTCTATTGTTGTTCAATCATATAGACTCTTGTTTTGTGTTTATTGAGTAATAACAACATAAAGTTATAATTAGTATTGATGCCAGCGTGTTACTTTTATTAATTTATAAAGAGAGTTGAACTTTATGCTTGTATTTGAAACTTCAAAGAAATTACGTAATCTTCTTTCTTTTTTTACATTTTATTATTGTTTTTCTAGCGATAAATTGCAAGCAATCTTTTTAAATTCTCATAACCTATATAGTATAGTTCTCGTTTGTACACTGAAACAGTTTTAAGAATATGGTGACAAATTCTTGTTAAAATGCAACCAGTGAAAATTTCATAAATAGTTAAAAAAAATTGATATTATAAAATCCAACGAGTAATATAACAAATTCAATTAAATAAATAAATAAATAAGGATAGAACTTTTTTTTCCTCTATCTCACACTCTTTAATAAACATATTCAATTCGATCTGCATATATTTATCTAATTAAATAATGATAACAACGAATCAACGCATTTTCCTATATTATATTTTTTAGCTACGCAAACATCTTTAATTATTTCTTTGTCTAAATCTGGGAACATTGATGTAAGATGTTTCAAAGTTTCCTGTCTTTCTTTAGTCTCCAATTTTTTTATTAATTTGGTAATTGCTCGTTCTTCTTCCATTCTTTCTTCTTTTGTACTTATTTGTTTTAATACAGGTGGCGACGGTGTAGAGTCTCCATTTTCATTCTCGGTATTGCTATTTTCTGATTGATTTGAAGTATATGAAGATATAAGGTCACTAAACATTGTAGCCATCGATGTTGTTAAATCATCTAATGATACAGATAAAGACTCTTGATTCTTCTGTAATTCCTGTTGTTTTTCTTTTTCCTTTTTTTTTTCTTTTTCCCTCTCCTCTTTCAATTTAAATTGATTTTCATTATATAATTGATTAAATTCAGTTAAATTGGATATGTTTAATGATTCAGATGTCATCAGTTCAATAAATTTAATTGCACCTTGAAGACTACTCAAATAATATAATTCTTCTCCTGTGTTCAAATCTGAATAACGGAACCTGTTTATGTACCTAATATTGGATATTAAATGCTTTACATTACTCCTTAATACAATATATATCAATAATGGAATAAAATTGTCTGCTCCTTGAGTATCAGAATCTGCTATGTGTTTCAACAATCCATATACCACTTTACAACAATTTAATATGCAAAGTATTTTATCTCTTGGTGACTTAAATCTATTTATTTTGTTCAATTCATCACAACCTAATTCTACAAATTTATTCAATTTCATATAGGGGATTTTATCGATCTCAATATCATTTTCCAAATGTTGGATTTCAATGAATCTGTATTCTTTACATTTATTGGTAAATTTAATATCATCGATCAAATCTTGTCTATGTTCCTTGTCTATATCAATTTTTAAACTTCTTTTCAACAGAGGTGAAAAGCAATGGTAATATAATTTTCCCATAATTAATTTCTCCATCCCCTCTTGTGCATTTTTAAATCCCTTGGAATCTAATGATTTAAACGGTTCATATATTTTAAATTTATTAAATATAAATATCTTAAAATCATTGATCAATTTAACTTGTTCCTTGACGGTCCATAATGGTCTTTGTGTGCAAAAATTATGTAAAAAGGATTTTGTATATCTAACTATTGGATCTGCTTGTTGGTGTCTTAACTGTTCTATAAACAATTTGAAATTAATATATGTATCATTAATATCCCTAGTTTCATTATCTGTCTCTTCCTCTATGTTTTTATTTGAATTATGTGTAATGTTGTTGGTATAGGAGCTTTCTTGTATTATATTAGATACCTTTAATGAATTCTCGTGTATGTTTTTCTTATTTGTTAGAGATGTGTTATTCTTTTGCCTTAACGGATCAAATTCTTCCAATACAGTATTATCTGGTCCCATATTTACTTCGGTTCCCTCTTCTAATGAAAGGTAGAGTTTCATGTCTTACTTAATAAGTGAATTAAAAAAAAAAAAAAGATGCTATGACTAGTTTATAATAGTGGTTTTCTATATTTCATTAGTGATGGAGTGAAATAAAAGTATACCATTAATGGCATATATACTCTTCTTCACAACCCCACTTTTAAAAATCTAAAAATTTAAAATTATTCAGATCAGTGAAAAAAAAAGTAAAAGATAAGTTTTACTTTTATAGTAGGTGAATCAATTCAAAACTGTGAGGTCAATATATATTCGGAGAACACGAAGATAAATAACATTACTCTCAAGTATATAGGTGTGGATATGTTAACCTTTGTCGCAAATATGATAAATTTTTGAAAAATAGGGAAAAAAAATAAATAGATAGAAAAAGACTTATTGTGACTTTTATGCAAATAATATATATGTAAATATATGATAGTAGGCAGTGTATCTAATTCATATATTTAAATATTCTATGTATTTAGCAGCTTGCTCAAAACTGAAGGCTACTAATAGAGTAAAACCGTTAAACATACATAGTTTGGTTATCTCTGTTAAAGCCTGTTCAGATCGCATACTATTGTCATCAATCACAAATAATAGGATATTATCGTTGTTAGAAGATAAAGGACCCATTCGTCTTGATATATAATCAGTGTATAACTTATGATAACTTAACGTCAGGAATAGAACAGAACGACCTTTAATTAAATAATCATAGAATATCTTATGTGTGGGTGTGGATGATATATACCTCCAAGTGGTATTTTTTAAATGGTCTAATAATGGATTTTCCCTCTGTGTAGTATTTATTAGGACAGTTTTTCTCTTAAACTTCTTATTATTATCGTTGGTATTAGTCTCATATATAGTTTTATTATTTTTCTGATCTGCTGGTAAAGGAGTTCGTTGTTGGTTGAAAGTATTGATAACTTTTGTATTACTGTTATTATGATTATCAATGGTTGACTGTTGTTGTTGTTGTTGTTGTTGTTTTTCTTCAATTGGTGCATTGTTCAGTGTGTTTTCTTTAGCTCCAGTTTGTTGATCTCTTAATCTTTTAACACCTGCAAGAATACTCTTAAATGATGTTGGATCAGTATTATTCATCTTTATTTAAATTAGAATTAATAGGTCCCTGGAGAAAGGAAGAATGGGAAGGAATAAGAGACAAAAGGTGATAGTAATTAAATATAGTTACCGATTGATATTGTACTGTATTTCTGAATGTTTTATTAGGTTATTTTTTATGCTTATTACTGTATTGCTCATCCTGTTTAATATTTGAAAAGTGATAACAAGAGAGAAGAAAAAACAACTAACAAGTAAATTTTATGGATTTAATAACATTGCAAATGCAATTACATATAGATATACAAATATGTTCATACACAAGTTTGTTAAACAAGGCAGCATGATAATCAGCAGTAAATGATGAAGCCGTATTTTACATGAAAAAGACACAAAAAGAAATAAAGATAAGTTGAGAAATAGTAAAACAACGTGTAAACCAAAAACGTGAAAAAAGAACGTACATCTGTACTAGCTGTGGCATTAAATAAGATATAGGAAACAAAAAAAGATATTGGTGGTGCTAAATGTTGAACAAATTGTTTTTAAATCTATTATCATCCCTCCATTAAAACACAAAATATGCTCTATTATATATTTATCAACGCAGGACAGTTTCACTATTATAACTATATCAAATAATCTGTATTCTAACAAAAAAATACCAAAAAATGAAAATTTCAGAAGGAAAAGGGAAAAAAAATAAATAGAAAAAACACAGAATTTTAATAACGCTTATTTTGAAAGTTGTTACCTTAATGTTACCAATTGGTGGTGTTATGACTGTACAGCATATATTTATATACATCTATATACCAACACTAAGACGTAGAATTAATAAAAAAAGAATAAAGAAATAACGCAGAGTGAGTCTACTAATCTAAAGAATGTCTAATCAAAAAAGTATGTATGAATTAATGGCATCATTATGTATATTGTGAAAGAAGTCAAACTTTTAGATCATCAATAAAAGATGCAACTAGTTTACTAACGTTAGATGCATTGAAACTTTCCTTCTTCTTATTTTATATTTGTTTTATTTTTATTTATGTTTTTGATATCTAGTTGATCTATCAAAATTAAGTATTGAACAATTACATGTTGTCAAACAACAGTTTGATCAAGAACTTCAACATTTCCAACAATCCTTGCAAGCATTGATAGTTGCCAAGAGTAAATTTGTCGAATGTATAAATGACATAAAAACGATATCGCAAGATTCAAACGATGAGCAAGACATTTTAATACCTGCATCCCCATCCTTATATATTCCAGGTAAGATAAGTAATAAAAACAATAAAAAATTTATGGTTGATGTAGGCACAGGGTATTATGTTGAAAAGAGCGATATTGAAGCCATTGAATTCTATGAGAAGAAGATCAATAAATTGAATAAGGAATCTATCCATATTCAGGACATTATTAAAGAGAAGTCTCAATCATCTATGGCAATTGCTACACAAATAAGACAATTGGCTATGAAGCAAGCTCTTGCTTCCAAAGAAGCTGCTAATGCTTCTACCACAGCATAATCTAGTAGTTAATCGTATATATATATATATATATAATCTGTATATTATTACACCAAATAGTAAAGAAATCAGACAAGTTACTAACGCTGTCATACTTACCTACTTAATTATCTCTAAGTTATTACTACTAATCATAGTAGTTACGATATATTTTAAATAGAGAAGTTTCTTTTTTCTCTCTTTTTTTAAAAAAAATAAAAAGAAACTATATCTTGAAAGAAATAAGTAGGAATTGATATATGATGGTGTATATTGGTGTGTAGAGTGTTATATACTAAAGAAGCCAATTAGATATATCGAAAAATTCTACAAGATGGGTGCAGATGGTGGTACAATCAACAAATCTGATGTTTTAAAATTACATGTAGAGAGTGCGTCTAATGAATATAAAGCTAAAGATGATAACTTAGATGATTTCCAGTTAGCCTCTAGATGGAAATTTTGCAAAATATCTAATCTACCATTAAGGTTACCCATAGTGAGTGACTACATGGGAAATCTTTATAATAAAGAGAGTATTTTAGAATGGATATTGTGTAAAGATAAAGAGGATCAGTACGAAACACATTTAAGGGAACAGATAGATCATATCAAAAAAATTCATGATGTAGTAGAACTTAATAATTTATGTGAGGTTACGGACAAAAATGATCCAAAGATAATTAAAATTAAATGTAAATTTGGTGATGACATATTTGGAGATAAAATGAAAGTACCATTAGTGTATAGTGTTGAATGTGGAGATGTATTTCCAGAGAAAACGATTAATATGAATATTATAAAAAAGAAAGATTTGAGTTGTCCAGTATGCATTAAGAGATTAAGTTCAGTAGATGATATCATACCCATTAATCCATTATCACAAACAGATATAGCAAGACTTGAAAAAAGGTATAAAGCTTTGTGCAATGATAATCTATACCACGATAGAACAAGGAAGAAAAGTAAGAAGAGAGTACAAAAAACTACTATATCGGATAATTCAAGCAAGCCTCAAAAAAAGATAAAAATATGAGGTATTAGTAGATGAATTTTTTGAATAGAGGCTTATAATATCCTAATATAGTAAGAAGTGATATTTATCTAGAATATAAATTTTGTTTATTTAAGAAATTGATACATATACATATGCGTATATTTTGTACAAGTAGGGGGGGGGGGAGAAAAAAAAAAGGAATAATGATGATAATAAATATATACAGTCGATTAATAGTAGATAGTCTGGTATATGAAACGAAATAATGAAGAGAGAACAGCCATGTATAAGAATAGGGATAATCAATAAAATAAATAAACAGACGAACAAACGTATAAATAAAAACTCTTTTTTGTCTTTTTAGCTTTTTTATATCATTATTAAATTAGTTTAAATCTTAGAAGTAAAAAAAAAACAAAACAAAACAAAAGTTATAATCATTATTTAGCAGAATCTTCAATTTTTTTTTGTTGCTCTTGTTCCATAACTTGTTTTTCATATCTTTTACCATTCATATAAAGTGTATATATTAACCCACCAGACATGTATAATGTACCACCAACTAAAGTTAAAACAGTCAGTCTATGTAATGTATCAGTAACTCTTGTGTACCATGCGTATCTAGCCATTATGATTTGTATCTAATTTTATATATCCTTAATTTGATATATCCCCCTTTTTTGTTCTATTTAGTTTGATTAAATTAAGTATAATAAAGTGAACACTTTTTATTCTTTTCGGTTTCTTATTTTGTTTAAATATATAAAATGAGACTCGAACTAATTACTCTCCTGACAATTTTAAGATATTGTAATATTACTTTTAAATCAGGAGTTCATGTATGTACTTGCATAGATTTAAGAGCAAAATCAATCTTTCTAAATTGTTGAACTTGCTATCTTTTTTTTTCTTTCTTTCTTTCTTTTTTTTTTCCAATGAAAGGCGAATGGAAAAAAATAAGGAAAAAATAAACAAAATATCAAAAACCCTAATAGTGATCAATAGGAACAAAGAGTAAAAAAATATAAACTTGTTGGTCCTTATTTGTGACAAACTGTACTATCATACAAACGTTAAACTATATGCAGCATATAAAAGGAATAAAACTAATAACGTTATTGAATTTACATATATATATATATATATATATAATTTAAGAGAATAAATTTCTAGGTGGTTTTTGTTTACATGTATTATAAAATAATGTTGGAATATGTCTGAAAATGTAAAATAAAGAAAAAATATAAAGAGGAGGGAGGTAAACAAAGACAAAAAAAAAATTAAAGACTATCCAACAAAAACAATAACAACAACAATCATAACTATCCTAAATATAATTTTTTCCATCTTGTAAAAGTTGTAGCTAGTTTTTTATATCCTTTTTTATAGAAAGGTTCGTTTTTTGGAATGCCTAAGAACCACTGGGTGTTTTCTTTAGCTAGTTCAATTAATTCATCTTTGGAGTACATCTTTTCATCTAATTTGACACCGAACTGTTTAATATATTCTTTCAAGTCGTCAGTTGACCATGCATCAAGGTTTTGCTTCATTGATTGTTGCCAATCCTTTCTTTGTTGATTGAGGATAGCCAGATTATTCAACAGATTTTCATATGTTTCTGATTCCATGAAATCGTTTTTGTTCTCTACACTCCAATCTTTAACACCTTGAACATCTTTATTCAATGTATGCATGGTCTGCTGCCATTTTTTTAGCAATTTTTTCAATGGTTTATTTCTATTTTCCACGGCCAAATTAATCAGTTCTTGCTTTGTGGCGAAATAGGGATATTTTATATCTCTTAGATCCAAAAATTTTTTCAATCTATCCTTTGACCAATTATCTATGCCTACCAAAAATGTGTCATTAATGATATCGCTGCTCTTATTTTGACATTTTCCATATAAAGATTGAAAATAATTTTTGGAGACATTCCAAAGAGAAGAAACGTATGCAGGAGTTTTCTTTAAGAAGGGGTTACTACTACCTATTTTTTGCTTTGACACGCTTAGATACCAATTGATATCATCCATTAGCAAGTCGCGGTTCTTGTTGGCCAATTGGACCAGATATTCGCGCGAATTGACTAAATTTTCCTGAACTGGGATCTCATGAGATTGCAGCCATTTCTCCAAATGCTGGGTGTTCCAGGAATCAAACACATTTGGTTTCAAGTTCCCATTTTTGTCATAGAGTTGTTTGTTGAACAATTGCAGACCAGTTAGGAGTCTAATTCTTTCATCTTGTAAAAGATCAGACATTTTATAAATGTTCTGTCTGACCAGATTCAATAACTTGTCTTTGTCATCCTTGATGCTTTCTCTATCGTAGGATACTTTAAATCTGTCCAGCCATAGGACTAGGTCGTTTTTGGACCAGTTCTTGAAATAGTCCTTTGATGGATAGAGACCAGATTTCCCCATTTTGGTGGAGAGAGTGTGAAAATTTTTTCTAATTAGATTTATCAACTTGTCTTTTGAGTTGTGGATATCGATATTTTTATCTTCTACACCATGGATGTCAATTCCATTAGATTTCAAAAACTCTATTAGAGTATCTGTTGACCAGGTACCGAATAACCAATCTGAGACGGAATTTGAGACGGAATTTTCATTGGAGAATGTTGGGAAGTAATTAGTGGCATGAAAGTTTTGTTTGTTGCTGCCGTTGCCGCCGCAACTCTGCCAGTAATAATGGTAACAATCTGATACTTTGGACCATAGATCCCACCATTGTCTTTTTTTGGTATCCAGACTTTTATTGTATTGATTCCAATAAGATTGAGCATCTCTTTTCAGCTCATCAATAGATTTAGAAGTCAAGTATTTGAGGTTGTATTGTGGGTCATTGTTAGTGTTTAAAGAGACGGGGGAGTTGTCCAGCAGGTAATCAACCAAATCGTCTTTAGACCAGTCATTAAAATTAAAAACACTTTGTTTACCGAACACCAGGGGCGTTGTTGTTGTGGCCAAGATTAAAATTCTAGAGAATTTCATTTTCTTACTTGTTTTTGCTGTTTCTTTACCTTTGTTCTATATAGAGTTTAGTAATAATTTTTATTTCTCTTTCTCTTTCTCTTTCTTCCTTTCTTTCCTTTTTTTTCCTTTTTTTCCTTTCACTTTGCACCTGTATTCTTCAGTATAGAGAATATATCTAAGTATTACTATATATATATTCTTGTTTAATCAAAGGGCATATTTTATATACCTTGTGCAATCTTTTTTAGGGACAAATTCAAGGATGGATGACACAATAAGTATACTTTATGAGACACTGCATAAAAAACAAAAGAACAAACAGCAATAGAAAAAGAATATAGGGGAGGGAAAAAAAGGGAAAAGGAACAAAAATGCGAAGAACAGCAAAATGACGTATACATCTATTGTCATACGCCAACATCAACCACAATAGCGCAACAGCAACAACAGCAATAACATTCAGTTTCCCCTTCTTTGGGGTGGCGAAACCAAAAGTTTTGTTTTTTCTTCTACTTTTTGCTCTTTCCCTCCGTGTAGTTTAAAGCTAAGGGAGGAGCAGGTTGAGAGAAGTTGAAACGAAGGAAGCCCCAGTGGCGCTGTTTGCGATAATTGTCCAGCACTCACTGCTGCCGTCTTTCCTTTAGATTCTTCCAGATCCCTTACATCGATGGATGATATTTATATATAGATAGATATTTATGTAATCCTCTATACCTGTGGCTGCTTTTACGTATTAATTGTATTAATGGTATTAACGTATTATGTGTGTTTTCTTGACTTCGTGTTGTTATATTAGACCTGAGAATCTGAGAATCTGAGAACATTGATCTGTTCGTGCGTCATGATATAACACACAACCTGGGGGGTCTTTTGTTTTTCTGGTGTATGGGTGTTTGGTGTGCTGTCTAGAAATTTATTTTTTTCCTTCTTTCTTTCTTTCTTTTTATTTTTAATTTTTTTTTTCTTTATAATATATTATTGATACGTTGTAGAAGAAATGTAAGTACTGTCTTTCTTGTTTTAACCTATTTGTAAAGGTCAACTGATCATCTTGTCTACTATTTGATAATCTACTTCTTTAATTGTCCTTTTTTTTCTTTTGTTTTTTTTTTTTTTTTTTTTTGCCTGTTTTGTCTTCTTTGGCAGGAAAGATATATATATATATATAGGTATATATATATATAATCGATAGTGGAATAAGGTAGTACAATGGAACACAAAATTATAATGTCAACCATAAATTCATCCGGTCAAACTATTAAGAGTGTGACTAAGACATCAACAAATGTATCCAACAACACCACAGACAAAATAGATAATAAACTGGACAATAAAACAGATAACGAAATAGAGCCTACTGTACCGGATAATTCATTCCAATTCATCGAACCAATACCTATAAAAGTATCCACTACGACCCCTATAAACAACTATGACCAATATAAGACCAGTGTCCAGTATTCCTTAGCCAATCTAAGCATCTTTCAAAATATCCCAAGGGAAACTTTGCGTGGTTGCGACGATTTGACAAGAATGGAAAGATCCTTGAATTCAAACCTCCTAAATGAAATGAAATGGGCATTGAAGAAATACTTGACCTACAGCAATAAGGCCCCCTACATGATCTCTTTGAAGACCTTGCCTCATCTCGTCAACTATTTCAAAAGATTCATCATCAACTTGGTCCCCATCATCAACAACTTCACTGAAAAACTCCACACTTCAACAAACAACCTCGACGCAGATCACTTACAAATGGGAATCACCAGTCTTTTAATCTTGAGAAATCTGTCCCAAGATATCGAATCGGTTCAAGTCCTGATCAAAGACTCCGATTTGAAACAGTTTCTTCTCTTCGTCTTAATAACTTATAACAAAAGCGAAAATAACAAAAATAATAGTTCTGACCAATACATGTATCATACAAACATAAAATATTTTAATGAAATCTTACATTATTCAATGGATCTGATAGAAGCGATATCCACCTATATTGCTCCTGCCAGCAAAAATGATCCGTTGTTTGAAAATTTGGTTCTGATCCTGAATAAAACTAAGGATAGGGCTCTGATCATCTCTATCCTTAGATCTCTTTCAAGGTTGTTGGTTCGTTCGAAGGAGGATGAAGAAAGTGCAGCAGATAATTTGGATGACAATACTTTGACTCTAATAGTAAACAATCTGTTGATCTCCTTGGACGCAGAATTGGTCATTACTTCATTTGATTTCCTTTATCAGTTCTGTTTACCTGGAAACAAAAGAATCCAATCTTTATTAAACAACAAGAAAAGATTTAAAATCTTACAAAGTGTCTTACCTGAATACCTGACGTATAATGTTAAATTACCAAACTATCAACAGATCGACACCACAGAGGTCAAATTGATTAAAAGATTAAGACCGCCTCCACCAAAGAAGCCTCCAACTTTACCTAAGGATCTGTTCCAGGAGTTATTGAAATTTGACGAACAGAAACGGTCTGCAACATGGTTGAGATGCTGTTTTGAACCAGTGATGACTGCTGAATATACACAGATCCAATTATGGAAATCCTATGAGACAACATTCTCGGAGCCTGTTCGTAAGCAAGGGGGTAAGATTGGTCCAGCTGTAGAATTTATCAAGAATGTATCTAATGCATTCCCTGATGCTGCAGCGATGGTCATTGTGGACCCAACCACTGAGACTAAACGCTTTGTTATTAAAGGTATCCAACCAAGGCATAAAGCGTTATCCATAGAAGAAGGCTATAAATTATCGAAATGGACAAAGACAGATGTTGAATCTAAATTTATCAAAGAATCTAAAGCTATTGAGAAACCAAAACAAGCTAATTTGCCGAAATTAAGTTTTCACACTCAATTATCTGATGTAACTAAGGTTACTTGTACATTTTTATGCCTGATATCCAATGATTCAAAGGGCAAAGGCTTAGAATTGTGCCAAGTTATTAAACCCTTAGTTATGCATAAACTAGCAAGTGTTCCAGCTTTGAATACCGAATTAGCAGAATATATAGATAACACACCACAGATATAATTAACGTTAAAAATAGATAGAAGAAAAAATAGATAGAAGAAAAAATAAAATTTTTTAGCGATTACTTATGTTTATAATAGATTATGGCATTGACCAGCTAATTCAAGTTTGTTTTTTGCAGGAACAAATGAATGTAACAAAAAATATAATAGTATCAATAGCATATAAATAGCATGTAAATATATATGTATGTATATATATATTAAATTTCTCTATAAAATAAACACGAAATTCTTATTAAAGAAAGATGGACTGAAAACACACTCAAAAGAAAGAGAAAAGGAAAGAAAAAAAAGATATAAACAAATAATGCATATATCATCTTGAACAATTCCTATTCGTTATTAAAAAACAAAAACTTGATCATCACCTGTAGTTTCTTCGCTCGTTTTCCAACCTAATTCTTTAGCATATTTTAGCACGGAAGCTTTCATACCATCAGGACCACAAATAAACAATCTATTGTCCGATGAGTATTTTGGTAAGTATTTCTCCATAATTTCTTTAGTGATTAAGCCAACATCACCAACCCAAACTTCTGCGTTTCTTGGGTATCTAACAACATAATGAACAGATAAATATGGATATTTCTCATTAATTTCATCCAATTCATCCTTTAATAAGATATCATTTTCGGTGTCATTACAGTAGATAAGAGATACTTTAGTCAAATCTTCGGGAGTAGTGATGATTTCATTCAAGATTTGCAAAGCTGGTGTTATACCAGAACCACCAACGATAATACCAATTTCCTTTGACGAGTTTGGTTCGTAGTTTAAGGTCCCAAATGGACCCTTAAATTCAATGAATTCACCAGGTGTCAATGATGCAAAATGCTTAGAAAGTTGACCGTCTTTATAAGATTTGACAATAATGTCTAAATGGCCTTCATCATATTTTGGATTGATTGGATTGTAGTATCTAACTACTTCCTTATTATCGATGATACATCTGGCTGCAACATGATGGCCTGCTGGAATGTTCAAAGATTCTAGTTTAGTCTTTAAATTGAAACGATAGATGGCAGTGTTCTTTGAGATCAAAGTTTGATCTACCAATTCTAATGGAGTCCATTTATCTTTGAATAAAGATTGTTTTCTGTTAAAGGACCTAATCCATTTGAAGGCTAAATAACTCACAAACACAGGTAAACTTAATAATATTTTATAATTCTTGGAAAACCATGTTAATATGATAATACCGATGAAAAATAATGCAGTTGGAATATAAATTCCATGTAAAGGTTCACTCAAAATATTATATTCGTCATCATGATCTGTATTAGTAGGAATAGTAGAAGATGACATTGTTTTTCAAAAGTATTTTTTAGCTGTTTTATTTGTCTTTCTCACGTATAAAATAATAGATAATTATAAAAGAATTGTTATGAAGAGGTGTATATACTGCATTTTGATGTTAAATGTATCTTCTTACACCTACGTAGAGTGTTAGATCTCATCGCCAAATTTAAAATGCAATTTAATTGATGAAACATTTTCCGTCTCTGCAAAGCTAGCAAACCTAAAACAGAAAATGTATATAACACCCATACATCAACGCACAATGTAAATTATCATGTGTAAAGGCCAGTGAAGCCTTTTGACTTCGAGCATGCTACTGGTACAGTTGAAGAGATTATATATATATACATACACCTACCACAATGTTTTTACTAAAGACACTAACTTATAAATAATGTACAGTTTTCTTATAAGTATGTGACAAAAAAAATCTTACATAAGAAAAAGAAAGAAACACAGTAAATGCACATATATATATATATATATATATATACACTAAAGTATATAGATATTCAAAGTTAAGCTAGAATTACTATGATATATTCTTGTTAGGATTATTATTATGGTGGTTGGTGTTGCCTAGTTTAATTTCTTGTGATTTGGTATTTTGTAAGAGATAGTGCCATTCTTGTGCCTTGCTTAGTTGACTGTGTAAAAGGTATCGATAAGTTTGTAAAATATAAGTGGAGAATGGAATGTAATATGATAGACAGATATCAAATATAAAAGAATTTACAATAATGAGCCCAATAATTATATTATTGTCTCTATTTTATTTTTAAGATTTTTTTCTGTTAATTAATTACTATGTCATCTCATTATGTTTAATATTCTTCCTCATCAGCAAAGGAATCAGTACCAACTTCGATATAATCCCTTTCCAATGCAGCTAAATCTTCTCTGGCTTCAGTGAATTCACCTTCTTCCATACCTTCACCAACATACCAGTGAACAAATGCACGTTTGTTATACATTAGATCGAATTTTTCATCAATTCTTTTCCAAGCTTCAGCAATTGCAGTAGTATTAGATAGCATACAGACAGCTCTTGTAACATCAGCTAATTCAGAATTTGGAGTCACACTTGGTGGTTCGTAACAGATACCAATTTTGAAACCTGTTGGACACCAGTCAACCATTTGAACAACCTTCTTATTTTTGACTTGTGTAACAGCGCTTTGCACATCTCTAGTGACAATATCACCTCTATATAGTAAGCAGTTAGCCATATATTTACCTGTAGCTGGGTTACATTTGACCATTTGATTGCCTGGTTCAAAACAAGAATTGGTAATCTCAGCTACAGAATTAGATTCATGGTTGGCCCTATTCTTAGAGACAAATGGTGCATATGAGACCAATGGGAAGTGAATTCTTGGGTATGGAACCAAATTAGTTTGGAATTCATTTAAATCAACGTTTAAAGAACCATCGAATCTTAGTGAGGCAGTCACAGAAGATACGACTTGAGCAATTAAGTTATTTAGATGCTTGAAATTTGGTCTAGCAATACCCAATCTCTTTGTACACATATCATAAATAGCTTCATTGTCCAACATGAACGTACAGTCGGAATGTTCTAAAGTAGAATGTGTAGATAAAACGGTGTTATATGGTTCTACAACAGATGTAGAAACCTGTGGGGCAGGATAGACAGCAAATTCTAATTTAGATTTTTTACCATAATTTTCTGCTAATTGTTCTAGTAACAATGAACCAAGACCTGAACCGGTACCACCACCTAAAGAGTGGGTAAAAAGAAAGCCTTGTAAACCATCACATTGGTCAGCCATTCTTCTAATTCTGTCAGTAACTTCATCAATAATTTGGGTTCCTACAGTGTAGTGACCACGAGCATAATTATTGGCAGCATCCTCTTTACCATTAATTAATTGTTCAGGGTGGAAAAAATCTTTGTATGGTCCATTACGAACTTCATCAATAACGTTTGGTTCTAAATCCACATAGATGGCTCTTGGAACGTACTTACCAGCTCCTGTTTCATAGAAAAAGGTGGAAAAACCTTCTTCCCCACCCTTTGGTCTAGTTAGACCATCTTGTAAATAACCGTCCGGTCTAATACCATGTTCCAAAGAGTATAATTCCCAGCAGGCATTACCAATTTGACAACCAGCTTGACCAACATTAATACTAATAACTTCTCTCATATTTAATAACAACTATAATTAGATATATTTAGATATATGTATGATTATAGATTTGCGTATGTGTATTTGTTATTCTATTTATATTAGTAATAGACCCTTAATATAATATTAATTACAACCTGCTTATGTTTTAGTTGTCTAAGTATGTTTCTATTAATAATAATTAACGAAAATAGAAAGATCACTAATAACTACTCTGATGAAAGTGCCAGGGCTTGATTCAAATAGTAAACAATCTTTCTTTGTTTACTCGTCTGTTTTAAGAATATCTTCTTGTTGTTGTGTTAAGATTTTCTCTTTCTTTTTTTTTTTAGTTTTTTTTTTTTGGGTTGGATTTTTCTATTTGTTTATATTTTTTTTCGAGTTTTGTCTCACGTGGTCGTGTGGGTTTCCCCAAAAGGGTAAGGACAGATCCAGGGTTGGCTGCCTAATATGGAAAACCCTAAACAGGACGTAAAGGTTGAAAGGAAAGGCAAGTATTACTACAAGGCAACTATTTATGGACTCTACCATCTAGAAGAGAGCTTAGTACTTCAAATGTATCTATTAAAGGTGAGTAGATCTATTTATTTCTAAATTCCTCTGTCTTTACAACAAATAAAATCAGAAAATCATAAAGAAATAACGAGGTTTATAAAGATCAAAACGTTTCATTATGTTTATTTAATGATATGTATATGTATATTTTAAGTACATCTATCTGCATTAAGATTAAACAGTTATAATTATTAAAATGTAGTGTAAAAATATAAGTGCATGTTTATAAATTAAATTTTATAGACTGATTCGACTTCAAAAAGGGAATGCAATTGAGTTAGAGAATGAGCATTTGTCAGCATTATATTAACTCATGTTCTTGTGTCTTGTTCTGGTTCTTCCTTTTCTCACCTGTCAAGAAAGACTTTGCAAATTGCTATTTTCTTTCGATGAACTATAGCACGCTATGATTTGTTAATTCTTTTTATTTTCCTTATACCTCTTCTTCATTGTTAGAAGAAGTTGCAGAAACAGTAGAATAAGTTGCATAATTTATTGGATTAATTTCATCATGATATTTTTCACTAATTTCTTCCAAAGTCATTCTCTTAGTTTCAGGAATGAACCAAGTAGTGACACAACCTAATAACATGAATAGAGCAAAAATTTGCATAACATGTGGCAACCAACAATTCTTTGGTTTTCCATCACGACTACAATTGTGATCAATCAAAGTACCTAATGCAGTCTGGGCAATAATGGCACCAATTTTACCTGCTGCAGCAGAGATACCATGAGCTGTGGATCTATATCTTGTTGGGAAGGCTTCACCTGGAACAATAAAAGTAGTAACATTTGGACCGAAATTGCAGAAAAATTGACATAAAATGTAAAGACCCAATAGACCATTGTCTCCAAGTTGATTGTAGGCAAACCCAATAACACAGAATAAAGCAGTTAGGATGATGAACCCCATCATTTGAATTGGTTTTCTGCCAATAATGTCGATTGTGAACACGGAGAACCAGTAACCAGGTAAAGAACCAGCACAGATTAAAATCAAATTACCTGCAGCAGAGTTGTATAACTTCCAGTAGACGTTTTCTGAACCAGCATAACCAATAGTCTGTAAGATAACAGCAGAGTTCAATGAAATGCCGTAGAAGGCAACATCTAGAGTGAACCAGGAACCAGCAGTACCTAATAGAATCTTACCATATTTCCATTGACCGAAATGGTGACAGAAATCTTTAAATGAGGCTTCCTTCTTTTCTGGTAACACTTGTTGTGTAGTAGTGACTTGGGATCTGTCGCAAGTGTGAACATCAACTTCATTCTTTTCATCGACACTATCATCTCTATTTGTGGATAATTCGAATTGCATATCAACGTCTAAAGCATATCTTGGAGATTCAGGGATTGTCAATCTAAAATAAAGACAAGCTAAACCAGGGATTGCACCGAACCCAACAAGGATTCTCCACATTTGGTCACAGGCCAATCTACAAGCAGGACCACATTCGGCACCTGTATTTGCATTAATCAATTGACCCTTGTAGGCTACAATAAGAATCATAGCCACAACACCAGCAAGGATTTGACCGAAAGCTTGATTAGCAAAGACAGAACCCATTATTGCGCCTCTCCATTTCGTAGTAGCGAATTCGGAGGATATGATTGAAGACAATGGATAGTCACCACCAATACCGATACCCATGACTATTCTGTAAAAAGTCAATACTGCAACGAAGTTGACCCCAGGAGATTCACCCAAAGTACATTGTAGAATTGTACAGATGATCATAAGAATTAATTCTAGACCATATATTTTTTTACGTCCCAAAATATCAGCTAGACAGCCAAAACCAACTTGACCTATGACAGTACCTACAGAGGTTGATACTTTTAATAGAGTCGCAGTTGAGTCTGGCATAGATCCTTGCCAAAAAACATAAGATAGCATTGCCACACCAAGATTGATGGCAAAAACATCATATGAGTCTGTTAAGAACCCAACACCGGCTATAGCGATAGTACGTATTTGTTGCCAACCAAATGGAGATTCATCAATTTTTTCCAAAGCTAATCTTCTTCTTTCTAGTGGATCTTCGATGTCAGCAAATTCATTTATATAATTGTGGAAAGCAGCATTACCACCAGCAGTGATATTTGATTGAGTATTGTTTTCTTTTCTTTGACTATCGTTATTTGACATATTTAAATTTTTCAATTCTTTAATAATGATAATACTAATAATAGAAAAAAAGAGGGAATATTGTCAATTTTGTTTATTATTAATTATAATCTAGTTATCTATAAAAAAAACTACTTGTGTAATAATAATAGTAGTTATGTTGTTGTTGTTGCGATTTAGCTGTTGTTATTTTCTTGATTCTTCTTGTTTGTTTTGTTTGGTTTACTGGCTACGTGGTTACGAAAGCAGAAAGAATGAGAGTAGAGAGGGATGATGTTAGAAAACAAGCATTTGGGTTTATATATTAATGGAAAGTTGGATATAGATTAGCTTACAAACTAGTTGCTCCTAAACCATTCATGACCCACATGGCACATAAACATGCACACATATTTCTATATTTTAATTTATTTTATTCACTTCAACTCAATTTGGTCTGACTTTACTCCATCTAAAGTAATCATTAATTATTATAAAAAAGAAATAGATAGTAGAGATTGTAATACAAGGAAACATAACAATGAGAAAAACCTAATACAGCCACGTGGAAAACATGTTGATCCAAAAAATGATTAAATAATATGAAAGAATATATTGATTGCTCATCAACTTCAAAATTTTTGCAAGAAGAAGCCCCACATGGGGAAGAGGAGGATGGGATATGTTCATGAAAGACAGGGGAAACTCGAGAAGAGAATGGGCGGTTCCCAAAAAGGATGATTAAACAAAAAAAGAAAAGAAGAGAAAAGAAAAAAAAAGAAGGTATTGAAAATTGGAAAATTGAAAAAACATTGAACCTGTGGTCAAAACACAATAGAACGGTATTCTTTTCTCCTCTTACTCGTATTGTTCTGCGGGTGTGTGTGCAAATGACAATAGAAGAAACTGTCAAAGTGCCTGTTTAGCAAAAGAAAATAAAGAAAATAAAGAAAAGAAAAGAAAAGAAAGAAATAATAAAGCCGGATATAATCGGCCATGGGGGCCAAGAAGAAAAGAAAAGAAAAAAAAAGGGAAAATGTTTTTTCCTTCTCACTGTATTTTTTCTTTCTTTAATTTTGTTTGCTTCTTTTTTAGTTTTGTTGCAGCACTGAAGTTCACACGTGTGCAAACACCCATACCGCACTTTCCATCTAATTATTACAAATTGAACAAGAAGTGTGGAGTAATCACAAAGTTGGCGAAAATTGCATGGAGGAGTCCCCTTCTACAAGAATGGAGGAGGTGACCGTTGGTATAAATAATGGTAGTATTCCACGTTTTCAACGATCCCCACGTTCTCACATTGCCGGGTAGTAATTCTTTTTTTCTACTATCTTGACTGGGGGCAGGTTTCCTATGGGCTTCTAATCCCTCTCTCACAGTGAGTTGCACAATGAAAATATATAAAAAGAAAAAAAATAGTAATGTTTTTCTGACTGGAATTATAATGGAAGTAGAGCTTTATAAATTTGCTCAGTTTTTTGTTTTTTGTTTCTGGCTTTTCCAATTAGGTTTTTTTTTCCTTTTTTTTCTTTTTTTGACAAATTCCTAATTCATATCTTATTTTTCTTCTCATTTATGACGACAGTCCTTTTTTTTTTTGTTTCTTTTTTTTCTTGTTAATCATTAGAGGAAATTATCGTAAACGGTAAAAATTAGATTTAGTTACACAAGTATTTTTACTAAAAGATTACCGAAATTAATAGCAACAAGAGAAATCTTATTTGACAGGAGTGAGATAGGTGGAAACATTAACAGATACCCATAGTATTTCTAATATTTTATGTGAAAGATATGTGATTGATACGTACTGTGAAGTCTATTTTAATACTTTTCTTTGTTTGTTCTTAATGTAGTGGGGGAATTAACATTACAGTGTATTATATCATACCATATCTGACTTATTCTGCTCTTATATTGTTATTGTTTCTTTTGGGTTTTACTATAGTAATAAGAGAGGATCGCACATTACTATACTATCTAGCGGGACATACACATAGACCAAAACAACTGTTATCTATTAAAACCAGTATATTTATTCTTAGGAAGAAAAAAAAATAAAAAATAAAAAATAAAAAATAAAAAATAAAAAAAAAAAGATAAACACATAAATAAATAAAAAACAGATAGAAAGAAAAATGAGTAATTTATCTAGTTCAAATAATAGGAAGAAGTTGTTATTGATGGGGAGATCAGGATCCGGTAAATCATCTATGAGATCTATCATATTCAGTAATTATAGTGCATTCGATACCCGTAGATTAGGGGCCACTATTGATGTAGAACATTCACACCTTAGATTCCTGGGTAACATGACTCTAAATTTATGGGATTGTGGGGGTCAAGATGTCTTTATGGAAAACTATTTCACAAAACAGAAAGATCATATATTTCAAATGGTTCAAGTGCTTATTCATGTCTTCGATGTTGAATCACAAGAAGTTATGAAAGATATCGAAATCTTCATGAGATCTTTGAAACAATTGAAAAAATATTCACCCAACTCGAAGATCTTCGTCCTATTACATAAGATGGACTTAGTACAATTGGACAAAAGAAACGAATTATTTGAAATTATGATGAATAAGTTGACGGAAACTGCCAAACAGTATGGGTTCCCCAATATTGTCGGTTTTGCCACCTCTATTTGGGATGAAAGTTTGTATAAAGCTTGGTCGCAAATCGTCTGTTCTTTAATACCAAATATGTCGATATATCAATCGAATTTGATTAAATTTAAAAATCTCTTGGACGCATACGAAATTATTCTTTTTGAAAAGACGACTTTCCTAGTGATTTGTTCCAGTAATAACAAAACCGGTGGTGATAACGGTGATAATGATAATCAGTCAAATGTTAAAGAACTCGGTTCAATAAAGATTGATCCAAAAAGGTTTGAGAAGATTTCAAATATAATGAAGAATTATAAACAAAGTTGTACAAAATTGAAAAGTGGGTTTAAGACATTAATATTAAATGATTCTATCTATGTAAGTGAAATCTCTTCAAATATGGTTTGTTTCATTGTATTAAATAATTCAAAACAACCACGACAACTGATATTAGAAAATATTAAAAAGGCAAAAGAATTCTTTCAATAGTCAGTCTATAAAAAAAAGTGAATGAATATATTATAGGTATATGTGTGTGTATGTATGTAATTTATAAAAGTATAAATCTGAGATATAAAAATATATGTTTTTTAATGATATTTTCAAAGTTCACAAGGTGTAGATGTTAGTACAGAAATACAAGATATATTAATATATGTATTTATTATGTCTTTTTTATTTTTTATAATATGTACATGTGTGCATGTTTTTTTGTATGTGTATTTGTATTTTTTACGTTATGTACAAAAGCTGCGGAATAAATAAATAAATAAATAAATAAATAAATAAATAAAATAAAAAAAAATATATATATAGGTAGATGTACAGAAATAAAAATAAATCGTTAAAAAATCGTTAATAAAAATACATCAATTTAGCAGATATTAGCATTCGAATGTTAGTACAAGTACTGTCAGTAAAATTATCTTATTTTCATTTAATTCTACTGCTTTATATTTCTTTTTCTCTTTCTTTTCCTTTTTTTATATTACAATCCCTTAAAGAAATCTCTCTTGAAAAGGGATAGTTTCAACCAATCCATAATAACTTTAAATCTTGTTCTGGCAGATAATAACATAGATAAGTAAACCAATCTCCAGATATAGAATGTGAAAATACCACCACCGGTATACAGAGAAGTCTTGCCATAAGTGATATTGGCGATGGCTCTTTCATGACCCAAGTATGCAAGAGCACCTAAATGTCTATATTTGAATGGTTTGAAGTTATTTTCTTCAAATAACAAATCCACTTTCTCCTTTTTCTTACTTAAAGTTTCGTGGAATCCTGGGACATATGACATCTTATCAAATAATTTAGATAAATATTCTGCTTGTTGATGTGCTACTTGAGCTGTTGGAGGCAATCCGATGAATGCGTTGTCGCCAATAGCAAAGATGTTAGAAGTACCTTTAACTGTTAAGAATGGATTAACAGTAATAGCCCTAGTAGAATTAGCTTGCTCAGGGATCTTTTTAGCTAAATTCTGGATGATTGGTCTGATCTTATTACCTGTAGCCCAAATCAAAGTACCATAAGGTATACTAGTTTCAGTGACCGACCCATCTGGATTCTTTGTCCTTGCGATCAAATGGTCAGCTTCCACTTTACCGACAGCAGTATTCAAATGTAATTGGATTGAAGTGTCTTCGAGAACACTTTGAGCATATGATGATAACTTCTTCTCAAACATACTTAAAACGATTGGCATCGCTTCCACAAGATGGATCTTCACTTCACGAGCCAAAGATGGTAGATATTTTTTTAATTCTTGAGTTACATAGTCTTGTAATTCACCAGCAGTTTCCACACCAGTTGGACCACCACCAACAACAACAATAGTCAGTAATCTCTTTCTCTCTGGATCGCCCTCTGGCAAGAAATTAGCTTTTTGCAAATTAGATGCTATAGTGTTTCTAATTTCGAAAGAATGAGGTAGTTCTTTTAGAAAGTGACCATATTCCTTAACACCTGGGATGCCGAATGTGTTTGGTTCTGCACCTACTGCACAGATCAAATAATCATATTTAATCTCTACAGGATCATTTTTCTTGATTCCTACATTTTCCTGTGGGCCAGAGTGTTTCAAGTTTGGTTTAATCATGGAAGAGACTCTGTCTATGGACACGGTATTTCTGTCTGGATTGATACCTGTAGCTTCAGCTTGGTAATAGATGACATTACCCTTTTTTTTTCAAAGCGAAATTGACCACTGGTTCAATAATAGATTTTTCATCAACAGTACCCACTGGTGTAGAGGGCAAAAGTGGGGTGAAAAGGAAGTAGTCTCTTGGCGAGATGATGGAGACATTATATTTTTTGGTGTCAATTGTCTTTAGAAAACTAATACCACCCCAACCGGAACCTAAGATGACAATATTTGGCTTCTTGCCATTTTGGTCATCGACGACTTTCAAAGTTTGAAAAGAGGATGGGCCCGCACCTTTTTTATCTACAGGAGTGACCCTTTCTTCGATTTCTGTGGTGGACATGGATACAGAAGAAGAGGAAGAAAGGGAGGAGGTGGACGATGAGGAAGAGGATAAAGAACCTAGATTAGATTTTGGAGTTGTAACTGTGGACGCATATCTAATAAGAGATGTAGTTTTAACATTTTGTAACCTATATCTATAACAATTGGGTAACATTATGTGTAGTGTTGAACGGTAGGGAAGGAGTGAAGATTTATCTTAACGTGTTATTATATCTATAATCGCTGTTTTTTTTTTCTTTTTCTTTTTTTCTTTTTTTCTTTTATTATGTTTTCCTTTATGTGGTCTCTGAGTAATAGATTAGATATTGTTACTCTATTGATAGCTATGTTAATACTTTACTTGTTTGTTGTTTGGATATTCAATTATATACAAAGAAGAAGGAAAAAAGAAAAGAAAAAAAGAAAAAGAAAAAGAAAAAGAGAAAGAAAAATGGATATTTCAATATTTTAGATATATTGTGAAATGTAAGAATGTAGCAAGACAAGGGAGGGTAGAATGAATTGATGATAACAACTAAACAGACGCCTTCGTCTGAAAACAGGTCAGGGCAGTTGATGAAACTCCAGCGCACATAGTACGCGGAGAACACCACCGTGTATGGCTGAAGGAGATGGGAAAAAACAAAGAGTTCTTAGCAGTAAAGAAATATTTTTATATATATAAATGTAGATTGAAAAGTTCTTTGAGGGAGGAAATAGTACAAAAGACAGAAAGAAAGAAGAGAAGAAGAAGAAGAAGAAGAAGAAGGAGAAGGAGGAGAAGGAGGAGGGGGGGGGAGAAGGGAGTTGAGAATTATAGTATGGTATAGTGGTGGTGGTGTTAATTTATGACCGTTACAAAACCAAGAGAATCGAACAAAAAATATCGGAGTTCTACGAATATCCTGGACAACGAGTCTAATCCAATCAACGTCTAGAAGACCGCTAGAGTCCTTTTTTCCATATATATAAATTTTTTTGCTCTTCTCGTTTTTACTTCCAGTTCCCAGAAAAATCCAAAGCTTTTCCAAAACTTTGTCCCTTGGCTTTTTGCCCTACGCTTTTTTCTTTTTTTCCACTTATTCTCCCTGCCAAAATTTTTCCAAGAACTCCGCGTTTGTTGGTTGATTTTTGGAAGAAATAAATGAATAAATGAACAAATAAATAAGGGAAAGGCAAGAGGATGCTCGAGTGACAGAAAAAAAAAAGAAAAAGAAGACATTTATTAATGGCGATGGTTAATGGTATAATTATGAGGGAATGAGGGGATGTGCTGGGTTTATCTTGTTTTTTTCATATGTAAAATCAGGGTAATAGAGATTATTTTTAGGTTGTGTAGTTTCTCGTTTACTTTTTTTTTTTATCTTTTTATCTTTTTTCACATGTAAAAGGAGTCCAAGGTATTTTCTTTTCGAAAAGGCATTTGTCTTTTGACCAAGGACATGTGTTGTGATATGACATAGTAGTAGTTCTGGCAGTATATATGTACATACAGTCAAGTTAAGATCCTATGGCCGTGATGATAACATATGAGGTTTGGTTAGGTATGAGAATGTTATTTGTATAAGTACTCGGACCCAGACATACAATTTTGTATGTATATATATATGTAGTTTAACGTAACAAATTATACATTGTAGCGTCTTTTCTTGGAGTTTCATCTTTCTCTTTTGATAGACAAAGTAAGGAGAATAAAATGTTATTGGTTCAGTAATATCCTAATAAGGAAATAATGTCAACAAAGGCTTATCGATACCTCATTAGGTAATAATTATATTTTTAAAATTTAAATAAAAAAAGAAAAAAAAAATAATAATTTTAACTAGACTTATCTACCCGTAGACAAAAAATTGTTAGAAGTATTAATGTAAAAATTGAATCGATGTGACACAAAAAAGTATAGGATAGTATATAGAACACTATACAGTTACCAGTATCACCATCTTATAAGCTTTATATATTTCTCTCAACAGTGAAGTTGGTTATCATTGCTGTTGTTATTCTTTTTTTTTTTTTATTCGTCTTCGTTTTTTTTAATTAAAAAGCATATTCAAGAAAGAAAGGAACAGGAGATAAAAAAAGATAAAATAATAAATAAATAAATAAATAAGAGATAGTCTTCGAATAATGTATAGAAGAACTCTGAATAATAAATCTTCGATTCCAAATACACATTACTCATTGCAACAAGATAATCTAATACATAATTTCAATCAATTGAATTTTAATGATCCTCTTCGTCAAGATGAGAATGTGTATGATGATGATGTTTATCTAGGCACAAGATATAATAACAACAACTATAACAATATTGATAATAGAAACTTATTTTACCCAAATAATAATACATCGAATGTTAATAATGTTGGTTTTGAAAACATTAATTACATTCACTATATGTATCCTTATGGAAACTTAAATAATCACAATGTAACAGAAACTATTAATACCCCGGCTTATAATCTTTATCAAATAGATTCACATAATAATAATAACATTCATGATTTAAATGTAAAATATTATTCAAACCATAATAAAAACTATTATGACCAAAATCAAAAATATAATAAAAAAAAGTCCAGAAATGAAGGAAACCAAAATAATAGATTTATTAACAACAACAACAATAATAATTTGAAAAGATGGGATTCTCATAGCACATCTGATCTTCCCTTTACTACCAAGTATTTAACTTCCAGTGAAAGATATTTCCACGATCCAATTGATATTCAATTGATGAAAGAACAAAATAATAATAAACCATTTATATCTGTTCAATTAAATACCACATATAATAACAGTAACAAATATAATAATCATAACCATAATCATAATCATAACTATAGCAGTAATTTTAAGTATAAGAAAAATAGTAATCAAAAAGATAATACACAAAAGAATGCTCTCTTATATTCCAAAGAACAATTACTCATTCAAGCAAAAAATAGAAATCAGGAGAAATTGAATCAATTGTATAATTTAATATCAAAATCATACAACAATAAACGAAAAGATAGCCAACCATTGTTTTATATGGCAGGCTTGGAAAGTTTACCTATATATTCATTTGATGAATTGATCACATATAAAGAGGTCGATACTATGCTAGAGAATGTTGATGAGGAAAAGATACAATTATCTGTTGATAAGCATCAGAATACTGGTATTCAAACTGGTTTGGAACAGTATTTCAAAAGATTTATAAAATGTAATATTCAACCAGTGGATGACGTTGTTCGTGTATTAGATTCTACAGCTGCTCTTACTATTACTCAAAATGTGTTTGCTTCCATTAATAATACTACTTCTAATAATGATCATGACACTGAGGCAGATGTTAATAATGGTAATAGCACTCAAATTAATGATGATGAAGACGAAGGCGGTAGCAACAATGAAAGTGAAAATGGAAATAAAATTAAAATTAAAAACAAAAATAATGAAAGTAATAATTACAATCCTAACACCAAAAAATCTGTTAGAAATTTGGTTCAAACAAAAACATCTATTTTACCTTTTAATAAACAATTTCAACAATATTCAAATGATAGTTTCGAATTAAGTTTTGATGGGAAAGCTATGGATAGAAGTGATATATTTAGAATGGTTGATTCATTTAGTATCGTTTTTGATAATGATAGAGATTCCAATACAAGCAATCCTAATATAAATAATCCAAATGGTAGTAATTCTAATACTCAGCCATTTAATTTGTCCGAAAATATATTACCAGAAGAAATGACAAATAATTTAGTCTATTAACTATAAATCCATATATATACCACGTTATTTCACCAAAAAGAAAGAAAATAAAAAATAGGAAAAAAAAAAAGAAATAAAAATATTATCATCCTCTTTTTATCCACTATCTAAGAATATAATAACATAAATATATAATATTGATAATATTACTATAAAATATAATAAAAAAATACTCCTATGACTATATACATGATTTGTTAAATTCTACCTCATTTATCCTACCTTTTTTTTATTTTTTGTTAAGATTACCTGTCAAAATCGTAAAGATGGTTATTAATTAATTCACACATTATAAAATCTTCTTTCTACTTCAAAGCCTGGCTTAGATTTACGTAAATTCCTTTGTTCTTCCTTTGTCAACATTGTTTCACTCAATTCTACATTGACTAACTCTTTAACTTTCAAAATTGAACCTGCAATAGCTGGCGTCACCTTTCTGTACACTGTAGACCCCCTTTTGCCTAATCCTAAAGTTTTTACAATAGCTCTAGTTGTCTTGGGTGTCCCTATCAAAGATCTAACTAATGTAATTTTATAGTATACCATTAGCACCGATTTATATGTATTTCTATGTATATGGATATGATTGCAATATATAAAATGTGTAGAATGGAAAACTATGTCCGCAAATATCACTTCTAGGAAAGTTTAAGCACACTTAAATGAGTCATTAAGTAATATCAGCAGGTAGTAGGTTCTATTGAGTAGGGTATATGATCTAAGAATGCAAAAACAATCTCTTCTACCATTATTTCTCTCAAAGTTTCCTCTATCTATTTCCATGTTTTTCATTTTCTCGCAGTATATAGTTCTTCCAAAGAAAATCAAAAATTTCTTTCCTCGAATGTCCTGACAGATATTTTTTAATAACAAAACCTTCAAGAAAAATATCTAATCAATCAACAGAATAAGGATTTTAAGTTACAAGTATTTTGAAAGCTAGTCTCATACTACAGTACAGGATTCAACAGGCAATATTGTGGTTACAGGGAATCGTAATTAAGAGGAAGTAAGTTTTTGGTCTAGTGGTCCTTTAGGCCCTACCATAATTTGATGTTACGTTCTTATATAAGTATAAAAAGGGCTAGCTAATAGTAGGCTTTAAAGATATATATATATGTTGCCAATAGGGATTTTTAGTACTTTTTTATGAGTAATATGCCTTACAGTTGCTTAGTTAAAGGAAAACGTTGAGTCAGAGTGGAGTGAATGGTCCTGAGATTTCATATGTATATAAATCTGGTCAATTGCAAAAGTGTTATCGCATCCTTAGTGATATGAATTCTTATCATTATTTCAAGCTTGATTTTTAGTTTTTCTCATTTCTGCCAACCAAAGAGGACATTATATTTTAATTTCAAACATGTTATAAAATGATGTCTTTCATAAATAAATTGATTTAGCTTCTATTTTGATAAATTATTTTTACTAATTAATTTTTATTGAGATGCATAGAAATATCTTCGTACAAAATAACATTAATATCTTGATGCTTTAAATGCATTTGTTATTTTAGCAGAATTATCAAAGTGGGAAAGTGCTCATTCTTGAATGACAGATATAATAATTCGAATACGTTTTAAACTTATATCCTAGGTAATCGTTGTTTCTTTTTCTTGCCGTTTTCCTCCCCCCATTTTTCCTTTTGGTTAACTTTCAACATAGCTTACTAAGAACAGACAAATTACAAGATAGTTTCTTGTAAAGATCTATTTAAAATGATTAATGCATCAGAACCAAAACATCAGAAATTACCAAGAGATAAAATTACACCAGAATATATTGCTCAAATTAGAGCATTGAGGAGAGAAAGACATGAAAGAGAACAACGAGAATTGGAATTGAAACAAATAAGAACAAAATTTTTCATTAAAAGACCTATTCTTTATGTTCCCAACAAACAAGAGCAGCGGCAACAACAAAAAGTAGCTCATGATAATCAATTTATTAATATAAAAATTATGACATACAACACTTTAGCACAGACGTTAATTAGAAGAACAACCTTCCCTGATTCAGACGACGCTATTAAGTGGCATAATAGGTCTAAGGTTTTAATGAGAGAAATTAAATACTACCATAGCGACATACTTTGTTTACAAGAAGTAGATAAAATACAATGGGAAAGGTTCTGGGCTGAAGCTTTAGCGGAAGTGGATTATAAAGGTGAGTTTTTCACATATCCAGGTAAAGTCCATGGTGTGGCAATTGCATGGAATACAGAAATATTTGATGAAAACCCGGTTGATGTCATCCCACTGATCTTAGATAAAATTATTGCAGGTGGTAATATACGTACTTCCACTAGAACAAGAAGTGTGGCATTAATAGTTGCACTAAAATTTAAACAAACCCATACACAACCCTCTATCTCAGATAAACCAAATGGTATTATTGTAGCCACAACGCATTTATTTTGGCATCTTTTTGGCACTTTTGAAAGAACAAGACAATGTTACATTATTTTAGAAAAATTGCATCATATTAGACAAAGATTGATTCATTCAGGATTATGTAAATATTGGTACACTTTTTGGACCGGTGATTTTAACTCACAACCTTGTGATCCACCCTATTTATCTATTACAGAAAAACCAATAAAATTAACTGGTAGACCTAAAGCAATTATTGAATGTAGTACATCTTACCAGTACTCAAAAAGGAGAAACGGTGAATTATCTAATAAGAGTGACTCCAGTGATAGTGAAGGTAATAACGATGATGAAGAAGATTCCATACCTGATAATCAACCTACTGAGCCTAGACCATACACTTATGTTGCGACTCCAGAACAGTCTACATTAGTTCAAAAATTGCTTGATTTACATAATAGAGTACCATTAAAAGCTGTTTCTTTGTACGGTTTAGGATATCATTTAGTGCATCCTGAAAATTCTAATCCATCTACAACAAATAGCGAACCCCAATTGTCCCATATATCGTTAAAATGGGAAGGTTTATTAGACTATATTTTTCTTGTGAAACCATGGGATCCAACAAATAGTGAAGAGTCAAGTAATCAAGATATAATTGAAAATGTTGAGAGAGATTGTCACCTACATATTAAGGGATATTTAAAGATGCCTTTAGCTGAGGAAATGCCTCACCATACAGAACCACATACCGGGGAATATCCAAGTGATCACTTAGCCATGATGTGCGATTTGGAATTAGAGTTATAAGTGAATAACCTAATATAAGTACATCAATTTTTCCTTAATTCACTGTTAAGTGGCTGATTTCTTTAAACTTTTGGTTCTTAAAGCAATGATATTATATATTCACTTTTCCCTTAGCATATATAAAACCATACCTGTGATTATGTCTATATTTATATTAAATTATAAATATATGAATGCCTATGATACAGTAAAATAACAATAATATGATTAGAACCTGATTTATCAGCTTTTTCATAAGTTGAGTAGTCTAAATGACCCTTTCTAGACATAAAATAGAATGTATTTTTAACATATATCTTTAATGGTAAACCTTTCTCTAATCTTTTAGTCAAATCAAAGTTAGCAAGTTAGAATTTATCGTAAGCTATAAAGATTTTATCACTATTAATTATTTCTTTAACGTCTTCTGAATGAAAAGTTTTTTGTCAGTTTGTCCCTCTATTTGTTGCTATTGTCTGGGTGCCTTGACTTAAGATCTCCTTAGTTTAATGTATAACTGTTGACAGCATAGATTTCAAAAGCAAGTGACTTATTAGCAGATTGTATATATTCCTTTATATATAGTTTTATTTTAACTTTGATATTATCATATTGCAGATTATTAGATTTTAAGGCGTTTTTCTCTTATTCTTCACCTATATAAATGTCATTGGATGTAGAATGATGACACAAACCACCTCTAGCTGAAATGCCAAAAAATAATGGCCTACCCAAACTATGTATTCGATCAAAGATAAAGCATTAATTATTGTAAACACTCTTGAAGACATTTCATTGTAATAAATATTTGACAGTTTAGTCTTTGGTTGAGATGCTTCCTGGACCAAAGATATACATTCTAATTAAGACAAGTATAAATTTACTGTTGTCTAATTCAGTGATATTAATTTGAAATTGTTTAAAGAAACTGAAATATTGTAGACGATTTTTTTTAACTGCATATTATATATTATAAGTATATTATTGAAAGAAATAAAAACTCTGAAAAGCTATATGTAGCATATAATATTTATATTTTTTTTCCAAATCATGGATATCATCAATGGTACATTATGGACTTATTTATTAGTATTTCTTAAATCTCTATAGTTGCTTTTTTTTGGTATCTCGTTAGTAAATCAATGCCATATAATAGACTTTGATGCTAGACATATTATTTCAGTCTTGTCTTGTGAGATAACCTACTTGGTTAATTCTTGTGAAAAATATTGATCTGACCTAAGTTTTCAGATCAAGAAGGTAAATGTCTAATTTTTCGGAATCTCACAGATTAAAATCACATAAAAATCGGAGGATGTATAATCACTTTTGTTTAGTCCTAGTGTTACGTAATCAGTATGATTCGGAGAAATACCTACGACAGTTCTGTGTTTTTTTTTGTGGTATTTTGTAGGGGAATTTTGCTATTAGAGAAAAATAAAAATAAAAACGGAAAAAATTAACTTTCTTCCCCCTAACATTTTGGTTTTTCTTTCAAACTAGAGTTACCTAATTTTCAATTAACTTATGCTGTTAGTCTATTTTGTTAGTCTACACCAAAATGTAAAATTGTAAGTTTAAGTGATTTCTTTGTTGATTTCAACGATATCACGAATCAAGTCGTTTCTTTGAATGTGATTGTGGTTTATCATTCACTTGCTAGTGGTGTATAACTATTAATTACCAGTGCCTTTATCTATAAAAATACACTAAAGTGGATTAGTAGTTATAAATTGCTTTGTCATCATTGCTGAACAAAACAGTTTAATGCTAAGGTTAGAGTATTGTTCTACTAGTAAGACAAGAAACTCTATCTACTATTTAAAAAGTATAACAAAAAAAGAAAAATAAAAAAGACAAGCGTTGTATGAAAAGGGATTATAAATAATAACTGGAATAAAATTATTATATTTACTAGGCATAAATATTCTTGATAGTATTAAACTGGACCAGTTGAGTTCCTTTTATTGGACTTTTTTATGCTTGCTAATTTTTAAAGAGAATACTTTTGAGTTTAATATCTTTTATAATCTTATTTCCAGGGAGGATATCATGATACTACCTTCCTTATACTCATCTAATTAAAATAAAAAAGAGACTTCTTGATCAACACATTACATTATTCTTTCTTTCTTTTCTTAAATTGTCTGAATTGTTAATAAACTTTTTGGACTAAGTATTATTCGAAATAATATTAACAAAACAAGCTTATATTTTCTGCGTTACATAAACATATAAGCTAAATAGTAAAAGAATAACAAATAAATAATATAGTAAACAAATAAACCCTTAATAGGCGTTAATATTTATTCGTTTTGATCCATGAATGGTCAATTCGATTGACTATCATTCGATGTTTACAATCCATTTTATTAGGAATAATGTTCTGATCCCTTTTGTTCCCTTTAACTAATCCACTTATATTTGCCATACATGTATATTGTGTATTCAGTGTATCAATACAATTACTATTAATAGTAGCAGTAGTAATTACTCTTTGATATATGTTTCCTTTTTAGGCAATTCTCTTAATCTAATAATTTTTCTTTGTTTTTCTTTTTTTTTTTTTTTGATGTATATGTATTCGAGCCGTTAATAAAACTAATTTAAATAGATTCTTTTAAAAGTTAATAAAGGTTGATTAGAGTGTTTTCTTCTTCTTCTTTTTGTTTGTTTGGTTAAGTCTTCTGCTAATTGTGGCACCACTATCCTTTGAACACTAATTAAACCTTTTTTTTTCCTTTTCGCTCGATTTACTTTTTCTTTGGATTTACATTTCAGTCAATTGCTCTGTCCTGTTGAGTTAACTCGATCAAACCCTTTATTTTGTCCACTTATCCTTCGTTAGGCCTACCAGGAATTGAATATATATATATATATATAACTACTTGTCAAATCATAAGTGATTGATTGTTGTTGATTTATGGTTGTGAGTTCAAGAAGATTAAGAAAATAAGAATAAAAGGATATATAAAGAAACATTACTTCTCTGTATTTCTTTCCATACCGTATACACATATATTTGTTGTTTTACATCATTTGTTTTAACTTAGTACTGTTAAATTTATCAATTATATTGGTTTCTATTAAGTAATTTTATTGAATATTTTTATTGTTTGTTAGTCGTTAGTGGTCGAGTGTCGATTTTTTTTTCTCTTTGCTTTTTCTTCTGTTTATATATGCTTCAAAAGTTTGGCAATTAAAATTATATTTATTTTTATTATAAGCTAATAATTATTATTACATCCTATACCATTCGTTTTTTTGTTACCTACGTGTTCCATTTCTTATCATTATTTGAATATGCATCAATTAACAAAGAAAAATAATAGTAATAGTAGTAGTGGTAATAATAACCTCAATTTTGGGGTGGATCATGATAACCAGAATTATAGCTTAGCATATAATTCAGTTCCATTTCATTATTCTCAAATGATTTCATATTTAAACGGGCGTGCTCCTTCATCAAAAAATCCTGGTCCTATTAATAATACTAATGACTATAATATACCTGAAAATGTTTATCCATATATAAATATGCCTATTCAACCTCAATTTGAAACTAATATGTTTCCTGTTTCATATAATTCAGTTCCATCATCACAATCTCAGCCCTTACAAGTGGCTTCTCCTGCTATCAATGGGATGATGACTCCGTTTGATGCAGTATATGGTGCCACTTTGTTGCCTTCTCATCTGTTAATGGGTTCACCCTTTGTTTCATCACCACATACACAGACTCCACAACGGTTTTCTCAACCTACCTTTAGTAGAAATAAGTCATCTAATGGATACCCTATCTACTCTAAGTTTAATTCAAATAATATCAATAATCATAATAGTGATAGTACTAATAATAATAAGGCATCTCAAGGATATTTGGACAAAAAGAAACATAGTAATGCTAATAATAATAGTTCAAACGAAAAAGTTCAATTTTCAAACGGAGATGTCGATAAAATGGAATCTTTATTTGACCAACCATTTCATATTTCCTATAAAGTATTACCTAAAGGTGACGATGCCTATAGAACAAGGTCGTTATTATTAGAAAATCTAGATAGGTCGGTCGATATTCATGAATTTATAACAAAATATGTTAATTCTTCTGATATTGAAAGTGTTTATTCTATTCAACAGGAGTCTAAGCAGAATATTTTATTAAATTTCATGTCGACTCAGATATGTCTCAATTTCTATAATAATGTACTTCAGAGGTTAAAAGAATTTAAATTGGGTTTAAAATCAGAAGATATGAACTTAAATTTTATTTTATTAAAATATTTGCAAGACACGTTATCTGATGAAGATTCATCAACTAATGATAAAAAACATATTGATATATCTATGTTTAAATTTGACTTTGTGATAGATAATGCCACTAGATCGATTCTCATAGAATTAAAGAATGACTATGATAGTAAAAAGGTTATTTCCTTACTAAAAGATTTAAAATTAGCTAAGGATAATAGTATAAATAAAAGGTATATCCTTGAATCTATACAATTATTCAATACTCCCAAAGCTAATAAAATTTTTAGTAAGAATTATGTTATACTGACATTTTTAAATGTGTATATGGCTATTGAAATATTCAACTATATAAAATACAAGAGTGATAAGATAAATATTGGGAAATGTTATTTTATTAATATTACTAGTCCCCTAATTACAAATAGGAATCTCAGTGGTACAGATTTAAGTAATCCAGAAAATATTAGTAGGATTAATAGTGTTACTAGTTTCAAAAATTTAGATAAGTTAAATACAGGGTCAGTAAGTTTGTTATCATCACAAACTTCTTTAAGTTTAGATCCTTCAGTTTCTGATATTACAGCATTATTGGAGAGAATTGAATTAGATACTAACTGTTTAACAATAACTGCTAACTCGTATTCTGAACCTCTGATTGAATCTTTCAAAGAACATGCACCAAATATTACAAGAGTATATTCACCAAAGTCATATTTACAAGGATCTAATTCCAACCTGCCAACTCCAATGCCTCTTGACAGAAATTTCCAAAACAATAGAACTGTTTTTAGTCCTATGAATACAAATGGTTTTACTCCAAATCATGGTATCTTAGTCCCACAGACGCCTATGGGTATATCTACTCCAACTTTCTACATGAAACAACCTCCATTTAAGTATTCTAATAATCTTCCACAACCTATAACGGATTCATTAGAAGATCAACTAAATACGTCAGCTAAAGTAGCATCAGCGATGGGGAGTGATGTTACAAATAGGACAATATATATTGGTAATATCAATCCACGGTCTAAACCTGAAGATATTTGTAATGTGGTTCGTGGTGGTATTTTAGAAAGTATTAAATTTATTGAATCTAAACATATTTGTTTTATAACATTTATTGAGCCATCTGCTGCAGTTCAATTTTATGCAAATACATTTATTGATCCTATAATACTGCATGGTAACACGTTGAAAATTGGATGGGGTAATTATTCCGGGCCATTATCTAAATCTATAGCATTGGCTGTTACTGTAGGAGCTAGTAGAAATGTTTATGTTAGTTTACCTGAAGTGGCTTTTAAAGATAAATATATTAATGATCCAGAGTATGAAATGTATCATGGAAAATATAGTCTACCTTCAGAAAAGCAGTTAAGAGAAGATTTTTCTTCTTACGGTAGCATTGAACAAATTAATTATCTAGGTGATAGTCATTGTTGTTGGGTTAATTTCATGAATATTACATCTGCTATTAAGTTGGTGGAAGATGCTACAAATAACTTTGAACAATTCTCTAAAAATTTTAATCATCGCTACGATGGACTGATTATTAATTATGGTAAAGATAGATGTGGTAATATGAATAAAAATCTAGCATTGAAAAATTCTAAACTTAATAAGAAGATGAAGAAAAATAATAAAGGTAAAAAATTGAATTACCTAGAAGAGAAAAGAAAAAATCAGGAAAGTATCAGAAAAACTTTCCCAGGGACAAATGACGTTTACTCTGGTATACTTAAAAGTGGAACGAATCAAAATGATAATGGTAAAAATATTGATTTACAGAAATTTATACCCTTGGATTCTTTGGGTATTACTATCGATACAAGTAATCATATTGATGAAACTATTAAAACAGAGGAAACATCACTCAATGGAGAATGTCAAGATACAAAAAGTAATGCAATAGGTGATGAAGATAACTTAGATAATTCGGATATTTCATCTGATATGGGAATAGTAGTGGATGGAAATCATCATTTAAATGGTAATAGTAATAAGTTAGAATCGAATACAGATTATGGAGATAGGATTGGTCTAGGCATAAGCAATAGATTTTCCAGTAATAATATTTCATCGTTATCGTCTATATCATCTCGGGAACAAACAGAAAACAATGGTGATGGTCAAAAATATAAGGATACTAATAAAAATAGAAAGAATGACAATACTACTAAACATGGAAGGACAATTCCTGGTTCTGATGTTATGGCTCAATACTTAGCACAACTACAACATTCCACCTTTATTTATGCAGCAAATGTTCTAGGTGCTTCAAGTGAACAGTCAGATTTATATAACGGTGGTGAATAAATGCGGTATTTGAATCTTAAATATTTGAATGAATGTTCATGTGATGATATTTATTTATAAATATATATATATCATTAGATGTATATAGAATGATATAGATTATAAGGACAGATTAATTGATAAACAGTACATGGCATGTCTTGAAATACGCTTTTTTCTGTATGCATAATGATACAAACATTTCTTAGTTTCCATGACAACTGTTCTCGATATAGATCTAAAAATATTACCTTTTTAGGAAATTTTCTGATTACTCAGCAAGCACGTTTTTTCTTTTGAATCTTTATTGTTCTCTTTATATATATGATTAAAGTATTATAATTCTAACATATAAAGAAAATATTTAAATGTGATATATATGTGTAAAAATAAAATTAAAATAATATCCTTCAGTATTCATGCATATAAAGAACATTTACAACTTCAATATTTAAAATGTCTAACAAATCAATAAAGGTAAAATGGATTTCTCACTTAATAGGAAGTGTGTATCTTTGAAAGAAGATGTTAAGAGTGAAGAAATGTCTTTTACTAGCTCTGATATAACATTCAAAGAGAATAACCAAAAGGAAACATGTGTGACTACATGGTCAAATCCCAATTTTGTTATCCAGGATGCTAATGATCACCAGAAGAACAATGTGAATGGGGGAAATTCGAAATGGCAGAGATCTGATTACTTCGATAGTACTTTTAAAGAATGTGTATTTGTTGGTTCTTGTATGATGAGTCAACTTTTGAGTCAAGCATGTACTCCACAAACCCTAGCTATAATGAATATTATTTCAAAATCCTTTGATAGTGATAGGAGCAACCAACCATGGTTAATGGCTTCCTTTCCATTAGTTGCAGGTTCTTTTATTTTAATCAGTGGTAGGATAGGTGATATATATGGATTAAAATGGTCGATGGTTAGTGGTAATTTATTCTTTGTCTTGTGGTCTATTTTAAGTGGTGTATCAAAGTACACTAGAAGTGATACTTTTTTTATTGTAAGTAGAGCTTTCCAAGGTTTAGGTGTTGCATTTATTTTACCAAATGTTATGGGTTGTGTTGGAAATATTTATATACCAGAGACCCATAGAAAAAATATTGTTATTGCCCTGATTGCAGGGTGTGCCCCTATAGGTGCCTTTTTAGGTGCTATATTTTCAGGGTTAATAGGTACAATGGATAAAAATCAATGGCCATGGTCCTTTTATGCCATGGCAATTGCATCAGCTATAAATTTGATTTCGGCAATTTATAGTACTCCTAAAAATATTCCAACTAATATTCATGGCTTTTCGATGGATTGGGTTGGTTCAGGTTTAGCCATAGTTGGTTTAATATTATTTAATTTTGTTTGGAATCAGGGGCCTATTGTTGGATGGAATTGTAGTTATATTATTGTGTTATTAATTATATCGGTGATTGTACTGATATTTTTCTTCGTTTATGAAGTAAAATATATACCATCTCCTTTATTGCCTAGAGAAGTGACTAAAAATAGGCACATGATTATGGTTTTGATAGCCTTATTTACTGGATGGGGATCATATGGTATATTCAGTTATTATTATTTTTCCTTTTTACTTAATCTTAGGCATTATTCTGCTTTGTATGCAGGAACAACTTATTTCATGTTTGCTATTTGGGGTTGTATTGCCTCTATTGTGGTTGGTTTCTTTATTAAAAAAGTTACCGCTGCTATTATTTTGTTCATCTCAATGATTGCATTTGTGATAGGATGTATTATGCTAAGTGTGACTCCAGTGGATCAAAGCTATTTCCGTATGAATCTTGGAACTATGATTATTTTGAGCTTTGGACTCGATATGTCATTTCCTGCCGCCACCATTATTTTGAGTGATAATTTACCCATGCAATATCAAGGTATGGCTGGTTCATTAGCAAACACTATGGTTAATTATTCAATGTCTTTGTGTCTTGGTATGGGTACAACGGTAGAGAGCCAGATCAATAAAGATGGATCTAGGTTGTTAAAAGGTTATCGTGCAGCTGAATATTTATCAGTAGGCCTCTCTGGTTTAGGTTGTGTGATTTCAACCATTTATCTATGTGAAAGGATGTGGGCTCAAAGAAAAAATCGACTTAAAGCCACGAAAATTATAAATATTTCTTAAACCTGTGGGTATTCAACTTGTTTTCTTTTTTTATATATTCCGTGATAGATTATTAGGTATGTATGGTTAAATTTCAGTAGTTATAACATTGTTTAATGTTAATCTTAACGATATTACTTTTCTTCATTTTTTTTCATATGAAAATATGCTGGTTTATATAGTCTTTACAGGATAATATTTTACAATCTCTATAATTTACCATTTGTTAGTTTTTAAGGAACGAATCTTTTTTTGAAGCATTCCTTATCTCTAATAAATCATAGATATTTATCTATTTTGAGGTCTGTTTGAAAATATTTATAAATACATAGAGGTCAATGGGTTTGTATTTTAATTTTTTTTATTAGGTCTTTCTCTATTTGCAATTTCTCTAAGATCGTCATCACTTGGTTCATAGATATGCCATATTGTGTAATGTGGTAAGCCACCAACTTTATACCCCATTTTCTTTGCCATTTTACCAAAAGCTTCTGTTTCAGCGTGATTTTCAAATGTGAATGCAGGGAAATGAATGCCATTTCTGAATAATTTTGCTCTGGCAAGAATTGAAACACCACCCACGCCATCTAGATCAACAACCTGGTTTGGATCACCGGTAGCCTCACGAATATATGCTAAATGTACTCTCCATGTTGGATATTCTGCATAACCTTCAACAATGACATCATCTTCATCCAAAGTTTTCGCTAATTTTAATGCTTCGTCTGATTCCATCCAAGAATTCAGATCATAGGGTTGTTGACCATCTAGAAAGCCAGGTAATGGTCGCCAGACATTTGGAACCATGATATCATAATTTTTATTCATCAAATCTTGTATGATTGAACCAGGACAAAATTCTACGTCTGCATCTCTCCAATAAACCCACGCATGATATGGTTTTAAAGCATTTGCCATTAACCAATTTCTAGCACGACCCATCAATTTTCTTCTGATACCTTGAACTTTAACTGCATGTCTATCACTAAAACCTTGACCAATAACTTGACCAAAATTTTTTTCATAGATTTGAACTGATCTGAATGGTTTGTCATAATTATCATGATATGGTGGTAAAAATGCTTTTTTAACTTTTTCCAAATATTCTTGTGTCATATATTTTAAATAAAGTTTCTTGTTTGTGTTTGAATTAATGTAATTTTGGACAATATCAATATCTTTTAACACATCACTTAGAGTTCCATTCTGCAAATGTTGCACATATGTCTTTAAAGCTTGCAAAGTGTTATCGCCTTCAGAACAATCACTAACTAAGAATGCCAAATCAATTAATTCGTGTGGATATGTTATGTTCATTAAATTTCTAAACATTAAAGGTAAGACTTCTTCAGCATCTCTTAAAGGTACGCATAGTAAGATATGATCTCTTTGCTCTTCTCCGTTTGGATTCCCATTAAATTTGGATAGATCATATAACTCAATTGTTGAGTCGTATAATTGGCTTAATTCAAAATCATAAACTTTTTTATTTTCTAGATTATCAATTCTATCGGAACCAAATTGGGATAATAAATAATTTGGTATACCTTGATCAAATTTACTGATTATATTATGATCTATAGTTTCGAAATCATAATCATAGTATTCCTTTTCAGTTAAAATTGTTGTTTTATAATTTGTTTTTGTATTGTCTTCTTTCTTTTGCAAATTGGCAATATACTGATGTATGTCATAAGGGGTATTCAAATATAAACACAATGGTACGATAATATACTTGAACAAGATAAAGCTGACTCCAATTAATCCAATTAATGACAATAGAGTTTTTTTACTATTTAGTTTATTAATATTGAAGGGAACTAAAAGTTTCTTTCTTGGTTTTAATTTTTTTGAAGTTCCCAATTGGTTAGAATTGTCATCTGATTTCTTAGTATCATTATAAGTTGGTAAATGATGGTCTGTTTTGCCTTTCCTCCAATTCAAAAACGCCATTTCGGTGATCGTTGTCCTTGTCACCTTCTTTCTTCTATGTTATTTTACTTTACCTGGTAAATACAGATAAACTAGTTAGATAAGTCAAATCAATCGAATAAGACAGTTATATTGTAATTAAATAAACAGAACACTTGTAGTCTAAACTTGAAGTAAAAATGGATAAAAATACTGATTTTTCCAAAATAATTGTTATGTTATACCTGACTTATTATTTTTTTTTGTATTATATTATTATTCTAGTTTTATTTTGCAATTGAAATCATCTTATTTAAATTTTTTAATCTTTTCAGACTTTTTTTTTTTCAATCTTTTTCAAATATTTTTGAAGGCCGAAAAGAAAAAGTTGAAAAGACCAAAAGAATGAAGTCGGCTGATATTTTGGTTTTGACACAGGAAAGTGTTTCCCAAAAAGGAAATTGTTTCAGAAAGCACACCTTTTGCGCTTTACAAAATACTTTTCTCCTTTTCCGGAAACCTTAGTATATTAAATACATAAGTTTATTGAATAATTATAACTAGTGTGGTTTTGTTTGAATTAACAAATTACCATGAGATTGAGCATCTGGTTTTATGATAGCCTGACAAAGTTTATTAGGTTGTCTTCAGATTTCCTATGTTACTGGGAGAGAAGTAGGAAAAAGCGGGCTTAGGTATTGGTTATTCTTCTATATTACTTCTATATCCTCTAGACTATTTACATAGCTTTTATAATTTTCCACATAGTCAAGCCACCATCGAATGGTTTTTGAAATAACCTTTTATTAATATTATTACAAAAATTGTGATTATATAAATGCATGTACTTTTTTTTTCTTTTTTCATTATGCTTACAAAGCCAAAAAAAAAAAAAAAAAAAAATCATTTTGTTGTTATGGAATTAGGTCTATGATAATTATTCAAAAAATGCTTAATCTATATATTTAGATCCTTGTTACTTGCACACTGTATGTCTGTATTGTCTCCTTTATGCTTAACTTTGCATTATTTTGTAGTAATTTTCAATTTGAACTATGTAGTCGAGGAACTAGATATATTCATATATTTATTCATTCATTGACTTTAGATGTTTCTTTATTATTTAAATCGGTTTCAGTAGGGCTTTTTATTAGTTCTGGTGGTTCAGTTAACGTATGTTCAATAGATATGCTTCCAGATGATGCTGTTGTTGTATGGTTTTTGTTTATTTCCTTATCATGATTAATTGTAGGAGTAGAGTCAGAAGTAGGATCCGGGAGGGAATTATTAGTAATTTGATCGTTTTGTGTATTAGAGGTATTGAGAGTCTTTTCATTAATTATAGTGTTGGTTGTGTTTGTGCCATGGGTATTAGGAATACTCTCATCATTATCATCACTACTTTCTAACCCGCCAAATAAACCTAATTCATCGTCGTCTTCATCACCATTTGCATTTGTTGCAGAACCGCCCACTAATATTTCAGTGGGTATAATAGATGATTTCAAATGTACATTGGGTATTTTTAGATCTGGTGTAACACTTTTAACTTTTTCTAATACTTTTGAATTGGCTAATTGCTGGTTTTTCAATAAAGCTAAAGTTTTTAATTCATTTTCTTTTCTCTCTCTTTCAATGATATGTTCTCTGATTTGGCTTATTCTTTTATCTCTTTCTTTAATTGCTTTTTTCATAACGATTTTTTTCTTAGCTCTTAATGATCTTTGACTCATTATGAATTTGTTTAAATCATCTTCTAAAATTCCATTTATTTTTTTATTATCGAAACTTGTCTTAATTCTAAATTCATTCAATGAATCGTTTTCACTTAATTGATCATCCTTACTTGTATTACTTGATATATCGTGTTGTTTTAATTCATGGATTAGATTAAAAATTGGATTCTTTGTGTTCATAATGCTATTTAGTTCGAAATTTTCCACTCTTTTCTTTTCTAAGTTGATCCTAATCTGTGAATATTTAGCAATATCAAAAGATTTTCTATTGTAATAAAAATTAAAATCATGGTTAATATATGATTTAGTATTAGACTGTACGGATCCAAATAATGCTAACATTTCATCGTCTATTTGTTCGTGCTGTTGTTGTTGTTTTTCTTCTTCTTCTTCTTCTTCTTTTTCTTTGCTATTGTCATTTGAGTCATTAACAATGGTAGGAGTGGTATCTTCATTTAAAGAGTAATAATCTAAATCATTTTGGTAATTTTTAATTGAGGTTAAATAATGTAATAAAGTCAGTTCGCCAATTTTACTTTCATTAAAGAGATTTTTTTTAATAATTCTTTCATCTGTTACAAAGTTGGTGAATTGTGGAGTGAATTTATAGGTATGGTCAGGTGGTAATTCAGGTAAATTAATATTACAATTAAAGATTGGGTTGGTAAATGTGTTATTCGCATCTTTATTTGAGGTAGAGGTGGATGTTGTATCTGTATCATTTGGAATCAAATTGTTTAAATTTAAATGTTTATTTATTAATATTTGATCTCTTAAGAGGTTATCGATATTAGTAGAGGTAGATTCAGGGACAGTAGAATGTGAGGGAGGGTGTAAGATAAAATCCACAATGTTGGTTGTATTACTGTTGATATTACCATAACCAGAGTTTAGTCTTTCATCTTTTAAGAAGTTATTTAATTGGATATTTTTGTAAAGGTCATAAGGATGGATATTATAGCCATTAAGCCAAATATTTAAATCATCATTCGATACAAGCAATCTCCTTTGTAATAGCATAATCCTATTTAAATTTTTAATTAAGTCATTTAATTGAAATTTAATCAAATCAATCAATTGGAGAAAGGCAATCTTTGAGAACTTTACATTAGAATCTCTTAATAATAATTTCAAATGTAATGCAATAGATTTAACTAATAAATTGTTTATATTTGAATCAATAGGTGAATTTGCATTTGGATCAGGCTTTTGGATTTCATTAATTGAAGGTGAACCCATTATAGTAAAAAAAGTAGAGAGGGTGGGTGAGAGAGAGAGAGAGGGAAGAAAAAAAAAACGAAAGAAAAATGGGAAATGGTTCGGAGAGAGGGTATATCTATGTCGCAGTCTTGTGCACATATATATATATATATATTATAAATAGGGTATCCAAGAAGATAACTGTAAGTGGTAGTGACAGATGTGATATATGTTACGGTTCTTTTCTCTCTTTCTCCGTTCTTCTCTATATTTTATTTTTTTTTTTTTTTATCTTCAGTTTCTCACTCTTTCTTTTTTTTCTTTGCAAAAAATAATTTGTGATGATTAAAGAGAAAAAGGGACTAGAAAAGAAAAAAAGAGCAGGAAAAGAGTCGAACACGGGAAAAACACATTCGAGAACACCAAGAGATATTTTGTAACAGTTACCATAAGAGAGAGAATAGAAGAAAGCCATCCAATCATAGAAAGGAGGTATCATTATAAGACTTTTTAATCCATGTAGATCATAACATGTGAGATAATGTATATTGTATTCCAGCACCATCCATTCTGATACTATTACATTTTACAAGCAGTGATATGATCATTGTTGGATGTATGGGTGTGCAGTGGGCTAACAAGATGTGTATTGTTATCGTAAAACAATACAAAACTTTTTAAATTTTTTTTTTATTTTTTTTTTTTATTATTTTTTTTTTTTGTTTGGTTCTTCTATTCCAGAAGCCTAAAATAAAAGTAAGTTCATGAGAAATACAGACAAACTAACTATATTTGCAATAATTTGCAAGTGAACTAAAACCCATTCTAGTTGGATATAAAGTTGTACTAATAATATTTTGGTAGTGTTTTTTTTTGTTTTGTTTTATTATATTTTCACATCTTGTCTTTTTTCGCTAGCAAGACATCTAAATAAAAGGTTGATTATATTAATAAGGTATTGCTAAGAAATATTATCTACGTTATTTTCACAGACTTCATATACTCAATTGTATATTTATCTATATAAATCACAGTTCTAGTAATGGCAAAGACATTAGCTCAAGGTAGGAAACCAGGTAGTGGCAGGAAACCAGGTAAAGCTAAAACGTTAGCTCAAGGTCGGAAACCAGGTAGTGGTAGGAAAAAAAGACAACAACAGCAGCAGCAACAGAATAATATTATCAATACAATTGACCATGCAGATAACAATAATAATAATATACTAACTCTGTCTCAAAATCAGTTAAATGTTAATTCAATAAGTTTGCAATCTAATGAACTTCCGACAAATAATGATAATCATAATAATAAAACTGACGATAGTGGTATCAATAATAATCTACATGAAAAACTTGATTCAAATGCAAATAATCTATCCACTAGAGATATGGTTGCAGCAGACGCTTTGAGAGAGCTGACTCAAAGCCCATTAAGTTTAACATCCAGTAATGCCAATAATCAAAGCAGCCATAATAATAATAATAATCATATCAGCAGTACTATGTCAAATCCTGCAATAATTGATAATTTAATGTTACCACCATTAAATGAAATAATAAGCTATACAGATTCCATGAATCCAACAGATGCACATGGTCATCATGACAATGGTAATTCAACACTACAATATATAAACTCTAATGATTCGATAGCATCTCCTTTGAATCATTCTGAAGTCAGTACCATATCTTTCACAAATAAACTTAATAACAATAATGGTGATAATAATTCAAGTCACACGTCTGCTTCTGTTTCAGCTCAAAAAAATTCTGTATAAAAAAACATATAATTCACTGAAAAAGTGTTAACCATCGTTGCCTCTTATATATGTTATCATGTTCTTTTCTCTTATTTCTTTGTTTTTTTTTTTTTAAGAATAGAAGACAATAGAATAGAAAATATGTATGAAAGCAAGAAGAATCAAGACAGATTCCATATATATATATATATATAAATACATGTGTATATATGTAGATAGATAGATACATATTATTATCAATAATATGATTGCATAAATTTCTATGACAAGATAATGCTATATATATGTTCTTTGATATACCAAGTTATAAAGTCTATACTCTGTTGGTCCTAAATCTTATTAGTTTATCATTTAGGTTACAGAGTTTATTTTTTTATTGTTAATACAAACGTTATTCTTTTGTTTATTTATCTAAGGTATCCTTTTCATAGTACCTGAAATTTTCATCTTTTGTTTAAAAGTTTTCGCTTTCCAAAATTTTTCCTTTGAACCCTCCGTAAGCCAAATAACTGAAATATAAATATATAAGGAATCATCTTGAATAATATAAAAGGTAATCATAACAAAATGTGTAGACATTGTTGAAAAAAACTTTATTTTACTGCAAACTAACTGTCAGTTCATAAACTTCTATTTGTGCACTCATATAAAAGTTATATATATTTTAAAAGACCAGAGAATTTATGTAACCAATATATATATATGTATATATGCATACCCTTGTGTATACATTGAATAAACAACTAAAATGTTTCTAATAATTTATATAAAGTACACTCATAATCACCATCTTCTACTTTTTTTTTGTTATATTATTGGATTTCATTACTCATTTGATATTGTTTTGCACAAATATCACGTTTATATTTTATTATTAACAATCATATTGAAAGTAAAACAACAGAAACAAGACTGTTTATTCGAACTTATTAGATAGTGTGTCGTATGTAAACCATTTGATCCTTATTAGAATATTCACAAACCAAAATTGGTATACATTTTTTTACTTTTAAATATTCTATTAACAGCTTCCTCATTATAAAGTGGCTGCATACCTCTTCACAGAATTTTGAATATTAGAAACAATAAAAGTAAGAAATAATATTAGGGTTCCCTCTTTTTTTCCCCTCGATGTTTTTTTTATTTTATGGAATGAACAAAACAAGAATTATGGTTTCTTTCCTAACACACTTTTTTTTTCTTAGATTTTAGCAAAAATCTCTATAAACCCTAATCACTTTTTAAAAAAATATGACAAAAGAAAAAAAGAAAAAAAATAAAACCCTAGAAAAAAGATTCACTATAAATGAAAGACTCAAACACTTCAAGAAATAACAGAAAAACTGAAAATAAAACATTTACATATCATAGTATCTCAAAACCATCTCTCTAACACAACATATACATACATATATATGAATACATGTATTTTATCTCAGATAATCCCTTGGATATCACATTATCAAACCTTGGCACCACGACTGAAATATACTGTGTACGTCAATATTAACACACTTATACATTTCTTTTTACTTTAATGGATTCATTAGAAGCAAGATTAAGATTTATTAGCATTTTGAAAAACCTTCAAAAGACTTTAAATTTGATAGATATTAATGATATAACAACCAATATCAATGAACCTCCTCCACAAACACCACAGCTACCAACAGCAAGTAACACTACACTACCTACAAAAACAAATGCTAATAATAATATCAATAGATCCATACCAGATAATAAGAACATTAACGACAATAGCAACAATAATATCAGTTCATCTGTAAATAATGAAGCACTGACAATTTCAACATCAACTACACCATCTTCTTCTTCGTTATCATTACAATCACAAACATTCAATTTATCACATACAACTACAGACAATAAAAATATAAATCCAATTGAATTCTACTTGCAAAATTATAAAGACCATTATGAAGATTTTCATCAATGCTTAATTGACACCATGAAGAAATTTAATGTTTTGGACAGACTACCAATAACTATATACTATTTCAAATTAATCTATTTGTTGTATTATGATATTGATAATGAGTTAAGTCGTACCATTTTAACCCAATTCATGATCCCATCAATAATGGATGTTTTAGATTTAATATTACCTGAAAGTGATATAATATCATTGACAAATCTACCATTATGTGAAGATATGATCAATAAACTTCTAACTAGCCCCAACATTACCAAGATTATAAATAACAATTTAAAAAATCAATTATTTGTCTTCTTACAAAAACGCTCTAGTTTCAAGCAAAGTGTATTGGATGGATACAGTACCAAGCAAGTTATTACTATTAAAAGTGGACAAACTGTAGAGATTCCAACGATTTTAAATAGAATGGAGATAGATAGAGATAGACATAAAAGATCAAAGGAGAGTAACTGGAAGATTAATCGAACTCCAATATCTTCGACAGGCCCATCTGCTTCAACAGGATCCTCCATAGTCCAAACAATCTTAGATCCAAATGAATTTAAAAGGCAGTGGGAAACAATAAGTCCCTTAACCAGTACCGATATTCAAGATACGAAAATCTTAAATGAGATCTGCAAGGAATCGTATCTTTTACAATAACGAGTGATTAACCATTCACTGCCATCCCTTTACTATTCTTTAGTCTCGTCTAATTTAGATAAAAATCTTTTTACATATATAATTATCGCACTAACGTTATCTAACATCGTCGCATTTATAATTCCGTCATTTGCCCGAGGAATTTTTTTTTTGTCTATTTTTGGTTCGAATTTTTGTAAAGATCTCTCGTGAAAAAAAAAAGGAAAAGCATCATCTCTTTCTAGAAATGTGATAAGATAATGAATATATAAATCTATGGATGGGTGACAATAAAAATGTGTCAAGTAAGACAAAGGTAGGCTGTAATCGATTGATATACCTGAGGATACCTATCAACGAGGTTTGCATTGGAAAGTTTTATATTTTCTGAATTTTATATTCTTTATATTCTTTTCAGTCTAGTCCGTCAGTTGTGATAATACATACATACCTCACTACATATACATATCTATATCTATTCCCTTTGTATCTACTTTTAAAACTTTAATGCGGATAAGAAAAATTTAAAGTAGTTAGAATAGAATAGCTCACTAATTTGGATATATATAAAATATGAGAGACAATGACACCGGTTCCCTACAATCAAATCTACCAAATAATACTAACAACATCCACAATATTAACAATAATAGTGCAAGTATACAGTATGCAACTACAAACCTTCGTAGACCCAAGTTAGTTGCATCAAGAACCGAAACTAGTATTCCACATCAAAGAGCTTCAAAATCATTACTAGCCGCATCAAGTAAACTATTAAGACCTATAAAAACTGGGAATAACCATAGTAATAACCATGACGCTATTACCAACAATATTAAAGAGATCAAAGCTGCGTCAACTAGTAATTTAATGAAATTAGGTAGATCTGAATTAACTAGAGGGTTCAGAGACATAGCTGTTCCAATTGAAGATCCAATAGATTTTAATCCTAACTTATTTAATATATCAAATAATTCTTCATCAAATAGCTTCACAAATCAAAACCACAGTACCAATAGTAGTTATATTAATATACTGGTCAATCCCAATTCTGTTAACACATATACATATGGAAGTAACATAGATCTTTCAATGAAACATAATAGTGATATTTCAGATAATGGAAATGATACGTTTGTTAATAATAACTGTCAAGACAGCAATAATAATTTCAGTAGTATTAAAAATAACGATTTTAATCAAGTGAATCGATCAACTGCGTATGTTGATGCAGAATCTTTACTTGTTGATGTATTACCATCCTTCGAAATGTATAATGCATTACATAGACATATACCACAGGGAAATGTTGATCCTGATAGACATGATTTTCCACCAACTTATCATGAACAAGAGGAAAATGTACAACCAAATCATCTACATATCGGTGCAGAAACACCATTCACTGATAATTTACAATCTTTGAATACAGTACGATACACAATTTCCAATGATTCACCATTTCAAGATGATTTGAACGATTCTGATAACATAAATATAGAAAAACTGTATTCTTTACCTAAACTGACCACATCCCCAATTGATATCGATATTAGAATTACCAAAAATGCAGCAAAACCACATACTGCCAAATATGAGGAACAGTCAATGTTAAAAGAGTACACGAATGGTGATATTATACACGGATATTGCATTATTAGCAACCATTCCTCACATAAAATCAAATACGAAATGTTTTATGTTACTTTAGAAGGGTACATATCGTTAATTGATAGAAATGAGGGGAAACGTACTGTTAAAAGATTTTTAAGAATGGTAGATCTAAGTGCATCTTGGTCATACACAGATATTGATGTCAGTTCAGGTATCAATTATACTCCAGGTGAACGGGATTTATATGATGGGACACATATTGGTTTAACTAACAATAGAACTTTAGAACCACATACAAAATATAAAAAATTTTTTATGTTTAAATTACCACAACAGTTATTAGATGTCACTTGTAAACATGAACACTATTCACACTGTTTACTACCACCAAGCTTTGGTATTGATAAATTTAAAAATCATTTCAAATATTCTGGTATTAAAATAAATAGTGTGTTAGGTTGCGGTCACATGGGGATTAAGGGATCTCCAATTTTGACCAACGATCTTTCTAATGATGATATGTCTATTAATTACACAATTGATGCAAGAATAGTTGGTAAGGATATGAAGACTCAAAAATTGAATTTATTGAAGGAAAAAGAATTCAATTTAAGAATAATACCATTTGGATTTACAGCAACGTATGCATCAAATAACAATGATAATTCTGATAATATGAGAATCCAGAGACAATTAAAGGATTTACAAAAATTGATTGAGGAAAGATTATCTGCGTTGGAAAAAATTTTCAAAAAGTTAGGATTGAATGAACCCATCACAAATTCTGATGTCCATGGAACTGATGTAAGTGGTACTTTTGACATGAATACAGAATTAGATTCACAAGAAATTTTAAGAAGAAAGTTAGATCAACTTCATGTAAATAATCGACTTGACGATAACAACTATGATCTTTCGAGGATTAAAAATATGTCACCAAAGGCAAACACTGTAGAAGCAGAAATAAGTTACAGATATAAGAGTAGAAATGGGAAACATTTGTCTACTGTAAAACCATCAATATCTCCTAAAAATTCATCCAACTCCATATCTACTTTATCAAAATCTAAATCCAAGAGTAGGACAAGCACACCTCATATTGCTAATGGATTCTTTTCTACCTTATTAGGGTCCTCTTCCACTTCCAGCTCATTGAGTTCTTCATACACACCTTCCACATCATCATTGTCTTTAGGTTTATCAACATCGACAAAAAAATCGTCCATTGATATTCAACGTTCCAAAGGAAAAAATTACCAATCTAACACCAGTAATAATAATGATAACAACAACAACGACAATAGATTAATGGTACATGATACGGTGACAAATGAACACTCTAAACATTCTAAATCGGCAAACGATACTATAATATTATCTACTAAGGATAAATTTTCTTCCTCAACTAAGCAGAAACATATTATATCTACCAATCATTCAAAGGAAAATGCAGGGCTGATAGTGTTGACTGCCAGCATCCCTAAACAGGCGTTGCCATATACGGCACCATCATTATTAAGGAAGTCTAATAAATTTGAATTGAAAAATAAACATGATCAAGAGAATTGGATCAGACTAATGGAGCTTGTGCTGGAGGAGGAAAAGACACCGTTAAAGGAAATACCGATCAAATTAACGTGCATATTATCAAACAACAGTTTACCACATGAGCCACCAAGGGTACAGTCAATTTCTACTCAACTGATTGTAATAACTGGGGTTTCGCATAATTCGATATCTATTAAATTAAACACTAAAATTTTAATGAATAAAGAAAAATGTGATGATATTAAAGCACTTTTTAAGAGCTATAGAGACAAGATAATCAAATACAAGAGTAAATTTAATGAAAACGTTGATAAATTAAATGAATTATTTAATATTGGTAGAACTGTCACGACAGCAAGAGAATTACAGTTTAAAGATTTCATCAGCCCCTTAATGTTATCAGATATCGATAGTATAATCAACCTTGAGATTCAAAGGGTGGAAATCAATGATATTTTCAAAAAACAAATAATTGATCCAAATAATCCTGAATTAGAATGGAGAACTAAAGAAGATAGTAGTAATACAGAATTTGAATCTATTCTTAAAGTTAATTTAGATTTCAATCAAAATGTCAGTGAAACGATCATTCCAAATTTCGAGACATGCCTATGTTGCAGGTTTTATTGTATTAGGGTTCATGTCAAATTTGATAATCATATTGGAGCCACGCATATTGATATCCCAGTTAATGTAAAAAAATTTAATCTTTAGAATTTTAAAAAAGAACGGAGAGACAGACAGAACTATTTAATATTTAACATTTGATTTTTTAATTAGTTAACTATACAAGAAAGAATAAAGAAAAAGAATGAAACTGTATATACATATGTAGAAGAAGAATAAATAGAATAAAATTGGAGTATATTTCTTGCACATCCCCTGTTTTTTTATCCCTATTGCGCAACTATTTCATGCTTTGATACCCCAATGAATAGCACAAATACCGAAAGATAAACTTTCATAACCAACAGATTGGAATCCAGCCTTTTCAATCATTGATTTAAATTCTTCTTGATTAGGAAACCTTTCAATAGATTCCACTAGATATTGATAAGAATCATAATCATTGGCTACAATGGACCCAAAGACTGGCAACATTTTGGCCCATTGTTGATACACAAGATCGACCAGCTGATTCTCGATCTGGGAGAACTCTAAGCAATAAAAAATTCCGCCTGGTTTCAAGACTCTATAAGCTGTATTCAGACCTGCTTGAATATCAGTGAAGTTTCTTATACCAAAGGAGACGGTGTATATATCTTTTGAGTTGTCTTCAATTTTATCTAAAATTTCTGCATTTTGGATCAAATACCTGACTCTTGGATCCTTGTAGTACCTACCCATATTCAAAGCTCTCTTCTCACCTTCCTTTAACATCTCACGATTGATGTCGACAACGTCCATAGTGGAGACGGTGTCACCATGTTTTGATTTAGCATAGTCCAGGATACCGAATGCGATATCACCAGACCCACCGGCAACATCGATAAAATTCAATGGTTCCAAAGAGTTTGGTCTTTTACCAGGATCCAGTTTGTTGATGAAATGGTCCTTCCATAATCTATGGATCCCTAAAGACATAACATCGTTCATCAAATCGTATTTGGATGCCACTGAAGAGAAAACGTTGCCGACCAGTTTACTTTTCATTTCTGTCGGAACGACTTTGGAACCAAAATGGGTTGTATCATTATTAAGGGAGGTAGATTTATTTACATTGTTCAATAATTTGGATGTATTTGTTAATGTCCTGTAAAGGGTTCTTGCGGTAGTTGGAGACTTAATCATTTTTTTGTTACTTGATATATACTTAATGTTACTACTATAAATACTAATACTACTAATAGTCAAAAGAAAATACTATACACACACGCACACAAGCACACACATATATATATATGTATGTATGTATAATTAAGTTATTATATTTGCAAATTCTTCTGTCTTAGTAGATAGCATTACTAAATTTTCAGATAGTCCTTTTATTTATTTTCACCATAATAAAAACAAAAACAAAAACGAAAACAATAAGAATAAGAATAAGAATAAGAATAAGAATAAGAATAAGAATAAGAATAAGAATAAGAATAAGAATAAGAATAAGAATAAGAATAAGAATAAGAATAAGAATAAGAATAAGAATAAGACAATCCCTCCATCTCTTGAGAAACAATCAAACAACCTCTTAAACAACACACACACACAAATATATATATATATATATATATATATATATATGAATGTGTATGTACGTGTATCCTACTATGACTGTTTCTAACGATATGAACTGAGATCATCAACAATATATAACAGGACACAATTCAAACCTAAATAAAACATCATTTTCCTTTTTCTTTCTTTCTTTATAAGTTATGAATATCTAACCACATAACCTTGTAATCAGAATCATGATGTATCGTAACTTTTGTGGTCAAAAGATTGGAAACGAAAGAAACTGATACCTGTCTGACCTGATTTCTCTTGTAAGTAACAATAATGATAACACTGATGTATATTGAATCGGCGGAAACTGCCATATAACGTTGCGGAATGTACGGAATGTACGGCATCACAGCGGTTTTTTATTTCTTTTTTTGTTTCTTTTTCTTTTCTTTTCTTTTTTTTCCAGTGGAGCGGCAGAGATCGCCAAAAACAACAAAAAAAATGGCAAACTTTCGTGATAGTTGAAAAACCCATTCTTCTCCATTATCCCCCCAGTATATCCAGGACAAAGTTTCCTGTATGGAGTGAAAAGTAATAAAAACTCGAGCAGCTTAAAGACACCACGAAAGCATACATCCATATACACACATTATATTCGAACAGATGTATGTGTAGGAAGATCCACTGGTGATTTGATTTATACTTCTAGGAAACCAAGTCGAACAAACTAAACAAACCAAGCATTACTTCACACATACACACATATACACATTTTCTTTCTTCTCTTCTCTTTCCTTTTCTCTTCTTTTGTTATAGATTATAGAATATTCCATTCCTTTTTTCCTTTTATATTTATCATATTATAGACTTATATACATATTCAGTTCTGTCCACATCCATTTTCTCCCATTTTATCTTCTATCTTTTCTCATTATTATTATTATTATTTTTTAGTTACATTCCATTCAAGAAACATTCCTACACACACATACACACAGATATATATATATATATGATTCAACTATGTCAAGCCAATTATTAAGAAACAGAAATAGTGAACCAATTAAAAGATCAATCATATCAGATATCAAAGATAAAAGAAAATCAGATGTCTTAATAGCTGCAAAATCTTTAGATCACGAGGTCCAAAATGTTAAAAATTTGAAAAGATTGTCTATTGGATCAATGGATCTTTTAATTGATCCAGAATTAGAATTCACTGTCAATAACAATAAATATGATATTAATAATGATGCTATCATCACTACAACAACTACTACAACTGCTACAACTGCCACTACCATTACTGCTAATTGTTCAGAGTTTGAAAGTGATGAAGATAATAGTATTGAGATCACCAGAACTGAATATCTTCATCATGATAATTCATCTTCATCTTTAGTGTTGAGCAATAATTTCACCAATAGTGATAACCATTCCATATCGGTCGATTCAGATAAAAATCTCAATAGTCAATCAGCAAAAGATAATAAAATTATATCTAATAGAAGATTGAGTGGAGTCGGATCCTTGAAAAGAGGCTCAAACAATATTTATAGAAACACAAGGAAACCTTCGTCTCAATTCCAAACACAAGACAATGATCTCACTGCCACCAACAACAATAAAGAATCTTCTGCTTCAATTGCCACTGCAAACAAACACATCAAGAACAATTTGTTATGGGTTCCCGCTAGTCAACATCCACATGTTAAACCACAAAATTATTTAGAATTGGTTCAAGATACTTTGCAAAATATTAGTTTGGATTCTGATATCATGCAAACAGCCGACTCGCTGGAGAATTCAGAAAATGTTAAGGATGATGATAAACAAGTACATCAAGGTACATTGGATGCAGATATAAATAAATCTCTAAGAAGACACAGTTCTATAGTTAAGAGACCCTCAATACTAAGAAGATCTTACAATGGTTACGAAAATGATAATAAAGAAGATGTATCGACTTCCAACAATAATAATAATGATAACAATGATAACAATAATAATGCTGATAATAATAATATAAATCACAATACAAACAAAAACTCAACCATAAATTTTGAAGGTAAAAGATCTGTCTCATTGAAAGATATAACTGAAGAATTGACTAGGATTTCATACAGTGTAGGATTAACTAATAATGATGCAATCACACTGGCCAGGACCCTAAGCATGACAGGATCATACACAAATCCTGATCTATCCGATAACTCAGATAGCCTTCAAGATCTTCACAGTAGCCTATCAGGCACAGATAATGAAAACGAATTCGCCTCAAATATGTTAATGAAAAATGGTATCACAATCCCAAGCAGATCTTCCTTAAGAAGAAGTAAATTCAATACTTATAAAATAAAAGGAGCAACTCCCTCAGGTATAACCGATAAATCATCTGCTTTGAAATATAGCTTATCAGATGAACTATTAGATAGGAGAAAACAATTGCCATTTTTATATTCAAACAAAAAAAGTAACACTAATTATACCCATAACAACAATAACAACAACACTAACCGTAGTATAAGTGAACATCACCAATACTCTAATAGTACAGAATCTCCAGGTTCAATAAGTGATCTATATGATCATTATAGACATTCTAGCGGTGATTGGGATGTATCTGATACCACATCTCAATTACATGATGGGGAATCTCATGAATCACATACTTCTCAAGATACTAGTCTCAACTCACAAGAAACATCAAACGATAGCGTATTATATAGACCTTCCCAGGGACAACAATTTATATCTGAAAGATTTACTGATAATACAAAGGAACAAATAGAAAATGAGAGACCGTGGTCATGGATCGATACAGAATCTAGCTCGGATAATCTACAAAATTTTACTGAAGATAGAGAATCGATAGAAATAGAGGGTGACAAGCTAGACAATGATGATCATCCTGATTTTATTAATTTGATGGTTGTCACCAAAAATAAATCTTCTGAAAAGATTAATCATTCAAAAAATCGCCATTTACCAATATTTAACTTAAATTTATACTCTGAAAGAAAAGAGGAAACCACTAATACAAAATCGAATGATAAAACAAACACATCCAAACAAAAAAATATGTCTGATTCTAATAATCATAGTGTCAATGAACTAATTGATTCCAGTGAATCACTACAAAATAACTCGACAGCAAATACCATCACCACCAACAGCAACAATAATATAAATCCAAACAAAAATGATAATGTAAAAAAATCATTACTAAATAATAACAAGGATGAAATTCCAGAAACAAGAAAAGAAACATTAGAGGAGAAATTTGTAAAATTATTTAAGAGAAGACATCACAGTAATAAAACCACAGGATCCTCAAGTATCAAAGGGTTCTCCAGTAGGTCACAGACTCAAGAAGAACTTAGAAAAAAAATATCTAAATTTAGATCAAGAAATAAAAAAGATCATGTTAATAACTCGCCTACAAACAAGAATAATCCTACTAATGAAAATAATATTAATACGACCACTATTGAACAGACTAATCGTGAGATAAATACGAACTTTTCAGTAGATGATCCAATTCATAGGCAAATAGCCGTATCTGAACAACCAAAAATCAATGTCACATTACAAGACATGTCTTATGATGGAAAAAGAGCAAATAGAGAAAAAGAAAAAGGGGAAAAGGGACTGGAAGTCAAAGAAGGAATAGAAGAAGAAGAAGAAGAAAAAGAGGAAGACACAACTACATTACCTGCTCTTCAACCCGCTGTCAGTGTTACCAGTTCTAAACAGACAAACTCCTCCCCAACATCCTTGCAACTGGAAAATAACACCACCACTCTTACAACCACCTCTGACAATAATGGTACTCATGTTGTGGAGACTGTTTGTGAATTAGATGGTGATGAATCTCAAGAATTAAGTAATTCGGAGTTACATATCCAAGAAAATAACATCACCACATTTGTAGATAATAATAACAACCTATTAAAGAATGACGCTCATAACAATAATAGTAGCCATGAATCATCTGCAGATTCTGTAGAGAATGGAGTTCCAGGTGTATTACCACCACGTAAATTGACCTTTGCAGATGTTAAAAGACCTGAGAGACCTAATGCACCAATCCAATTCACAGATAGTGCTTTTGGGTTTCCATTACCCATGCTGACTGTATCCACAGTGATTATGTTTGACCATCGGCTTGGAATCAATGTGGAAAGAGCCATTTATAGATTAAGTCATTTGAAGTTAAGTGATCCAAAGAGAGAGTTAAGACAACAAGTGTTGTTGAGTAATTTTATGTATGCATATTTGAATTTGGTTAATCATACATTATACATGGAACAGGCTAATGCAAACAATATTGGGAATATGCCGGGTGATGGATCACAAATGAATACATATGGGGAACATATAAATCAACAAAGAATGGTGGGATCCATTGATGAAAAATCAAACATTGAGGCAAACACAAATGCAAGTACAAGTGCATATGGAAATTCGTATACTACAGAACATAATGAATCGAATGAAAGTATTATAATACCTGATATTTCCTAACTATAACAACAATAAAATAAAAAGAAAAACAGGGAAAAGGGAAAAAAAAAAAGATCTTTTTTTATTTTTATATGTAATACATATTTATACATATATATAATTTGCATTAATTGAAAGCATGTTTGTTCATTATTGAAAATGCCCATTAACAACTATTTTTCGACTATATTATCTTATGTTGTCTCTATGTATTCTTTTCTCATAAATTTATTTACTTATTTATTTACTTATTTATTTTTTAAAGAAAAAGACAAACAGTTATCTCTTGAAGCGGATTTAGAAATTCCGGAAAAGAGGAATTAGCGAAAACTCGATTTATTTTTTAAAAAGAAATAAAAAAGAAAAGTGCAAGAGTAAGAAAAAAAGGAAAAAAAAATAAAAATTTTTTTTATAGAGATATGCAAGTATATATAGATATATATATAGATATATACATGAATAATTCAGCCAAAAAGAAAAAAAATTTTTTTGTATGCATAGAATGTGTAAGTAGTGTACAGGTCCGATCTAAGATATATAAAGAGTAAGAAAGATGTCTGGTTCAGATGGTAATTATCGTATGCTTATACTTTTAGAAGAAAAACTCGATGACAATGAAGTAGCAAATGAAAGTCAAGATATGAAAAACGAGGGTAAAGTAACAACAGTTAGAAAAACAAGTCATGAGTATTTAGACGAAATAAATCTGCCATTTACTGTGGATGAATTAGATATATTGAACGAATGGTTTGACAAATTTGATGAGGAAATATGTATACCTAACGAGGGACATATAAAATACGAAATAAGCAGTGATGGACTAATTATTTTGATGTTGGATAAAGAGATTGAAAATGTTTATCAAAAGATTTTAAAATTTGTTGAAAATCATCAAGCTTTATGAATATATTTTCTGAGACTGTATAACACAAAAAGGGAAGGAGAACTACGAGTTACGACAGGAATACAAGGATTCAGTCCATTTGCATTACATCATTCTTAACTATATTCTAATTCTAAACTAAATATGAAAACTACAAGAGACTGCAACATTTATAGACCATAAATACAAGCACATGTAGAATATATACATATATATGTATATTTGTCATATTGTAACTCAAGAATCAATAAAGTTCTATAATTTCCTATTCCCTATACTTCCTCCCAGTTCGATTCCCATTGTCTTCCATGTGTGACAAATCTTTTGTGCGTTTGTGTTTGTGTTTGTGTTTGTTTTTATTTTTATTTTTCGATCCTCAAATTCTGGGGTTCTCGACTCTTTAAAGTCTTGACTCAGTTTTGCTTTGTTTTTTTTTTTGTTTTATTTTGTTTTGTTTTGTTTTTTTCCTCTTTGGTTTCTTTTAAACTATGGAATAAAAAAAACAAAGAAACAAAAAAACAAAAAAAAAATTTTTTTTTCCTCACTCTTTCTTCTTCTGTCAATTCAGTTCAAGGTTTATATTTTATGTTTTGTGTTTTCTCTCGTTCCATCCCGTTGCTCCTTCCAAGTAATTAGTTTGATCACACTTATCCATCCACTCACTTTGTTCTACCAAACTCTCTCTACATTCTCTGTTGGATTCATTCAGTAGAAGTGTAGACAAAATCAAAAAAAAAACATCAACAACACAAAGTATAGCAACAACAAGAACAACGATTACAAGAAGAATAGTAATAGTCATAGTAATAGTAATAATCATAATCATACTCATAACCATAGTAATAATAATAGTAATAATAATGATAATCTATTATGGCATACATAAACTGTTCTCATATTATTTCACTCTCTATTCAGTTATTTTTTCTGGCTTAATTTCTTCTCTCAAGTTGCCCCAATTGATCTTAATGTCTGCTCTTCATGGTTCTCTTCTTTTTTTTTTTTTTTTTTTCCTTTTTCTTTTTTTCCTTTGATTTTTTTTCTCCTAGGCCATTTTGTTTTTTCTTTTCTTTTCTTTTCTGTCCTCTTGCATGTTTCACTGACAACCATCTTTCCGAATTTTTCGTCCTGTCTTCTCTAAAGCTTCTCTCTCTTTTGCTCTCCTGATTTCCTTTTCACTAAAAGTGAGCTAATCTTTTCTCTTAGCTTGCATTATCTATCGTTCGTAATGTCAGGAGAACAAAAATTGAACATTTTGTACTTGTATATCTTTTGTTCTTATTTTCTTTTTTTTTCTTTTTCCATTTTTCATTCTTTGATTCTATATATCAAAGTTTGACACTATATAATACTGCTTTTCGTTTCCAGCCTGCATAGATATTTCACCTAATCTTTTTAAAGGAATAAAAGTAAAAAAAAAAACCAAAAAAAAGTTAGCTGTATTAATATTTATATACCTATCAACATTGTTGTTACCATCCGTGCCGTTGCTTCTTTGACAAAAAGCAACGATCCATTATTACTACCACTCCTATTATTGTTGTTATCACTATCATCATTCCTTCTTTTCAAAACTGTTACAGCATAGCTTAGTATAGCATAGTATAGCATAGCATAGTATAACATACATATCCATATACAATACACAAGTGTACTCACATACATATCTATCTATCTATCTACTTACTTAATTTTTTATCTATTTATTTAATTTTTTTTTTTTTAAAGGAAATAAAAGAATAATAATAATAACAAGAACAATGCCAGTTATACTTGAAGATTACCAAAAAAACTTCTTAGAACTAGCCATAGAATGTCAAGCTTTGAGATTCGGCGAATTCACTCTGAAATCAGGCAGAAAGTCACCATACTTCTTCAACCTAGGGCTCTTCAACACAGGTAAATTGTTGTCCAATTTAGCTACAGCCTACGCCATCGCCATCATCCAATCCGATATAAAATTCGATGTCATTTTTGGTCCCGCCTATAAAGGTATTCCATTGGCCTCTATTGTCTGTGTCAAATTGTCCGAGATCGGTGGTTCGAAATTCCAAGATATCCAATACGCTTTCAACAGAAAGGAGGCTAAGGATCACGGCGAAGGTGGGAACATTGTTGGGGCATCCTTGGAAGGCAAGAGAATCTTGATTATCGATGACGTCATGACTGCCGGCACTGCTATCAACGAAGCATTTGAAATCATCAAGAAGGAAAAGGGACAGGTCGTTGGAAGCATCATTGCTTTGGATAGACAGGAAGTCGTAGACTTAGAATCCAAGGACCGTTTGAGTGCCACTGCTGCTGTTAGTCAAAGGTATAACATCCCAGTCTTAAATATCGTGTCGTTATCTCATGTTATGAGCTATTTGGAGACTAGAATGGGTTCTGAAGAAAAAAATAAAATCCAGGAATATCTTCAAGTTTACGGTGCTTGAATATAACCTCCCCCTGTCCTTCCTCCCCCATTCCTAAGAAAAAATAAATAAAAAAAAGAAAAAAAAAATTTTTTTCCATGGCACAATTATATATACATCTCTCTTATCTATCCATCGATTCATCAATCGATCAATGTATCAATCAATTAATCCATATATATATATATATCTGCTTCTACTTCTACCTATATAGAAATATATTATGTTAAAATGTAAATTGTTAACTATTTAGTTTTTTCATTCATATACATATTCATATATGTATGTGTATTGAATAAGAATGACCAACTATACACCTATCTTACATTTTTTGTTTCTTTTTTTTTAAAAAATTGGTGTTCAAATGTACACACACACATACATATATAGATTTACAAAATCTACTTACTACCTTCTAATAACTTTATATCTATTCTTTGGCATCTTCATAACCTTTTCTGGATTAGATGAGGTAACTTGTAATGGAGGTGGCATCTCATATAATGTCTTTGTAGCAGGGTGTCCCATTAACAATGGACTATGCAAAGGAACAATGTCGTTCATCTTAAAACCCCTCACTTTTGGAATCTTTTGAATCTTAATATTATCATAATCTGGTCCATATGGAATCTCCCTTAATGATGCAAGTGTGGTTGGATTTTCTTGTAAGTAATTAGCAATATCTTTGAATAATAGCCTTTTACCACCTTTCTCATAACGTGATTCCCCACCCCCAAGCGAATTCGGTAGAACTTTACCGTTTTCTTTCAGAAATACACGCACCCTACCTGGGTTACCGAAGTCTTGCGGATGTGTTTTATCACTTTCAAAGATGGACACTAAACCCAAACTACGAACTGCATCAGATATGGTTTTAGCCAATGGATTCTCTACAGCTAAGTCTAATGGAACTCTTCTACCTTCTTTATGTGATCTATTCTTATCAAAATAACATGGATAAATTAGTTGAAATCTCTTAACTTGTCTTAAATCTTCCTTTGATATAGGTGCAGATTCCTCAATTTTTCCCGTCACAGGATTAATAAATGTAACCTGTTCTTTGTCCCTGTTTCTTATTGCTTCTTCTCTTCTTTTCAATTCTGCTTCCTCTATATCTTGACTTCTAACCACTGTTGGTGTTATCTTTGGCGCAATTGGCGTCTTCAAAGAGGAATCAAACTCCGCAATATCCATCTCCAAATTATCAATGTCTTCATAGTCCTCAATTTCTTCTAGTGTTGGCATTTTTCTTCACGTTCAAATAATGCTTTTATATTATTACTCTTGCTTTTTTTTCTCTTTTTTTTTTTATTTGTTTTTTTTTGTTAATATCCAAAAAAAAAAGTTCTTATTTTATCCTTAACCTTCTGTCTGTTTCGACTTAGGCTTTAATGTTTAACTTTGAGCAAAAAGTGTTAAATTTTTATTTCATTTGCCATACTACGCCATTGCAATATCATGTTCATCTTTAATTTTTTGTTTTGTTCTACAATTATTTTTTTACTTTTACTTATACTTTTATTTTTTTTTTTCAACAACAACCAGGAGCGAAATTTCATATCTATAGTTTTTTTTCAAATTTACCCTAACAAACTATTCAGGGTCTTTTTACCAAAAACATAACAATAGCTGTAGAAATCCTACTGTTCTATACAAAATTATACATGCATTCTCCTTTCCCCTTCTCTTATTTACTAATGATTATATTATTGCATGTTAAAAAGCTAAGCAATATTGCCAAAACATTATATAGAGAAAAAATATGACATATATCTATAATTAAAACGATCTAAATCACAATGTAAAATAATGATTAAATTACACATTTACTTAAAGTCCATTTTATAGTTATCCATATCTATATCTGTACGACAGAATCCCAGAAATAAAATGAATTTAAGTACTGATCCTTACTTTTTTCTTTATATCCTTGTATTTTTCTTAATACTACTACTACCTACTACTACTATTGTTAATGAACTTAATGCTCAGCTGTGTTTTTGAAAAACACGTCATCTAATATAATATCAATGACTTCTAATAATAAAGATGCATTTAAACAACGTACCTGCACCAAATCATGTATCCTAGATGCAGCATCCTGTGCATGTCTACGACCAACAACTTTACCACACACTTCAGTAAATAACATACTTAACAATAATCTGGAGTCCTTTCTTGTTTGTTTTCTTTCAGAGGTGGTTCTTTCAGCTTTCTCTTTTGTTTTCTTTCTTCTTTCCATTAATCCTCCTTCCCCCCATAGTGATTGTTTAACAACGATCAAATACTCATAAACATTCTCTGGTGATTGTAACTTGACTATACTATCTTTGATATATTTTTCAATAGTACCTCCAAGTAATTGTTGTAATACTAGAATGATAGCCCCGCCTCTCAACCATAATAAATTTGCTTTATTTAAAGAAAATAAGGATATAAATAAATCACATACAGGTTTTAGTAAAGATACATTCGACGCAGTACCTCGTTGAATTAATCTTACACCATTGTTAATTTCATTTTCTCTTATTTGATCATCTATTTTGTTATCTGTACCGTTAATTAATAATGATCCACTTGTAACATTACTATTGTCATCACTCAATTGTGATGATGTTTCTGATAATGGACTATTCTCCAAATAATTGAGTTTATTGTCAATATATAATTGATCATGTTTATCACTAATACCGTTATTATTGAATAGAGTTGAATTCTTCAATGTATGGATATGAAAACTAAGAGATTCAGTTAAAAACCTTCGAAACAAATCATCTTGACATATTTCAGGATAATCTAATAAATTATTTAAATATAATTCAAACCTAGCACGCCTATCCTCGTAAAGTTCCTTTAAAGATAATTGAAAACCCCATTTCATATTCCTTTTTGGTGGAAATAATTTTCCAATAGACTCCTGAGAGAGAATTGTAGAATATCTTTGTTTCAAATATTTATGCAAGGTATAAAATTCACTATAGCGCCTGGGTATCTCCCAAGATGTGACTTGCTCTTTATAAACATGATCAACATTGATAACATAAAAAACAACATTTCGTATACTACTAATCTGTGAATTTTCGTAATAACAATTAATATGAGTTGTAGTGTTTTTATATAAACTATTGGCATTTTCTTGGATTGATAGTTGTTGCATTAAAAGTTCCTTCTTTTCAAGGTCCCGAAGTAATGATCTCTGTGATTTATCTAATAATTTCAACTGTTTTTTATTATCCATTAGATCAGCTTTTAATATAAGGTGCTTTAACAGATCTAACTCCTTTTTAATTTCCTCAATGCCTAAACTTAGCTGGAACATTTCGTTTTTTAAAGTAGAAAAATTATAACAATTATCATTCATTGTATCACTAATATATCTCGATGCCATTGAATCTGTGGATTTATTTAGGGATTCATTATATTCTTGGTATGGTCTACTTTTTATTCCAAAATTAAGCATATGTTGATTATCTAAAATTGTATTAATCATATTAGATGGTGCCATGTTAGAAGCCGAACCAGGCTGCTTATCCTCTACAAAATCTTTTAACGAGTCACTATTTTTTATATCAAAGTTATCACTATCACTGATAATTTCTTCAAGTTCTTCAGTAAGATTTGGATCTGCAAACATCATCACAGTATTTGTGGAACAGTCAATAACTGAATTGTGTTTACTTTTCTTCAATAGAGATTCTGGCTTAGGAGAAAAATACACCGAGTACACTTGTGTTGAAATGAATTCTGGAGAAGTTATCATTTTCATCATGATATTCGATTTTTTAAATAAAACAAAATATTTTTCAGATAGTATCTTCTGTGCTTGTTCTTGCAGTAGAAAAAGACTCTTTCTTGCTAAGAGAAACACCTCACTTTTTTGCAATTGTTCATTTTCTATGAATAATTCAATGTTTTTAACTAATCCTTTATCCAGTGCCAACATTACTTCAAAATTACTATCTGAAAAAAATTGGGTTTTTATATTATATAAATGAGATGATTCAGCTTTGGAAAATTTAACTATGATCTCTTGTGAGTCAATTTCTTCCAGTGGAATTTTAAGTGAATTAACTGATATCCAAAAATCTAAATATATTACAGCAATTTTGTAATTATTCGTGTATAAATACCTTCTGAAGAAAGATATACATGTTTTATCAGTAAGAAAAACACTGTCAAGTGTTATGTCTGATATAAAATCTTCGAGTTCCTTCAAAATATCTTTATCTAATTCTCTATGGGAGGGAATCGACATTTTTGGTTCGATATATTTTAGTTTTGTATCCAACATATTCAATGAAATTAGAATTCTTTTTTTCAAAGTCACTTCTTCTCTAGATGTTTTTCTTTCTGCATCTGAGGGGGAATCCCTGTTTTCTAATTTTAAAAGTTTAATAGCTAATGCAAATTTAGTACTACGTAAATCACTGTATGTATGTAATAGGTTAAGTTGTCTTAGAAATGCTTCAAATTCTTTAGTTGTAGTACCAAAATCCAAATCCAAATCAATTGAACAATCATTTATTCTAGAGACATCTTCATAATCATTTAACTTTTGTGGTTCTTTAATTCCCTTCATTAATATTCTTCTTACTTTATGAATTTGGTTTCTTTCTCTTAAGACTTTCTTCGATAAATTAACAAATGCCAAGTTCCAGTCATCAGGATCACTAAATTTCATAACTAATGGTGTAAATATATTAGCAGTTAGAATCTCCCTCATCAGGATAGAAACAAAGGGTGATTCTAATTCTTCCGGAGATACTAAATAAGGAAGCAATTGTAAAATGATTTTTTTCAAATGAATTGCAACTCCTCTTTCCAAAATATCTGGATTTTCGTCAATTGCAAAATGTAATGTTTTAAATTTCTTATACTCTTCAATAAGACTTGACTCTGATATTGACAATTTTGTATGATTTTTGTTAACCAGTCTTTCAATTAGGTTTCTTTTGGCCTTAATAAAAGAATTAAAATGCAATGTTAATAAAGGTATCAATTTTGACAATATTAATGTAACAAAATCGCAATCTTTTAATTTACGAGTAGCATTGTCTACTGCTTTTAAAAGTATTTTGTTCAATTCTTTAGGGAACCTTGAATCAGGTGTTTGGTCAATTCTTTCAAACCATATCATCACATAATCTCTAATAATGAGATATATAATCTCTCGTAATTCATTTGAAATTTCAGAATTAGTATCAAATATATACTCTGATTTATCTGAATCAACAGTGATCCCTTTAGGGTATTGATTTATATCTAGAAGCTTAGGTAAATATAGTTTTCTATCTTCAAACGTGATACATATTATCTGATAACCAACATACCCGCACACTAATAAGAAACAAGTCTTCAACAAAGCAAATATTCCCTTACAAATAGTGATATATATTAATAATATAGATATCCCATAAAGTAATTTAGTTTTTTTGGTCATATCATTACATTCAATTAATTTTGATTTTTTGGCTACATAAAATTCTTAAATCTAAAATACCTACATATATCTGAAATGGATGTTAATAAATCCAAGGTACCCTTCAGAGATTTAATAATACGCTAGGCTAGGCTACACATATAGTAGATAACAAAAGGATCCAAGCCTGATAGGGTTTGTACTATAAGTGCTTTCCCACACAGCATATCAATTTAGAATTAACCTATCTTCATTTTTTTTTAACAGTATAATTTCTTAACATCTTTTTTCTACCGGTTCGAAGAAATATTAAACGAGACAAAATATTACAAATATACGAGATGTTTTAGTATACTAACCTAAAGCAAACATCAAAAAAATATATCTAAATTCATTAGAATTCAAGTTAAATTAGCTTACACAAAGATCCTACATTTCTATTTACATAATCTATACTTTTCTCTTATTTTTACGAAATTATATACTTCACTTCAAATAGAGGTCATTGAATTATAGATCTGTTACCAGGGCTTGTTGAAGTTCCTTGATATCATTGTTGATCTCATTAACCAATTGTTCACGAAGTAAAGGATTGTTTAATTTTTCATTTTCTTCAATTGTCATTGCTACTATCCTTGAATTGAGATATTTAGGATGAGTTAAAAGATTACCCAACGTATCATATAAATCAGATCTTTCGTATTCTTCATCCAACCCATAAATTAGTCCAAGTGAATCATCCTCAGTTTGCTTAGTATCATCATAATTGTTTTTCAGATATTCTTGGTAATTTAATGTATCTAACATCTTTTGAAGCATGATCAATTGTGAAGTTTCTCTAATCAATGCTGTGGATATTGCCAACTTGCTATTAGTCCAACTTGCAATCGAACATTGTACTTGTTTATCAAAATATTTTAAGAAAACACATGTTTCAGCGAGGACAGATTTTCCAAATAGACTTAGTAAAAGCAATATTATTGATAATAGTCCATTACTCCAAATGTCATGTAATACTAAATTATATTCTGGTCTAATGTTACCCTTTTGTATTATCACAGAGAGAGGACTTTCCAAAAGAGTAACAAATAGACCATTACAAATAAATTGGTCTGCAATTTCAGGAATTGTGCATAATTCAGATATTGCATTTAATGCCAGGCTACCTGACACATTTTGAAAATTATTTTGTAATAAATGAGCATTCGAATATAGGTTCAATATAACTTGTATTGTACCACTTTCACACAAAGATGAAGCTAAAATTTTATTAAAATTTTCAGAAGGATTGAATGATCTAATTACGATGAATAACCGCATTAACAGTGATATGTCCTGAACCCTTTCTTCAATCATAAACATGGCCATCTCTTTTTGAGATTTTAATGGATTGGAAATATCTGCTAACATTTTATGCAAAATTAAATAGATACCTTTAGAAAAGGCCAATTCAAAAAATTCCAATAACTGATCTGACGCCAACTCGAGAAATTTTGCAGAATCTTTAACCAAACTCAAAACAATCAAAACGCAACGAATAACTGTTCGATATTCATTTTTCCTTAGACATGTCATGATTTTTTCAAAATAATTAACCTCACTTGATTTAAATGTAGTAATTAATAGTTTAAGCATTTCAAATAATTTTTCTACGGAGACGTCACTTCCTGATTTTTGGCAGAAATACAAAATATAAAACACTAATTCAACCCTCTCATGATATAATTGTGAATAACTGTCTTTACTAGATGTTATTTGACTATTCATTTCTAAGAAATGGATAATAATATCAATAAAATGTGCATTGGGAGCACCATTAATTTTAATATAAGATGTAATAAATGCACCCCAAGACTTAGCTCCAGAGATTTTATAATGATTGTATTGAATATTGGATGCTACCAATTTAACTTTGTGAAAGAATCCAGACTCCTTTATGGAACCATACCAACGTGCATCATCCTTAAACCACTTATTCATTAATTCCAGGTTAAAAACAGAGTTCTCAACTCCACCAATAGATAATGAAAACTGAGTCATCCTAAATTTATTCAATGTATAGGATGGATATGTGGAATTAAATTCATTTACATAGTTTTCCTGAATGTCATTATTATCCCCCGCATTATCGAAATATGGTTTAATTTTGGTAAATAAGTTTTTATCATCCAATAATTTATAGACCGCAGAAGTTTTCTGAGGACAAATGTAAAGATATAATGCAAAAATTTCAATAATTTTTGAGACTGCTCTGTACTGTTCAGTAATAAATTGTATATCATCTTGATCTATATCATTAAGATTTTTTGGGACAAATGAATTGAATTTATTCAACAGCACATCAAGAAATTTTGAATCATTAGTTAAATTTTTAGAATGTATCCAGGAATTTAATGCATATGAAATACAATCCAACAAAGCACATAATACACCTTCTGGATATTTATTTATGCTCATAATATTACTCTTTAATATATTGATAATAGATTTGTCAGAATTTATATTTATGGTATTATCACCATTTGCATCTTTCTCATTATGACGTGCCCTTGTTATAATATCACCGGTTAAAAATAAGACAGTTAACCCATCTTGCTTACTTTGCAATAAAGACCCAATAAAATTATAAATATCTTTCAATAAATTAAAGTCATTTATAGATGATTTCAGATCATTCGATACATTTTGAAACATATCCTTTGCTGCAGTTTCTCCTAAATATGAAAGTAAAAATGGGTAGCTATCACTCCACGATATGCTAACCAAAGTAATAAATAATTTAATAATGGAATTCTTTAATAAAATATTATTAATATAACGTTGAACTAATATCGAAATTGAATCAAATATATTATGTTCAAGAACACTTGGTGGTAATTTCAAAAAACTTCTAATAGATACCAGTAAATTTGTAAATTTAAAAGCTGAAATTATCAAATCCTTATAGTCTTCATCAAAAGTATTATTCCCATAAATAGAGTATTCTAAATCTGTGTATGAAGTTAAAATAGATAATAAAGTTTTCGTAGTGTAAGAATCAGTGCTTTGATTTTCAAGAAAAAATGCCACTATTGTTTCACTTGCCTGAGAAAGAATTCTTGTGATTTTCTCCTTGGTATTACAGGTTGGGTCAATACCATACACATTGTACAGGACCTTGCTGAAAAAATTAGTCAAATTTAGACACAATTTAAATTTATCATTCAGATTATTGAACTCCCAAAATTGACAATTTTCGAAAACATGTATAAAATGGACAGTAAATTTTTGTAAAAGTTCTTTCTTTGTTCTTTCTGATGTCGTACTATCCCTGGTAAAAGTGTGTTCAACTAATAAATTGATTAATACAGATAATTGAATTGTAAAGTCAAACTTACCATTCGGAAGTTCTAAAGTACCCAGAATTGTACTTATTAGTCCTGTTTTACCATATTTTTCCAACAGAGTAGAACGAATTAAATATGACCATACCAAATTTGGATAATATCCTGTCAACAGATTAGTAAATTTAGAACACTCAACCAAAACATTATAGTCTCTTTTGTTTAATGCAATCTCATAAATTTTAAAGATAACGGATATAACATTTTCATTATCCAAGGTAATCTGACTGGACATACTAGATAATATCTCTTGACTGCGGTCATACTCAATCACACTAGAATCTATGATAGTGGAAATTAATTTGATAATTGATATCATTAATTCTTTGGTAACATTATCCAAATTAGCACCATTATTGAAATATAAGGTTGATATATTTTGTAAAATACGGCCTAGTAAGGACCATCCACTATATTTGATAGAATAAATGATTAAATCTAAGTCAATATTACCATCTTCTATAGCAATACTACCAGACTTTTTTTGTCTAATATTGTTCTCTTTACCAATCAATGAAGTACTATTTGCTGCTGAAGTTCTGCTATTTGATGATAATTGTACCAATTGACCTTTAGTATCTTTTGGTATAGACATCATTACATTTTCTTCCAGTTCAAAAGGTGGCTTAACAAACGTTTCTCTCTTCATAATAATCAAATCTGATATATTGGAAGACGCAGAATCGTGCAAAGATACAATGGTACCATTATTACCTTGCTGATTATGTGATATATCTCCAATCATACCAACACTGTTTTCATCCAGTAGATCATAATCAATATCATTCAGCTTAGCCTTTGTTGCATACGTAGTTAACATTTTTAACTCAAAATTAGCAAATTCAGGTAATGCAGTAACCATATTAATGAAAGGTATTAAACCATCTTCTACTAGAGGTAATTTAGCTCTTAAAAGAGCAAACTTTCTGCTAAAAGTGTCACTTGATAAAAATTCTTCAGTGAAATGTGATGGCATATATAATAAAACAGTCTGGATCATTTTTGTTGTTTCAATATTCAATGGGATAAAATTCATTAAAAATGAGATAAATGAAGTCATGATGATTGGATACGTTAAATCGGCTTTTAAAGATGTAGTGATGTTTGTAATCTCTTCAAAAACGTTTAAATTTTCTGCTCTTTGAGCAAAGAAATTAAACATGACATTTAAGGGCACATTTGGATACTCTTTGTTATAGTCAGAAAGAAATATTTTGTCTTCTGATGAGAGCATGTTGTCATTTTCATCTAAAGTCTCTAATACCACCGATTTATAAAAAAGAATACATGCCCAAGAATAAGAAATTAGTGAATTTGAGGGTAAATTTTTATCAATAATATTTTGTAATTGGATAAATTTTTTAGAATCATTAAAAAATGAAGAATTTTCAATATTAAAAGAATGATATGCTGTATCAAAACCTAGGAACAGTAAAGAATTGATATTGATAAGTGAAATTAATTGCAACAGTACGGAATAAGGTATATCTGGTAAGATTGAGATTAAATCAAACTGACAAAATTGGGACCATAAATCTATATTATTAAACCAATTCAATATAGTATCGAAATTTAGGATTTCATTAGCATTTAAAATTAGGTCGGTTATCAATTTTAAAAGCTTAGAGAGATAGACCAAATCATTCATATTTTTCAAATGAACCAAATCCAAGAATGAATCCGATTCACCAGAAGAAATTTGGGAATTCTGATTAACTTTTTTGGAAGTCATCACTACCGATTGAATTGAGTCGATTAAGTTGTTAAGCAGTTTTAGTCTAGTATTAGGATTCTCTAGAATCCATTTATTCCAATCTGGATTTAAATCAGGTGTATCGATCAGAGTGGCGATAATATCAACAGCTGCTATTCTTTCATTCAGCACAGTTTGCAAATTCGGTTCAGCAAAAGATAAAACTTTACATATATAATTATAATTCAAAGAAAGGCGTTTAGACCATTGTAAAGCCAGTTTATGTTGATCTTCAGTAATTGTATAGGTGGTACCATCAATAAGTAGATCTGGATTAAATTTTATCTCAGTTGTGCTATTTGTATCCCATTTTAGCAGATCACAGATCGATTCTTTATCTTTAAATAATTGGTTATTGATTTGTTTTAAAGTGTCCTGATACAACAATTTATCTTTACTTTTGTCATCAAGTTGAATATAATTTTGTAAAAAATGATTAATTTTATTAAATAAAAAGTTCCCATCAAGATGTGAACTCATTGTTTTTTGTGATGTCTTCTTCAAGTACCTATAGAATCTCTGTTCTATTTTATATCTCTGTATAAGGAAACACTTTTGCTTCCTTCGGTATAAATGATAAACTTCCTTTCAATCTCGCGTACTAAATGTAGCTAGATAATATAAAGGTACACTTACAATAAATACTTTACTAGTTACTCCAAAATTGCAAAACCAAACCTCTTCTATCGAGTATCAAACAAGTTACTTTCGAAAACTCAGATTTTTTATTTTTTATTTTGATATTTTTGGTATTTGTGTTTGTTCTCCGCACTCGAGAAAAAAAAAGAAGAAAAAAAGAAAAAAAAAAAACTAACAATATATAGCACCCAACAGTAGAGGTATGGGTGTTATGTTTTTATAGACACGATTCCACCAACAAACTTATCAGTAGCAGAACAGTTGCCAAAGTCCAGCAACATCTGTTTATTACATACATGCATACCGACACACATATATTATCTAATGAGAATTATCCTATTTTTGTAACAACAAGAAGGATGAAATGTGTATAGATGGGACCCCACCCTATATATGACTATAATTATTCTGTGAAATACATCTCTCACAATATAATCAATCAATAAGGGACAATTGATGGAGAATAGGAGAAGAACAAAGACACAATTTCTTATTCTTACCCCTCCCAACACTATACTGATGCTTTACTATCAGCACAACTACGGCTCCAATAGATATAGTATTCTCCACGAAGAAGAAATGAGTCCATCGGGAATTTGACATGTGTGCTAGTTTTCTGATACTGTGTATGTGTATTATTATTTCCTAAGCCGTCGCCTGACGACTTGGTCTTCTTTCAACCGAACAAGAAAGAAGAATACAAAATTAAAAAAAGAGGAAAGAAAAAAGGAAAGCAGTATGGAAGCAAATCATTTGAGAACACATCAGCACTAACACACTAACGAAAGACGATACGACATATGCAAAAAACATCCAGGCATACATCTGCCCGGGTATGTATACACACACACATATATATATATATGTATGTGTGTGTGTTTGTACAGATGTCCGCACATAATATGTAGGTGAGATCGACCAGCTACGTGTGGACACCCAAGAAGAAAGCTCCTAGTGTGAGAAAATAAACCACGCAAGCGAAGGGGACGAAAAACCCAACAGGCGGGAGAGGGATTTCGGGAAACACAAGAGAAAACCAGACCAGATTTCTTGTCCCATATATATAGGCGTCACTGCACATCGTTTTATGTGACACGCACACACCGCCCATCTGCTCACCCGCTGCATTCATAATAAAATTTCTGGTAGAAAAAAGAAAAAGAGGAAGCAAAGAGGGTAACCCTGGAAAGTTTGATTAGGGCTTAAAAAGAATATTTCAGGTGTTTCTTTCTTTTCTTTCCTTTTCTTTTCTTTTCATTATTTTTTTTTTTTGGATTGTTCTGACAGAATCTGCTATCCTTTGAATAATAGAAAGCTCGACTAACAGTGTAATAAATATTGGAAAAAAAAAAAATAATTAGGAGCTATCAATTAAGCCTTTCGAGTGCTGGAACACTTCCCTGTCACAAATATGTTCGTCTTAACTGTACTGCTTTGTGGATTGTAAGGTATTACCAAGAAGATAAATTATTAAAAAGGATGGAAGCATCTAATTTGCAGATATATTGGCACGAATCCCAGCCTGTTTACAGTCTATGTTTCCCACCGTCGTCTAAATATGATCCGCAATTGCCCAAATTGTTTACTTCTGGAGGTGACAACAAGGTTAGAATCTGGAATTTAAACACAATAAAGAGTACTGCAAATGAGTCATGTTTTAAGATCGACACTATTGACTTCTTGACCTCTTTACAGCAGCATGAACAAGCCATCAATGTCATTAGATTCAATTCAAAGGGCGATATCTTAGCTTCCGCCGGTGATGATGGACAAATCCTCTTATGGAAAAGAAATTTAGACGGACAGTCAACTGGAGGGACTCCATTCGAATTTACCACTGACGAAGAAAATGAAAATGAAAATAATAATAAAGATAAAAATAAAGATAAAGATAACCACAGCAACAACAACAACCATGTTGACGGAAAGTCTATAAAAGAAGAGAATAAAGAATCCTGGTACGTCTGGAAACGATTAAGATTTCATTCTCATGCCCCTGAGATTTATGATCTAGTTTGGTCTCCATGTGATAATTATATACTTTGTGGATGTATGGATAATTTTATTAGAGTATTCCAAATACATACTAACAGCAACAAGGACGACGATAATGATGATCCTAGATGTATTTTTTCTTTAAAAGAACATAACCATTATGTTCAAGGTGTCACATGGGATCCACAAAATAAATATATCTTATCACAATCTACTGATAGGTCCATCAATGTATATAAATTAATATTTGATCATGAAAATAAACAATTACTAGATATCCAATTGCAGAACAGGATAATCAAATTGGATAAATCTTATATGTTCCATAATGAGACGTTGCCTTCATTTTTCAGAAGATTGACTATATCCCCATGTGGGAATTTAATTTTAGTACCAACTGGTATATCTAAAAATAATAATGATATAACTTCTTCTTTAACAACCAATACTAGTATTATCACCACCGCCACCACTAACAACAACAACAACAACAATAATAATAATAATAGCACAGAGGGTGCCAATTGTGTTTATATCTTTGCAAGATCAACTTTAAAAGATAATTTAAATAAACCAATAATGAAAATTTCAAATTTGAAAAAACCTGCTTTAATAATATCTTTTAATCCAAATTTTTATAAAATAGAATCAACAACCAGAAGTGAGTTTATTTCATTACCGTATAAATTAATTTTTGCTATTGCCACATCAAATGAAATTCTTATATATGATACAATAAAGGTCGAACCATTGGCTATAATAGGTAATTTACACTATACGCCAATAACCGATCTTACATGGTCACCAGATGGTAAATTTTTGATGATCTCTTCAACAGATGGGTTTTGTTCATATATATCCATAGATGCTAACAATTTATTTGGTCAACGATTAAAGAATGATGAAATTATGAAATTTAAAAATGTACCATCTGTTTCTGTACCAAATGATGTTACAATTGAAAATAAACCAAAACATAATATTATTAATATTCTACCAGTGAAAAAAAAAATTAAACCCAATAATAAACAAACAAATCCGACGACATAATCCTCTCTACACTGGATAACAAAATCATGATTTCTTATATATATATGTATGTATGTATAAAGAAACTTTATTATTTTATTCCATTTGAAGATAATACATAATTTCTACTATTTATCAAATACAACCATGAAGCAAATCATCATACTAGTAAATATTCAGGAATATACTTATTTACTTATTTATTTATTTATTTATCTAATAGTTAGTTATATACTTATTAGTCGTCAATTCCATCATTCTTCTTTATTATTCTTTTTATCATCATCATCTCCTTCATGTATTTGATTCTCTTCAGGAGGAAATGGGAATTCTTTCCCAGTTAAGAAATCGTCAACAGTGGCCTCAATAGACCCTGTATTTCTTAAGGAATATTCGATTTGTTTAACATCAAGAGTCGGTGCCAAAGTTTGAACAATCTCAATCATATCTACAGTGACTTCTCTTTTGACTCTTTTTACTACTGGGCTCTCCATTTGTTCCTGTATTAAAGTGCTACTGTTATTATCATTAGAACTATGATCATTACTATATTCTTCTTTTTTCACACCGTTGCTAGTATCTACCACACCATCTTTTTTTTCTTCGGAAATAACCTCTGTATTTTCCTGGTATCTAACACCTCTTATTAAAGGATTGTTAACACCTTTATTAAGCTGTCTTTGATTTCTTGCCCATAAGAAAGTTAAAAACAAAAATACAAAAAACAGTAAAGTAGAATTATCCATGAGGTGAGCAAACGATTATATTAAGTTGTATATAAAGTATTTGTATCTAATTTTTTTTTGTTCTTGCTTACAGTGAAAATATCGTTGAACAGCTAGCTAACTAGATAACAAAAATAGCATTTCTGTTATTCCATATCAATGATAGTGTTGAACCAACAATACTGATTAAATTACTACATCCACACTGTCATCTCCACTCCATCGTTTCCTATCTTATAGTCCGATTAATTTTAGTTTTTTATTTTTTGATTGGAAGTAAAGAACTGCCGTAAAGAATCGAACACAGGCGCAAGATACCAGAAGAAAATTTTTTCATTTTCTTTTTTTTTTCCCTATTTCCGACTTTTCTCCATTGCCAGACACATCACACATCCAGACACCCGCTCTATGTCTCCCTCAATTTGATCTCCTTTCCTTTTTTCTTTTAATTTTTCCTGCTGGTGTCTGGGTGTGCTTCTCTACAACAGCAGCGACGGCAAATCCGAGGGACAAAAAATGAAAAAAAAAAGGAAAAAGAAAAACGGAAAAAAGAGTGAGATCAAATTGAGAAGAAAAAAAAACAAAAAAAGAACAAAGGGGTGGGGATAAAGGGGAAAGAGTGAAAATAATAACAATAACAACAACAATAGGGGGGGAAGCGCTGGAGAAAGAGGGAGGTCCACTGAAATTTGCTTGCGAAGTTTCTTTAAGATCTGAAACTAGAAGTGCTTGAAGTTTTATACAAATCTTGGTAAGGGGTAGGATTTATAAACATATAACTACTGAATGGTTTACAGTATCTTTCCGTCTAAATACCTGTTAAAAAAGTTAACTTAAGAAGACTACCCACATACACATACACACGCATCTGTTTACGTACATACATACATAGATACATACATATATATATATACGTATAGGTTATGACAATTATTGTGGCTTCTTTATTTTTGCCATATCAGCCGGAATTCAAATTAAATGAATCCGAATATGAGACTGCTGAATTGGTAGAATCTAATTTAGTTAAGCTTAACCCTGGTGCAATAGATAATATCAAGGGAAAAAGGTCTGCCTCAGTGCATTCTCCTACACCTTTCATTAACAGAAGCAATAGGTCCAGTTCTGTCCATTCTACTAAACCTTTCATTACAAACCAGCATAACGATAACTCTTTAGCACCAGACAATAACAAACCAAATACTTCTCGCGAGACTTCTGCTGTTATCGAAAATAATGAAATAGATGTCACTTCAGAGCAATTTTTAGAAAATTTAACTACTAATTTCAATAGGTCTTCTGTTTCTGGTGCGACTAACCGTGTCAGTTCCCCAATTCTAGGTAAATCTCCCCCGGCCAACACTACATCTATCGAGGATTTCTTCTTATCTAAAAATACTATCAATCCAAACTCTACTCCAATTGTTTCTACTGCTACGAGTACCACCGCTACCCCTAGTACTACCACTGCCACTACCACCACCAATATGGATGGAACCTCTGCTACCAGCCCTAGAACTGCTGCTAACAATTGGTCACACCATCCTATAAACGACTCTTTCACTTTACACACTGTGTTCGATACTGTTACCCAACAAACCTCAATACCAATAGGTTCTAAAACTACTGTTGTCAGACCTAAATCCAGAGCTGTGCCTGATTTCAATTCTTCTATGTACGACATAGATAGAATTAAACAAAAGGAACAACAGTTTCATAGTGCCCCAGCTATGAAAAGAGTCCATGTAGTTCCAGAGAAACCAGCAATAGACAGCCCTGCTAATATTGAAGAAAAACAAGAAGGGGGTCAAAAGGATGACGATTATACCTCTGATTTAGAGACTGATGGCAAGGAAAAATTTGTGGTTCCGAAATTTGGTGGGTACTCAAATAAATCAAAGGCCAAGAGTCTTAGATTACATAATTCTCAAAAATTGTTTGGTCAATTGCCTTGGTCTATTGTTCCCTGTGAGAAAGGTAACGGCGCTTTAAAAAATGCTGTTAATATTGCATCTAAGGAAAAAACCTTAACTGATGATGTCTACTGGGTTGGTACAATGGGTATCCCCACCGATGAACTCCCTATAGACATTTCAAATAAAATTATTAAGGCTTTAAAAAACAATTATAATTGCCATGCAGTAATTAGCGATGATGTTACATTCAAAGGCGCCTACAAAAATTTCTGTAAGCAAATTTTATGGCCAACTTTACACTATCAAATCCCAGATAATCCAAACTCTAAAGCATTTGAAGATCATTCATGGAATTATTACTGTGATCTAAACAAATTGTTTGCAGAAAAGATAGCTCAAGTGTATAAGGAAGGTGATATTATTTGGATTCACGATTATCATTTGATGTTGGTCCCAGAAATGGTTAGAAGTTTATTGCCTAATGCAAAGATTGGCTATTTCCTTCACGTTTCCTTCCCAAGTAGTGAAGTGTTTAGATGTTTTGCTCACAGAGAAAAGATGTTAAAAGGTATACTTGGTGCTAACTCAGTTGGCTTCCAAACCACTGAATACGCAAGACATTTCTTACAAACAACTAATAGATTGTTAATGGCTGATGTCTCCAATGATGAATTGAAATATCAAGGAAAAATCATCTCCATTACATCTATACCTGTAGGCATCGATGCCTTTGCACTAAAGGACCATTTAAGAAGAGACCAAGTTAATCAATGGCGTCGTTTGATTAGAGAAAGATGGAAAGGCAAGAAATTGATTGTCTGTAGAGATCAATTTGATAGAATCCGTGGTTTAAACAAAAAAATGTTAGCATATGAAAGATTTCTAAGAGAGAATCCAAAATACATTGATAAAGTTGTTTTGGTACAGATTTGTCTAGGCAAATCACAGAATGAGGACTTCGAACGGCAGTTGATGTTAACTGTTGATCGAATCAATTCTTTATCTGCTAATATTGGTATGTCTCCACCAGTAGTCTTTTTACATCAAGGTTTAGAATACCCACAATATCTAGCCTTAAATTGCGAAGCAGATTTATTTATGGTCAACACATTTAGAGAAGGTATGAATCTAACATGTCATGAATTCATTATTTCATCTGAAGAGAAAAATGCCCCGTTGCTATTATCTGAATTCACAGGAAGCGCATCAGTTTTAGATGAAGGTTCCATATTAATTAATCCATGGGACATTAGACATGTATCTCAATCAATTAAGGCTGGGTTGGAAATGACTTATGCTGAAAAGAGGAAGCATTGGAAGAGTTTAGTCAAAAGTGTTATTATGCATGATTCCGACACTTGGATTAAATCTTCTTTACAAGACATAAATAATTCATGGGAGACTAATAAAGAAAGATCCACTATTTTTAACCTTGGTTATGATGCATTATACAAAGACTATGAAGATTCAAAGAAAAAATTATTTATCTTCAAAATTACTGAACCACCTACAAGCAGAGTTTTGTCTACATTAAGCGAATTAGCAGCCAACAATATTGTCTTTGTCATGAATTCTCATTCAAAAGTTACCTTAGAACGTTTATACGCTCGTGCATCTAATGTAGGTCTAATTGCAGAAAATGGGGCGTATGTAAGATTAGATGGATCGTGGTATAATATTGTAGAGCAAGTCGATTGGAAAGATGAAGTTATGAAGATTTTGGATGCTAAGATCGAAAGATTACCAGGTGCCTATTATAAAGTAACAGATTCTATGATCAGATTCCATACGGAAAATGCTGAAGACCAAGATCGTGTAGCTGGTGTTATTGGTGAAGCCATCTCCCATATCAATACATTATTTGATGAAAACAATATACATGCATATGTTTATAAAGATATTTTGTTTGTTCAACAAAATGGCTTATCATTATCTGCATTCAAATTCTTGTTGAACTACTTCAACAGTTCGGCTGCACGAGCCAGCGGAGATTCGCAATGCCACATCCAATTTGCTTGTATCTCAGGTTCTTCTTCTCCAATTATTGAACCATTGTTCAAATGTGTTAAAGAAGAAGTTCTTAATGGCAATTTAAAATATGGCCACACAATTGTGTATGGTAACACCACATCAACCAATGCCAAGGAACATGTTGATGGTCTGAATGAATTATTAACAATACTTGAAAAAGTGTCTCAGAAGTAAAATGCAGTAAGTAACAAAACATTTTAATCCTTAAATAATGATACTATATTCTTACCTTCTTTCTCTCCCATCTCCTACATTTATGTATATAATTTTTACATTAATGTTTTTCTATTTATGTGTAACTATAATGATGGTAAAATGTACAGTATATACAGTATATTATTTCCATTATTTTATATGTTTATGTTAACTTATTCTTTGCAAGATACGGTATTTGCAGTTTAATCCGTTATTGCTTTTTTGTTTATACTCAATAAAATATGAAAAATGAAAGGAAAAAAAGGAATATAGTAAAAGGATCGATAATTAGGATGTCATCTGAGTAGAAGTTAGAAGAGCTTAGATAGGAGATAGCATGTACACAAGCAATATAAGTAATTGAGTATACCTCTGTTAAATATATATCAATTGAATAACTATATATCAAAATAAAATGAATCAGGTAGAAAATTTAATTCAATCCCTAAGCAAAAAAAAAAACAAAAAGATTGTTGAAAATTTTCTATCATCCTTACAATGCCATATATGTCATGAACTTATTAATGTGCCAATGATGCTTACATGTGGACACATTTATTGTTATATGTGTTTGAAAAATTGGTTCAAGACTAATGAGACAAGAAGATTAGGTTGTCCAGACTGTAGAAAAGTAGCTGAAGTTGTACCTATATTCAATGCATTTTTAGATAACCAATTAAAATTCATATTGGATTTGATAATAAATGATAATCAATCTAAGAGTTCTGAATGGGGAAAGCTATTATTAGAAAGAAAAGAAGATGAAACTGTCTATAAGAATGATATAGCAAAGGACACAATTTTCGCTAATGTTTTTAAAAATTCTACATTAGCTATAATAGATATGGATGATGATGGTATCCCACGATGTGGAAATTGTCATTGGGAATTGGATCCAGATGATATGGACGATGACGAGGGGGAGAATTTATGCCCACACTGTCATTATAGAATTAGAAATGACGTTATCACTGGAGGGAACTCAGAAAATGTTATGAGCAACTCTGCCAGGAACATTACAAATAATTTAAGAGGACATGAAGATGAATACAGCGAAGGGGAATATGAAGAAATCATTGATGAAATACGAAGATTTAGTGATTCAGATTTAGAAGATGACAGTGATGAGGAAGAAGAAAACGGTAAAACAAATGATAGAGGAATAAGAAAAAGAAAAAGGAAAGATATAGGAGAACTATATGATGATGAAGCTATAGATGAAGATTATAATAGTAGTAATGAACAAAAAAAGGACAAAAAAAAAAAAAAAAAAGAAGAAGAAGAAGAAGAAGAAGAAGAAGAGCATGATTCTGATCTAGATTCATTTGTTGCAAGTGACGATGAATTAAGTGAAGCTGAAGAGTCTAAATCTAACAGAAAGAGAAGACACTCAAAATTCATTGAAGATAAGAGCTCAGAGGATAGTAAAAGAGAATATTCTAGTGACTATAATAGTGATTTCTATGAACATAATGATGGGGATGGGTTTGTAAGTGGTGACAGCTTAGATGATGGTAACAGCATTGAGTCAAATTCTGATGATCATCATACCCTCAGTAGCGATAATGAGGAGTTTGTTAGCTCCAGAAAAAGACTAAGGAAAGCACAAGTAATGACAAGCGATGAAGAATAATGCTTATGTACTTCTATATATACATATATATGTATACATGCATCTAATATCATTTTTGTTCCAATTAACTTTAAGTCTGGTAAACTATTAAATAATCATACTCCTCTATATTATTGTCGTGGCAGTTTTATCTCTATGCAAAATAACATATGTCCATACATATATCTACAAAGTTGATAGCGACACAATAGGGTACGCCAGTATTTCCTTATAAATAGAGAACCAAAAAAAAAAAAAGGTTCTAAGCTGAAAGTCGTAAAATAAGTCCAGAAGATTCACTAAAGAAAAAGCAGTCAATAGTAGAATGATTCTTTACTAAAATATATCGCAGCAATATCATTAATAACAAGCTTTCAACTCCCAGTAAATTTTAAATAGTTACTAATATAAACCAACTCTAGTATAAAGACTATTGTGCTAACAATTTTACAAACAAGAGCGAGACAAAATTGAAAAAAAAAAAAAAAGGAAAACAGAATCATGTTGAACCAAGTATCACATCAATTCTATTATTCTCCATCTTTGCTAAATTTTAGAATTACAGTTAAAAAGAATATATATACTACGATATCAAAAAGCTACCTTTGTTGTAATCATAGATGGCTTAGAACAATCTCAACCACAACACGAAGAAAAATTCCTATTTCATTTAAAAGTGATCCCAATTCCAAAATAATATATAATGACAACAATATTAACCACAATAAATCAAACTTGACTAATAATTATTCACCTGTAGATAGCACCCATTTTTTCACCAACCCAAACAGAGACGAACCATCTTCCAAAATAAATAATTTTCTTTCCTCTACTACAAAATATAATGATAATATACCAGGTATGAGTATAGGAGAGGCTATTAAACAGCATCAGAATAGGAAACGTCGATTTACCATTTGGTTTACATTGTCTACTTTGCTAAGTTTATTTATTGGATACAAAATAATATATAAAGCGGTTTATTTGAAAATGGATTCTTATATTCCATTATTTCCTTGTAATAAATTCCATAAGCTGACTCCCAAAGAAGAACAGAAATTAAATATTAATAATGTCAAAGATTTTATTTATACAAAGTTAATGAGTAAATTGACAAGTCATGATTTTATTAAAGATCATTATGGTGTTCCACTAAGAATTCCATCCACACCGCATAACCAAGTTATTAACAATGATAACGATAAAAATAATAATAGCAATAATAATAATAAATTTCAAAAGTTTAACATATGGTGTGAAGATGAAGATTTGGTCGTATTTGGCATCTTATTCAAACCAAACGATGATATTAGAATAGATGGTAATAATAAAAAATGGCATCTCGTGCCAGGACTATTTAAATGGAAATTTAGTCACCAATCTGTGAATATTATGGAAAGGATCCAAGATATTTTAGATTTTATTGGTCTCAAGTACGATAAAATCATAACTCCAGAAGTGACCTACGATACATTTAAATATGAAGTTCCAATTCATTTTAATGGTAATGGAGACATTAACATCCATGACTCTATAAATAATGATCACCACGCAATGCATATATGTTTCAATGGTGAATTGGGCATTGATGATAAATCAGTTGTTCGTTTTGAAGGAAAGTACCATGTTGATGTGAAATTTGAAGAAATAAGCTTAACAAGAAGGGAAAATGATGGTAATTTAGTCAAGTACATCCTATATAACAATAATGAAAAATAATAAAAACTAATGTATATAAATAAAGAATACTTTAAAAGATATTAATATATATATATATATATATACTAAAAGAAATATAAAGAAAGGTCAAAAAGAAGTATATATAAACTACATAAATGTCAAAGCACATTTTAGGCACAATTTTAAATTAAGAATGCTAGTGCACCAACGATCATTGCACCACCTAAACCATAAGCAGCAACATTTTCCTGGCCATGCAATGGCACAGCAGCATTAGTGCTTGTTGTTGATGAGGTGGTAGTATTACTAGCAGCTTGAGTGAATCCAACGAAAGCAACAATTGAAATAATAACAGTAGAAGGTTTCATTATTGAAGATATAATTAGAAAAGATATTTGATAGAAAGTTTTTGGTCGTATAAGTTCTCGTTTTGAATCTTTTTAGAGTAATATTCTTTAGATATTAATTATATTATATGTATAATATATATAGCAGAAAAGATTAAGTGCATATTATAACAGAATTGAAAATGAGAGTACATTTGATTGGATTCTTCAAAAAACTTTTGAATACCTCAGTATTTATATCATTCATACTAAATTAAGAGTAGGTATGAATGTCATTAGCTTAATTAAAATAAAATAATACCTGGGGAGGTCACATTTCCCTTGACCTTTTTACTTATATGCATTCTCTCCCTTCGTTTATAACATTGATATAACATAATAATACACATAGGCTATTGAAATCAAAAGCTTTATTATTGTTCCATATCCATTCAAAGAAACTTATTTAGTAGCTTGTATCTTCTCCCTAAGACAATTAAGTACCTTATTTTTTGCAAAACAACAGTTGATAGGCAATTATAATAACAAACACAGGGATATAAACAACTGGAACAATCTGCCAAAGAATTGTAGTGTAGAAGAATATCAAGTTTGAAAAGTTATCAGATAAATATCCCTTTATTAATATATATATTAGACCAACCCTTCAACAATATATGTGCATAAAAGAGGTTCCTTTACGGCAAGAAAAAATATACATATATGAAAATCTAATGAATTATAATAAAAAAAATCTCATAATCAACAAATATATCAATTAAATTATTTAAACCTTTATTTTTTTATCTTATTATGTGCTATTACTTTATAACAATCCGTTCTTTAAGGCTTCTTTGTTTAGCAATCTGTCAATATCATTTCCATATTTTTGACTTCTGTTATTTTCTTTAAATGCATATTCAATAGTGATGACTTTATTTGCTAATAATTGTTTATTAAGCTTATTTATCGCTTCATCTGCATCCTTGTAATTTTTATAATAAATAAATGCACAACGAATACTATTATTATGTACATAGAAAAATTCTGGACTTCTATATAATGGTCCTAATTTATTGAAATATGATTGTAACGATTTATCATCAATAGATTCATCTAACCCCTTGACAAATAATTTAGCAACAGGTGGTTCCAATTTATCATTACTATTAAAAGAGGATATATTGCTTTTATTAATGTTTTTAGAATCTGTAGTATAAATAATTTTCTTGGTATTAACTGCGGATTTCCTTATTTTAAGTAATCTATCATATAAGGAAACAGTATTATGTAAGAGTTTAATAACATATTCAACATCCTTCTCTGTTTCAAATTGGATAAATGCATAGCCTTGGTATTTTTGTAATATTTTATCCTTTGGATATTTTATGTTAACTACTGGAGCTACCTGAATAAATAGTTCATATAATTGCTCTTTAGTTACACGAGGATCGATATTTCCAACATATACACTTGTATCTATATTAGAGTTCATAATAGGTGTATCCACTATTATTGTTTAGGACCAACCGATATGGTTATTTAATGTATATTGGCAACAGCAATAATGTTTTATGTATTGCTCATATTTTTTATTTCGTTTTCTCAAAGATGCATTCTAATAAAGTTGATTCAAACAAGAATTTTTCGATAGTGTAATGAACATATCACTTATAGTACGTAATTAGAACCAAAATAAAAGCAATGCAAAGATAGAAAGATTATTATCTATATATAGATTAATTAGTGGAAGCTGTGACTATTCTTTCTAGGATATTATTATATATACTAAAAGTATTATATTATTCTTTTATCTAAAACAAAACTATTTAATAAACAGTATTTCATATACTAGCAAGTAACTGTTTCCCTAGAATATTCCAAAAGTACTAACAGCACCACATACTAACTTTAGCAACTTATCTGTCTTTTTCTTTTTTCTATATTCCTCTAAACCGAACTTTCATCTCGGCTTTTTAACACTTAAACAGTTCAAGAATTAGAGGCATAAACTTTCTCAACTTGATCCCTAACCTCATCTAAAATCTTTTTTCTTTTTAATTTTTGTGCAGATGTAACATAGCCGTTTTGTGGAGTCCATTCTTCAGGAGCAAATACACAACCTGCAATCAACTCAATGCCAACAAGTCCTTGTTCTTTTGCAGTAGCTAATAAGTCCTGTAAAACAGCATTTTGTAATCTTGAATCTTGAAAATGATGTCCAATTTCTTCTTCATCTTCCAACTTATCATTGGATGAAATGATATTTAATTTCTTAGCCAATGCAATTAATGGCTTGTGATTTGGAACAATGATCCCGATTGGTTTAACTTTAGTTTGATCAGCATATACACAAATATTTTGGACATATTGGTTGGATCTATAAATTGATTCTAATTTTTCCAATGCAATGTATTCACCATTCAAAGTCTTTACTAGATTTTTCTTTCTATCAATAACTTTCAAATGACCATTTGGTTCCCACTGACCAATATCACCGGTCATAAACCAACCATCCTTGGTGATTGCCTTTGCAGTTTCTTCTGGGTTTTTATAATATTCAGATGTAACACATGCACCCTTAATCCAAATCTCACCCTGATTATTCTTAGCAAAATAGCCTAATTCGTCCACGTCTACCAATTTTACAGTAACAGAACCAGTTAAATCACCAGCCACACCAAATTCAAAGTTTGCAGGATCCAAAATACAAGTATTTGCCACAGTCTCGGTTAAACCATATCCAATCAATATTGGACAAATCAAGTTAGTTAAAAATCTTTGGGTACTTTCACTTAATGGAGATCCACCATTTAAAGCTACTCTCAAGTTCCCACCAGTAGCAGCTCTAATCTTTTTAAAGATTAAAGATGCAATTAACCCACCACCAGGCAAGCGAAAACGATCTAGTCCACTCTTCGTATGATAAGCAACCCAGAATATTTTTCTCATAGGCATAGGCAATTGATTAACTTGTTGTATAATACCTTTCTTTACAGTTTCCCATACTGCTGCAACACCTACCATAATAGTAGGTTTGAAAGCTACTAGGTCACCCTCACAGTTGCGTACCGATGTTTTGGTCAATGTTTTAACGTTGGCATAACCAATACAAGAACCCCATAAGATGGATAATAATTCGAATGCTAATTCGAAGATGTGTGCTAATGGTAAGAAACAAATTAATCTATCCGTTGGTTGAACGAAACGAGACACCGGAACATCAGCACCACCGACACCAGCAATAATATTAGCATGAGTTAAGACAACACCCTTTGGATCACCGGTAGAACCCGAAGTGTACATGATACAAGACAAATCCTGTGGTTTTGGCTTATGGATTTCAATGGTATCATTATTGTCTTTACCAAATTGTAAAATTTCATCAAACGAATAAAATCTGATATCTGGACGTAGTTTTAATATTTCTTCCTTTGCTTCATTGGCAGACTTAAAGATCTTACCATTTTGTCTCTTATCATTTGGATTAATAATTTCTGAATGGATCACATATTTTATATTCAAACATGTCTTCAATGGTTCTATTAAAGTTGGTAAAAGCGCATTATCAGTGAAAATTGCAGAAGATTCGGTTTGTTGAATGGAATGAATCAACCCTTTTGCACCTAACGTATCGTAAGCAGTGACAATTGGAATATTTTGAGATTGGGAACCCAAATACATTTGCATCCATTTATGAGAAGTAGAAGCATAGATATGCAACTTATCATTACTGGCAGGAGTCAATCCGATGTGAACTAAACCCTTCCCTAAATAGATCATATTTTGTTCTAGTTGAGAGAATTTAATATATTGATAAGGAGTCAATTCATAATATAACCAAGTCTTTTCGACATCTTGTTTTTTACCATTGATAGTTTTAGTAACGGTCTTTGTTTCTTCATGGATATCAGTTATATTTCTCCAGCCCATGCAATTATTATTCTTGTAACGTTTGCAACATTCTGTAACCAGTTCAAAAACCGAATCACACTGGATGTCTCTTGGAGTTGTTACTGGTGCTTTGGCAGATCGTTGGTTTCTTCTTGGAGCAGTTTCATGCTCATTTTCTGGGTCACCAACTATAACGTTATACTGATATGGAGCCATGGTGTATTAATATGAAAATAAATATATATATATGTATGTATGTATGCACGTATGTAGGTGTGTATACTTGTATTAATAGATGATTGAGCATGCAACGAAATGTCTAAAGCAGATCAATCAACCAATTAATTGAATGTAAACAACTCAACACAACAAGCTATTTATTTGACGGACCTATCAACTGCCACAAGGTTTATATAAATGCTTATTGATTATCTTATTTATAAAATTTAAATAGATTAATTGTTAAAGCAAGCAACTTGAGAAAAAAGTCACAAAATAGAAGACCAAATTACTTATTTCTCTTATCATTCCAACATTCATCGATTAATTGTGTACGTTTATTATGCAACAAACAATTTTTCATTCAAAGTTTGAAATTTTTTATTTTATACCTTTTTTTTTTTTCAATTTTGTTCCCTTATAGAAAAAGTTCAAAATCCGTTAAACTAATGAAAGGAAAAAAGAGACAAGCAAAAAACGGATTAGGGTTAAGAAAACAGATTATGTATTTTTATTTTATGCTCTTATACATTGAGATAGGGGTTTGATGATAATACCAAAAAATATCCGAAGATAGCGAAGTTGCTAAGCGAATCAAAAAGTAAGAGGCGTTGTATTAACTAAGTATATTTCAAGGGTTACACAGTATTATCCAATTTGTGTAAATATCTTTCTGGAAAGTTATAGGGTTGATTTCTCTTTTTCATATTTCTAGGTGAGAGGGGGTAAATTATTCTTGCCATGTGAAAATTGTGGATTATTCTAGGGTTTACACAAAAAAGAAGAGGGCTTCTTTTGAGGATTGAAGAAGTTAGTAGTAGTATGTTTCACGAAAAAGGAACGATACACCCGTAAGAGAATGTTATGGATTATCTTTTTTTTTAGTCTTCTAGAAATTTGACGTTTTATTAGTTATCTTTATTACTAATATTTACAAATAATCATTACATAATATTGGTATTATAATTAATTATATAATCGTTCATACGTTTGCTTATATATATATATATATATATACATTACAACAGGTCACATCCCATAGATGCATAAAGAGAAGAAAGAGAGAAAGAAAAAGAATATGCATAATGATAAACAGACAGAAAGTATCATAATAAAGGTGTTAAAGTAAAGAAATGAATGTAGAAAAAAGAGAGAATAAAAAAATATGTTATAGAGAAAAAAAAAACGAGTCATTAATAAAATCAATCAATCAAGCTGGTACATTCCATCTAACAGTTTTGTTTGGGCGTGTGGTTGGTTCTTCATTGAAATCAATGTTAAATTCATATCCACGAATTAAGGCATAGTCATCTTTTGTAGATATTTGTTCATCTTCTGAATCATAAATATCACCAAAATAAGTGCTTCTCAATTTTTTGTGTTTTTCTTTTATCTTATGATTTACAGGAATCGTTATACGCTCCCAAACACTTTGTATGATAGGAATATTGTAACTTGATTCCTTACTTTTTGAAGTTGATGATGAACAATTATATATACGATGAGACGTTGAAGAAGATGATGCATTGAGCTCAGTTGCATATATTGTAGCATCGTCTAGAGAACCGTTACCAGAACTTACTATAAGATGCAAGCTTCTGGAATCATTTCTGATGATTGGTTTAATAGGAGTCTTGCTCCTATGTTGCGGTATGGATAATCTAACATCCGAATCATTTCTCTTCTTAGAATTTAATGAGGGTAGATTTAACATAAACTCTTCTTCTCTTTTATCTGAATTTATACTTTGTAATTCAATCAAGGTAGAAGGGATAATAGTATTTGGTTTATCCATAGAAGAGTATCTATCTCTAGAGCTCCATGGTAAATAAGGTATGGCATTAAAATCTAGAGGTTTTTTAGGAAGATCCAGGCTGGGAGAGCATGAGGAAACGTCACTTAGTGGGCTTATTGTCTCTAAATCAGAGATAGGAGATTGTGCTTCTAGATCTCTATTCAATCGTTCCCCTAAGATTCCTTCAAAACTGTCTATCATTGTTCTTCTGTGACGAAGTTCTGTTGGAATAGGTGATAATATTGGAACATGAGTATTACCAGCGTAATTAATGTTACTAATATTCCCATTATTTTTTCGTACCTTCTTTGAAAATGAGTTTATCTTTTTTCCACACTTATGTGGTTTGGATGGAGTTAATGTTATATTATTGTCACTATGAAAATTATGATTTTTTGTCTTTTTGTTTGGGGTTGATGGTATAGTTAGCGAATTAATTTCATAATTTTTATGTGGCGGAGTAGATATTGAGACGTTACTTATGAAAGAAGAAAATGAAATAACGGAAGTAGCAGTTGTAAGAGTATTCATGGCTCTTCCAGTATAATGTTAAAAAGCAATAATGGCTTGATCTTTATGCTTTTGTAGTCGTAGTAACGAAAGTTGTATCAGTAATGTACGGAATTGTTATACGCTCAGTTTAATTACTCCGACTTTTATTGTAAATATATAGAGTGTTAGTGGGGTGTCAGTAAAAATAATATTATATATGAAGGAAGGCACCAAACATTATTACAACGTTCGAGAAAGATGACTTTGATTTATCTATTCTAAGAAAAACTGTAAACAATAAAAGGTAAACAAAAAAAAGCGAGAAAAAAAAAGAAACGAAAAAAGAAAACAAAAAAAAAAAAGGTGGAAAGCGGAATGAAGGCACAGGCAATCCAGTTGATTACAATAGCAAGAATCATTAAGACACAAATAATACTCTTTGAATTATACAACTTTTCTTACAAACCGTTCGTATACTTACGTATAGCAGATAACATAGTACGTCTTAAACACTGTGGAGTTTTCATTATTATTTTGGTTTTTAAAGTAGAGAAGGCCTCAAAATTTACGGGTAAAGCTGGATAAGTAGTATGAACATAAACTTTACAAACTTCAAATATTTATTCATGAAGTTGTAGAAGCCTGATTGTCAAATTTTGTTATTGATGTCTTTATATCCTGTCATCCATAAGGGTTGTTGTTTTAGTCTTTTAGATTCATTCTCCTATCTACTCTACTGAGTAAAAAAAACAGCAAATGAGAAAATAAAACTTTCAACTAATCTTGCGCAAAAAGACTAAAATAAGTGTTCACTTTTTTTCCTTTGTCATTTTTTTTGTATTTTTTTGTACAGGTAATAAGAAAAATAGGAAACAATATCCAAATGCAGTTCAAAAAAAAATAATTCCAAGAAATTTTAGTAAAAATTAAAATCTAGAACGTTTTTAAAATTTCATCAATAGAATGTTATTTATGAATATTATCAACTCCAACAAGGAAAATAAGATGGATTCTTTATAATAAAGAATTACGTATAATATGATATAAAGGGTATATTTTTTTTGCACCTAACTGTTTGCAGACTGTTTTATTTTACTTAATGTACAATTGTTTATTGTGTCTATCAATAAATATTCTTAGTAGGTACGTTATATTTTTTTTCTATTCATAGAAATACAAGTACTAGTAGAATAGAAATATTTTGAAGTTCTTTTGAGTACATGTCTTTGGTTTAATGTTTTAAAAAAGATGTTCAGAATGTTAGTCTTATTTATAGAATATTACCTTTGGTCATTTAAAACTCAAAAATGATTTATTTTGAAACTTCATTAGATTACTATTTTGGGTAAAAATTTTCAAATAGTTAGATTTGTTTTCCTCCCTAGCTACGTACGAACCTTGAGGAAAGTAATTTGACCAATATCAGGCTTTTTGCGTTTTGAAATAAGAGAAAAATACGATTAGCTAAATATGTAGTGTTTAACTAGATCTTAAGTACACTTATTGAATAATTATATAACATAAAGAAAGGCCGTCACATTTGATATATTAATGGTAATATTAGGTATTTGACAATGTATACAGAAAACTATAGCAAGAGAAGAACAAAAATAACATAGCTTGTTAAATTATGTTTACAATTTTATTCTTGAATTACAAAGTATTTAAATATTGATTCAATTGATGATAATTTACTCTTAGGTATCTTACAACTAATAACAAATTTTATAAATCTTTTTAAAGAAACTGAGAATTTTTACAATGAATCAATTGATATATTTGAACTAACTAATGTTGAAAAGTTTGTCAAATAGTGGAACCAACTATAACACAATGAAGTTAGTGAAAGCAATTACCTGTTATGCAAAATATCAATGAAATTAAATTGGTTATGTTCAATCTTACTGAAAAATAAAAGGACTTATAACACATGCTTTAGTGATTCCAAAAGATGAATTCAATTGTAAAAATTTATTAAATGATATTCAAGAATTATTGATAGTCAGTAAGGTATGTAGAAATGGAGCAACTAGCACATGGCAATACAAAGACCCTACTTTTGGAATTAGAGAATGACTCTCCAGACTGGATTCGATATCAAAAATAAAACGAGAAAATAGCAGAAAAAAAATACGTGAAAATTGTTGGTGATATAAACCGAACTACTTTATTTGTACAGTGGTTGTTATTATGAAAGGTATTGTAGAGATGTTTATTTATTGGTTATGATATAATATAAAAAAAATTTCTTTGTTTATTTTTGTCGAATTTAGAAAATTTTTGTTAATTTTCAATTTCTATACACTTATTCCCGAGCTTATTGTCAACTTGCAGGAAAACAATAATCTCATAATAAGAATTCAGTCATTACAGCAAATCCATGTTGTTTCTGAAATTCAAATATTATTTGATTTTATAATTATATTTCGGGTGATTTCTTCATTTGGAAATTTTTTTCAACATATCGCTTTTTTTTTTCTTCTCACACAAAAATGGCAAATTTAACTTTTTTTTTTGATATATTACTCTATTGTTTATTCATTTGTGACAATTGTGAAAAATAAACTTTTTTTGTTTACTCAATAATCAAATTAGGAAACATGCTGTAACATTTTTTCTTGTGTTTGTTTTGTGATATCCTTTTTACGTAAAATAAGATCAAATTTTATTAATTTGACTTTTATAATAGCATAATATTTATTATTGTTGTTGTTCTTTCATTTCCTGTTTTGTTAATGTGCAGGAACTTTAACTGGTAACATTCTTTTTCAAATTAAATTTGAAACTACTAAACTGAAAACGAAGAAAGTGTCTAGTTCTTAACTCTACTTTACTAGATCTAGAAGTTGAGTTTTATAATCTGAATACAATAACTTATTAGAGGTCATGCTTCTAACAAAAGTGACAAATGTAACTAAGTATTAGTTAGAACTACTTTGGGTTACCGTAGTTAGCAAAGTGTCTTATGGGAACAGAACTTTTAGTATCATTCATCTCTGACAGAAGAATAATTAGTAAAAATATGATAGTATTTGGTAGTAATCTCTTTTTTTAAGGAATGTGACGTCTAAAAGTTTTGAGACATTGATTTTTGGTAATTCAAAGTAATTTTTAATCTAATTGCTTATTCCATTTCATTTCTAAAGATTGTATGATCAGTAATATTAGTTCAACATTTCGTGTTGGATTTCCGATGGGTCTTGCCACGTAATTATTATTCAATAAACATTTTCAATGGCTTGTTTTAAGGTTTTTTTATCGCTCGAAAAGGAAATATAAACCGATCAATTAATTTAGAGTATTCTATAAAAAGTGAGTAAGAAGACAATAATTTTTTCTTCTTTAAGTAAAAGGAATGAACCTCACTGATACAATGTAGATTTATCACTGCCATAGTTATCAAGAAAACAGAGATTGGAATTAAAGCAAAAAAAATAAAAAATAAAACAGAATAAGGAATGTCAACTCTAAGTTGATATTGTCTATATCAATTTTATTTTCCGATCCTGTATAACAAAGGTTTCGAAAATGAAAGGAAAAAAAACGTGTTATATAAATATAGATCAAATTATTGTTTCAGGTGGTTGGTTTTTAAATTGGGTACACATATTGTAATTAATATATCAAAAAGGTTTGTAAGAAGATTTCATATTTTAGAAAAGATAAATAGGCAATTGGAATCTTTCACTTCAGTTGCAATGTAAAACTTGTTGTTTACAATTGTGTAATCAACGATTATAATAATTATTTTTTAAATGATGTTCTAAATTTTTATTTCTATAGTATTCAGAATTCAACTTTGTTGTAATTTTAATTGATGAAAGTCTAAGATTGGAAAACGTTTTTTCTTATAAAAATAGTTCTTCGAATACATTTATTTTTTTAACAGAAATAATATATTAAAGAATAATATTAATCATATCGTATGAAATTGTGAATACATAAATTAATTGATAGTTAATGAAAAAATCTTTATGCTTTTAAGGCAATCAATTATTTTCATATAATTGAGTTCTTTTAAATATTGAAATTCATATTTTGGTATTATGAATTTTGAAGAATGTGTTCTTTTCAAAAAAATCAAAATTGTAATATCAATGAGTAAATTTTTTTTGGGAAGGTATATAATACATAGGTATTCTTTACTTATCATTGTATCTTTTTTTGAGGTTATTAAACATGATATCACATATTTTGTTAATTTCGACTTTGAAAAAAGATGCTAATTTTGATTTTGCCAAAAAAGAGTAAATTAGATATTTTATGATGGTTACAAAATTTTCAATGTCTTCAAAATATTAGCGTCTATATATAAATCTTTTCAGAAGTTTAAAAAAAAAATGAGGGAAGGAAGGAAGTTGCAAAACAATCTTGAATAATTTCAAAATTTTTTTAGAAATATATTAAAAATATCTTATTACATTGATTATCTCTTTTTCATCATTTAATTGGAATATTTTAGATAAGTATTTTTAATGTAAAAGATAAAAGCATCAATATTATTATTAAACTGAAAATTACTTACGATTGTATATATGTAATGTTTGGGAAAAAGCTGTTTTTTGTCATCTTTCAAAAAACTTCTTACCTAATCTTTTTGTAACGCCAAAAACATACATAGTGAAATTTAAATTGTAAAATATGATCTCCTACATAAAGATATATTGAAATGTAATATAAATCTATTTCTTTAGGGAACAAATAAAATATTTCAAGTTCGAAAAACTATTCGATGAATTTCAATAAGTGATTTGTAGTATTATTAATATGTTCAGCTGGACGATTTCTTTAAATTAAATTTACTTTATATTCTATTCAAGTAGCTTTGGGTAAACCTACTTAAAAGAATATAAGTTTTTCCAAGAATAGTAATTTTTTAACTTTAATAATTGTATAAAAATGATAATATATGCCTAAGTGCATATAGAATTTTTCGATTTGTTATAGAATTAATATATGTAATTTAAACTATATAAAAAATATTTTTTGTATGAATAAAGATATTAACAGAAATATACTGATTATAAGGAATATTAGCACTAGTCTAATTAGAAAATAAATAAGCACGTTTTACTAAAACAAAATTGATAGCAAAATGATTTTTTCTTAAATTAACGAATATAGCAATAGCATTTTGGCAAAATAAAATTCATTAAAATTGGATTTTATTTATTGAAAATTTTGTAAATATTTAAAGGAGTGGTTCATTTCTTTTATGGTTCTTATCTTTTAATTTCAACTCCATCTATGACGGAAAAGAATAACAAAATGCCAAAAATATTTCATAGAAAATCTAAAATGTCAAGTTTAAATAATATAGTTGAGCCACAAAAATCAGTTGAACAATCTCAACATGATGTACAGGAGATAAATGAGAATTACTCTGCTAAATTAAACAATATATCAAATAATAAACAACATAGTCAATTTAGAACTATCCAGTATTTGAAGAGTTTTCCAATTGTCCAAGAAACACAATCACATGCAAATAATTGTGCAGTCACAAGAGTGGTTATTGCAAGTGTAGAACCTGTTTTGGTTAAAATAATTAATTCTAAACCTATAAAAATTGTGTCTCCGATTACAAATTTTGTAGATAAAATTGGATTTTCGTCACTAAAATTAACTGAAAAGTTAATCCCTTCAATTAAAACGAAAACTTTTAAGAAGTTGGGAGATGATATGATGATACCTGTTAAAAAAACCAAAAGCATAACCAAAAGAATAAAATCTTCAATGGTTACTAAAACCCAAAAATATGTTTATAAACCAACTCACTCTCAAATCATACATTTTAGAAAATATTACAATGAAAAAATTTATGATACTAAAGGAAAACCTTTAGTCAGAGGTGCTTTCGATCCAGTAATATTACCATTAAATAATGCCTTTGAAAATTCAACACATAAATATTTTCCAGATGGTAAAGCTGTCTATGGTTCTTTTTCATGTGAATTTGATAGAAGTGTGGCGTTATCTTTTAGACTAATTCAAAATATCATTCCCGCATTGGGATCCAAGACTAAAACGATTATTTTATGGCCCTTAGTTTATATGCAACATGCTAATTTTGTCTTAAACAGACACTTAGATATGCAACCCAACCTCTGTGTTAGTAACAGTGGTAGAGCAACATACGGCTCTATTAAAGAGCTGTATCATGAATTCATAAACAATACTAAGAAGAAAACCCCATTAAAATATTTTACTAAAAGAAATTTTGAAGAAAAAGTAGATATTGCCACAACTAATCCTGTTACTGTACATGGGAGTATACCTCATACAGTAATTGAAACTACAGCTAGCACTGAAAAACCATTAGTCAACAATATAATAGAACATGTTTATTCACCATTTGAAACAAGTTTTACAACATAGCAAGTTGAAGCAGTCTATTAAAAACTGAAATTTTAAGTGTACTTATCCAACTTTAAAAAATACATATCTTTTTGGTGTTTGATTTCAAAATATCTTTTATTCAGAATAATAAATATATATCTTTATTTTTATACTTTTTTATATATTGCTATATAGTTACTTTAAATCAATATTCCTTTTTATTTTTTTTTTTTTGATTTTCTTTTTACATTCTCTGGACTGTTTTACATCCGTACATACTTCTATAAATTTTATTTGTTTTTGTTTTTTTTTTTTTAAATTTCAATAAGTTTTCCGGCTTTGTCAAAAAATCACATTAATGTGTTAATTTCGGTAGTTTTTTAAACAAAAAAACAAACTCATTGGAAAGAATATTCGATATCGAAACAGTTATCCTCTTGAGAAGTTAACAAATGTTTAGAAAGAAGCCAAAGTATCCCAGTCTCAATTCCAAACTCCAACTTACACAGAAACCCGCTTGGTAACACCTCATTTTTTCGTCACAGGAAAATTCTTTCTAATCTGCCCGAACCAGTTTCCCAATATGGGGGGAAAAAGGAAAATAACCATGTCCCACCTTTAGTAAACGTATTGTAGCAAAATGGGCTTTGTGGTGTATGAATGAATTTAACAAAACGTATTGTACCATCTTCTTATTGTGTGCCATACATTATGGGCGTCTTGTATAAAACTGGCACCTGCTGGCACCTTGAAAGTTCATACTAAGACAAGCGAAGAGGAACCAGACTACTGAAAAAGTGAGTAAGAATATGAATAGCAGATAACAGGACCGTTTGATTGAGAGATAGATGATGTTACAAAATTAATTCTGTAAGATTAATTATAATTCATGATTTACGTGGAATAATGTATGCATAGATGATAATATATGATCCATATTTCCCTCCATAGGATGTAAATTTGGAAAAAGATTTAAAATCATACAATTGTATATTTTGGAAATTGAGTTTGGTTATATTGTCCATATAAAATGTTTATCTGAAGTGACTATTAAATGGATTATTTTCTATTTACGAGATATGTGGTGTTAATTTAGTCTAATATTATCCACAACTCTCTCAGGTCTTGGCCACCTGTTAAAGCAAGTTTTTATGGTATTAGGAAAATGCTTACTAACAAACCAAGTTTAACATTAAGTTTGTACTTTGTTATAACTGATGTGTTAACAATTCTATTTTGCGTTTTATTTTTTTTAAATAGTGGCTAATTTAAGAGAATATCAAGTTATTGGTCGTAAGTTACCAACTGAATCCGTTCCAGAACCAAAGTTGTTCAGAATGAGAATCTTTGCTCCAAATGAAGTTGTTGCCAAGTCTCGTTACTGGTACTTCTTACAAAAATTACACAAGGTTAAGAAGGCCTCTGGTGAAATCGTTTCTGTTAACCAAATCACTGAAGCTCACCCAACCAAGGTCAAGAACTTCGGTATCTGGGTTAGATACGATTCCAGATCTGGTACTCACAACATGTACAAGGAAGTTAGAGACGTCACCAGGGTTGATGCCGTCGAAACTTTATACCAAGACATGGCTGCTAGACACAGAGCTAGATTTAGATCTATTCACATCTTAAAGGTCGCTGAAATCGAAAAGACTGCTGATGTCAAGAGACCTTACGTCAAACAATTCTTGACCAAGGACTTGAAATTCCCATTACCACACAGAGTCCAAAAGTCTACCAAGACTTTCTCTTACAAGAAGCCATCTACCTTTTACTGAGTTCATTACAATATTCTTATATATCTATATTAATATTTTCATTTAGGTTAATTGTATAATTTAGTAACTAGGTATCCTTTAATTTTAAAGTATGAACATATATAACATTACCAATATTTAGTGACAGATGTCAAGATATACAACGATTACATCATATGCAAATATATGAGTTCGTGATATGTAAAGGCAGATAATGTGTGGATCCACTCTTTGCTATTATCTATGTATATCGAACATTCTCATTTTGCCCATGTGAAATTTTATAATCTTTGAAAAAGTTTTCAAAACAGAGAAAAAATCAAATATGTAATAGTATACCTCGTTTTTAATAATATAGATAACTACAACTTGTATTTATTTAAATCAAAACTGACTTATGTAATTTTTAACTTATACAAGAAGATATTATTCTACTTCCATTTACAACAATAATATGCTTTCAGCCTATAGTTGACCAGTTGCTCATTACTTTATAAAATTCAGAAGAAGACATAAATTTTATCTAACGTCGTCATGTCAGAAGTAAAAGATACAGTTAATAGTAAGCTCCATGATGAGGATATGTCCTCCTTATCAAAAAGAAATATCAAACAAGGAGCAGGGAAAGTTTTATCAGTGTCAACAACGGAGAATGTTAGTGATGAAGACGTTCATCTACCTGTTACAGAAATACATATAAAGTCACATGAATGGTTTGGTGAGTTTGTTACAAGACATGAAGTACCACGTAAAGTTTTCCACTCCTCGATTGGATTTATTACACTATATTTATATACACAAGGTGTGTATTATAAGAATGTCATCAAACCATTGGTAATAGCTTTTGTAATTATTTTTGCGTTAGATGTATTAAGATTACATTGGCGTTTCTTCAACGTTCTTTACTGCCATGTTGTAGGTCCATTAATGAGGAAAAAGGAAGTACATACCTATAATGGTGTCTTGTGGTATCTTTTGGGATTAATACTTTCATTCACATTTTTTTCAAAAGATGTAGCTATGATTTCTTTGTGCCTTCTAAGTTGGTCCGATACTGCAGCTTCCACATTTGGTAGAAAATATGGTCATTTAACACCTAAGTTAACTAAACATAAGTCATTAGCTGGTACACTGGCTGCTTTTATTACAGGAGTAATCACATGTTATATGTTTTATGGCTTTTTTGTGCCAACTTATGGTAGTACCAATACCAATGGGATGATAATGTGGACTACTGAAACAAGTCGACTAACTTTACATGCATTAGCATGGCTAGTAGGTTTAGTTGCTGCGTTAAGTGAAGGGATTAGCATTTTTAACTGGGATGATAATTTTACAATTCCTGTTCTCTCATCTATTTTTCTTCACTTTGTAATTTATTTGTTTTATATATGATAAACGGTTTGTATACATAACCTACTGTTTATTGAGTAACTATCTATTTCAGATTTCTTACTGTTTGAGGAGAAACTTTAATATGTTTATCTTTTTACCGCTTTAAGAACATTCTTTACATCAAAATTGAAATGGATCAAAAATACTAGTAGTACTATTATTCTCAAAAGTAGCCTTCACATTGTAGACCCAACTTCAGGACAAACCTAAGTTTACAGTTATCAGTCGAGAACTTACATACAACCATAATTTCAAGAAAATAACGAAAATTTTATCTTATATAAACATTTATACGTATCAAAAAAAAAAAAAAAAAAAATCAAAAGAAGCTTGTTAAAAAAATTTATGTTAGTCTAACAAAAAAGATAAACTATTTATTTATAACTATATTTTAGCTTACTATAATCTTTGTAATATTGATTCGGAAGGTGTATTTAATTTAAGAGACTCTAGGTATTAATATATTATATGTTGATACTGTCAACTACATTAATACATGCAAAATATATTTGATTACTTTTGTTAAAAAAAAAATAGGATAAAAAGAATTGTTTTTTTTAACTTTGATAAAAACACACAGAGAATTTTCTCAACTAATATATTAAAAAAATGAAGTTTAATTTTATGCTGTAATATTTATTACTTATGGAATGCATTTAAGATACATTTTAAAAAGATATATGTAATAGACATCCATGATTGGTATGTGTAAAAAAAATAATATGAAATTATGTTAAAAGCTAAAAAGAAAAGTAAGATCAACATAATTTCCTCTTAAATGAGATTCTATACTAGCACTACTTTACATAGTTACCATTAACAACGAATATTCATTCTATTAAATGGGATTTTCTTCTAAATATTCATAACTTATCATTATGTTACCAATTTCATGTTTCTAAGATTTCTGTATAAATGTCTCTGATTAACGGATTTAATTGAGCCTAAAATACATACAAAAGGAGAATATCTTCAAAGACTAATTTATTTTCTTCAACTCTTCTTCCATATATTATTTATATAAAACATATAATAAAAACAAACAACAAGATCTAGAATAAGAAGTAAGAACATGCCTTGTATAAGATGCCCTAATTAGAAATCCTAAAATACATAGTTCGTGGGTAATGCCGAATGTGGAGGCAAAGGACTTGGAACAAGTGAAACTGTGAGTCCAGATTGTGAGTGTATTCAAACAAACAATCATCAGATTAACATTGATGGCGAAACACTAAAAAAAATATTTTATAAACCTTTGATTATTTAGAAATGATGTTAGAGGTAATTTTCAGCTTTAACATTGATATTCTATCTAATAGGTTCCACCTAGAAAAAAAACTACAATAATAATAATTATTGGGAATGAGTGCCTATAGTAATTGGATAAATAGTAAACATTCTCAATATTATATTAAACAGATTTAGTATACAAAATTATAATAAAGTTCTTCACTTTTTTCTCTATATACAACATAGAAATAATAATATACAAAGATTGTAAATAAGATAAAAATAATGTATGATGAAATCCTTGGCTTTATATATGTTAACATTCAACCATTTTCCTCTACGAACAGTAAGATATTTAATGAACAAACTCAACAACTTTTGGTGACCTCTCAACGATTATTACCCAACAATTTATCGTTTAGTGTCTGCTAAAATCTTATTGTTCTATCTATTTCATTATAGAATATTCTATTTCAACAATAATAACTAAAACTAATATACCTAATAGTTAGGATTAACCAATTATATAATTTGTAAGTGTTTATATGTGTTGGAAAATGTGAGTTCATTACTGTCATTTCCATAAGAATTATTTTTAATTAGTCTTTCTGTATATTATGTGGTGCACGAATGTACCATAATTTCAGGTAGACACTTTGTTTTTCATCAAATATATTTTTCACAGATTTGAAAAGAAATGAAAAACTTTAAAAGAAGACTTGAAGTAAATACAAGAATTTATACTGTATACACTTTATAATAAGTATATACATGTATTTAGTACACAATGAAGAAGCATCTATAACTTAATGATTTCTGTCATTACCATGGACGCTAGGAGCTCCAAATTCCAACAAAAATAATTCTTATTGAAATGACAGTAATAAACTCTCATTAGCAAAAAGACAATACATTGCAGTACATAATACTAATATAGCATATATAAAACATATCTTACAATTTCGATTGTAATTAGAGTACAATCTATCCAACGCGATTCCTGCTAAGATCGAGTTCTAATAGTGTAGTGGCTATCACGTTGTCTTCACACGGCAAAGGTCCCGAGTTCGATCCTCGGTTAGAACACATTTTGAGTAGCAACGTTTTTGCATCATGCAGTATCCCTGATATTACTGTTTAGGTTTTGTTTAGAAAAATAAGGGTTGGCGATATTTTTCTAAACTTTCCTTTTTGCAAAATTTTACAAACATAGATAAAAGCAGGAGTAACCAACATAAGTACAAGAGAGCAACTAAGAAGCAAGCAAGGAACAAGGAATCAAGGATTACATAAGTTTAGATATATAGTATATAAGTGTATACTATTAGGTTATCTTAGATTAGGGATATAGATATATAGATATATAGGAATATTACATCTAGAGATATAGAAAGAGTCTATATCTTATATCTATCCAAGTGAAATATTATTGAGATTTGAACAAGAATTACTATTATCAGAAACACATGATCTCAGGGTTATTACACATCACTTATTACGGTGAGTATGTATTATAGGTTTTATCAGTGTATAAGGATAGACAATTTTTGATGTTGTAATAGATAATAAACCTATTACGAGAGGTATACTCTTCTAAACACTAAAATAGATAAATATTGCTTGATCGGTTCTCTATATGTGCTATATAAACTATGCTGTACACAAGAGATAAAGTAACATAAAAATACTTATGCTGCTGTAAGCAAGAGAAACAAGAAAAACAAGAATATCGTCGTCGACTTAAGAGTTCCATGATCGTTTATAGTGATATCAGGATTCCATGTGTCAGAGATGTAATAGTATTCCAGATATCAATATGCTAGGTCTGTAAAATAATTCCTTATCATATATCCATCCAAGTAAGTTATCAATATTACTATCGTTTCTTAATCAGCCACTATTAAAACTTTATACACTGTAGTATCACATGAGAAGTACAAATATTCATAAAGAACATATTTGTGACGTGCGCACATACAATATGTAATTGTAATTGATGATAATATTTTATAAGAGATAGAATCTTCTAAAATATAAAATAAGATAAATAAATCTTAATTATTTTCCAAATATATGATACACAAAACCGTACTCCATATAAAGAATAGTGTAGGAAAATACACCTATAAACGTTAAGTTTTTAAATATGAAAAACATGGATATTGACATCATTTATAAAGTGAACAAAGTTGTTGACAGTAACATTAGGTGATTTATGTCACAGAACTTCTAAATCTGTGATATTAAAATAGTAAGTTATTCAAAAAAAAAAAAAAAACATATCAGTTCTCTATGAATTAGTCAAGCTAAAAGCACAGCATCTTTCTATACTTTAAACAAGCATAGAAAAGCCAATAATTTAACTATACTGTTCTAAATAATTTAGTTAACATAACTATTTATTGCTTACTATATATTTAATCCTTTTTGCTATTCTAGTTTAGTTAGTTAATGTCTAGTTCCGTTCACTTGTAACTTTACCTTGATGATACTGTGTTGTCTTTTAACAGACTCTGTCTACAAAAATGTTTTCAAAAAAGATAGAGTTGTGAAAATATCAGTAATTCTCGTATTTTTATACGACTAATTAAAATTGTTAATACCCTAATCTAAATTATCACACGGCACCTTGTCGATTAAGTGATAAAAGAAACTCTATAGATAGATGCATATGTTTATATTATGAATGGTTTAGTAGAATAGCTGCGGTCATCTATATTTTCCTCTGCACAATATATATAACATGTTAGTTAATCTAGAATGACAATTGAACACATCTGTTTTTTTAAATGTAAGAAACCAAAAGATTAACACTTTCCAATGTACAAACACATGATGCCAATCAATTTCATGTGTTCATAATATAGAAAATCTGGACCTAATCCAAAACTATCAAATACTAAATTCCGCGAGTCCCTCCTGGACACCTAAATAGGGACGGTTTGTCCATTCCGCCATATTGGAATATGCTAAAAATGAGTAGAGAAGTACGTTTCTGTTGCGGACAACTTACAGGTTGATTTTCCGTAATTTTCCGAATAACGAGAATCATAAAAACTTCTAAAGCCGATCTGATTTTTTCAATTCTTTCTCTTTTTTTTTTCCTTTTGAAAAATTTTTTGAGCTCATCGAAAATTTTCTGAAACGATACACAAAACAATTAATATTTGTAACATAGTAGATAAAACATGTGTAGATTGCAATTTTGGAAGTAATTTATATTGTTTATGATACGGTTACAAACTAAGAGATCCATAGCAGTGTGTAGTTAATTTAATAAAACCATATGTCCTACGTGTTAACTGAAACTTCTGCAGGTTATGCCCTTTTAAAGGCCTCTGACAAAAAGATTTACAAATCTACTACTTTAATTGAAGATTTAAACTCTTCTGAAAAAGTATTAAAGGAATTTAAAGTTGCTGCTTTCTCTAAATTTAATTCTGCAGCAAATGCATTAGAAGAAGCTAATTCTATTATTGAAGGTAAAGTATCTCCACAGTTAGAAAAGTTACTACAAGAAATCAAAAAGGATAAGAAGATTACTTTGGTTGTTAGTGAAACCAAATTAGCTAATGCCATTAACAAGTTAGGTCTCAACTTCAATGTTGTTTCAGATGCAGTCACACTGGATATTTACAGAGCTGTGAAAGAATATTTACCAGATCTATTACCTGGTTTAAATGAAAGTGATTTAGATAAGATGTCTCTAGGTTTAGCACATTCTATTGGTCGTCATAAATTAAAGTTTTCTGCTGATAAAGTTGACGTTATGATTATTCAAGCTATTGCATTATTAGATGATTTAGACAAGGAATTAAATACTTATGCTATGAGAGTTAAAGAATGGTATGGTTGGCATTTCCCAGAATTAGCCAAGATTGTCACAGACTCTGTTGCATATGCAAGAATTATTTTAACAATGGGTGTTAGATCTAAGGCTCATGAAACTGACATGAGTGAAATCTTACCAGAAGAAATCGAAGAACGTGTTAAAACTGCTGCTGAAGTGTCCATGGGTACTGAAATTACCCAAACAGATTTAGATAACATCAAGGCCTTAGCTGATCAAATTGTAGACTTTGCTGCTTATAGAGAACAATTATCTAACTACTTATCTGCTAGAATGAAAGCTATTGCTCCAAACTTAACTCAATTAGTTGGTGAATTAGTTGGTGCTAGATTAATAGCTCATGCTGGTTCTTTAATTTCTTTAGCAAAGGCTCCAGCTTCTACTATCCAAATATTAGGTGCTGAAAAAGCTTTGTTTAGAGCCTTAAAGACCAAACACGACACTCCAAAATATGGTCTTCTATACCATGCTTCTCTAGTTGGTCAAGCAACTGGTAAGAACAAAGGTAAGATTGCTAGAGTCCTAGCTGCCAAAGCCGCAGTAGCTTTGCGTTACGATGCTTTAGCTGAAGACAGAGACGATTCTGGTGACGTTGGTTTAGAAGTCAGAGCCAAGGTTGAAAACAGATTATCTCAATTAGAAGGTAGAGACTTAAGAACAACACCAAAGGTTGTCAGAGAAAGCAAGAAGGTGGAAATCACAGAAGCCAGAGCTTATAATGCAGATGCTGACACAGTGACTGAATCTGCTTTACCTGAAGCTGATACTGACGATGAAGAAGAATCTTCTGAAACCGAAACCAAAGAAAAGAAAGATAAGAAGAGAAAGAGAGATGATAAAGATGAAGAAGAATCTAAAGAATCTAAAAAATCCAAGAAGGAAAAGAAAGAAAAGAAAGAGAAAAAGTCCAAGAAAGAAAAGAAAGAAAAAAAAGATAAAAAGGATAAGAAATCTAAGAAGGAAAAAAATAAATATGATGCATAAATATTGACTTACAAATAATCCAAAAAAAAATGTCTTTTCCTTTTTAAAATATAGTAAAAAAGGAATAATATCTTTTTATTTGTTTATTCTTATTTTGAATTTTTTTTTGTTTTTACCATTTCATTTTGAATCTTTTGTAAATTAGAATACTCTCACTTTTAAGAAATCACTGCTGAACATTGTTTGTTCAGTTTATATTAGTATATATCTATATGTGTAGCTTGTGTTTATAGGATATTTATAACATTAATGACAAGCTTAAAATATAATTGAATATTACTTGTATTAGGGAAAGGATGTCCTTCTATTGGGTCGTGTTAGTTAAAGAGAAAGAAGTAGGATAATTAATTATAGTTAGACCAAATTAACTAAAGGCATGATCATATGCACATCATAACAAACTATAGTGTTACATTTATTCTAAAATACGTTATTAAATTACATTATATTTTGCATTAATATAATACCTAATGTTGTAGTTAGTCTTATTATTTTCTCAGCAAAAAGAATATAAGTTGGATAAATCATTATCTCCTTCCCCTGATGGAACATATATCAACATGTACATATTTTAGCTCTCAATATATAGTTTACAATAATTAATTAAAATACCCAATTGTCCATTAAATCTATAAGAGAAAAAATGCTATGGGACATGAAAGCATTTCATATTGTTTTTTAATTAGGAGTTGTAGAAGACTTCAAAGAACCTATTGTACACAAAAAAAAATTAAAAAAAAGAAAAATTAATGTAAAACAATACATAAAACAAAAATAAAAAAATAGATGAGTTCACAATAAAAAGGTGGACTTAATCAAACGCGATTACTTAACCACCAACAAATAATCAATGCTGAAGAAGAGTAATAATCATCAACATAAGAAGGTGCATATATATAATAAGATCTATTAGAAACAGGCATATATGCACATTTTGTGGCTAGTATGAGTGAGGAAATATCGTTGTCAATTGAGGAAACAAATAAACTAAGAATACAATTAGGTTTAAAACCAATTCCGTACGATCCCCCAACAAAAAATGGGAAAAATATCGAAAGGCAAAGCCAGAGTAATATAGATAAAGAAATATCTTATGTGGAGAATAAGGATAGTTCTCATAATAAAGATATATCTTTTATCACTGAAGATAAGGTGTTTTTACTTCGGAGTAAATTATCAAAAATTAATCAAAGGATAAATGGAAACAAAACTAAACATGACCTATTGAATAAAAGTAGTAAAGAAAGTGAAAAGGATTGGTTAAATCAAGTAGGGAAGAGGCACCTAAACCAAAATAAAGTAAAGTTACAACATTATAGTGAAGAAGAAGATGATGGTTATGAAAAGGAAAAAAATAACGATACCAATAAAGTTTTTGACAACAGAAATGATGAATTGCCCATAATGAAAGTTTCTCATGACATTAATGCCCTTCCAAAGGAAGGTAACACTATTTTAACATTGAAGGACACCGATATCATTAATGATAGTTATAGCAGTAATGAAGATATTCTAGAAAATGAGGATCTTATAATACAGGAAGAAACTGAGAAAAATTTAAAATTGAAGACGATGAATAAAGATAGAAGAAGACATAAAATGAGTTTAAAACTATCCTCTGTAGATATTCATAATTTAGAATATGATATGGATTCTAAATTTATTAAGGACAGTATCATAGTAGGTGGCATAATACAGAGTGATGAAAATAAAGAACTAACAGCTTCTCAAAAACAGCAACAACAGAAGTTAATACAAAATGGGGATGGTAAAATAAGAGTTATATTTGAAAGTGATAATGAAGGTGATGAAGAAATTACGGATTTTAAAAGAGTTAAAATAAAGAAAAGAAAAAAGAAAGGTGTTGAGCAAAGTTTGATTAAGAAAAGGAAGAAAATTGAATTACCTCCAACTATGAATTTAGTTCACTTAAATGATGAAAGTGATGAAAAAGAAGATGATGACGATGAACTAAATAATTTAAGGACTATTATACCACAAAGAAAATCTAAAGTAGCAGATAATATGAACGAACATGAAATAGTCATGAAAATCAAAAGAGAGCAACTAGAAAGACAAGAGAGATTAAAATCTGTTAATAGATTAGGAAACATACATAAACAAAGTTTAACAATAGATGAAAGTTCTGCATTTTTTGATCTTCTCAACACCAATATTGTGTCAACTAATCCTTTAATCGAGAATCAAACCACAAATAGTCAAACTTTAGAGAAAACAAGTAATAACGATAAGAATATAATACATCAATCACCAACGAAAGACGATGTTCGTGACATACCAACTAATAATGATACAGATTCAAAAGTAAAAGTAGATTTCTATAATGGTATAGCTGCAACATTACATTTTTTAAAAGATCAGGATGTATTACCAAAGAGGAAAGTAGAGACATCAACAACTTCAAACAACATATTATCATCGACAAATCAGTTTAATGACAATATCCAAGCAGGTGATAATAGAGATCTAAGTCATTATAATCCAGAAATAAAATTGGAATACAAGGATGCATATGGTAATTTATTGACAACAAAGGAAGCATATAAGAAGCTTTCTCAAAAGTTTCATGGTACCAAGAGTAATAAAAAGAAACAAATGAAATTTAACCAGAAGATTATAGAAAGAAATCAGCATACTCAATTAAAGTAAACCAAAATTATTTGTTAATAGGCTTTTTAAAAGGAAGAGATGACAATCTATTCATCTCTTTTACATTTCTATAAACTCTTCGGTTGTCAAGGAAAAAAAATAATCAGATGAATAGAGAGGAGTACGTGCAATCTTTAACCATCTATAGAAAGTGTTTACAAAGAATTTTTTTGTTTCAATTTACTTATAAAAAATATTTTTAATAGCATTATCACTAATTACTAAAGATTACAGTCTCTACTAGTTAATATTACCTGACATAGATAATTAAAAGCTGTAAAAGCTTTTCTCTCCTTGAAAACAATGAATTGGTTTTTCATTACTTTTCTCAATTTGATGGTATCAAGAATCATTCATTTTTAGAAAGTATTTTTTTTTTGTTTTTTTTTTTCTTTTTCTTTTTTTTTTTTTTTTTTTGATTTACTTCTAATCTGTGCTTCAAAAATGGGGAGGGGACAAGACTTTTGTTATCTTTAGAGTAACGATGTAAAATGATGGCTCTCTGAAAAATAAAAAAAAATAAAAAAAAAAAAAGAAATTCTAGAGCAAGAAAATTTAAAAGTTAAACAAAGGACGAATGTATAATACCAACACAAAAAGGGTCTGATTAAGGAAACAGTGTTTTAGGTTCCCCCAAGTTACCATAAGCATTTGAAGAAAGGGTTTGTAGAAGAATATATCTTGAAACCATCAATTTATATGAGTTTCATATATTCTTGCATAAACTAACTATATTGTTTTCCAATAACTTGATAATACTTAGTTCTTTTTATATACTCAGTATTCTGTAAAACTATCAATAAATGAAAAGTTCATTTAAAATTCCTGATTGTAAAATTAGCGACTTTCTGTCTTTTCTCTTGAATTCTGATGATATTAAACGGTTAACAAGTAAGTAAAAAGAAAGACAATAACATTTTAATACTAACTGAGAGTAAATATTATATTGATAGCAAAGACTTTTATATAATCATTGAAGGATAATCTGTATTCAACTTCTCAATGTGCACCTTTATATATTCAATCGTTCATACATTGACTATATACAGAGTATATTGTTTTTTTTTTTTTTTTTTTAGTTATACCAAGATTGTTAAGGTCTAGTTCAAGTAACACTCAACAAACAATATGAGACGATAGGGCTATAATATTTTTCTAGGTACCTTTCTTTAGGAAGATTTCTTCTTTTTACATAGCTTTTTTCATCTGAAAAATTTTTAAGAGGAAAACCACCTACTAACGGGTGTAATTTCTAAAACTATAAACTCCACTTTGCAGGAAAATAAGATCTAAGAGATTCTCGTTTCTTTTTCTTTTTTTTTCTAGAAAACCGGAAACCGACTTCCATTACTACTATTGTTTTTTTCACATCTTATTCTATTTCTTTTTTTTTTTTTAATTTTAAGATAAGAAAATTCCGAGATCAATAAATTTTTTCTTTTGTGTTGACAAAAAGAGTATTTTTTTTGTTTGAATATGCCCAATATTTTCCCTTTTTTCCTAACTAAACTAACTGAGTCATCTTTATCATCCAGCCATTCTCCCCTTTGATAAAACTATTTTGAGTTAGGGTTTTGTAGAAATTATTTTGAAATCACCCATTCACATAGATTTTAAAATATCATAAAAAATCAACAATAATAGTATCTTTTTTTATATAGGGCTGTAATAGATTTTCAAAAACTTTTCTCCATAGGTGTTCTCTTTTTACAAGGTTTTTGATAAAAAAATTTTTCAAAAAACACCGTCAATAGTGATGTACTCTTCCAAAATTTGACCCACAATTGTAGTCATAATTATAATCTAGATTGACTAATTGATAGTAGCGGTGAATCTTTAATTACTTTTCGCTACTTTTTTTTACTTTTTTTTTTTTTTGTTTTTTCTTCCTCGATGTGTCAATTTAAAAGTAATCATTATTTCTACTCTTTTGTTCCATATAACAACAGCTTAACAAAGGTGATAATATATATATATATTCATACACACACACGTATATATATAACGCATCAACAAACGGTACCAATAATGTCAAAAATCTTAATTATACTTTAATCGTTCAACATTTGATAAATTTATTGTTACTTTTTTGTTAATAGTACGTGTAATATTTAAAGAACATATTCCAACCAACATATTAAAGTATCAAGATATAATTAAATTAGATCTTTTTTTCTTTCTTTCTTATTTGTTTCCGTTTTTAATTCTCCGACTTATTATATTCAATCCATACACATCAGTTACAAATATAATTGTGCGTATATAGAACTCTACACTATTAATGGTTAGTAATAATTTTATAGGGAATTCAATCAATGGTCCTATTCAAGACTCTTCTTCTTACACAGAAACTTCATCAACTAAGACTACTTTAGCTAATTTAGAATTAAATTCACCAAAATTGCATACAGTTGATTCAGTGGCTAGCTCTCTAAGTAGTGAGTCATATCTTACTGATACTGAACCTGCAGAGACATATATCATAGGATCTGCTAATAAAGGCATAGAGAAAAATCATGGTGATATAACAAGAGAAACTACAAGAGAATATGATAATGATTCATCCTCAGATTTAAAAGAAAATAGTGATACTGATAGCAAAACTGAAAAAGAGTCAAAATATTTTTATGACGATGCAGACGATGATGATTATCCTGAAGGCGGCCTTAAAGCTTGGACAGTTGTTTTTGGTTGTTTTTTAGGCTTAATTGCTTGTTTTGGTCTACTTAACACTACAGGTGTTATTGAAAACTATTTGCAAAACCATCAATTGATTGATGAAAATTCATCCTCCATTGGTTGGGTCTTTTCTTTATTTTTATTCATCACATTTGCATCTTGTATTTTTAGTGGTACATATTTTGACAGAAACGGGTTTAGAGACCCTATGATTTTGGGATCTATACTTTTAGTTGGTGGTCTTTTTGCTACTGCAAATTCTACTAAACTATGGCATTTCATCCTGTCTTTCTCTATAGTTGCAGGTTTTGGGAATGGAGTAGTTCTTTCTCCTTTGGTTAGTTGTCCTGCCCATTATTTCAAAAGAAAAAGAGGTACTGCTAGTGCATTAGCCACCGTGGGTGGTTCTGTCGGTGGTGGCCTTTTCCCACTTCTATTAAGAAAATTGTTTTCTTTAGAATCTAAAAAAGATCCATACTATGGGTTTGTGTGGGGGATCCGTACCCTAGCATTTATATTCCTTGTTTTGTTGGCTCTCTCTCTATGTCTAGTCAAAGAAAGACTGCCACACGTTGAGGTCGATCGTTCCACCACCAAACCTCGTTGGAAATACATAATAAGGGTCTATGTGATTGAAAGTTTCGATGCAAAGGCTTTCTGTGATTTAAGATATGCGTTTTGTGTCATAGGAACATGCTTTGGTGAATTATCACTTTGTTCAGTTATCACATATTATGGTGCCTACGCAGTTAGTAAAGGTATTAGCCAAGCTGACTCATATATGCTGATTATGGTTATTAACTTAACAGGTATTCCAGGAAGATGGGTTCCAGGAGCACTAAGTGACTCATTTGGTAGATTCAATGTTGCAATTGGTACTCTAGTAGGTCTAGGTATTATTATGTTAGTCGGATGGTTACCATTTTGCAATGATTTGAATAGTTTGTATGTGATTAGTGCTCTATATGGGTTCTTTTCCGGCAGCATCTTTTCATTATTACCGGTCTGTTGTGGACAAATTTCCAGAACTGAAGATTTCGGGAAACGTTATTCTACAATGTATTTCTGCGTCTCATTTGTAACTTTAGTTGGTGTGCCCATTACTGGGGCTATCATTGGTAATAAAACAGATGCTAATTACCAACATTATAAAATATTTTGTGCTGTTACAACACTATTTAGTGCATTTTGTTTTTTTATTTCAAGGTACTTTGCTGTTGGTTTAAGATGGAAGAAATTTTAAAGGAAAGAAGAGCTATAAATGTTTAAACAATAAATCTTCATGTTCTGTTCCTTAAGTTCTATTTCTTCCTTCCTATACATCTCCTTCTTCTTAAAATATACACATATATAGATACACTGGTGCAGTTGTTCTTTCCTTCTCCTTTTTATTTTCGTTGCATTTATAAATACATTTAATTATTAATTAATATTTAATTTACACACATGTTTAAAAATTACATTATACATTTATTTTTAGCATTACAATTGATTTTTTTTCCATTCATTTAAACTCTTTTACTCTTCTTATTCATTTTTAAGAATCTTTTTATCTGTAAATTCTTCTAATAACAACCATTTTACTTATTATATAAGCTTAATTTCAAAAATTCTTGGATTCCACAACCTTTAAATAATTTATTTATAGTATCATTTTCATAGTAATTTAATAGCTTACCACTATGAGAGATATCGAACGATTTATCACTGGTTTGTGTAATTTGACTAATTCTTAAATATATCAGTGACATATCGATGCTGTTAATTAATTTTAATCCATCAGGGGTTAACAAATGTGGTGAGCACATTATCATTATTGATGAGTTCCTTTTCTTGGGTGATACTAGAGTATTATACGTACCAATGAGTTCTCTAAACTCCTTTGGTGCAACTTTAGATTTATTGAATGCCTTGCATTGAATTAGCACATCAAATTCTACATCTTCACCTCTTGACAACTTATGAATAATTGGATTTATCATCCTTGACTTGAGTTTGATTCTTTTAGGAATATTTTCTGGTGGATACATGGTGGCTAAATCAACTTCTTTCCGAACGGTTGAATAAATTTTATTTAAATTCCATTTTGCTGTTATATCAACTCCGCCATCATGAGCACCACCGACTTTGCTCAAGTTACCCATAAACAATTTTTCATGTAATTCTCTCATTACGGCATGCTCATAAAGATTTCCTTGAAAGACTGTAGACTTTATAATACTCTGATTGCCATTTATATAATTTACCAATAAATCGTTATAAAGAGATTTCTGTTCTAATTGTCTAAGTAATGGTGTTAGTTTCATGGCCAAATACGTCCACAAAGTATGTTATTTTCATTTAATGTTTACCTAATATCTTTGCTTTCAAAGTTCTATTAGTTCCATTTGTTTCTATCTCTTTACTTACCTCACCTTACTTCATGGCATCGCTAAAAATCGTGTAGATGGAGAAATCCGAGCTTTTTCTCAACAATAGAGAGAAATAGGAAATGTAAACTCAAAAATCTTCGAGGTAATAGAATATAATTTTTTTTGTGTATAATAAACAGAGAGTTCTACCGGTATTACTACAGCTATTAATGAAAATAGTAAAATGATAAGGTCTTCCCTATCCACACAACATATACCTGTATTGTCAATATTGTTATTTGAATATCTTTGACAAATTTCAATTTTTTATCTGAAAAGTGTCTGACCAATTTTTATAAGACCCAAACTATTTTAATTTGTTTTTTTATAATGAGTTCTAAGACTGTGCCTGAAAACTCATCATGTAAATCATCAACATCAATAGATTCTAATTTAGAGAGTAACAAAAGTCCAAGCTCTTCAATCAATTCAAAAGTTCCGCCAATAGAAAATAATGACACTCGCATAGCAATGAAAAGTGAAAAGGAACAAGTCAGTATTTTCCAATTAGCAAATGATATTGAAAAAGCATTAACAGAGTTACAAACAGAGTTATCAAGAAATGAAAAAGACTTTCTTGATACAATCAGTAAAATTGAGAAGCAGCTGTCAGAACAGATTACGAAATGATTTAAGGAGATATACTTAAATATATAGTTATTTCCATCTCAACGTAGCGGTTTATTCCTTTTTTATCAATTTCATTTTAATCTCTTCCAGTTGCATATAAAATACATCCTCTTCAGCATATATAATTTTCTTCAAAGTAACTGTTGCTATTCTATTAGTTGTTAAAGTTGAAATGTTTATTTTTTGCATTATATTCTTTTATATATTACTTAAGTAATAAATCATCATATCTCTCTATATGAGCATTATTTATCATTTTATGGAATCAATAAAAAAAAATTAATTTCTATAATTTCATACCGGTTAAGAACAAGAGTTATTCTTGAGTTTTTGGTTTTTTTTCAATATGACCATTCATATTCGGCTTGATATTGGAAGCAAGTTTCACTCCATCTTCCTTCGACGACATACTCTTGGGTCTCTTTTTCTTAAAACTCTCTGGTGATTCATACTCACGAACTATTAATGTTAATAGCGTATTGGCTCTTTTAGAAAGTTCATGTATGGTTCTGGATCTAATAAACCAATCAAAAGTAAATAAATCGCTTAACATTATCTCTTGTTTTATCTTTTCATATAATTTATCATCCAGAAGGCCATACTTATTTACTGTTAAAAGAATAAACTTGTCTTCTAATGAATTATATGTTCTTCTAGCATTATTAGGTGGATATTGAATCATCATTTCATATAAGGGATATTCATATTGTTCTAATTTCTTTTGTAAGACAGATTCCTGATATCTTAGCTTTTGAATTCTTCTTTCACCATTTTTAATGGTCATTAAATATCTTTCATAACCTGTAATTTCGTTGTATCTCTTCCAGAAAACTTTTGCATATGCTTCCACTTCGTCTGGTGTTTTGCTATCAATAGACTCACGGATCATCCGCATATTATCTCTTCCATATTTAGCACATGCATTTATAAATGATGTAAAATCTCTTTTAGCCCAATTAGTAAACGCAAGGGAGATAAGCCGCTGTTTTTCTTTTTCATCATCATCAGTGAACTCTGGAGCATTATCAATCTTCTCTTGTTCACTTTTAATTTTCTTCTCTAATTCGTCCTCCTCTCTAATTAGCTCTTCCTTAGTTTTCTTTTTTTTCTTTCCTGAATTATCATCGTATTCTTCTTCTTCTTCAACATCATCCATTACATCATATACAGTAACTTGATAATTAATCTTCTTCTTAAACCATAACTGTTCTTTGTTTTGGATATCATCCAACTCCTTGGGGAAAAATTGGAAATCTTGACCTTGCACCCATTTAGGCGGTTTAGGTGTTTTGGTTTGAAGCGTTGTTTTACTAGACTTTGATGAACCTCCTCCAATTATTTCTTTATAATAATCATCTACAGAATATGTTTGTTGTTGGTCTCTTCTCCTTTCTCTTCTAGACGGATTAATCCATGTGAATGTTTTATCAGTATTCTTTTTTTGGAAATTTCGACCATTCCATTCATAAGCAGATTGATTATCAAATTCATTGAACTTTTGCAAGTCATCTAACCCAAGGGCTTGATATTTAGCATTTAATTCTTGTGTCTTCTGTTCACCTTTTTTCAAAATCTCATCTATGTCCACATCTGTAGTAATTCTATTAGTATTTTTCTCAAAGACATCTTTAGCACCAAATTGAATCATTTCCAATAAATCATCCTTGTTATTGGCAATACCAGGAGTACGTTTCCCAATCCCTTGCTGGATGACCAATTGATCTAATCTTAACTTTTGAGCAGCCCTTTCAATAACTTTTTCTTCCACTGCATTTTCTGTAACAAATCTATATACATGAACTTGTTTCTTTTGACCAATTCTATGTGCTCTATCCATAGCCTGTAAATCTGCTTGTGGATTCCAATCAGAATCATATAACACAACAGTGTCTGCAGTAACCAAATTAATACCCAACCCACCAGCTCGAGTAGTTAGTAAGAAAATAAACTTTTCTGAGTCTGGTTTATTATATTCATCAATAGCTTCAATTCTCTCAACATGTGGTGTAGACCCATCAATTCTACAATATTCATAGTTTCTAAAATAACAATAGTCTTCTAAAATATCTAACATTCTAGACATCTGAGAAAAAATCAATACACGGGATCCCCTTTCTTTTAATCTTTTTAATAGTTTATCAAGGACAATCATCTTCCCAGCATTATAAACTAAATGCTCATCCGTGGTATAAGGTGGACCGGGTTCGGCACCTTCAAAAAGGTAAGGATGATTACAACATTTTCTCAATTGCATAACAATATTTAATAAACGTGTTTTTCCCTCACGTTTACCTACAGCACCATTCACGGCATCAATATCTCTTTCTAATAAGGATTTATACCATTGTAATTGCATATTGGTCATCCCCACATAAACATTTGTTTCAATTTTGGGTAATAAAGATTTTTCTACATCAGATTTCACTCTTCTTAGTAAGAACGGATTTAAAACAGCATGAAGTTGTTGAACCAATACTTCCTGATCCTGTTCTGAATTATTTTGTTCAAACCATTCATCAAACACTTCTGAATCACCAAAAATATCTGGTAACAAGAAATTGAGCAATGCCCATAATTCGTGTAAATTGTTTTGCAATGGTGTACCTGTGATCAACAATCTATGACGAGAATAAAACAATCTAATGATTTGTGAAAGTGTACTCTCTTCATTCTTAATACGGTGCGCTTCATCAATTACTATGTATTCCCAAGCAAATTTTTTAAGAACTAACTTTTCTCTAATGACCATTTCATATGAAGTGACCAAAACGTCAAAGTCACAAGTTAAAACACTATTTTCTACTAGTTCACGTCTTAGTTCTTTTTCACCCTGTAAAACAACGACATTAACTTCGGGTGTCCACTTGTTGAACTCACGTCTCCAATTATCTAAAGTAGACTTCGGTACAATAACTAAATATGGTCCAGTAATATGTTTCACATACCTAATATACCCTAAAAAGGAGATAGTTTGCAAAGTTTTCCCCAGCCCCATCTCATCAGCTAAAATACCAGATAATTTATGTTCATGTAAGGAAATCAACCAATTCAAACCTTGTATTTGGTAATCTCTCAACTTCCCATTTTGAATGAAGCTTGGTGATTCAGTGACATATTCCTCATTCCTATATAAATCGTCATCTTCAGAATCTTCTTCTTCAGCCATCAGTTCTGCATCTTCCTCTTTTTCAGATTTTCTATTATGTCTTGAGACGGAACCACCGTTTAACTTTGAATTTTGATATGATGAGAAGTCTGTTTCTCTTAACAATTTTTGTAAATTTTTATCATGTTTTGATTTGATTGATATAAAATGGCGGAACAGATCTGTGATGGATAACAAATACTGAAATCGCTTGTACGTATCAGTTTTTGAATCCCTCTGTTTAACAATCTTAGGATCTACAGATAGAATATATTTACGTTTTTTATCTTCTGGCGTCATATTTTATAAATGCTCGTATATTTTCTTAATATCTTTATAGTTATTATTATTTTTGTGATTGTTAGGAAAGTGGTATATACCAATAGTTAACAATTATACATATATATATGAGATCAATGATCTGTTGTTCTCTTCATTTACCTTTTCGTGTTTATTTTTTTTTTTTTTTGTTTTATTTTTTTTGCTTTAGTGTTTTGTTTTCTTTTTCTTTTAACTGATCCTTCCATAATAAGTAAGAGAGGAAGATTTTCAAAGAGAAGACCAATTTTATTCCAATACTTTAATATACAACATTATATATCGACAATCTCATTGTAAAAGCAAAACAAATGACTAATGGTCATAAATATATATATTTAAATAAGCAATGCTGTGATATGAAAGTAACAAATAAAAAAAGTCATGATACTTATATATAGTGTATTTAGAATAATTAAAATGAATACAAATTAATAATGATAAAGAGGGTAAACAAGGAAAAAAAAAAGAAAGAAAGATATACCCATAAATATTTGTAAGATTTATTTTCACGAGTTTTAAACAAGGACTCTTTCCTTGGCTAAAGACTCATTGAATTGTTTAGATACGTCAGATAGCTTGTTGATTTGACTACTCTTTTTCTCCCTAATGGAGTCAACCCTCTTCTGTTTATATTCTTGAATATTTTCAAAAAATTTATCAAATAAAATATCTGTATCCAATGGGCCACCTTTAGCTTCAGGATGGAATTGAGTAGAGAAGATAGGTCTCTTTAAATGAATCATACCTTCGTTTGAATTGTCATTTAGATTGACAAAGTATGGTTTCCACTGATCAGCTGGTAAAGTGCTTGGGTCCACAGCATACCCGTGATTTTGAGAGGTAATATGACATTGACCAGTAGTTAGGTCCATTGCAGGAATGTTATGTGCTCTATTACCATATTTCATTTTCAAAGTCTTGGCACCAGAAGCCAACGCTAACAACTGATGGCCAAGACAGATACCAAAGATTGGCATATCGTACAAAGTTGCATCCTTTAGTAAAACTTTCAAATTAGAGATTGTGTCAGTACACATTTGTGGGTTTCCTGGACCATTAGATAAAAAGACACCGTCGAACTGTTGAGCAATGTCTTGAATTGGATAATCGAATGGAAAAACAGTCACATTTGCACCTCTTCTGACCAAGCATCTAATAATGTTTTCTTTAACCCCACAGTCGATCAAAGCAATATTGGCCGATGGGTTCTTGACGATGGCAGGAACATGGAATGGTTGTTTTGTAGTAACTTGTTTTACTAGATGAGTGTCCATTGGATCGAAGTATTCTAAAGGTTGTTTATCACCAATAGTGATTCTTGCCAAAGAGGAACCTTGTTCCCTTAAATACTGTACGACAGCACGAGTATCGACACCAGTGATGGCTGCCACACCTTCTCTTTGACACCAGTTAGCCAGGGACTCGACTGCAGTCCAATGTGAATACTGATAAGCATATTCAGCAACAACGATCCCAACTACATGAATATGTGGGGATTCAAAATATTTTAAAAGATTGAATTCATCACGAGCAGTCCCGGATGGAACACCATAATTGCCGATCAAAGGTTGTGTAAAGACTAAGATCTGACCACGATATGATGGATCTGTCATAGATTCTGGATAACCCACCAATGAAGTAGTGAAAACAGCTTCACCGGCAACACATTTGTCAGCACCAAAAGAAATACCTTCGAAAGTTGGACCGTTTTGAATGGAAAAAATTGCTTTAGACATCTTTCTGTTGTGTATTTACTGTTATGATTATATTTTAATTTTTATTTTCTTTTTTTTTGTTCTTAATTGGATTTGGTATGAGATTATTTGTGTTTGAAAAGGAAAAAAAGATTAGTTTTGCTCTTTAATGTGAACTAGTTTTCCAGATGTGATCAGATATATAGTCTTGACAGGTATATTGGGATAAAGATAACTTAAACATACAAGTTGGTTAAGTTAAACCGATTTTCAACAAATAAAAATAGGCAAATAATAATAAAGCAGCGAATATAGATATATATATATATTTGAGTGTATGAATATATATATCCAGATATGAGCGTGCAAAGGAACTAGGAAATATAAGCTTTTTTTATATCTTCTCTAAATGGTACAGTGGAATATATGTACTATACAAATAATACTAAACTGTAACTACTCAATAATTTTTTTAAACAAAGAATACAGTACTAAAAGAGAAGCAAGATGATGAGCCAGCTGGAAGAAAAAGAACATTAAGCTAACAACAAGAATATTAAATACATGCATATATATATATATAAAGATATTAATAGATGTTGCGTAGATAAGAGATAGAGAGTTGTATATATTTTTTCATACAAAAAGGTCGAGAAGTTGTCTGACTCGGTAAGAACAAAAAAAAAAGAAATTTTTTTTTGTAACTGTTTCTAAAGGAGAAAATAAAATAAAAAAAAAAAAACACAAAACTTGCACCTATTGTATAATTACAGTCACTATATTCCGATAACAATACCACAACACAAAGGAAACTTTGTCTTGCTATTGTTATCTCATCTGTTTTACCAAAACGCCTTTTGTATTACAAAGAAACAAAAAGAAAAAAAGAATAGAGAAAAAGACAAAACAACACAATAATTTTTTTTCTTTTTTTTCTGCGGGAAAATTAGTCACACAAAGGCAAAAAAGAAATGCTTGCTGTTTTTTTTTTTTAGTTTTTTTTTTTTTTTTGACTAAGCGGTTTGCCCCTTTCTGTTAAAAAAGTTAATAAATAGATGAAAAAAATGAAAAAAATGAAAAACCAAAACATCCATACATCCGAGAGTCACAATGAGGTCATCTCAAAAACAAAATGAGGGTTTGTGGTTTTTCTTCTTTTGTTTTCTTTTTTTGTTCTTGGGTTAATCAATCAATCAATTAATTAGAATATCTCTATATATGTAAATATTGTCATTTGTTCATTTTCAAAGTCTCTTGCCAGGCACACAGCTAAATATTACTGTAAAACAGGCTGTCCATACAAAGACTATCAATCCACACCAACAACCTCTTCTAACTAACAACTGTTTAATAAAGGGGTGTTTTATTGGAATCAATCTGTCCCTACCTCCAAGGAAGTGAAATATCCAAGGTACTCTTTCGTCATCCTTTTCATTTGTCTCTGCCACATAACCATTTGGACCATCACTACTATTGTACATTATCCTTTGAGTGACTCCAAAACAGGAGTATACTATATCTACTTGATATAACCCTGATACAATATAATACACACCAAATAGAAATGGAACCACCGTGGTGACTCTTATTGCTCTTGAATAATTCAAAAATATTAGTGTATATCCTATCCAGAACCCTATCCAAAGCCATATGAAACCTAAGGTTATCCTACTTAATTTCGTAAAATTAGAAAATGGACTCTTGCTGCCTGCATATTCTCTTCTTGGATATTTTTTCTCTACAGTATTATCTTCGTTCAAATTTCCATTTCTTGAACCTATCCTGCGGAATCTCCAATCCGATATCTCATCATGTAAATTGTGTAACGCTACTTGACTTAAAAACTTTGGGAAACAATCAATCTCCAAAAATTGATACGTTATGTCCTTTAACTCATGGAATATCTCCGGATCATATCCTTGGTTATCTATCACCGAGACTACTAATTCTTGTCTGAGCGAATCGGGAATGTTCGTCAGGTATCGTTCACTTGTCTTATCTGATTCTATATATGTTCGTACCAGATGAATAGCGTTGCTTAACAATTGTTTACTCGATATATACGGCGTCCCATTTTGCCCTGCAATACCTCTAGATTGAATAAATGCATCCATTAACCTAGGTAAATTGTTATCTGATATATTCAAACCTTCGTTCCTACCCCATTCTTCTAGCCACCTAGATACTTTGTTCCCATTTGTGTTCCCGTATGGAGTCTCTGGCTCATCACTCTCCATCAGTCTGTTCATTAATACACTCGTGGTAACAGACTGCGTACTTTCGTTTTCATTGTCTATAACCGATAAAGAACGTCGTACTATATTAATATAATCCTTACATAGCCTTGTGTGTGTCATTAAGTCAATCCAAAAATCTAAATAATTTATGGCATATGGGAATTGTGATAAGTACGTGTAAAATGTCCATAAGTCCACTGGGGAGCTAGTTTTTTGAATTAATACTTCGTATAACGTCGGCAATCTTTCTCTTTGGATCTCTTCAAAATTTTCATCCATGCTAAGTATGTGATTCTTTTGTACTTGATGTTTGATTATATCTGTTTTAATATATTTACATACTCATCTCTACTCAGAAAGAAAATTAGGTAGTCAACCAACAATAAAAATAAAGGAAAATAAAAGAAAATAAAAGAAGGAATAAAAAGCAAATAAGAGCTCGAAGCACCTCTAATTTTCTAGTTATAATACTATGTATTATACAATTATATGTATATATACTATCCAATATTTATCAATCTAATTGTCCCTTTTCTATTTTTATCATTGTTTATAGTCTCTTTTTTTACAATGTTTTCGCGTTTTCTTTGAACAGCAAACTTTTTTTTTCTGTAATATTTTTTATTTTTCTTTTTTCTCCTTGCAATCAAAATTGAATATTATTTGATTTATTTCATATGTGGCTACGCATTTCGGCCTAATTGGGTAAAGGCTGGTAGGCAACATTAGTTAAGGTCACTTTGACAAAATGGAGAAGATTACTACTAAATTGACTATACTTTTGTAAGAATAACGCACCAATATGACGGTCATTATGATAGTATCATTCTTATCCTCTTTAAATGTATTTATTTAACTATATCCCTTTTTACTTTAACAGATATATATATTTATATATTATATATTTATATATAGATTATTTTAGAAATATCTAATTATCGTAGTAGTTGTTTGTATACTTACTAAAGAATTCAAGTAAGTTGTTATTTACTAACCTCGAAACACTCTCAGGGTACTTGGCAGCAATTTCATTTGAAACTTTAGTAAGACCTAAATCCTCTATAACTACACCAGTACACATTATTAATTGTCTAGAGAATTCAACGTACCATCTATGGTTCCAGCAGCATATCTTAACAATCAAATCAATGATCTTTTGGTCTAATTCATTGATCTTGAGCATGATCTGACCTGATGTCATATTGCTATTAGATAAATTGGATAATTGTCTGATTCTATTTCTTTCATTGACATAATATTCTAATAATTTCTTGGCTGCCAAAGATGAAAATCTTTGTGATAGCCCTTTCTCAAAAGCTAATGCAGCTTCAGGTAAATGACCTAATCGTCTTGCACATAAACCATATAATTCCCACTCAAAAGTCAATTTATGATAACTAGAATTTTGTGCCTCAAAATATACTTGTTCACCTTGCCATAATGTATAAGTCTTCAAATCTTCGTATAGTAGCATGAACAAATTATCTAACCATCTTTCACACAGTCTCTTGGCTCGCAATAATGAACTTGAAATATCTGTTGATGATCCGGATTCAGATTTAATAGCAATGTTACTTTCATTGCGCCCACTAGCATTGTAAATATCCTCTGTAGAACTTTGATACTCATCTTCCATGACAAACAGCTTGGATCTAATCTTTAATAGATTCTCCCATCCAGTCAGTTGTACAATATCTGTTAATAATTTATATGCAAGTGGAAATGTGGCTTTTAAGCCCGATGCGGCTAAATTGATTAAAGCTGGATCGGCATTTTTATGTTCTTGTTGGATATCTTGTGGATTTAATGAAGTGACACCTTCTAACACCGCATCCATCGGTAAAGGTAAATGTAAAGATGAATCAGATTGAAATGGAACCACACGTTTCAATATATATTTTTCCTTTAACGAGACCATTGGACATGCATTTAAAGATAATAAAGAATTTTCAATATCATTTAATTTGATGTACGATTTGGATAATAAATACCAAGGTTCAAATTCACTTGGTGCACAATTTACTGCAGTTTGTGCTAACATATTTGCTAGTTTGAAATCCTTTTTAACATCAATTAAAAATTTCACTTGAACGCATAATAATTCTGATCTATAATCTAGTGGAAATAACGGACCAGCAGCATTAATTACATTATTTGGGATGTTTTCGATTTGCATTAATTGGTCGTGTAACAATTTCATAGCATCGATTTCATAATCATTGTCTAGAAGAACACGAATTAAGACAATGATAGCTTCGGGATATGTTTTCATCAAAGTTTCCAACATCTTACGACATTTATCTACTGAGTGTGTGATATTGACTAGTTCAATTAAAGTTTCTATCAAATAGTTGTTCGTTCTTGAAACATTAATCACTGTACAAGGGCCACCAAGCAATATACCATTTTCATAAACTAGAGGAAATAAGTCAATAAATAAATCTACCACTGAATAGATTTCACCAGAAGTCATAGGATTAACAATTAGAGTTTCCACGAGATTCTGTAACTCACCATCCTCATAATTATCTTTCATTAACATCATTGATCTTACTACGCCACTGATAAATGTCTCTGCCCATATTAGTTCACTTTCAGGAGAATTTGGTTTCACATGTAATTGCTCCCCATTAGCTTGTAAGATAAATAATTGGACGGTACCAGGAATATGTACAATAACATTCATATCACATTTTCTAAACGTGTTCCAAGTAGACAATGAAATTCTGGCAACTTGAAAGTTTTTCCTTTTACCAAACCAAACTTGGGGTTGTTCTACAATAATATCAGCAATTTGTTTTAGGAATATAGCAATGGAAGTGGGGTCAGATGTGTCACATCCTAAAGAGTAAAAAAATGTTCCCAATTCACCCTTTAGTTTATCGTGTAAATGCAGGTTATTTAACATATTATTTGGGTCCACTGTTTCAATTTCTGTGTTATTGTAATTATTTGTTACATTAGAAGAAGAAGTATTGTTATTAGTTGTAGAATTACTATTAGCCCCGCTTGAACTCATATATTTCACCATAGTTATTAAATCTGGTGGACCTAAATCTAAAAATTGAGACAATTTCTGTTTACGTTCATTTAAAGCATAACCAATGGCATCTTCTTTTACCTCTGGGATGGAGGTTTGAGTGATCATATTGTATTGTTATGTACAAAGTGATAGTGATATGTAGTGGTTAGGAAGTCGTGAAAAAAAATATTAATATTGTTAAATTAAAGATATTTTATTTGTTTAAACTGAAAGTTTGAAATAGTTTCTATCTTACAAATAGTATATGCAGTTTTGAACCAATAAGGAAACAATATATGAGGAAACTATTCCTGGCGTTAGAGATTCTTTTTTTCAACTAAATCTGTTAAACTCTTTTATGATATATCTTAGAGAGTGACAAAATAAAAATAAAGAAATTAATGAAATTTTTAAAGGTCCAGTAACCAAAATAAATTGAACTTTTGAGTAAATTAAATTATTTGCTGAGAAAATGGATGAAGGATCATTTACTCTTTGTTTGATAGATCAAAGATTGTTTGATTTCTGTTAGTTATAGATTTTCTGTTTTTCTTTCGAGAATAATAATTATAATAATAACAAATACAGCGATTATTGGAAAAAAGAAAAAAAAAGAAAAAAACAGATAAATCAAAAATAAAAACACAAGCAAAGGGACATACAATATATCGTTTTATACGTTACAAAAGGTAGAAGAAATGGAATATAATGTTGAAATATGTATTAGAGAATCCATGAATAAGTGATAGTTTTCATCCTCTTTTCAGTTGAGTCTGTTTATTAAGTTACAATTTTGTGTTTACTTAGTTTAAATAAAATAGACATTGGTAGTTCTGTATAGATAGAGATATATATGTGTGTGTGCATGTATTTTATTATATATATTTGTTTTTTAGTTATTCGACAGTGATATTGGAGTGTAAGCTGTTAATTAAACTATCTTTTCTTATCCATTGCATTTCTAGCCATTTTTCTAATTTTTTCTCTTTCAATGATAGTAAAGTTGCAATTGGATGTCTTTTAATATCAATGATAATGATAACAGGGGAAGTATTATTCTTTTCTATATCAAATCTACATTGAAAAATTTTGAAAAATGAGGGATTGATCTCTTGGATCTGTATTCCATTAATGGTCTTTAAATTTCCAGTGTCATGATTATGGCCTTTTGTAACTAATATCGGTGAATAATACACTATCGTCACATCATATAAAAATTTGTTAAATAAGATTGATTTTTTTTCCTTTTGTGTAGAAACAAGTGAGTTACTCAATTCTAATATTTGCTTCTTTTTCTTTAATTGATTGTTGTTGGCATTCCTGACTTTTTGCTCTTGCCAATTCGGATTTCTGTTCGACAAAGATGGAAGACAAATCACATCTTTAAAGGATTTCAATATGTTGATAAATTGGTTAAATCTAGGTGATAATACATTATAGTATTTATTAACAAAAGGATAATACACGTGATTTAATTTTCTCTGAATCATGGCTAATTCTGTGGTGAGTATATTAACTTCTGGGAATAAAAGGAACACATTCTCTCCATTTGCTTGAATAAACTGTTTTATATTTTTAGAATCCATAGTAATATTTTCATCTTTTAACAATATATTCTTGAAGAATTTTCTCGTTGGTATTTGGAAAACGGTGCCCCATGAGAGAAATGAGAAGTGAATGTTATTGGTTGTTTGATTATTTTCCCAAAGTAAGAAAAATGTTTCTATGAAAGTGTCAGATTCCTTGAGTGGGCCGGAACTATATAGTGTGATATAAGCAATTAACAAATAGTCGTTTATTGATCTGTGATTACTTAAAATTAGTGTTGTTAATAAAGATTCTCCACAAAACAATAGCAATTCCTCGCTTTCTCCAGTAAAGAAAATATCAATATTGTTGTTTTCAATAAAGCATATTTTTATCAATATGACATGAACCATAATTGGCAACACAATTTTCATTTTAGTCAAAAACGGTAATATATCGTTATTTAATGTATTTTCAAACAAGACCAAAAAGTTAGTCAAACTGTTTCCTAGTATTGGTATAAAATTGAGAATTTTTTTCATTCGATAGACATTTTTAATATACACTCTTGAATTTTGAATTGATTTGAGTACAAAACTAGAGGCTTTTACAAATAGTGTTGTTTTAATTAAACATAGAAGAAAAATCAGATGATATAGTGCAGTTATCCATTTGGATATATTCCATTTAGGGAACTTAAAATCTTCACCTATTAAATATACTGTAAAAAAATCTAAAGCGCCCATCTAAGACTAATTCTTGCTGACAGACAATTATTGAAAAAGTATTTTTTTTTGCCTATTTTATATATAATTCTCTTCACAAATTTAGCAGGTCTTTTCTTTCGTTTGTAAGAACACATGTTGTCCAAAAGAATCTATATTTTTGTTGTTGTTTTTCTTTGCTTGAATATTAATATATTTTGTGACACATCTCGTCACTTCTCTAATATTCAAAAAAATAAAATCGTTTTTTCTGATTTACAGAAGCAAAAAGGTAAAAATAAATAAATAATTTTTTATGAATTTTCTTTTTTTTTAATTTTTTTCTGAATAATAGACTTGATGATTGAATAAACAAACTATATAAGGATATATAGTTAAATCATGTCCAACAGTATAGTACTGTCCTAAACTGCATTATTTATCAAGTTTAAGCTGTGTTAATTTTTCTTGCCCAATTCATAGTTTTTTTTATCCCATTAGGAGCTTCAAGAAGGGTATTTGTCATCAGCAAATTATTATAATGCCTTTGAAATTATAAATGATTCAAACATGACATTATTTTAGATTTCATATCTTTATGACATTTTGTAACTCTTTAAGCATACTGCGAAAGTAAAACTGCGTAATTTTTCATATTTTGTGCTTAAACAGGTTCTAGTTGACACATACTGTCGTTCAAATATAAAGAAACTAGGTTTTGCAAAAGAAAAAAAAAACTAAACTTTTTCAGGTTTGTTATATTTTATCATTTTAATCAATATTTATGAAAAGACATGTAAAACAAGCCCATATGAATAATATGCAAGGGATTACCTTAAGTAGTATACTAAAATATGGATATTAATTATATATAAATACTTACAAATTATACAATCGGTTGATTCCAACTATTAAATAGATTAAGGCTAGTTATTCGTGTTATTCTTCCTTTGATTAAACATATTAGATAGAATACGAATGTTAATGCTTATAGTTGCCTCTGACACTATTTCTTAATAATCAAGGGTCCCTTAAGTAAACTTCTTAGTAATTTGCCATCAATGTTCATCCGATGAGTGTTTGTTCGTTCAAATACACTCACAACTTTGAGCCCAGCGTTTCAGTTGTTCCAAGTTCTTCGCCTCAACATTTGGCGTTATTTGCAGAATACATATTTCGGGATATCCAATTAAGATTACTTACATAATACATATTTGGTTCTTCGACCCTAACTTGTAAAGGCTTTGCATGCTCAAAGTCATACTTCTATTTCATAATAACTTTCATTGAGAAAAAAGGAGAGAGAATAAGAAAGAAAGAATCTATTTGATTTCAAGCTCTGTTTTCTTTCACGGAAAAGGGTAAAATTAATTGCATTAGGATTGTATACAAACAGAAAAAGTAGTATTTTAAGATTGTATTTCAAAGCTATCTAAAATACCAAATTCTCTCAAAAGAAAGCTATTTAAACCACATATATATATATATATGTATATGTATATATATATAATCTTAAGCATTAACTACTGATTATTTATGTCATCTTAATCCTTTTTTGTTCTAAAGAAAATCCTGTCAAATAAATTATTTTTTCCAATGTATAAATGTATTACACAAAGTTTCTCGGGGCCCATTCCGCGGAAGTGACTTGATTTTGAAAAATGATTCAAACAACAAAAATTTTGGGCATCAATTTTGTTTTTTTTTATTGATGGGCAAAAAATGGCACTTTAAAAAAAAAAAAAGCAAAAAAAAAAACAAAAAATCAAAAATGGAAAACTAAAAAATAAACTAGATCTTGAATAAATAAATAGAAAGGTTTAATATAGTGTATAAGTATGTCTATCAGATCACGTGGGTTTCTAGCTGTTTTTGTAGTTAAGATAGTAAAAAATAGCCAATTGCCTTTGCATACCTACCAAAATATATTATGTTTCAAGTAGTCAAGTATTCTATTTTAAAGAATGGCCTAGAAGTTAGTAGAACTTCTCTAACTAGGGCTCTTATACATCAAAATATTATACTAAAATCATCGACAACAAAGCTGCTTCCATTTGGGTATACTTTAAAAAGATATCAGTCCCAGTTGTCTCAACTTAAAAATGACACTAAACATATAGCGTCAACAGACACTAAGCGTTCTGAGATAAATAAATGTCAGAATGAAAATATAGAAAATGTTACCATAAAGGATAAGAAATATAGACCACCTGTTGATTTGGCATTTAACGGATCTTACCAAGAAGATTATCAAAGAATAATTAGATACACTTTGATTCCACTTTCACTTGTACCGTTTTATACCTCGTATGCTGGAATTACCTTACACCCAATTTTTGATATAACTTTATCATCTTTATGCTTATGGTATCTTCACTATGGATTTGCTGGTTTAATCATCAATAAAATACCAAAGGAGAAATATTCAAAGACACATAAGGTATCGATGTGGTCCTTATATACAGCGACATTTTTAAGTTTGTGTGGGCTTTACCAATTAGAGACAGAAAATAATGGTATGGTCAATTTAATAACTAGAATTTGGAATGATGATGAAAGTCATATCTACATTTTTGGAAAATGAGTAGTGGTGATAATAACAATATAACAATATAATAACAATAAGTAATGTATAAATATTGGGGGGGATGATGTTTTTTTTTTCTTTTTTGTAAATAGTATATTGCATGGAATAGAAGGACTGATATGTCATCTATATTAAAATTGTGAAAAGTGATTTAACAACATATGCTATTGGATGCAGATAGTGGAGAAGGTTATAGACACATAAACATGCACACACACATATATATATCTATATATAATCATATTAATAATTGTATAGATAATAGTGAATTAGATAATTATTTTATTTGACTATAAATTCGCATGTTTTCTTCCTTTATTATTTGTATTTTTCAATAGTCCTTGGCAGCACCTCTTCTAGCCAATTCATCGGCCATATCGTTACCCACATGGCCTGAATGTCCCTTCACCCATTCAACAGAGAAATTGCCATGGTTAGTAAAGGAGTCTTTATTAATTTCATAATATTTCTTAATCCTAACGTACTTTTTGATCATTGGTACAATTAAATCAGCATTACACAAATTCTGTAATTCAGTTTCTGAATAACTACCATACCTATCATTTAACAATTTAGCAACATATTCTGAATCTGTTATAATCTTATAATTAACTTTATTTTCATTGTTGTTTAAATTAAACCATATTTTATCTAAGGCACTTGATACAGCTTCGATTTCACCTCTGTTATTAGTTTGAGGTCCAGATTTTAATCTTTCAGATATATTATACTGTGGTTCACTTTCAAAATATGCAGCGTAACCAGCACGGGCGTTTAACGAACCATTATTTAAAGATGACCCGTCACAATATACGTTACATTGTTTATCATATTTTTTTGTTTTGTTCAAAGCATATTTTTTTTTAAAATCAGATTCACTATAACCAATCAAGTTAAAATCAATATTTGGGTTCACTTCGCCTTTAATAAATCTATTTGCATCCTCTAAAGATTCAAATTTTTTAAAAGTCATACCCTTTTGGTGGTGAACATAGCCTTTACAATCCTTCCAATTGTTAAAAACTTTACTCAGTAATCTTGGGTTGGAACTTCTCACTGCATAATAGTTTTTACTGTTATTATTACCATGTTTATTACTGTTTGAACTTGGTGTTATAATGGAGGTCGGTATGGGTATGTAGTTGGTATGTGAATTATGTGTTGGTTTGTTAACTCTTTGTGTTTTTTTATACGCAGTATTCCTTGACTTAATGTTTGGCTTACTTGATGAATTCTCATAATTGTAAGTATCAGCATTACCAGAAGAATCAGAAATACAGTTACCATTTGAACTATAACCACTTGAACCATTGGCAAATTCCTGCGCTGCAACCAATGTATCGAATTTTTTATAGATTGAGCCACTGTAACCAAAAATTTGATCACGGCATGAGTTCCAGTCACTGTAGACACCGCGATTTCTTCCCTTCTGTACGGCGTAATAATATTTTTTGGCCATATTTAGTATTAGTTTGTTCACGATTCTCGTTTTGGTAATTTTGCTAAAAACTAGTTAAGGTGACATGGTTTTGTAGAGTGCTGATATTAGTCTTCTTCAATATAGAGATTTGCCTATTTAGCATAGCTATTTTTGCATAACAAGATGTATTTGTATCTTGAATATTGAAAGATGGGAATTGATTTGCAAAATTATTATTTTACTTTGAAATTTTTGACAAACAGAAAAAAAGCAAAGCATGTTTTTTCTGTGAGTAGAAAATGATGAAATTGTATATTGTCCATAAGATCATTTGATACTGAAATGATTTTTTCATAAAAACAAAATATTTTTTTTGGGAAATTGCATTTAAAGTTCACTCATATTTTACTGTGGTGTATATAAGAATTGAGGTTCAAAATAAGTTCCTTTCAAATATTATTAATAGAAAATAATTCATGAGCATTTTTTTTTATTTATTAAATATAGTGACGAGGCTGCTTTTTCATTCGCATTTTCTGTTAATTACGAAAAATTTAATCCATTTCAATATTAGATTATGAAAGAATAAGACTGGAAATAATATATAACTGTTGGAAAATGAGAGTTTATTACTGTCATTTTCATAAGAATTATTTTTAATTAGTTTTTCTATATATTATGTGGTGTACGGATGTACATAATATCAGGAAAACATTTTAATTGTCACCAAATATGTCTTTCGAAGATTTGAAAAGAAATGAAAAACTTTAAAAGAAAACTTAAAGTAAATAAAAGAATGTATACTGAATACACTATATAATAAATATGTACAGGTATTTAATACAAAAACATAACAAGTATCTATAACTTAATGATGTCTATCATTACCATGGACGCAGAAGGCTCCAAATTCCAACAATAACTGTTATTTTTAAAAAGAACATTTAATATACGGGTTGTATATTTTATGTAAAAAGATATTCTTAATGAAACCTTTTGTAGTATCATTTTATAAACTGTCGTTTAATACTTTTAGTACTAGTGGATTGTGTAGGCCTATTTTTGTATTGAGGTAGCATTTTATATTCATAACTAATATTAATAATCGACCAAGTATCAAATATATCTAAAATTAGGAATGATAATGGCTAATTTAAATAAACAATTAAATAAATAAACCGTTGGAATGTAAGAGTTTTATCACTATCTTTTCCAAAAAAGTTAGTTTTAATTTGGTGTTCTTGTATGCAATTCCCTATATAAATTCACAATAATATTCTGAGAACATTTTATTTTTTTAGCAAAAAGAGTTCTAGTAAAATTCGAGGGAGAAAAACAGTGTTAATAGAAGTGTTGAAAGCAATAAGAAAAATTATACTTGACAGAAAATCAATGATAAGCATGTATGTTCAAAAGGAAAAAAATAAAATATGTCTTTATAAATGAGTTACGCTATTTGTAGATAGCTAATTTGAGGAGTTTTATTGAAGAATAAGATATCATAACCGTGGAAATTACATAAGATTCAAGTCGAATCTAGAATTACCTATTGTTATTACTATGTAGCCCATTTACTATCACTTATCTCAATATTTATGCTGTTTTCTACAGTAATCTATGGTCCTAAATATTCTGTAGGGTTCACCCAAATTATTACACTTAATAAATTATGGCATAGATTACTAATCCATTAAGACATCAGATTGAATAGTTGATCAAGTCAGAAACACATAAAAGGATATAGTCTTCTGAAGAATCTTATGTAATCTTGGCAGTGATGATTCATCTATTATACCAGGGAGTTAGGTAGTTAGTTTCCGTGATAGTTTAATGGTTAGAATGGACGCTTGTCGCGTGTCAGATCGGGGTTCAATTCCCCGTCGCGGAGTCTTTTTATAAAATATAATATAATAGATAAGGATATATCACGAGAGATATTTTCTTCTAGAACACCAAAAAAGATGGACACTTTTTAGTTAGTTGTCATGTACATGATATATAAACTACCCTCTGGACAAGGAATAAACTAACATACAGAGATATGCAGATACTTATGTTTCTGTAAGCAGGAGAAAGAAGAAAAACAAGAATGTCATCGTCGACTTAACAATTCCAAGCTCGTTTATAGTGATATTAGGATTTCACATGTCACATATAAGGTATTATTATACCTGAAGAGTAAAAAAGTTGGTTAGTTGTTGCTGATATATTAAATGAATAACATATTAGTTTAGAGAAGATATAATGAGTTTTTAACAATTCAAATAAGTTTTGGAGATGTTTGACATTATAATATAAAAAGAAAACGATGATAAGTAAGCTGCTTCCTTCTTTTTGTTTCTTTTTTTCAAATCGTGACCACTTAAATAAATATTTATTAATACAGTTTCAAATTAAATTACGTAGATAAATGGATATAAACATATGTGTTGATTTCCAAGTAGTTTCTTAAATATCTTCCTAATTATTCTTTATATTTTATAGTCTTATGTAAAGACAACACAGATTATTTCTCAAAAGAATTGAGTATGTAAAGTATTAAAAATAATCACAAATGTCGATAGGAGTTAGTTAGCATAAGATTTATTAGCTGTAATATGAATTATGGGTAATATTGGTCATGCCATGAATCAAGTGATAATATTAATAGCGATATATATCTATATATATATTGTTAATGATACTATCTTCTTATCGTACCACTTCTAAAAGGTTTAAATGAGTTATAATTTTTATAATTTGCCGGTTTATAATTTCTGCTTCTATTATTATTATTATTCATACTGATATTGCTACTATTTCCATTATATCGGCTATTCTGCATGTTATTCAAGACATTATTCGGACTATATCTGTTTGAACGTGGAAAATCTAATGGATGATTATTTGTATTAAAGCTATTATTACTGTTGTTGTTGTAACGGCTAGTTTTATTAGAAACTGGTCCATTATCTCTGCTTGATCTTTTCCTTTGTTTGCTATTATTACTATTACTGTTATTATTATTACTGTAATAAGATTCATCAATTTCGTAATCATTAAAATCAAAATGGTTATTATTATTGCTGTTTTGTTTTAATCCATTAACATAATTATAATATGATCTTTTTAATTTACTTGGTAAATTATCGCCAGAGAACGCACTACCATCATCATTGGGAACTCTAGAAGACCTTTTATTATGACAATCATCTCCGAAATGACCTTGAGAACCACAATTGTAACAAAATATTTTATCAAACGGAATTTTTTTTAGTAAACTAGTGCCGGTCTTTTTATTCTCATCCCTTATTAAATAGACTCTCCATATGCTCGGGCATCGCTCTCTTGAATGTTTTTTACTGTTACAAAGTGTGCAATAGACTCTTTTCCATTTATGTGGACATTGGGATCTATAGTGACCATTTTCATTACAATTAGCGCATTTAATGGCCTTTGGACAATGTTTAGAATAATGATCATCCATGGCACCACAATAGGTACATATGACATGGGGACAATTTTTCTTTAAATGACCTCTTTGTGAACAATTACTACACTTGGGTACAGCTTCTTTAATTCCATCTTCTTCATCATCCACTACACCGAAGTATCTACCTTGACCACGTAAAGTTCGTAATGATTCTGGATCCTCGTCTACTTCTTCTATAGTTGGTGCGATAATTTTCCTTTTGGAATCACTTGAATCCTCATCCTCAGTGGTACTATTTTCATTGAGTTTATCATTTTTTTGCTCGTCAGTTTCACTAATATTCGTTATTACGTAAGGAAGAGTGTTATCCATAACCTCAACTTCTGATAATAGAGATGACATATAGTTACTATTATTATTAGTAGCAGTAGTAATGTTGGTGGTATATTCCAATTGCTTTAAAATATTAATATTTTTTTTTTTAAAAAAAAAAAAGAGAAAACAAAGAATAATGTTTTATAATATTAACAATAGTTATTGAATATTATATGTATGCGATGAGGCAAAGTGATAAATATAGTCGCTTTTTTTTTGTTTGTAGAAAATTAGATGCAAGAAACAAACCCATTCACCTTGTAGATTTTTATCTATAAAGATACATATAAGTATATACGTGCATCTGCTGTTTATGGCACGAAACGATAGTAATATGAATGGTAATATGTAATTAAATGTTGCTATTTAATGTGTGTCTTGTAAAGTTTGTATTAATAATACTTCACAGTTTTTCATTTATTTTTTATTTTTTTTTTCTGTCAACTGAGAAAAAAAATCTTTTTTTTGGTGGCATCGCATCGCTCTTTTTTTTTTGTTGTTGTTTGCTGAAATAAACTCCACGGTTTGGTAGCGGGAGTGGGAGGAAATTCGTCTTTATAAGATCATGTTGTACTGTTACTTTAAATACAGTAAAACTAATTAGTCTATCTGGTTTTCATCTTTACCTACCATGTATCATATTATACCACATTGTATTTCTGTGTAGTGTGAACGAATCACTTTATTCTCGTTTGATACGACCGCATCAATTGCTTCCGTCATTTTCAACAGCGTTTGCTTCAGGCTCAGCTTCGTTCATAGTGATATTTTACTTTTTTTTTTTATTTTTTATTTTCTTTTTTTTTTTTTCTTCGTTTTTGATCTCTTTGCCAGACATTTGAAAATTTGTCAACAAAGCTGGTCCTCGAGAACAAATAGAAAGGATGGAGATAATGATGACGATGATGAGAAACCATAGGATTAAAGCGTTATTTTTATCTCTTAAAAAGTGGGTTAGTCTCTGTAGAACATAATACTTTATTATTTTATTTTTCTGCTTTTTGTTTTCCCTAAGGTAAACCTTTTTTATTTTGTTAACAGCTTGAAGAAGCATACGATTTTTAAAATAAAAATGAGCACAGCTGAGGTTGCTGACCAAGTTAAAAACTCATCTGCCAAAGATAAGAGTCAAAAGAAGTCTAAACAACCACAACAACAATTGTATTTAGATCCAGAACCTGCCTTTATTGGAGAAAGAATCCAATTTTTCGAAAAATTACAAAAGGAATATGAAGAAAAAATTGCTTCTATGCCACGCAATCCATTGAAGATTGTCTTAAAAGATGGTTCTATTAGAGAAGCTACTGCTTGGGAAACTACTCCAATGGATATTGCTAAGGATATTTCTAAGTCTTTAGCTGATAGATTATGTATTGCCAAGGTTGATGGCCAATTGTGGGATTTAGAAAGACCATTTGAAGGTGAACCAAATCAAGAGATTAAATTGCAACTTTTAGATTTCGAATCTGAAGAAGGTAAGAAAGTCTTCTGGCACTCTTCTGCTCACGTTTTAGGTGAAGCTTGTGAATGTAACTTAGGTGCTCACATCTGTTTGGGTCCACCAACTGACGAAGGTTTCTTTTATGAATTCGCCGTCAGAGACTCTTTGAAACCTTTAGAAGAAGGTGAAGAAGAAAAGACTGTTTCTCAATCCGACTTTCCAGCTTTGGAATCTGTTGCTAAAAATGTTATCAAACAAAAACAAAAATTCGAAAGATTAGTCATGTCAAAGGAAGATCTGTTGAAAATGTTTTCATATTCTAAATATAAGACTTATTTAATTCAAACTAAGGTTCCTGATGGTGGAGCCACCACAGTTTACAGATGTGGTAAATTGATTGATCTTTGTGTCGGTCCACATATCCCACACACTGGTAGAATTAAAGCCTTCAAATTATTGAAGAATTCTTCCTGTTATTTCCTTGGTGACTCTAACAATGATTCCTTACAAAGAGTCTATGGTGTCTCATTCCCAGATAAGAAATTGATGGATGCCCATTTGAAATTCTTAGCTGAGGCTCAAGCTAGAGACCACAGAAAAGTTGGTAGAGAACAGGAATTGTTTCTATTCAATGAATTGTCTCCAGGTTCTGCATTTTGGTTACCACACGGTACAAGAATTTATAACACTCTTGTTGACCTTTTAAGATCTGAATACCGTAAAAGAGGTTATGATGAAGTTATCACTCCAAATATGTTTAATTCTAAATTATGGGAAACTTCTGGTCACTGGGCTAATTACAAGGAAAACATGTTTTCCTTTGAAGTTGAGAAGGAAACTTACGGATTGAAACCAATGAATTGTCCAGGTCATTGTTTGATGTTCAAATCTAGAGAACGTTCTTATAGAGAATTACCATGGAGAGTCGCTGATTTCGGTGTTTTGCATAGAAACGAATTCTCTGGTGCTTTATCTGGTTTGACTCGTGTTAGAAGATTCCAACAGGATGATGCTCATATTTTCTGTACTTATGATCAAATTGAAACAGAAATTGAAAATATCTTCGAATTTTTGAAATATGTTTATGGAGTCTTTGGTTTTGAATTTAAAATGGAATTGTCTACCAGACCAGAAAAATTTGTTGGTGAAATTGAAACTTGGAACGGTGCTGAAGCTAAATTACAATCTGCTCTAGAAAAATGGGGTGGTAATTGGGAAATTAATGAAGGTGATGGTGCCTTCTATGGTCCAAAGATCGATATTATGATTTCTGATGCTTTAAAGAGATGGTACCAATGTGCTACCATTCAATTAGATTTCCAATTACCAAACAGATTCGAATTAGAATTTAAGGCAAAGGACACTGAAGGTGCTACTGAAAAATATGAAAGACCAGTCATGATTCATCGTGCTATCTTGGGTTCTGTGGAAAGAATGACAGCTATCTTGACTGAACATTTCGGTGGTAAATGGCCATTCTGGTTATCTCCACGTCAAATACTTGTTGTCCCAGTTGGTGTTAAATACCAAGAATATGCTCAACAAGTCCGTGACGAATTATGGGATGCTGGTTTCTATGCAGATGTCGATTTGACTGGTAACACCTTACAAAAGAAGGTTAGAAATGGTCAAATGATGAAATATAACTTCATTTTCATTGTTGGTGAGCAAGAAATGAGTGAAAAGTCTGTCAATATTAGAAACAGAGATGTCATGGAACAACAAGGTAAGAATGCTACCGTTGGTCTTGACACCGTCATTGAACAATTACAAAGATTAAAGGAAGAAAAGAGAAATGACAACGTTTTATTATAAATTAAATTATAAAATATAATAGAGAGAATCTTAAGTAAGTAAAATCATATATATATATATATATGTATGTATGTATGTATGTATTTTATGTAATTGTATATGTTACATTTATGTTTATTGATTGTTATATAGTTAAATTAGAAATAACCTGTTTCTATAATTTCAATACATTTTTGAAATATTATTTTTCTATGTTAATTCTAAGACCAAAAAAATGTACATTTGTATAAATATAAATTATTTAAAAGGTCCCTTTTATATATAGACGCAGATTAATGTAGTGTTTTAATGACTTCTATGAATTATCCAAATTTATTGAAGCAATGAATATTAAATGTTTTTTTTTAAAAAAAAGAAGAATATATAAATACTTAAGTTTATTGAATACTAAACATTGATTAATTGCAAAATAAAATACAGTAAAAATGATTAGATTGTAAAGGAGATAATTTGTAGCAGTGACATTAAGATGGTATAAAATATAATAATTAAACTTAGCCTTTTCTTTCTTTTTCTAACATTTGATTAAATTCTCGTTGTGAAACTGTTTCTTGAGGATATGAAATAATCTGATCATTTTCATAATTAAAATCATCGAATAAATCATCCGAAGTTGATTTATCTTCAAAATTATTGACTAATTGATTGTCATTAGAAAGACTTTTAGTTCTAATTCTATCCCAAGAAGATATATGTTTTTGATTAAATTGTTGTTTTTCATTTGTGCCCCAAAGTTTATCAACATCTGAATCAGATGGAAAAACTTCATCATGTGTAATATCATCTTTTATAGAAGTTTCAGGATCATTAACAAAGCCTGTACCTTTATTAGTATATAGGCCCATGGGATCCTTTTGATGCATAAATGGGGACACAGATATTCGTTTATCACTATTTTGTTGTAGTTGTTTTAATTTCTCTTCTGGATCAGAAAATGCACGTTCTGGATGTAAATAAGTAATATAAAAATAGGAAGCCCAACGAGCACTACCACCATTTTTCAAAAGAGTCAGCATTTCAAACTGTCTCTCATTCCTTGATTTAATTTTGTTTGGATCATCTTCTAAAAAATCATCGTGTGGATATATGTTTTTTCTAGATAATTTACCATCTGGATCCAGTTTGTGCAATTGTTTGTTATAAGAGATGTGACTAGCTAAGGATGAAGAGATAAAGGTTGCTAACAACCCTAATAAAAAGTTTTTGGGGACTTTAACATTTTTTATACTTCGAGTGGTATAGTATTTATACATAAATGGGGAACCAAATACTGTTAAAAACCCTAGAAACCCAGCAATGGATTGTGCTCTGGTAATATTTTTATAAGTATTATAAAGTTTTAATCTATCGTGAGAATCTAGAACTTTATCCTTTTCATGGAATTTTTTAGCTGCGATATACGCTTCTCTAAACCAAGGTTTATCTAAATGTTGTGGAAGAGTTGGGTGTTTAGTCTCTGGAGAATCTACTTGATTCATTATTAACCAGCTATTAGAAACAAATGCTATCTGGTACTGGTTACTTATCTCATATAATGGAAAAAAGACTGGAGAGAGAGTTAGGTGGTAGAAAGGAATAATAATTATAATTATGAAACAGGTTATTCCTTCTAGATGTATATTCAAGTGGTGGAAATGTATAAATAAATAAATACTGAGTAAAGTAGTACAAGGGAACCAAAAATAAGGCTATACAAAGGTTGCATATAATAGCCAATAGATGCTTTTTCATTTATACGTAATATCATCTTTTTATCTCATCCCTTCTTGTTCCATCCAGTGCTTTATATATTTCATCTATTTCAGCGGCGCTCTCATATTGAAGTAGCATGTATCTGATAGTGCCTTTATTTTTCTATTACGACAACAATGTTGTTTTTTTTTTTCTGTTTTTTTTTTTTTTTTGATTTGAATTCTTGAAGAAGTAAAAAATGTTTAATATGATAAGGTGAAGTAAGAAGAAAGAAAGAAACATGAAAGCAGCAAAGTTCTTAAAGGTTAGCTGATTTTGGCGTAGGCATCTGACGTTTAAAATTAATATATTTTAGGTTTGGCGATTGTCAATTGCCTCAATTGCACTCCATACTGCAAGAATAATTTAGTTCGTTTGTGAGTACTTAACCCCTTTCTGCCTTTAAAAGAGCATTGAATAGAATTGGTTTGTTTGTTTATTAAAATGGATTACTTCAGTATTAAACAAGATTATTATTCGGGTAATTTCTCTCATGTTTTACAAGATATTGAAAAACAAAACATTGAAGATGATACTTTGTTGTTTTATAAATTGAAGACATTATTGGCATTAAAAAAATATGAGTTAGGTGTATGTTCAAATAATAAACTTGGTTTCGTATTTGATTTATACTATAAATATTTGCAATCCAAAGATATTTCTGAATTAGAATCTAATATTAAAATGGAGACAGCTACTCCCTATGAAATAAATGTCTTAGCTTCCGCTTTTGCTATTGACGGTAGATTAGATGAAAGTTTAGAGGCTTGTGTCTATGGGATTGATAACTCTGAGTTGCCTGGTGTAACTGAACTATTATTACTGGCAATTCAAGTAGCTTTGCTTGATGGCCAGGTAAGCATTGCTCAAACCATGTTGGATAATTTTATTAATTCCCAAGAGGATGCCATAACTAGTGAGGATGAATTATTAGTTAATCTAGCTGAGTCTTATATTAAATTTGCAACAAATCAAGACACTACATCATCTAATTTCTATTATTTTGAAGAATTGTCGCAAACTTTCCCAACTTGGAAAACTCAATTAGGTTTAATGAATTTACATTTACAACAATCTAATATTGAAGAAGCCCAGGGGATTGTGAATGTCCTTGAATCTGATTATTATTCAGTAGAACAAAGTGAGGCTGCTGAATTATATAAACCACATTTTTTGGCTAACAAGATTACATTAGCTATATTAACCGGTTCTGAGGAGGTTGATGATTTAAAAAATCAATTAGAACAATTAGATCCAAATCATCCATTAATTAAAAATAATAAGAGACTTAACACAGAATTTGATGAAATTGTAGCTAAATATAAGGTTTAGATAAAGTTACATATTCTGATCTTCTTATAAATACAGACATGAAAAAGAGAAAGAAAGGAGAAAGGAAGGAAAAATTTATTTAATTATTCTTGTTTCCTTTTATCTCATTATTTAAAATAGAAATAAGTAATATGTATAATATGATTTTTGCAAAGAAATGTATAATAACAAAATAGAAAGCCTATAACATCTTGGTAAATTTACACAATTATTTGTGATATAAATAAAATATAAGGGAGAGAAATAATTTATAGAAGGATGAATCTATTGGAAGTATCATTTGAACATTATTTTGGTTCAGTGTAAAATTTTTTCATTTTATCCTTTATTTGCTGGTTGCCAGCTTTAAATTTTATATATAAATAAAATAAATAATACAATGTTTTTACTCATTTTTTAGTTTCACTTCTATAGCCCACAGGTTTAATTATGTTAATAAACATAAGAAGAGACATCTAGAAAGTTATTTTAACTAGTCGTCAAATTTATTTGTTGGAATTATTAAGCTATTTATTATAAGTAGAATTTTTCAATTTCTTCTGTATAAATTGTGAAAATAAATATATATAATTTCAACTTTGGGATAAATAATTTATTCTTACATATCCTTTCCATGTTATTTGTTTCACTGGTTGTAATTAAGTTATAAGTAATAACGCCTATGTTGACTTGTCTCTAGATAACTTCTCAATTATTCTTATAGGTTTGTGTAATATTTCTAACAATTGGCAAGAGTTTACTAGATTTAGCTATAATCTTTGATATATAGCTTATACTATACTCAAGAATAATACACTTTTATTAATATCTTGTTGAATGTATACAAAACTTTTGGATTGATTTTTAAAATTATTTTTAGTTAGGAATTTTTTAGTATATTTGCCGGGGTTAATTTGTTAAAACAACTGTCAAAAATTAATTATAAAATAATTAATACGCAGAGAAACAAACCAAAAAAAATATAAAATAAAATAAAGCTATGTTATTACTAATATTGTAAGACACCTTTAAGAAAATTGTTTGTAAAAACTTTTTTTAATTTGAAAGGACATATATTTTTTATGAGTCTTTTTTTTTTTGCTTATTTATTATACACTATATGACATTAGAAAGAAGCATAATTATTATATATTGTAAGTCCTTCTCCATTCTTAGTGTACGTGAGATTTTTTTGCGCAAAGTTTTGATCTCATAAACGATCAAAATCTAAGTCATCTTCAATTTTGAATGGTTTAGGCACTGGTGCATTAACATCTTTGACTTGCCTTATAGTCTTGATTACCTCAACAGGTTCATTAGGTTTTGTGTCATGCAATACTATTATACCAGATATGTTCTTATTTTTACGAACAGGTGTGAAACGAGACTCTTTAATAAATGAAATATACCTAGCTTGTTGTGGAAGAACACGCTTCATATTTTCAATTTGATATGGAGTAGCAGAATATCTGTTTTTAACAAAACCTTCCTTAGACTTTGTTTCTTCTTCGTTATCCTTTTCGGTTTTGTCTTCTGCATTTTCTTGGATATCTTCATTATCTTCACCTTTTTCTTTCTTCATTCTCTTAGCTCTAGCTTTGGCCCTGGCAGTAGTAGAAAGAACTGCTGTGGCTACTTTGGCTACTTCCTTACTACTCTTTTCTTCATACATTTTTGGATAGTCGAATACATCAGGTCTACTGAAACAATTCAATTCAAATTTGGGAATACTCAAATCTTTACTGTTAACAGCAATAACAGATGTAGGAGTAAAAGACAAAGATAAGAAATGTGCTAATGGGAACCAATACCAAAATTGTGAAAACATAACTAGCCCAACAATAGACTTTGTATCGAGTGTATTTGTTTCTGGATTGTCCAGTTGTATGGTAACGTTACGACCACCTGCATTGATAATACCTTGTGCTATACAGGCACCAAATTTAGCTAAACCTTCTTGATGTTTGTTTGTTATTACATTTAAAAACAACTCATTTAGTTCATTGACCTTTGGATTCAATTTATCTGTTTGTTGGATCATAATTAAAGATAATGCAATCATGGCAGCTTGACGGACAAAATCAACTGGATCTTTAGTTAGAGATTCTAGGACTTCTACAGCGGTATCTAAAGCTTTACCAGCACATGCAGTACCCAATGCAAATGCAGTACCACAACGAACATGTGGGTTATGAGATTTAGACAGTAATTCCACAATTCTTGGTACAGTTGCGTAATCACGCAATAATATGAAACCTAGCGATGTAACAGCAGCTCTTCTAACATCATCATTAGAATCTGACACTGCAATATGAAGTAATTTTTTAATTGCCTTATTATTACTAGTACCGACGTAGGCCATGGCTAAAGTGAAAGCACCACCATAACGTAACAAAGTGTTTTCGCTATCTAGCATTTTATTAATAATGTCATCAGCCATTTCCTGCTTGCCATAACTCACCAGAGCTATACCCATAGCTAAGCCTCTTGTAATATTGCCATGCTTAGTTTCATGAGCATAGAAGAACATGCTATTGATAGTATCTTCATCACCAGAACCCAACATGGTAAGACCAATACCTAATGCAGCAGCTTCACCTGATACAGCTGAGTCATTATATAGGACTTCACTTAAAGCTTCATTAACTTCACTGTCGTTTGTACCTAATGCAGCTAAACCTAACCCTAAGGAAGCACCATGTAATAGAACATCAATATCAGGATCAGATGTCTTTGAACTGTTTTCCACTATGTTGGACATTAGATAATCTACTATATCCGAACCATACCCAGCATAGATTAAACCAAGACTGTATAAGGAACCACCTTTAATATAACGAGATGATGCTCGACTACCTGGCAGATATGGATTCATAACTTTTTTACCATCGATTAAATTACCCTTATTAATGACACCTAAGGATGCAGTGGCGGTAAACTTAGCCCAGTTTTGTGCTTTACCTAACCATGGTAAATTATTTTTGATAAAAGAATTATCAGCAGTACCCGCATGCATAAACCCGTTGGCTACACTGACTGCAGTATGGAATAAAGAAATCTTGCCATCCAGAGCTGATTTAGTCTTGTTTAGTAACTCAATATCAATATTTTTATTATTTAAAAGGAAAGTAGTCTGCATATCACAAGCTGGGACACCAGATAAGATTGTTAACAACTGGGTAGGAAAGTTTTGTTCAGTTAGCCTATTGACCAATTCGGTTAACAGACCTTGAGAAGCAGAGGCCACGATATCAAACGCAATTTGATAGGATAAAGCATTGCTGTTGTTAGTATTTTCATCGGTTTGTAATTTTTCAAATAATCGAACTGCATAATCTGGATCATTCAAATTGACTACTACTTTCAAAAGAGTAAAATAATCGATAGATTTACTTAACAGTATGATATCGAACAAAGATTTTAAAATATTTATTCTAAATGAGGAGTTTGAAACAGTGGTAGAAGATGCAGTCAAAACATAGTTTATCAATTTGCAGGTGTTAGATTCGGTATCATTTTTCGATCTATCCTTTAGAATTTTTTCCACAATATCCAATCTAAAACCTTCTAATGCTATTCCCAGAGCCAATCTATATTCTCCGTTAATCACACAATTGTCCAACATTTTTTCAAAGATTGAAGTCAATTTAGTATTAATATCTTTTTTTGTTTCCTTGGATTCATATTTTTGAGTAGACAATTTAATGTACATTTCAATACTTTTAGATACAATAGTCTCAACGTATTGAGTCTTTTCACTCATATTGAAGTAATCCTCAGCAGCCAAAGCGTATTTAACTGCGGAATCATATTCACCCAAATTATAATATACCTTAGATGCCACCAAAGCAGCCATTTTACGATTTGAAAAGGATAAATCATCGTACAAGGCTTCGATGTCAGGTAAATCATTAGACACTTCGGGCCATTCTTGGTCAACAATACCGTTAATAGATTCTAAAGCATATGATCTTATAGCATCATCAGATTCTCTTAAAAGAGCCAAAAGAGGAGCAGCAGAAGTTGCAGACATTTTTTATTTTTTTATATATTTTTACCTGTTTGTGTTTATTTGTTTAAATATTTATTAATAATGATTCAATAACCGATCTAATTTCTCTTTTATTTTATTTTGTCAATAAGAAATAAAGCACCACTTCGATAAATATGAAAAAAAAAAACTAAAGTAAAAGGAATTTATATCTATATATTTTTGTGTGGGTTTATGTGTGTTATTTTTTTTTCTTTTTTATCTCGTGATATTGAGTTGTCTTCACCTTATACAAAGAAATAGTGAAGATATATGGTCTTATGTATATTTATTTATGTATGTGTTTATTTGCATATGTGCGTACGAACAGCAGATGATCGAAAGTTAAAAATGTGGTATGATATTTTTTTGTTGTTTGTTCTAGTATACACTTCTTTACTTTCTTTCTTTTTTTTATTTTTTTTTTTTCTTTTTTTTTTTTTTTTCCTTTTTTCTTTCCTTTCCCTTGTTTTTTGTATATTTTGTTCTACTAAGAAAACAAAAAATAAATACAGTGCTTATTATATTTTAGAGATGAGTGCGAGACACAAAGACTGGGATAAATATTAACGGGAGTGGCAAGAAAAAAGAGAGAAGAGATAAAAAGAGCAGGCAAGAGTAGAGAGGAGAATATTGTTGTTGGATAAGGTTATGTAGTAACTTTTTTATATCTTCTTGTCGTCCTACTTAATCAAGCATCATCGTGGTGGGTTTCTATCTATGCATAACTGGGTGGTTTTTTTCTCTCTTCCTCTCTCTTTTTCCACGTTTTCCACGTTTTCTTTCTTTCTGTTTGTCGTTATTTCCTTTTTCAAGCTTATTTTTCAATTTTTGCCACTTAGCCAACTCTCAGAAAAAGGTTACCCGGTTAATGTGGGTGTGTGGGTGTATTGATGCATAGAGGGGAAAAGAAAAGAGAATTCGATTTTACTATTACTAACTACTATTAGATGAGTTTCGATATATAATTGCAAAAGAAAGAAAAAACATCGAATATGGAGGTTTTCTCTAGAATAGTTTGTGAGCAAATACGTTCATGTTTATGTCTATGTTTGTATTCATATATGATCTTATAAGGTAATATAAACTTAACAATATAGTAATCTATCTAATTAGAATTTTCTTAGACGTAGCTTCCAGTTGTTCATATATATATATATATATTATCTTTGAATAACTACTTGTCATAACATCAGTTACTAGATATGCTATTGAACTGGTGGACTCGTAACATTGTTTTTCAATGTTGTATTTCCGCAATATGCTATTGATTGTCTTTACTACCCCTGGCTTATTTTTGTGGATGTATAGTACACGAACTAGATTTGTATTATCATCCATAGGTCTTTCTGTTGATTTGATATGGTGTGCATCTGATTTTAATTCAATCTGTCGGAAATTTATTGCACCGATGGAATTGCCCTCATTTATATAACTAATTAAGGTATTAGATACTTTTTCATTAATGATTTTTTCTGTTTCTTCTGTGGATCCACCTATATGTGGAGTTAATATAACATTAGGTAGATTAGATAATTTATTCAACCATTTTTCTAAATGATTATTGGAAATGTTTTCTGTATCTTTTAAAGGCTTATTAGGATACACGTCCAAAGCAGCTCCCATAATTTTCTTGGATTCTAATGTTCTGATTAAGACATCCATATCTAGCGTACTTCCTTTGGATGTGTTTATTATGTATGAACCCGCTTTCATGAGATCAAAGTGTGATTTACCTATTAAATTGAAAGTTTCAGAATTTTCAGGTACATGTAATGTAACAAAATCTGAGTTTCTTAACAGACTGTTTAAGGTGGAAATCTGTTTAGTTGCACCTATTGGCATCACTATCTGAATATCATAATATATCACGCCCATACCAATTGCTTCTGCCAATATTGAAACTTGCGAGCTAATATGACCATAACCTATAATACCTAAAATTTTTCCCCTTATCTCCCAATAATGTTTATAACCTAATTTCCAAATTCCATTATGAAGCTCTTGTGACTTATCACTGATTTGTCTTGATAGATTTATTATATTGCCAATCACTCATTCTGCAACAGAACGGGAATTTAAGAAGGGTGAATGAAATACTGCTACACCCATACCTGTTGCATATTCAAGGTCGACATTACTTACTTCCACACTGAAACAACCAATTCCTATCAAATTTTTAGCATGTCTCAGAATATTAGCAGATAAGTGAGTCTTAGGACCAATATTTAGGATATGAACATCTCCTATTATTGAAATCAGTTTAGTATCAGTAAGCAAATAGTTATACCATTCAGCTTGGTAACCTTGTTGATTGAAGATTTCAATTAACTCCTGAGATGTATTCTCTAACAAAAGAACCTTAATATCATTCTCTGCCAAGGTTCCAGCAGATGACTGTTGTTGCATGAAGGGAAGTCTCTTTGGAATTAAATCTATAAATAACTCAGCTAAAGATGTTGTTGACTCTTCCTTTATGTTTATTGCAGGTTGCGAGTATATTGGCATAAGCATCTCTATACTGGAAGATGTCATGAAGATCTATAAATACCGCTAAGGTGTATCCGGTATAGTATATTATTCATTCTCACACCAAAAAAAAAATAAAAATAAAACAGTTAGAAATTGTCATAATCTAGATCAGATCTTTAGACGTATAAATAATCTTAGGTAAAAGTTTTCATCATTACTATTAAAAAAAAAACATTTTTGATAATAAAGTTTACAAATAACTAAGTATCGTTTTTCCATATGATCACTATCTTTGTGTTGTTATTTTACCCTTTAACTGTGGGCATATTGATATCTTTTAATTGTGGTAAACTTTTTAACCCTTTTTATCCTCAAAACAATAAAATATTATATCAGGTGAATCTTTTAATTTCAGGTTGTTACACATTACTGCAGGTTTATTATTTCTCTTTACTATATTTGACTAATTGGATCGTCTTGAATATTAGCACTTGATATCAGTGAATGCCACATACTTTTCAGTTGATCTTTTAGATCATTATTAACAAATTTGGCAAACAACACAGAATATTTGCACCATTTGATTGCGTTTTCTTGATCACCAAATATAAGCAAATTTACACCAACATTCCATATTAATGTTGCGATTGTTTCAATAGTTTCTTTTGATTGTAACAAGCAAGATGGATTATCACGTATATCAATCTGAAATTTATTTAAAACATTTGAGATTATGCCTTCGTCGGTTATATCTCCTGGATTTGAAATATTTTCTAATAATATTTTAATCCAGGTGCTGAGATCATTATTGGATACAGTATTTTCAACTAGATTTCTCTTAATAATAGCAGTTACTGTTTTCTTCGTCATACCCTGTGGACAATCTGGATTGGACAGGCATAGTTCGATTAAAACCTTATTAATATGCAGATTATTTTCTTTCAGTATTTTTTCAGTAAATATCTGAAGTTTTTGTTGATTTTTCAGAGAGAGTATGCATTTAAATTGTACCGTTAAAAGTTCAATATAACAGTTATCTAGATCTGCAATACTTTCTTTATCGATTTTTTCTTTTACCTCGGAAGTTCTTCTAAAAGCACTGATGTCTTCTAATACATTTTCTAAAGATAGAGTTAATTCTTGTAGTCTTGACAAATCAAAATCAGTATTTTGATTTCCTTCTAAAAAGATAATTGCTTTTAGTAGTGATATTCTGTACTTCCAATATTGAAAATGAAAACGTTTTATGAAAGAAAATTGATTAATTGGGATCAAATCATTAAGTTCAGCTGCTAATTGTACAAGTGGTTGAATTAGATCTATTTTATTTTCATTATATCCTTTTACTGATATGTTATAGGCAACTGAAGCAAACCATTCTACCTCATCGACAGAAATTATTTCTTTTTCAAAATGTGTTTTTGTTGTTTCTTCAAAAGATCTCCTAAGCTTGGAATTGTCTACAATAAAATGTTTGGCTTTGGTTAAAAGTTTCTGTAATATTGGCACATTTTGTTTCCAGTTTAAATTATCATTGTCAAATAATTTGATGATCAGCTGTAGTGTGTAGCGTAGTAATTCTAATAATGGAATAGTCCAATCATTTACTTGATTTCGGTCAGTATTTTCTTCTTCTAAATCTATTTTTTCAAATAGAAAATTTATACCAGTTAAAACTATATCATCCATTTTCTTGCAGAAAGATATAGCTAAAATTAAGATTTGAATTGAATTATCAGATTTTGATAGATAGATATTTTTCAAGCATTCTGTTATTTTGTTTTTTTCCGCGAATTTATAGTATATTTTCACCAACAACAACTGTGTAAGAGGATGTAGCTTATCACATTCTTCCATTCTTTCATATTGTTGTAGAGCTGCTTCATAATTTCCACAATTTATATAGGATGATATAAGCGCCCTTAATATTTTTCCGATTTCACTAAAGTCATCACAAAATAATTTTTTAATAGCTAATTCATAAATAAGGCAACTGTTTGCATATTCTTGTTTTTTATCAAATTTCTTGGCCAAATTCCAGAGAATAGTTACAATGCATGATATTTTCATTCTAGAAAGTTTTTCTACAGCATTGGTTTCAACTGTTTTAAAAAATTCATTTAGAGAAAGAGTAATATCCTTGATTGTTAAATCCTGTGCTTCAATTGTTAAAAATACTCTTGCAACAATTAAATCTTCCCAAATCTTAGAATGTTCTTTTTGATTTAATTTATTAAGAAAAATGTATTCCATACAGACAATAGCCAGTTTAGTATTACTTTTTGACAATTGCCCAATGCATTCTAATATTTGTTCCCAGTGAAGAGTTATATTTAATGTAGTAATCATTCTCATTATAATTTCTTCAATAGCTTGATCACTGTTTCCAGTTTGTTGAGTTTGGTTGTATTTGATGGCTAATTTATATGGTTCGATTTTCTTTCCAAAATGTTCCTGTAATAAATTGAGTAGTGAACTACATTCTTCAGCAGCAGAAAGCTCCTTGCAGTTTTCTATTAAAAATTTTGTTAAAAATAAAGTTACTGAGTATTTGATATTTTGATAATTTATATGAGATGATAGATTTTCTAATGGAAGATTTAAGTATTGTAACGCCAATCTTAGCAGCGAAACAACCTCTTGTTTTTTCATAGTGTTGTGACAATTTTTCGAGTAAATTAAGACAGAATTAAATATTATTCTGCATAACTCAATTAAACATTTAGCATCTAGAATATCTAAGCTTTCGTTTATATTAATTTTATTACTATATAACTTTGCTGTTTCAATGTCTCCATCTTTTAAACAAAGTTGAAAGTTTACAATGAAAAATTCTAACTTTAATCTTTTGATCTCATATTTTTGATTTTCTTCCCAAATGTCTGTCCTTTCTTCTACTCTTCTTAAAGTATATTGTGGTATGTCCTGATAAATATGAATTAATTCATCCCAATCATGTTTAACTATTGAAGAATTATATTTGATTTCCAAAGCTTTATCCACATCACCATTGATAAGACAACAATGGGATAGGTAGGATTGTGTCAAACAATCTACAATAGTTTTTAATGTGTTTACTTGGCAATTAAGTATTCTAAGTAAGGTCTCTGTAGTATTTATTAATGCATCATACACAGCAAATAAACTAGCCGAAAATAGTTTACAACAACACAATAAATACAATTGATCTGTCTCTTGTATATCATCTTTTTTCTTAGTAGTATCATTTGGTAATTTTGCTTTAGTGAAACTTTGTTGTTCTGTTTTTAAAGTTATTGAAATTGAATTCCATAGATTAGAAGAAGCATTTTCTAAGTTTAAATATAGTTCGTTCTCCAACATTACCTTAGATGTCCTGAATGAACGTTCATATTTATCTGCTATCGGTTGTAAGGCCTCTAATTTATTTCTAATTTGACGTAGATCTTCATTAGTTAAATTTCGCCAACCATAAACTTTTTGTGTCATCCAATTTGCAACTTCACAAAATTCATTGAGTGTAGTTTTAAAGGTGGATGTGATTTCCATTGTTTTTGATATGCTCTTATTAATAATTCTTTTTTTTTTGTACTTTTTTTTTATATAAAGTTGGTTTAATGATTCCAAACATTTTTTGGTCTGAAGAAGAAAGGGAGTATTCTTTATATACAATTATATTTCACCTGCGATAACATTATCTCTATACCAATTAAAAAATAGCCGCCGAAAGTTTTTTTCAGCGTATATTCTCTTGAAAAAAAAAGAAAAAAAAAAAGAAAAAAAAGAAGAAGTTAATTGTGTAATGCAAGACAAAAAAAAAAGTTTATAGCTTAGTGAAACAAAACGTCTCTATTCATTATCCTTACAAAGACTTGAATGAAGTTGAGGGTTAGATACAAATATTAATAATACATACACATCTATTTTTTACATAATTTGCATTGGGGTGATAAAAAAAAATGTTGTGGCATTTGAATTTTTAGATATGGTGAAATAAGGGTATCACAAATTTCTTTTTTCTTTTTTATTTTATTTTCCTGTAAGCAGGATATTAAGGAAAGTTATGTGTGGTATTCGGGTATTAATTATTCTATTGCTTCATTACTTTGAAATAATTGAACATTATCATTCTTATCTCTATCATTGCTATTGTTATTTGTAATATCGCCATCTATTTCGATATCAAAATTTTCTTTATCACGTAAATTTCTAAAAGTTGAAAGATAAGATTCGTCATCACCTAGAGTGCTAGTGTCACTTTGTAAGTCAATTTCTCCTGAAGGATGATATATATTCAGTTCGTGTTCAAGTTTACTCATTTTAGATTTTTTTTCCATAGTATCCCAACAATTGTTAGAAATATTATTAGAGTCTAATAGATTATCAATAGACACATCATCAACATCTTGAAGTATGTTTATTGAATCATTGGAATTGGTATGATGGGTATTATAGAAAAAGTCATTTTTATTAATATTTTTTTGAGGGTGTTTAAAATTTCCATTACTATATGGTCTGTTAATGTTTAATAACTTTATTTTTTCTTTTAAAGTCATTGGTGGTGAAGTTGGACAGTCTGGATATATTGGGGTTGAACAAGAACTCAGTATTAGATCTGGATATTGTTGAATTTGATTTTCAATGTATGATTCAGTTATATAATTTGAATGATTGGTTTTACCTAGGTCAAATTTAGATGAACATCTAGAAGAATATCCAGAGATAGGTGTATCAATAGAATGTTTTGAATAATGGCACTTGGGTTCTAAAAGATTCGATAAATATTGGTTTAATCCTGTTCTAATGGTGGGTTTACTTTCAGTGCTATCTTTTGTACCTGTAATTGAAAAGCCTGAATTGCCTGAACATGTGGAAAGGGGTCTTGATAATACATTTTTAGAAGGATCAAAATCAAATAGTACTTTTGTAGATAAGTTGCTCTCGTTTATATGACTATTTAATGATATTATAGATGATACGTCTTTTGAAGCAAAAGAAGAGATGGATTCTGACATTTATTTATCTTAGTCAAATCTATTTTTTATTAAGACAAAAAAAAACAATATTTAAATCAGATTGTAATTAAAAAATGTACCAAACACAAATGAATATTTAAGTAGTAGAAAGGATACAAAATATCTTTTTTTGATAGAATATTTGGTATTTGTTGGTATACTATATTGTATTTGTATGTATTTATATATATATATATATATATTTGAAAAAGAAAAAATCAAAGTATAATTGAATATATAAAATAACTATATTTTATTCAGGGAGGGGTAGCAATTGAACAAATAATAATAATAGTAATAGTAATATACGTATATATATATATATATATATATATATATATATGTTCAATTATTAGCTATACAAATTTCACAGAATCGTAAATCAAAATGGAAATTATCAGTTGTTATATCTTTTTTTATATATATCGGTGGTATAGATTTTATATATCCTTTTGATTCTATAAATAAATGGCATATTCTCCGATACTGTGGAATTTGGATAATCAGATGATTTAATATATCAAAAAAAAAAGTCCAATTAGGGGTATCCGTGTGACAATAGTATCAATTTTACAGCTTTAGAATTGTTATTTTCGAACAATGACAAACAATCGTGTTAGAAAAGTTACTGTCAGCCTCATTATGTGCACAGTGAGGCTGATCATACAAATATTTTTTTGTTCTTTTTTTTTATTCTCTCCTTAAAGAATTGACATCAGTACAATAGTGTCTATTGTTGCTAATTTATTACCGTTACATTATTGTTTTATTTATATAGTAATGTATGGGTCTTTAGTATTCGATTGTTTTTTTTGTGTACATTTTATTATTAGCAATTGCAATTTTTGCATCACTGTTGAGATAAACTGAGGTATATGGCAAAACAATACGCAGCTTCTAAGTGTGTCAAGGTTTAACAATACATTTAGTTTGAGTGTCTATTATATCTGGTAAAAAAAATAGACGAGTCATGTACAACCTCTATTATATTTTCATTTTGACAGACTCCTTTTAAAGGTATTTATTAACAACCGATTGTAATTGAACCTATTGTTATCAAAATCTATTCTTTTTTTTTTTTTTTTTGAACTAAACAATTTGGTCTATGTATAATAACAGCACCAATAAAAATTAAATAACATGTAATCACGTAAATAATCTTTGACCCACAAGCACAAAGGGTTGAAAAGCTACGAATATCCTTCATCCTTACTAAAACTATAGTGATTCTACTAACGATAAAGTGCCAGAAGAAGTATTGGAATCTTAATAATGAATAATATAACAATCTTGTATTAATTAGGCATGCATTCAAGATTCAATAAATATGTTGTAAAACCTTATTCTGACATTGAAACTGTTCCTATAAAAATGTTCCTTTAACGATATTTTCAAAAAAATGGGGGGAGGGGGATAAACCACTCATGAGATTGCACTCATTTTTACCTTCTACTGTAATTCTTTTAGGAACTGATTGGGGACAAGTCAAGATTCTGCACCATCCAAAGATTAATACTTTATGAAGTCAGCAATGAGCTTAGAGACATTGATTAAAATGATGAAATAATAAATTATGTAATGTTTTCAATTATCTTTCTCGGCCTCTACTTTAAAATTTTTTCATACTCTCATATATCTGGTTAAAGTTTTACTGTGGTTCAGCTAATCAAGTTTATTGATACTAACAAAATCTAAAAGAAAACTGATTAGATTATCTATTTTACATATCAATATTCATAAAAGACAAGATGGTTCCTCTATTTTTCAAACTTGAGGTTTTCTGTATTCCAATATGATTGAATGCTGTTAATCTTTCAATAGCTGGTCAATATTCTAAAGGCATATTGATATCGCTATATTATCCAAATAGAGGTGTTTACTAAATATATATATATATCTATTTTTATAAAAATAAGGTTAGGTTTGAATCACGTTCTTGTTTATAAAAGATTATATTGTACCATCGAACTAGAAAAGGAAGAACTAAAGACTTAATATAAAGAAAGATTTTAAGACAACAAAGTTAAGTCATATGTTTTCTTAATTTATTCTGTAAGCTATGTATTAACTGTAAGCAATTAACTAATATAACTATTAAAACTAAATATTTTATTCTGGATATTGAAAATCTATTCGATCAATCAATAGATGCTACAATATTTAGCAGGTTGGATTTAAAAAATGGCTGCCAAGAAGTTCCTAGCCGTGAAAATGATAAATCTAAAACTGTTGTTATCATAACTTTAAAATACTAAAAAAAGAACATTGTGTTTTTCATTAAAATAATGTTCTTTTATATTCCAAAGGTAGACAAGTTGCGTTTTGAGGACTTATCTAGGTAGGTTTTGTGTAGTATTTTTAGACGATACATTAATCTGTTTCAAAAATGAAGAGGACCACATACAATACTCTAAAAAACCTTCAATAACCTTAACTCAAGGCTATCTATCTGCAAAAAAAAAAAAGACTAAATGTGAATTTTTCCTGAATAAAATCTTATTTTTTGGTTGCATTACTATTAAGCAAGGTATGTTATGTCATTTAGAAAAGGGTTAATTTATTAAGAGTTTTTTTTGTCCATTAAGGGTTTTTTTTTAAACTAAGAGAGTAAGAAATAGACAACAATACAGCAAGAAGCTTTTGGCTTGCTGGTAAAAAAGTTGTTAAAGGCTCCTAATTTGAAGCTATTTGATCTTTCTAAGATGGCTATAGTAGTGCTTGCATATATAAGCAGAACTTTATATGGCTACGAGGTGAATAAGTCCATTAGAGAAAAAGGATATTTTTGTAGTTGTTCATGTTCCACACCAACGGAGACATTATTTACCAAGTCAAAAGGCTTTATTAAAAACCGACCATGAGTGTCTTAAGTTTATAATCAAAGAAAATGGCATTTAGTAATATCTAATGAGATGGCGGGATGATACTCTTGAATTCAATTTTATGATTCAATACATTTCAGGAGTAAAAGAATCAAACAGATGCTTTTTCTCATCTGAACAATATTAATACTAATACAATAAAACGGTTCACAATAGTAGTTATATTATCTTCATTGGATAATACTGGGGAAAATTAGGCATAGAATATCTTGATGATCTCTATTTCTTGCTAACATTTAATTGATTAGTTAACTAGAAAGCTCGGATCAGAAACTACAGAATTATTACCAAATATCGTATGTGCTGCAAGGATCTAATTTATTATTAAGCATAACCTATCTAGTTGGCGTAAGTCAGTTATTCTGTTAGGTTCCATTAAAATGTTGCATCTCTATTCTTACCATAACTCTAATCTAGCAAGTCACCTAGGTTCTAATAAAATATTCTAAATTTTGTTGAGAGATTTCTACTAACTAAATATGGTCATTACAATTAGGAACCATGTTCAAGTCTATATCAATTACCAAACTGCTATCCATGTACAGCAACTTGGTCCGAATACAAATGCTTCTCTCATCGTTTCAATATAAGTATAGTCATTAATAATATTGACTCTGTGACAAGCATGAAACTCTTAGATAGATTGGAATGTATTTTAGTGGTTATTGACAGATTAATTAAATGGTTGTATTGGATTCCAACTGTTAAGCAATTCATTGCTACTATTGATTTTAAATTAATTTTGAATAAGGTTTTCTGTAATTATTATATCTCTTATGAAATCGTCTCTGACAGAAATAAACTTTTCGCTAGTACTACTTTTGATTGTCCTATTTTACAAATCTTTATAGAAGAGTCTACTGGCCTTACCCAAATTTTCAAAAAAAGATGATACAGCTATTTCTGGTGCTTTTAAAATAAATTTGATCAATATTTATAGGCATTGTAAAACACAATAGTCATCAGTATAGCGTATGTACAACAGAAACATATCTTAAGTAATTTTGGTGTTTGAAGGTTGAGATAATAGAAGAAAAGCTATTTGGTTGTTTTTTATTCATTAATTCAAGATACTAGTTGATAATATAAAAAAAGCTTCTGGAAAATACATTGACTACGTATTTTTCGAGTTCAATATGTAAATTTAGTTCTTATTTGTAGTATAGTTGTTTTTAGATCAATTTTTCTATAATAAGGTAACTCATAACAATTTATCCTAATGTATTAGTACTTCCCTTGTTTCTTATTATTCTTTAGCTACATTGTGGAAAAAGTGGAAATTGGGATGTTTCTCTCTTTTTTTTTTAAACTTTATGGTTGTCTTCTGCTAGTTTTCAGTTCATACATGTAGCATTATTATTGTTCAATAATTTGGTTAGTTAAAAAGAGGTAGAGTTAGTTTCTCCGCTGTTTACTGTATCTTCAGGAACTCTCAAGGCATTTATTCCTCGTTTTAAAGTACTTTTTATATTTTTTTTGTGTTTTTATTCTAAGATTTTTCTGTGAGTTTTTCCTTAGATTATAGAAAAAGGTGTATGGGTGTATCGCAATAACTTGCAGACGTTGTATTTTATCCATAATTCTTTTGTTTGGCGGCTAACTTCATCCCACTACAATCTTTGATAAAAGAGTAGTATGTAAAAAAGTATATGACAGTAAATTTAGAACATAGATGAAACTAAATAGTTACAAAGTCAAAATATTAATCTTGTAAACATGTCTACGAACCAATTATTTTTGTCAAAACAGAAAACAAAAACATTTTTAGAACCAGCAGTGGCTATCTCGTCTGAACAGTCTCAAAAATTGATTCAAACTATGTTAACAATGTCATTTGGATGTTTAGCTTTTTTACGTGGTTTGTTTCCAGATGAGTATTTTCTGGATCAAAGGTTTATTCCTGAAAAGCACTCCAAAGATTTCGATAAAAATAAACAAGCAAATTCAATCAAGATTAAAACTTTGATTAGAGGAAAATCTCAAGAAATTGATTTATTATTAGATTGGCTTGAAAAAGGTGTTTTCCAGTCAATTAAATTAAAATATTTAAGAGCCCTCTCTTTAGGTATTTTTGTTGAAGAAGCTAATCCCACTGATCTGTATGAAAATTATCTTTTCACATTTGACTACAGTGGAAATAATGTTTCGATGTCTATTAATAGTCAAGATTCGACTCAAAATGGGGTTGCCACTTCGCCAAATGAAATAATAGCCCTTAAAGATTCTCGCAAGATGGTTCAACAGTTAATGAGAAGGTTCATTATAATTACACAGTCCTTGGAGCCTTTACCTGATGAAAAATATTTGAATATGAGACTTTTATTTAATGAAAATGTAGAGCAGGATTATCAACCGACGCTATTTAAAGATGCTACGTTCCAACCACGAGCTACCATTAAAATTCCAAAAAGCCTGGATCTGGATTCATTTAATGTGGGTCAAATAAATACAGGTTATCACGGTTGCAATTTATCAATTTTATCTTCTTGCCAGAATGTGAATAAGAATTATGATATGTCTGACAATGAGCTTTTAGAAGACCTTCAAGAAATTGATCCATTACAACGAATTATTGATTCTTATACACCAGAGAAAGAAAAAGCAAAGGAAGATTTTTTAAATAGTCAACAAAGGTTAATTAATAATCCAAATGAAAATATCAAAACACAAGTAAGTCAAGTAGCAAACAATTTAGGTAATTTTTTAAATTCTTCACAACCAAGTATTTTAGCCACTCAAATAGCACCTGAGAAAAAAATAATTGTTAATAATAATGATAGCAAAGAATTATTAAAATGTGAATGTAACACCGGCATAGGAAAAAATACTGTAGGAGAACTTTGTTGTATTAAATGTGGTCGTTTAGTACATAAGCAATGTTATGGAAATACTAAAAATAGTCGAATTGAGTGTTTCACATGCCTCTATAAAGATACTAATGGAGGGAAATTGGAAACCACTTCAAAACAATTTCATGGGCTTATGGTGTTGAGAAAAACATATAGAGTTATTAATAAACTTTGGGGAAATCCTCCCCAATCAATATCTGAATATATGGAAAGAGTATTTAGTAAGGAAGAATGTATGAAGGAAGAAAATATTAATGATTTTATTTTTTCCCTTAATTGTTTGTTTTATGATTATACTTTACAGGCAGCTCCAGAAAATAGGACAGTTTCGAAATATAATATTATATTTGATATCCTAATTGATGTGTTGGGTATTTTTTCTGGTGACCAACAACCATTTATCATGAATGAAAAGTATACCTTGTGTTTTCGTCTAGGGAATAGAAGTGCTAACTCTAGTTATTTAAAGATATTGCCCAAATCTGGAGAAGATATTGACTATTGGTTGAAAGATTTTGAAAGGTTGGAAAAGAACGTTAATCGTCACCTGTATAATAGTCAGGAAGGTATAAAGAACAAAGAGTGTAAAATGGCTTCAATAGATACTATTAATCTAAATTCTTTAGCCATCCAGGATACAGAGACACAAGATCCGATTCGAAGTGGTAGAAAAAGGAACCAACTGGATCTGATACAGTACTTAAATACTGAAGAGAATTCATTACTCCCTGAGACGTATACCACGAACAATTTTGATAACTTTGAAGAAGAGAGTAATACAAATAAAAGAAAAATCAGAAAGATTAGTATATCGAAAGGAACAGTTAAAAGTTCTTGGTAGATTTTATATTCTGAAAAAAGAGGTTTTTAATACATTGCATATGTTAGTTTAAATTTTGCTGTTGATTGATTTTATTGCTGTGATATGGTTTTATTAAAAATGTTACTGTGATTATGAGGTATATATATTTTTTTTATTCTTTTATATATTCATAATTGACTTATTTATAATCAAGGAGTCTTTATCCTTTAATCATTTAGATATTTTATTGCTGATATCATTTTCATAAATTTTGGATGTCTTAGTCTGTACAGTTTTGACTATTAGTTGAAGTTGAATTATGAAGAAATTCTATAAGTTGATGATTATCTTCTCTTTTTTTGTCTACTAATTTTGATATCCTATTTTCATTTGTTTTTAAGATACTTGAAATATCGTTTATAATCGATCTCTTTTTGTAAAAAACTATGTCACCTTCTATAAAAAAATTTGATTGCCTTTCATTAAATAATTTTGTTAAATCATTTAAAACTATATTGTATGCTATGCCCAATGACTCAGATAATTGACTAATTTTAATTTTATCCGATACACTAAGGTAAAACACGTATATCTTTGTTCTTATTTTTTGTTCTATCTCATCTAATTTAGGTCCAATGATAAAATGTTTTTGGACGATTGGGTATACTTTTTGAAACCAAACATTAAAGAATTTTTTAAAATTAATGTTCACTAAAAGATCAAATACCATGTTTGCTAGTGGGAAATTATGGAACAATAATTGTATATTTGCCAGTTGTATGAAATTTTTATATTTATTTATTGGAATTGTTAATAATGCAGAAATCAATACTATGGTATAAAATTCATCTTCAAAAATGAAATTATTTTGTAAATTCCATTGAGATATATGTAAAAATCCGCTATCCTTGTCATTAAAATAAAATATCTTTTGAATAACATCCAGATATTTCTCTTGAAGAAATAATGAACAGCAAAGATATAGTCTCATTCTTTGTACTGCATTAAATAACTCGGGTTGTGAATCGTAAGAATTTTCATTATCAGAGTCAAGATGGGTAGTAATTTCATAATTAGATTCAATTTTATACTCTAATTCAGGAATGTTTCTAAAATCATGACTTAAAATAGTTATAATCAGAACGTTTTCTAACCAATGATAGAAATAATGGGGTTGGTGACGATGATTTGCTTTCTCAACTGGAATGATATTATATTTCAGAATTATATTCGAATAATCATCTTGAAGAATATGTTCAACGATTAATTTATCAATCTTAATCTTTTTATATTGAATATTAATAGGGCATTGTTCGTTTAGAGTATTTGTTGATATATTGTAGTTTTCACAGAATCTTTCGATTTTCTCTTTAAGAGATGGTAATAAGACAATCAACTCCGGGGTTTCCTTTACGATTTTTTGAATCCAGTGAGATCTTTCTTCAAAATTACCAATATTATTTTCTACTATATAGATAACTCTCTTAAGTAATAAAACTTTTTGAATGTCTAATGAATCCATAAATAAAGCAATGTGTCTGGTCTGATATTATATTAGTACAACCATTTAGTGTTACAAATGTTTGTATGTTTGTGGCAATAGCTTTATATCTTTAGTATCTTCCCCAGTTTTGAATTTAATGTCTATGTTTATTTTTCTGTATGAAAGGAGCGAGCATTGTATGTTAAAAGAAATAATATTGAGAACTGAAAAATAATTCAATTTGAAAGAGTAATACAACTATAATCTTCTAGAGAGTCTAATATAAAAAAAATCTTGTATGAGCAAATAGGCATATAACTGTATGTATCAGCTTTTACGCATAAAAAATATTATATCTCTAAGAAAGATGATTTAATAAAAAGGAATACTTAATGATTATTATCAGTGTATATACAAGTACTTATAAGAATGTAGTTATATTAATCATATATATTTATCTATGTACATATTTCCCTCACCTTTGTTTTGGTCAACTCATTTACTTATTTTTAAAGAAACCTTTCATGTCTTCTAACCAGGAGATATATTCATTGTTCTCCTTGAATTCAGAATAAGTACAAATGAATTCTGATAATTCTTCATTGACACCTCTACTTTCTAAGTATAGTTCTAAAGATTCTTGCAATCCTTCATCAAGATTCGAAAATGGTGGGCCACGATACTTCAAATCATTATTAAATTGTGATTCAGCAGTGTCATGTAAAATGTCAGCAGCAGATTTAAATGGAGTAACACTGTCAATGTAGAAAGAACGATCTTGTAAATTCATCAACAAATCAAAGGATACTGCGGATCCATTGCCTTCATGGCTTACGACAACAGTAACATTAGCAAAATTGTCGTCTAATGAATCAAATGTTTCATCATTATTATCTTCAGCAGCAGCAATATTTTCTTCTGTAACTAGGTCATCAAATGGAAGGTTTACCACTTGAGCCACATCGAAAAAGACGTGGACGGTTTCACCTGAATCAGTCTTCTTAACAAGTTTAGCTTCGTTCTTGCCAGGCGTTTCAACAATAAAGAAATTAGATTTTTCTAAATAAGGCCTGAACATGTCTGGGGATTGTTCTGTAGATGCTAAATCTTTTTCAATTTTGTATTCAGAGTTCAGAATATCGTTGACAGCTTGTCTTTGTTGGTTGTCCCTATATTGAGTAGTGAAAAATGTTCTTACCGGATGAAAAGTAGAAGCAATCAGGCCTACTCTGTTAAGGGGCTGTCTACAAGAAGTAGCTTTAACTATATTAGCAATTGTTGATTTGGCTATTGAGCGGTGTAAAATATTCAATGACATGATAATAAGAAATTGTGGTATTGATTCCTGAGTTCTTAGTGCTACTTATGAACAGGACACCAAAAGATTTAGCTGTTAAGTGAGCTGTAGACATACGGTTTATAAAATAAGGCCTTTTCTTTTCTTATTTCTCATTTTCATATTCTATTTATATATTTCTTTAAATTGGGATTTTTTTTGTTTTTTTCAAAAAAAAAATCTTTTTCTATCTAGAAAAAGTAAACAGAAAACACCCACACCTTTAAAAACAAGAATTCAGAAGGTGTCACAAATTGGACCCATGCCGTTTTCAAACGTTGTTTAGTATGTGATGATTCAAGCCTTAGCTTTAACTACAGATTTTGTTTTGGTTAATTTTACAAACTGTTAGAAATGATTGTTTTGACGCAAGGCTTCGGTATTAAAAATTCCATCAGCGTTCGTTTTAAATTAATCTAATAAGATAATATAACTTATAATAGGATATTGGTGATATCATAAGTTCTCAGCTATTTATAGTAGGATACTAGTGGCACTATAAATTGTTATTGTATTGCTTACCCTGTTTTGTTCTACATACTTAATATACATTATAACTCATTTTATATTAACTCTTCCTTTATATACTGTCATAAAAATTTCCAGTTATTTAGTACGAGGACGTTAGATTATTAATTATATCTCAGATCTCATTTCAGCAAATTAATTGGCATTTTATGTCAATTATACTGAGCAATTCCTCAAAAATAAATCTATAACATTTAATACAAATTGACCAGTCAATTCTGTCTTATTCACCTAATCATAATATTGTAATATGAAATGGTCAGATTCTTTTGTGTATTCCAGGGAAGCGCAAACAATATTAACAGTTATTCAAATAATCGAGGCAGTAATCAACTATAGTCGATAATATAATTACTAAAACGGTCTTATATATTGAGCGGCTTATATCGAGCCAATATATTTATTCAAAGTTACTTAACTTGTTACTTGCTTGTTGTTCTCTTTTTGTTCATATATAATATATAAATTATTTACAAGAAACGGTTATGGAAGATGATCTTTTATCTCCAGAAAACGTTGTCCTTTTATATGTTTTCTGGAGCTCGATCGATTATTCAGATTAGTACATTAATGACTTGACTGATTCATCCTAAAATTTATTACATTAATTTAGGTGCACTAGTGGATTAGAACTGCACCCCAATTCTCTAATCATGGTGATTAGTAATACACGTGGGACTTATTAAAACAATAGGTAAATTCTAGATTTGCCAAAATCTTATGTAATCCAATCTCTTTATTATGCAGCATCTAATGTTGTAGCACGTGTACGGCTTATTAAGACAATAATTAGTTCTAGATTCATTCAGGATCTTATGTAATCTTGATTGTTATAACTATCCTATTCCACAACACTTGATGTTGTAGTATGGTGTGGTGAAGTCCTTTGTGTATTCCAGGGAAGCGCAAATAATATTAATAGTAATTCAAATAATCGAGACAGTAATCAACTATAGTCGATAGTATAATTACTAAACGGTCTTATATATTAAGCGACTTATATCGAGCTAATGTACTTATTCGAAGTTCCTTGACTTGTTACTTGCTTGTTATTCTCCTTTTGTTCATATATAATATATAAATTATTTACAAGAAACGGTTATGGAAGATGATCTTTTATCTCCTGAAAACGTTGTCCTTTTATATGTTTTCTGGAGCTCGATCGATTATTCAGATTACTACATTAATGACTTGACTGATTCAAACCCTAAAATTTATTATATTAATTTAGGTGCACTACTGGATTAGAACTGCATCACAATTCTCTAATCATGGTGATTAGTAATACACGTGGGACTTAATAAAACAATAGGTAAATTCTAGATTTGCCAAGATCTTATGTAATCCAATCTTTTTATTATGCAGCATCTAATGTTGTAGCACATGTAAGGCTTATTAATACACTAATTGGTTCTAGATTCATTCAGGATCTTATGTAATCTTGATGGTTATAACTATTCTATTCCACAACACTTGATAGCAAATTTTGGGCACGTGGCGCAGTTGGTAGCGCGCTTCCCTTGCAAGGAAGAGGTCATCGGTTCGATTCCGGTCGCGTCCATTATTTTTTCCCATGCATGATTTATGTAGTGTCACTTTGATCTACAGGAATAATTCTGCTATATAAAACATATAATATTCTTGGACATGAAATGTAATGAACTATTTTTTGGTTGTTATGCTTATTTGTATAATATATAAACCGTACTTTATGTAAAGGAATACACTGTAAAGAAATGATACATCCATATATTTTATAAATAGAAAAACCTAAGCTATTGTCGGCGAGTAAAGGGTTTGTAAAATCATCTACGATGATATCTAGCAAATATCTGTCACTAATACCTTAAGAAAAAACAAATAAACAAAGAAATAAATATACGGAGACGATCAACATCATTAATGGTACAATTTTCCAGTTTCAACTTCCAATATTTAAACTCTCTTAGATATTGTAAGCAGCCGTTAACTTAGTTTTATCTCTTTTCTCTAATTGTTGAATTAAAAAGAAACTGTCACAGTTTGTGCTCCTATGTATATTTTTTAAAAGAATCTTTCTGTCAGGCTTAAAATTTCTCTATCAGGACACAACCTTATAAGTGAAGATTTCTTTTAAACTTAAAAATCTTTTTAATTCTTGCAAGTAACTTATTACTTCGCAAAACAAATCTAAAATAATACTTCTGTTACTAACTAAATCTTGAAAAATTCTTTTAAGACCTAATATACAATAATTCTAGCGTGATCTGAAGTATTATATTCTCACTTTGAAAAGTTTATTTTATCATCATAAATATCACCACCTGTTCACAATTATGAATATCTTTTTGTATAATAATCGTTAGTGATCTCTTTAAGAGTCGTAATAGTCAAAATTCAATTTTCTATCTCTTATCCTTACTAGAAAACTTTTTTTTTTCGATTTTATTAATCTATAATTCCAAACATCTTTAAATAACATCTCACCCTTAAACATGATCAACTGGATGTTCATAATTCACTGAGTGACAAAGAACGATCTATAAACGTGAACTTGTTATATGACAGTATAGAAATTGGTGTATCTTTTATTAATTAGACTCTATAAAACAAATAATATTCCATAATAGATCTATTACCGTGACTTTTACAAAAAGTCACAGTACCTGATATAAATATTATAGTAATAAATATTCATGATACTCCAGGAAGAGGTGGTGTCCACAGTCCTTCTGGCCATTGTAATACACCAGCATTTGTATAATCACCATGATTATCTACAGAAGAATCGATTCTCGCTCTAGCCACTCTAAAATATAAAGGTATTGTATTATTTACACTATTTTCCAATGCTTTTTGAACCATTTCAGACAATTCTAAATTATTTTGAAATAATAAATCAATATCGATTGTTGTATTCGAACCCACATACACTTCAAAATCATTTAATAATAAAGAATATCCATCAAAGTATTTATTAGATATCTGTGTCTCGCTCTCGGTTACATTTGCATCAATCTTCCATGACAATGAATGTGGCATACTTACATTGAATAACAACGTTGGAGGTAGTAATGAAGCGCCAGCCTCACCTCTTAATAATGCAAAATCAGTCTCAACAATGCTTGCAAAATCCCATTTTGAAACTCCAGATAAAATCAGCCCAATTAAGATACCTTGAAACATATATGCAGACCCACCCCTAGTAGCACAGCCTGGAACTAACATAATACCAAGGATATAATGATGTAATCTTAGGTTAAGACCAGGAATTAATGATAAAAGTATCAAAGAGCAGATAAATGTAATATATATCTTGAAAAACTTTCTGAATCTCCCGGATTTCCATAAGGAATATGCTTGAATAATAGCACATGTAAATATTACCCCAGCTATTGTTCCAACTGCTGTAGCTGCACCAGGCTGCTCTCTTAAATCTTTTGGAGTTAGTCTGTCTACAGGTAGTCTATCAAAAGTTACATTATTCATAACACCTAACCATAAGAAAGGGTACCAAAGTAAAATTTTACACAAGGGGGAACCAATTTCTAAAGTTCTCTTGACAGAACATTTCCATTCAACATAGAGTACAAAACATAAGGGTAATAACCTTTGAAATCCAATGCTTAATAATTCATATCCAGTCTCTGGAAAATGAGGATCTGCCATTATTGGGGGGTCGAATGATAAAACCAAAGTCCAATATCCAACTATAGTAACAATCCAATACCCAATAATACTTTTGTACAGATAAAATACAGGCAAACCAAATAATATATTGAGTGTAATGACCAAAAATCTTGGATCCACACAACCTGATGATATACCATTAAGAAAGTCGACAAAAACATAGGAGCTAGGAAAAAATGAATCAAACTTAACCGAAAAATGTGTATTATGTTTTCCCTCTTCAGAAGGGAAGCTAGTTTGAAAACCTCGCATATTCACCTTTGCACATCCACCATAGATAGGTGAAATAATATCTGCGTGGACAGCTGATCCACAAATAAATGAGTCACCCCTATATGGTTTTGACAAGGTCATTTCGTTGTCATCAGGATTATTATTTCTTCCACCTCCAATCTCATAACCTTGATATTTTATCCGTTGATCACCTACATTAATAGCTGAATAAGTCCATCCGCCACGATCACATAATGCAGGACATCTAATATAGTAGTATTTATCCTCAAAAGGCAAACAATCTCTTGCATTTAATCCACATGCATTATTTTTACCTTTCCAATTTAAATATGAATTACAGTCATAAGTATATATAGGTATTTTAGTACTACCATTATTAAGGTTAAAAAATGGTTTACGAAAGAGATAGGCGTGTAATATAGTGTAGATAATACTGAACCATATAATGCAATAGAAGATTAGTATTACTATTTGTGTGCTCATTTTAGGAAACCTCTTTCTGAATATTTTCTCTGGAAATTCATCAATCTTCTTCAATAGGGTAAACTTGGAAGGAAAAGTTGGTGGATTATCACTCGGTTCTCTTGGTCCATACCATAATTTGTACACAAATCTTTTTAAAATGCTGGACTGTTCTAATAATAACCAATCCTGATCTCTATTTGTTGGTATAGCCTGGTCAGAATATACAGACTGTTGTATGTCATTTAAAGGCTCATGAACATTTTCCAAATCATTTAATTCGATATCACTGTTTGAAGGCATAATGTTTGGTCTATTTAAAGAATCATTCCCCCCCTCATCCATATCAAGTTCTGACGTCTCAAAACATAAATACAATAAAAATTTATTTTAGTTCATGAGTATTTATTATGTTTATCATTAACAATTTATTGAAATTATTGCGAAGTATTTCTATGTTTTTTCGATCGTCTTCTTCTTTAAGTTCTTTTTTGTTGATAATTCTTGAAAGAAGCTTTCCTATTTAAACGTGAAAAAAAGTAAAACAAAATGATGATATTAAGTCCAGACATCCTCACATTGCACTGAGAATGAAAATTTTGAATGAAAGAGGTATGAGTAATGATAGATAATTATTAGATTAACACTTTTCAATTTACAAAATTATATACGTATATAAATTCTACATAACGGAGCAAAATATCACATTCAAATATTCTAGACTTGAACGGGCTCAGCAATAGCTATAGGTGTTATTTGATTTCCTAATTTTTGAGTAGACATTTCATTTGGTGTTTGTAAATGTTGTTCCTCTAACTTTAAATTAGCTAAATCCTTTTCAAGTACTGGTTCCTGTAGTGTAGCTGTATTTTTTAAGCTCTCTGTGTAGCTTGTACCTTGTGGGACATATACAGGACGATTCAAGTTGGAAATATCGGCGACTTTGTTCATTGCTTGTGCAGCTACTTTTTGATCAATAGTGAATTGGATTGCAGCTGATGCGGCTTGTGTTCTCAAATAGTACATACCTGTCTTCAAACCCTTTTTCCAACCATAGAAGTGCATACTTGTAATCTTACCCATTGTTGGTGCACGTAAGAATAGATTCAAGGAATGAGATTGGTCAATATAAATTGAACGATCTGCAGCCATATCAATGATTGTTTTCTGAGAAATTTCCCAAACAGTTTTATACAAATCTTTTAGTTCTTGTGGTACATTTAAACCTTGGATAGAACCATTAGCAGTAATTAAATGTTGTTTCATAGATTCATCCCATATACCCAAATCAACTAAATCACGTAATAAGTAAGGATTAACCACTTGGAATTCACCAGAAAGAACACGACGTTGATACATGTTAGAAGTGACCGGTTCAAAACATTCATTAAAACCCATGATTTGAGAAGTAGATGCAGTTGGCATAGGAGCCATGGTTAATGAATTTCTTAACCCATGTTCCATTATTTGTTTTCTTAATGAGCCCCAGTCCCATAAACCAAATGGTTCTGCGTTCCACATATCCATTTGTAAGATACCTTTAGAAGCTGGACAGCCTTCCCAAGATTGATAAGTACCTTCTTTTTGAGCTAACTCACAGGAAGCTTCTAAAGACGCGTGGTATATTGTTTCAAAGATTTGTTTATTCAAGGTCCGAGCTCCTTCAGATTCGAATGGCAAACGGAGCAGCATATAAACATCTGCTAGACCTTGAACACCTAAAGCAATTGGTCTGTGCCTTTCGTTGGAATTTCTAGCCTCTGGTACAGGATAGTAGTTATTATCAATGACTCTATTCAAATTGACGGTTACCACTTTAGTAATTTCATGTAATTTATCAAAATTATAAGTGGAAGTCTTACCATCTTCTGAGAATTCAATAAAGGCAGGCAAACAGACGGAAGCTAAGTTACAGACTGCTGTTTCATCTGGGGAAGAGTATTCGACAATTTCACAACATAAATTGGAAGATTTAATAGTACCTAGATTTTTTTGGTTAGATTTGGAGTTGCATGAATCCTTATAAATCATGAATGGTGTACCTGTTTCTGTTTGAGCTTCTAAGATAGAGTACCATAATTTATGTGCTTTGATGGTAGTACCACGACCTTCCTTTTCGTAACGTTCATATAAAGCTTCGAATTCTTCACCATAGACATCAGATAGTCCTGGAGCATCATTTGGTGAGAACAGTGTCCAATTACCATTAGCTTCTACACGTTTCATAAATAGATCAGGAATCCATAAAGCAGGAAACAAATCTCTTGCTCTAATTTCTTCTTTACCATGGTTCTTTCTAATATCAATGAAATCAAAAATATCCGCATGCCAAGGCTCTAAATAGATTGCAAAGGCACCTGGTCTTTTATTACCACCTTGATCAACATAACGCGACGTATTATTGAAGACACGAAGCATTGGGATGATACCATTGGAGTTACCATTTGTACCAGCAATATAGGAACCTGTGGAACGAATGTCGTGGATATGTACACCGATACCACCTGCAGTTTTAGATATCATAGCACATTCCTTTAAAGTGTCAAATATACCTTCAATAGAATCCTCCTTCATAGCAACTAAAAAACAGGAAGACATTTGAGATTTTGGAGTACCTGCATTGAACAAAGTAGGGGAGGCATGTGTAAAATACCTTAAAGACATTAAATTATAGGTTTCGATAACAGAGTCAATATCATCTAAATGAATACCTAAAGCCACCCTCATTAATAAATGTTGTGGACGTTCAGCAACCTTCCCATCGATTTTCAATAGGTAAGAACGTTCTAAAGTCTTAAATCCAAAATAATTGTAGGAGTAGTCTCTATCATAGACGATAGTCGAGTTTAGCAGGTCTTTATGTTCCATGACAATATCATAAACTTTTTTAGAAATCATAGGGGCATGTTTCCCAGTGGCGGGATTTATCCAATGATATAAATCAGCGATAACTTGGGAGAACCGTTTTGTAGTTTGTTTATGTAGATTTGAAATAGCAAGTCTAGCAGCTAAAGTCCCATAATCTGGATGAATAGTAGTCATATATGCGGCTGTCTCAGCAGCTAAATTGTCTAATTCAGCAGTTGTTACACCTTCATAGATACCAGAAATGATTCTTTGAGTCACTTTCACGGCATCGATATGATCTGAATCTAATCCGTAACATAAACGAGTAATTCTAGATGTAATTTTATCAAAACGAACTGGTTCTTTACGACCATCTCTCTTAATGACATACATTGCGACAATAATAATAATAATAGTAGTGGTAGCAGTAGTAGTAATACTAGTAATATCTTTTACAATAAAAAAAATAAAAAATAAAAAATAAAAAATGAAGGGAAAGGGAGGGGAAGAGTGGGAAGAAAAATAATATATGAGAACAATTAGACAATCTTAATAGCCTTCTTAATTGATGCTGTCTTCTATTTATGATAAATAAATAAATGGAGATGTCTATAACTTATATAGTATATATGTAAAAGAAAAACAGAAAACATTTAAAATATTTCTGGTTCCTTTATAGATTTGAAGGGCTTTTATATATGTTTTTTTTTTGTTTCGAAAGTAATATTCAACAAAAATACACAACTGAGTTATAATTAAATAAAATGTGAAATCAAGTGAAGTGAAGTTAAGTGAAGTGAAGTGACGTGGGGTGGTGGGAAGGAATGTGAGATTCAATGACACCAAAATACAAGATATGAATATAATAGTCGAGTATATAATCAAGTGATAGTAAGTAACTTTGAAAGAATATCTGTCTATTTTCTACTCAGAAAGGAAAATTGGAACCCAGCACTAGGTTAAAATAATAACTAACACAATAGGCCATATTATCCTTTTGGCGTTGCTATGGTTTCCCAATTTACGCAACCAACATAATCGCTATAGCAACGCGTTATTTCTCTTTTCTTTTTTTTCTCATCGTTTCTTTTTTTGTTTGTGAGCGTTACCATAGGAACAGAAGAAAAAAAGAAACGATGAGAAAAAAAGAAAAGAGACAAATTAGATTGAATTATTAGTGGTATCAATTACTACAATTAGAAAACAAGGTGAACGTATCGTTTAACATGGCAATTTTTCACTCAGGTGATCGGCACACTAATTACCATTATTACTGGCAATATCCTGTGTCAATATCTGTGGCTACTTCATCTATAACTTGATTAAGTGAATTATGCTTTGTCTCCAATAAATAAACGAAAAAAAAGAAAAAACAAAAGACTATAGGATAAACCCAGTTGGTTATTGAATGATTACTCAGGTATATGTTTCTTAAGTTGGTTCTGTTTTCTTCTTTTTTTCCTTTTTTCTTTTCTTTTGACTTGTTTATTCCTTGACTAGCCTACTCGCAAAGATATTATACTTTTAGGTATTTAAATCTTTATATTCATGGTTCTTAAATTACATAACTTATTCATTACACATGTTCATGTTTTATGGAGTAGAATTTAATAGCTAATAAGTCTTTCTTCTGCTTTTCTCTGCCTTTTTCTTTTTTTGGTGGAGAGGAAGAGGAAAGAAGTATTATTTACAGTCTTAAATGGTCAAAATTCGAGCTTGATGTATGTATATACCTAGTTCATGTTTAGGAGTAAATTTAACAATCAATATTCAGTCATCTTATCTATATTGTCCCAGAATATTTGCAAATACTCACGGTTTGCATGGCAACGCTGTTTTAATATGGAATCACTTGTATTTTGTAAAATTGATTCTACCATTTTATTATTCTCTACCCATTGGGTAACATTATCTAAGTCTTTAAAATGTGATTCATATTCTTCCTTAGCCGCCTTCTCAGCATATGGATCTAGTCGCAAATTGTATTCCTTTTTATCTGGTCTATCTAGGTGTTTATCGACTAATTCTATTTTCATTTTATTTGCCTGCTGCTCACAAAATTTGATCGCTTTATGTCTGACCTCCCAATTCGGATACAATTCTTCTTTAACAAAAGTGTTACAGAGTTCCAATTTCTCAACATTGGTTGATCCACTTCGAGTATAATTATTAATTTTAGCTTTAATAGTATCATCACTTTGATGTCGTAGTGTCCTTAAAAATGAATCTAATAAACTTGGTTCAATACATTGATGTCTAGTTAATGTTATTTGTGAAACTGTCTTATCACCTGTAGCAAAATTTAGATTATATTCTTTAATATTTTCTGAATCTATAGCAGGTGCACTTAAAGTAATCGAATCTTCCATGACTTGAAGAAAATAACTGTACTTAAAGGGATAAAAATTTGATTGATTAATTGTCTTCTTATTAATATCAAAATGTTTTAATGAATTTTTTTTTCTTTTAAATTTCTGTAATCTATACACTGCCTATGTATATGCTACTATTGAACCCTTCATTAGTCAATGAATCCTAATATTTTTTTTATTCTTCTCACTACTTAAAAGCATCCCTCTGTTCCATCATTTCACCTTGTAAAAATCCTCGAATAAAAAAGTTTTCTCAAGTTCAAAAAAAAGTTAAATAAAATAAAACAAAAAGAATAATTTTATACATATACATAAACATATATATTTACAGATATATATGACTCCCTATTTATATTGTCAAAACAGTGCCTATCTGTTCAAATTCCAAAAGATCCTTTTACAATGTCTTTTCCAGTTTGTTCCATAGCATCATTCATACCTTCCCCAAAGGCTGTAGCATAATCATTAAATTGTGATTCCAAAGAATCCCACTGTGTCTCTAGGGTTCGAGATACTCCTTTTAAAATACCATATCCACTACTCCTCCCAACATGTCTCACTGGTTTGACATAATGATGTTCGGAGGATTCCATTTGATTTCCTTTTGGTTTATCTCGGGACAATGTACCCTTTGCAATTTCACTCTCTTGGTATTTCGATAAAGGTCTCTTTGAGCCACCAAGAACTTCATCTAATTGTTCAGATGTACAATATATTGTGCCTCTTGCCCATTGTAAAGAATTTACTTGTGGTCTGGCTGATATCCTTAAATTTGGATTATAAAGTTTACTATCATCCTGCACCAATGATTGTTTGTTCACAGTTGATACTAAAACAACCTCATAGTCATCAGTTCTTGCAAATATATCCCCATCTTTTAAGACAGATGACTGCATCACATATTTTGTATGGACAGGAATTGGTGAATGCAATGTTTTAACTTCTTTTAAATCTTGACTGTTTAATATCTTAATACTACCATTTGTTAGGTATACAATGACATACGATTTAATCTTAAATTCATTTTTAGAATTTTCATAAGATGCATATGATAGGCCGACAGATGCAATATTATGTTTAAAAGATTTAACATTTTGCTTTGTAGAATTTAATGGTACAGTTCTAACGTCATGAGACCCTATTGTAATAATGCTTCCTGGTGTTAAATCACCTTTTGTTAAACTTTGCATCTTCGAAACAGTAGCTTCACAACTGAACCCAGTCTCATTAGCTATCGCTAAAATCTTTGAAACAGGCGAACGATCCCCAGTCCTGATAACATCCACATTTTCAACATAAAATCTACCACCAGCAGCTGGTAAAATTTTATTGACAATCAGTTCACCACAGTCGGTGCCGCACAACATTAAGATGCTTGAATAATTGTCATTCCTATATTGTAGTATTTCAAATTCAATACTGGTAACTACGGTACATTTTCTTCTAACAAGATTGTCTAGGTTTTCTAAATAAATAATAGCTGGACCACGTCTATCTATCACCGTTATGTCACCGTTGGCATAGGCTATACCTACAAACCCTATATTACTATGCTGTAAAGCTGTTACACTACCTCTTCTTAGTCGGATAACACATCCGGGCATGATACCTTGTCTAGTGTTTGATGGTGATCTATCCCTTACGTCGATCAAGGGCTCATTGATATCTTCAATAGAAAAACGACTGAAACTGAGGTCAAGTGATTTGTCAACTTTTTCACCTTGTGGATCAAAAAATTGATTTACCTCATACTTAAACAAAACAACATCACCATTAACTGCAGCAACAGCCAATTCTAGAGTTTCAGGAGCAAAAGATATTTTATCTATACTAACATCGTTAGACCTGTTCAAGATTCTAGAAATATTAATTTCAAAAACTGCACTTTCATCCAGTTCATTAGCGCATGCATCCCATAGTCTTACAGCACCATTAATGTGACCGGATATAAGGACATTTCTTATATTTTTTACTTTAAGACCCTTCTTATTAACTATACCACCTCTTAATAAACCATCATATTTAGAGTTGCTTGCCATCATGCCCAGCCATAATTTACTTGGTACTGAGACTGCTGATGTAGTAGTTGCATATGGTCTACATAGTGATAAATTTTGCGGTAATAATGACGCTTTTGAAGTATATAATCCTGAGGAACTTAAAAGTGTGTCCATTTCTCCATTTTCTAAAAGGACTAGGATGCAAGAGGCTGCATGACCTCCAGCAAAATATGGGGATGATGTAGCAATGGGTGTGATATCTACTATGGATGATTTGTTAATAATAGGGCACATTTTTTCTTGACGTGTGTTTGCATAATATTTGCTCATGGCATCATATGACGTAACAGAATATAAAGGTGTGCCACCTAAATCGACAATGCAAATTCCTTGAGATATTTCATCATGATGATTTGTAGAGGACGATGGTCTTGTAGCAATTATCAGGGATGTATACTCAGGATTATGTTGACATATCCAGGCTACTTTAAAGATCTTTGGTACATATGTATTTGCTTTGTTGAAATCATCATCTTTTTGGACAGCGTTCACATTTGTTTCATAAAGTGTCCTTGCTTGTATAAGTTTACCTGTATTAGCGTCCCAAAACACCATGGAATTATCCTCGTGAACAGTTAATATATGAAGAGAATTGGGATGATATAAAGATTGTATTACTTTTGGGATACGTTCTCGACTTATATCCGCAGTAAAATCACCACCAGGTGCATAAGGAGGAATTTTGTAAATAAACTCTTGTTTAGTAATACCTTCAACAAAAGAATATGTAACAGTAACAAGTTCATAAGATATTAGTATTGTTCCAAGATCTCTTGGATTCCATGAGATAGATACGATAGGAGATAGCGGGATCTTTGTGAAAAATTGACTCTTCTGCAAATTTTCAATTTTAACATCAGAGAACTGGTTTCTATCAACATCATAGATAATAATAGAACCACTTTGTAAGCCCAATAAGATCCAGTCCACAGATGGATCAGTTTCAATACAAGTAATCTTGCTTGGACAGTATACAGTGGCCAGTATTTGTTTAGAAAATAGTGAGTATATTATAATAGTATCTTTATTGTCCACAATCACCATATATATCCCCTTAACAAATTTCATTGATTTAACAGTGGTCTTATTATTCAATGCAAATATAATCTCAATATTTTTTTGACCAAATATATGTATTTTGGAACTACTTGTAGCCACTGCCATTAAGCCTTGAGTGTAATCATAGACTACATTGGTGATTTTACCTTTAATACCTAGTTTAGTTATCAGCGATGCATCAAAAACCTTTAATTCCGTATTGTTTAGAGTTTGTTCCTTTATGGATGTAGAAACACTTTTAAATGTATCTTTGTCCAATTTTGGTGTTTGTATTTTGAATCTATCACTAAATTTGCCTCCATCAGTATCTGGATCACTTTTACTACCAGACAGTTTTGGTGATTTAAAGGCATTAGAAACCTTTTTAAATGAACTTCCTTTAAACATTTTGTGTAATTTATTTAAATCCAAAGTGGAATTAAACGAAAGACTGTGTAAAACTGTTTTATTTATTTAATACAATAAGTATAGTATGTTGTTATTGTTGTTGTCTAATATGCCTTAAAAAAGTGTGAAAAACTTAAACTTTTAATTCTTTTTTTATTCCCTTGATGATATGAAGAGTCCCTATTTATAAATAATATTGCTCAATTATTTAGTCACTTCAGTAGCATATTTGCTTTAATGTTTCTCATTCAAGATAAAGTTAATTGAAAAAGAGTTATATTTAGCTTCTTCTTCTTCTACTACTTCTTCTTCTATTTCTACTTATTTTCAACAATATTTCGGTTTACGATTTCGCCATTAAAGAAAAGCTCAAATCAAACCAAAGACAAGAGATGAACCTCCCTAGATAATAAACGAGGCTATAAAACACAAAACGACGAAAAGGCATAGAGTATACAGGCACCACCAGTCCAAGCAGTTTTGAAAACTAACCTTAGCTATTACACATATACATAGATACACAAACATACATCTATACAACTATTCAACTCAACAAGCACACAACTACAGTTACCTATCATTCAACTAATCCCCTCTAAGTTACTGATCAAACCTTTGATACAGATTGAAGTTAGAAGGAAAATATTGAAATATATATATACATGAAAAAAACTTGTCAGACTACCATTCCCACCCACCCAATATTCTATCCCATCCACAAGAGATGTACATAGAAAGGGTAAAGATCATCGCGCCAATTAATTATATAGACCCAATAATAGGTCTGCTCGCAACCGGCAAAATCAAATTTAGTTTGATAATTTAAAATATTAGATGGCCGAACCGCTAAGGATTGCGGACCAAGCTAATGTTTGCTTTTAAATTGAGTAAATTTGAAGTCTCACTCTCGGGTAGGAAGGCTATGCGACTCATCAACCAAGTTGGATTCAGTGACTTTTTTGAAGAGCCAAAGAGTGACGATTCCTATAGAAATGATCCTACTGTCGAAGGTGTTAGTCAAATAAATCCATTAAAAACAAAAAAAAGTCATTCTATGGAGGCTAGTTGCAATAAAGACCAGGAAATAATGCACATTTCATTGAGTTCATAGTTGATACTTATAAAAGTCTGTTACACCAGACTTGAACTTAACAACAAATACACATTATTATAATAAAAATTTATGGGTATATAACATACTGAAGTACGTCGACGGTCTTTTTAATAAGAGGGAAAGGAAAGTAAAAGGAGGAAGGGAAACAAAGAAGAAAGAGGAGATGGAATGGAAGACGAAATTGTGCTTTACCAAACACTCCGTGGTCTTTATATATGTTTTCTGTTTAAGTTGTTGGAATTGCTTTTCTTTTCTGTTTTCTCTTATTCTTATTTTTTTGGTTTCTTACAAAAAAAAAAATTTTCAAGCCCTCATCAAAAAATTATCAGAGGAGGGAGGAAAAAAGAAACGAGATTGGCAGTCTGAGGGTAAATTTGCACTTTTTAATTTCTTTAGGGCACAAGAAGATCCTAAAAATTTATTACTTGCAATCCACAAAAGTATTGTTCTGCAGACAAAGCTGTAAGAAACTACAGTTATTTCCAAATATATACTTATTAGTATAATACTCTAATGTAAGACATAATGTTTCCCAGACTAAGAAAAAGCAATGGATATATGATTTATATATTTATTTTTGCTGATCTTATAATAGTGTCTAATAGTAAAAAAAATAATACATGCAGGAAAGCTTATACAGGTTTCAAAAAATGGGTTTATACCATTAGGTGTAACGTGCAAAGCACTTACTATAATTCAAGATCATCAGGCATGAATGAGAATCCCCGAAATTCCTCTTGTTGAGAAGTAGTTAATACTGATGGTATTGGTGTTAGCGTTGGTGGAGCAGACGTGAATTCTTGTTCGAAATAAGAAGTGTCTTCTGCAGACTTAATTTTGGGGATATATGGGGGCTCTACTCTTAAATTTAATATATCATCAAAATCAATGTTGTGGAAGAATGACTCTTCCATCACTTCTAATGCATCACGGGGACCACCACCAAGACGATGTGTAGGGTCCTTTGCCAATAAACCTTGGAATATTTGTACAATATCACCAGCCATATCAATAGGGTACAATGGTTCATCAGTTAAGATTGCATTAAATACTTCATCCTCATCATCACCAGAAAATGGTGATTGACATAACAACATTTGATAGAGTAGAATACCAAAAGCCCACCAATCTACTGCCCTTGTATATTCTTGATCCTTTAAAATCTCAGGTGCCATAAACTCCGGTGTACCACAAAATGTAGATGTTTTGCTACCATACCACATTTCATCCTTACATAAACCGTAATCTGCAATCTTGATATGGCCCTCAGGCGTCAATAATATATTTTCTAATTTTAAATCACGATAAATTATACCATTATCATGGAAATATTTTAATGCCAATAATACCTCTGCTGCATAAAATTTCGCTCTTCTAACAGATAATCTTTGATTTTGAACATGCCACATTAAATCACCACCCCCAATAAATTCCATAGCAAAATATATTCTATTTTCCGTTTGAAATGAACAGTATAAATTGGTTAAGAAAGGATGTTTGGTCTTTGTTGCTAGCAAAAAAACTTTTTTTTCTGTTCTTGCACTTTCGATATCGTGGTTTTGAAGAATGCTATCCTTTTTTAATACTTTGATTGCACACAATCTATTAGTATTTTTTGATTTAGAAAGTATGACTTTACCAAAGTTACCTTTACCTAATACTTTTAAAAGAATAAAATTGTCTAAAGATACTTTACGACGTTTGGGCACTTTTCTTCTATGTTTTGTAATTTGTTGTGATTTTATTGGTGAAACCTGAGTGTTCTCTACATTATTTGAAATTTGTAATAGCGCTGTATCAGTGGAAACAGTTGGAGTAATAATTTGTTGTTGTTCCTGGTGGAATGTTTCATTATTCATTTCACGGAAGGGATTTGATTTTATAGTGGTAGTTGTAGAATTAATAGTAGAATGGTAATCGTTTTGATGATGGCCAGTTTGTGATTCAATATTCACATCACCTTCACTAATTGCTTTATGAAATTCATTATATTCTTGTTTAATTGCCATTTCTATATTATGATTCTTTTTTTCCCATAATGCATCTTGTTGTTGATAAGTTGTTTCATCTTCAAAAACAGTCTCCTTATTATTAAAAGTTATTGAACTAAAGTCTGAGGGTAGTTTCATAGAAATTGGTTCATTTTTATTTATAGATGGATCTAATGTTTGCACAGTTGTATCAGTTGAAGAATTACCTGCAACAGCATTATTTGTGAAATTTAAGTATGCCTCATTACTCTGATTGTATTCATATGCCTTCTCTTGAATTGAATCCTTCTTATTTTTCGACGATAGTCTACTGCTTTCTATCAAAATATTTTTATTATCATCATTATGATCAATTGAAAAAGACGAAGAAGGTACATTCCGATCAGATTCTTCTGTAAGCATGTCATATCTTGAAAGTCTCTTTTCTTCCACATTCCCAATTTTGTTTTTTGAAGTTTCTCTGGCTGTAGTGGTCATCCACGTAGATGTTTCAGAAGAAGCTGGAAGTTTCTTCTTCTTTTCCTGATTACGTTGAGTGTCTTGAATAGTTCTTAAAATCTTATTTGCCATTTCCATAGACATCCCACAGAAATCAGGTACTAAGTGAGCACAGTCTGCATGACACATGATACCACATTCGCTACATTTACGAACCTTATGTTTGCTCCATGGTAAAATGTAACCACAGTGGCAACACCACTTGGTCCCACGATTAGGAGAAGGCTCGAATCTGTGGGGAATATTATGATTTAATTTGGTCTCTTCACTATCCGAATCAGTAGTTGTCTTGGCAATACACTTTGTTACAACATTGGTGTAACATTTCTTATGACATAAGAATTTACAATCTTGACATTGGAAACCACTGTATCTTAAAAATTCACCACAATAAGCACAACACATAATATTGTAAAAGGATTTTTGAACGAAGTGATGACCATGTTGTTCAAAAACCTCCTCGTTTCTATTAATAATTGCACCATGACGATGTAACCCACCTGCATGATTTTTCCTTGTTGTAGAGTCTGTCTTATGAAAGCCAAGATATAAATGAATTTGACCTGCAGGTTCCAAAATAAACCATTGATTTACTGTTATTGGATCTGTCAAAACGTCATTGTTCTGTGAATGATTATTAGTGGAAGTAGTGGTAGTTATTGAAGGGATACGAGTATCTTCATTAACTTTATTGTCCTCTAAAAAGGTGTTGATATTATCAGGAGCAACCTTGGATGCTTTAACCCAACCTTGTTGACCATTTGTTTGGTTGACTTTTTTTTTACGAATTTCTTCGGCTATGTCTGCTAATTGAAGCCACATAACAGCAACAGGTGTTACAACATTATTAACCCTATCATAGATGGTTATTTCCACTTCATTACTTTTATTGACTTGTATTTGAAAATCTTCTTGCCATCTATCGTTCCTTACAGGTTTTGATCTTGCTTTAATAACGTCATCAATTTTAACAGTAAAAAAAGTTTCTGGAGATCTGGCAAACATTGGTGATTGAATATGGTCAATATCCCTAATAGCAGAAACACGGAGTGTTAATATCCCTGATAAGGGTTTTCTTCTAAACTTGGGTTGCGAAATATTTAAGTCTTCTGTATCATGATGTTTATATTGATCCAAATCGACATTAATGGCTTTATACTTTTTTAAGGCCTTCTTAAGCATTAATATTCTATGCTTTGACTCAAAAGCACCTCCTTCTGCAGCAGAACTACTACGTTCATCACCATCAATCTGGTATAGTTTCGTTAATTTTGTATTTGCTTCCTGATATTGTTTTTCCACGTGTAGTTTAAATTCTAACTGTTGTAACATATATTGAATTCTTTGAGATAATGATGGACAATCATATTTAATTAAATCCAATCTTGAAAAAACATGTTCATTAGGTGAAACAGTAGAAAGATAACCATAATTTTTGGTTTTTTCTTTTTCTCCACTGTCTGATGATTCATTTTTACTGGAGTCTACTTTCATATTTTTCATACTGTTTAAACGCAGCTTATTCAGTGTTTCTTGTAAATACTCAATATTTTGACGGGCTTCTCTAATGTTTGTATTACATCGCTGAATAACCATTGTATTATTTGTTTTTTTCTTCATATTAGTAGCACCTTGGATGATATTCTGTTCAACAGAGATCTTCCGCTGAATATCTTGTTCAACTTGTGGCAATAGCATTGTAATAATATTGAAGTATAGCAATAATTTATCGAAATTCTTTTTGTTTGGTCTATTTGTCTTGAATTTTTGTGTTTTTCAACACTATATCTTCCTGTACTGTCAATAAATAGTAGACTTAAGTCCAATATATATATATGTGTGTGTGTAGTTGTAAAATAACTTATATTGTCACTATCAAATGCTGAATACTCACTATCGAGGCATACACCTATTAAAAAGGAACTAATATAAATAACAACCTTTATTTCTCCTTTTGTAATGTCTATTGATCTTTGGTATTTATTAGTTTTATAACAAAGGAGAAAAAAATAAAAAGAAAAAGAAACAATGGTTAATCTTATATCAAAAATTTTGTGTAATATTATCAAGCAAAAATAAATTGTCCAAAGGAAGCTTATTCGAACTCCCTTGACTGTTTTAAATGTGTTTTTAAATCAAAGAATGGCTTCTCAAGTACTTTTTTTTTTCAATCCTTTACTTATTTTGTAAAAAGAAAAGAAAAAAAAAGTTGATGTAAATTTTTTTTTATTATGGAGTATCTTTGGTATTTCCAAAAAGGGAAGAAGGATGAACTTTTTTTACAGAATTTCTTTTTAAGGGACAAAATTGCAAAAATAAATAAATGAACTATTTTATTATAGAAAGGCTAGTAATAATACAAACTACATTTTCACTTTAAATAACAAAAATCAAGCAAAAACAACTTAATATATTTGTCGCTAATACTATCAGTTACTTTATGTATCTTATCTCATTTTGAAAAATGATTTTTTTTACGCTTGACGAGAGATTTCCATCAAGAACTAATATTAATTTATTTTTTTTTGCATATGGCAAGTGAGTATCATTTAATGATATACTATAACTGATAATGATATTAGCTTTCAATTTTTACTTTCTACAGAGAATATTTTAAACTATGGAATGTTCAACTTCTTTTTTTTGGTTTTGAAAAAGGTTGATTAATGCTTTATTTACTGCTATATTACAGATATTAGAGGATATAGTACTATGTTGTTGTTTAGTAAATTCTTCAAAACTACTTGGAAAGGTAAATTATCGAATTTTTTCCATTTTTTTTATCTGGATGGGTTTTATTTGAGACGCACAGTTGTCCTACAGCTTGTTTTTGTAAAAAAAATTTTTTTTGAAATTTCATAAAAATATGAATAAATTGAATTTATTAACAGAAATAGTAACAGTAATATTTGTATCATTAAAGTATTATTATTATTTTTAAAAAGCTATAACTAAGCCTTTTAAACAATAAGTTTGAACTTTTTTCATCCTTATCTTCCTTTTTATATATATTCCTTGTAAAAAAAAAACAAAGAAAGATGCTTTCAGTTTAAAATCTGTTCTTTCGAGTTAAAAATGATAAGAATATTACATTAAAACTGTATATAGAAATATAAAAGAGGTATCCTCAAAAGCATTATTGAACTTAATTTAAGGCTAAATTGTATGGTTCTTGAAGATAGAATTCTTTCATTTGAAATTACTTTTTGTTGATTTTAAATTGAAGTTGCTAAAACTAAATATAAAATTTAGTTTTTAAAATGCGAAAAGTCATCTAGTAAAATAAACAATTTTCAAGAAAAAAGTCTTTTGCTTAAATAAACGTATTATATAAACTGCAGATTATTAATCATTTATGTTATAAATAACAGATATTTCCCAGTGTGTGATACACTATCTAAAACATAAATCTTATATTCTACTACCCAATACAAAATTTCCACTTTATTTTGTATAAAAAAAGATTAAAGAATTTTATCAAATTACATAACATACACCTGTCTAAAAAATTCGATCATTAAATTCAACAACATTTTCGGTGCATCCTTCTATGAGAAAAAATATCTTAAGAAATTTGTTTTTTTCTTAATGTTATACAAAGTCTCTTCTACTTTGTATTACTAATAACTATATATCCTAATTAATCATATACCAACCAAAACTCACACTCACAACTACAATCACATTTTTAGTAATATATTATTCTAATATTAGTACTTATTACACTGGCAATTACAGCCTGCTGTTGGACAAATATTATGTCTTGCAAACCATTCTTCCGCATGTCCAGCGTGCATACCATGATTACACGTAAGACAAAAACTAAACCACTCATTTAATCTCATTTTTTTCTTATTTGTCAACTCCACATCAGTAGCAATTGAATTGTTGAGTCCATTATTTTTATCAGACATTGAACGATTCTCTTCTTGATTTGCTTTAAGCTCATATTCTTCATCTTGTTGTCTTTCTACTCCATTAATAATAAATGGCAAATTTGAAGTACCCAGTGGCATTAAACAGATGGCACAACGTGGAAATAAGGTACCACAATGTGGACACGCATATCTGTGCGGCTCTTTTTGAGAACCATTTGAATCAGTAAATGTACTAATTTTTCTCTTTGAAACTGCTAATAATCCTTTGGAAGTATATCCATTCTTCTTCGTAACTGGATTATTAATGTTTTTTTTACAGTTAATGCATTGAATATACAATTGTCTAGGTTTCACTCTTGTTTTAATTTCTCCAGAACTAGTTGTGGATAGTTTTGTTCTTAAAATATCAAATTTTGAACGCATGGCAAATAATCCCCATGAATTAAGCATTTCCCTGTAAGATTGTACCCATTCATCCACTCTTTTGTCCTTAAAGTATCTAGGTGAACCAAAAGATGAAATTAACGCAGCTGTTTGAATATCACTAGTTTTATTCACATATGACTGCAACAAATCAATACCGTTTGGAGTGATACCTGTTAAGATTAAACCTTCTAATTCACCATTAGCAATGACTGATGATGATGTCTTTTGCAAAAATGTTGTTAAATCATTATCATTTAGAAATCGAAGTGCGACACCAAGTCTCTCTCTTAAAGAAATGGCTTGTTCATACAAAACATCATACCAATCATTATCTGCAATAAAAGCAAATATGGCTCGAAGATATGGGTTCTCAAGTTCAGAAGCCATTTTTCTACATTGTTCTCTCCAAGAATTATTACCAGGTTGGTCTTTATAAGCCATATACCCTGCAATCGCAGTGGCAATTAATTTTAATCTTTCACTTTTAGCTGATCCTAGAATCTCAACTGCTTTTGGAATATCCCCAAAAAACATTGCCCATGCCGCAGCCTTTTCATAATGGCCATTATTGATAATAATTTTATACTTTTCTTCATAATCTGACTGTGACAAATCCCACCCAGATATTATCATACAAAGTTTTCTTTGAATATGTTTTGATGAATTAGGAAAATTGGGCATTGAACTTATATTTTTTGTAGTAGCTTTATTCTTTTTCCGCAATTTTATTATCTTTTCCATTTCCTTTTGTAGTTGAATATCTGTCAAACTTCCTTCTTTCAAATATCTATTTTGATTAGCAAGACCTTTTAACCCACTCCATATACCAATAATACCTTCATACCCTAAATCAAGATCCCCTGAGACCATTGTACCGTCATCCATAGAAGCTTTTGCAATGGCCAACCATCTCCATGTATTTCTAATGTATGCATTATTTTGTAAAAATTTGGATTGATCTATTAAATCTACAGTTTTCATTGGATCTAATCCATATCCTACCATGGCTCTCTTTTTCATAATAACACTAATATCTTTTTGCAGAAGTCTTTCAGGTTTCCAAAATATATTGTAATGTTCATCTTCAAACAGATTATGTGATTTTGTATCATGTCCAAACGTTTCTAAGGATTCATTGCTTTCAGATTCATTTCTACTGATATAATCTTCAGAAGTTTCGTTTTCTGAAAATGAGCTGGATTCATCTGGAATATAATCATCATTTATTCCTAAGTCTTCAAAAGATAATAATTTCATTCCAGTAGAAACATTTTGTAGTGTTGATTTTTGAATATCTTCTGTAACAACAACTTCATCTATGATCGGTGTTTCACAATTGGATAACAACAAAGAATTATTAAAACTAAAAGTTGACTTTGAGTAACATTGAGTGATTGGCATTCTATATACAGTCCCAGACTGTCTCATGCATATAAAACTTGCTCCGCGATTGCTTTTTGGAATGTAATCAAATGTAGCTACTCTGTCAAATGTTGTTGGGACATCATGTACTGTAGAGACAAATAAATTTTCCATTACTATGCCTTGCCCATTGGTATCTATGGTTGATCCAAGTCTCCATCGTTTTATTATGTCACCTCTATGTAATGTAGAAAATTCTCTATTCTGTGCTGAGGACCATCTAAAACAAGAGTTCATATACTTTTTAGATGCTGCCCCTGCACCAACTAATCTGTCAAAAGTTAATAATGGAGTAGCCAAATTTAAATCGCCTGGCCCCATTTTACCTGATAATTTTCTTCTATCCCAAATAGCTAAAGTTCCATCATCTCCATACGTACTAAATTGCCATGAATTAAAAGGATTCAATTTAATATCATAAGAAAGCCTCGATGGATGTTGATAAACTGGTGTTTTAACTCTTAAATCAATTTCTTTAAGAAATTTTGTACTAGATACCAAAAGACTAATATCATTTAAAAATTGCAGAGATGCGATTGATTCATTAACAAAATACTCAAATGATAAATTAACAAGATCCTCACCCTGTTTTTGATAATTAAAATCCCATACTTGGAGTGAAGTATCTTGTTTATGCTTGTCCAAACCCATAGCAACAAGGCCAACATTATTTATCCCAATTGCATTTACACATCTTCTTTGCTTAGGCCTAACAGTCAACAATGTCTCATTCGCAAGAACATCAACAATTTTTACATACCCATCTTTCTCACCTACACCTACTTGGCCTACTTGTAACTGCGAATAATCCAAACATGTGATATTGGTAAAATCTTTTAATGTATTTAATTTAGTGATAGAGTCATCTGATTCCAAAAAGGGATCTACTTTATAATGTGTAACTTCATCTCTTGTCGGATTTACAGAAAGGTAATCTAACTGATCTTCTTGTGACCATGTTGTAACTTTTTTAATCAATCCCATATTTTATTATGGAGGGATTATATATTTAAATGTCTTGATTAAAATATTTAGATCCCTGCCTAGTAGATCAACCTATACAAAGTCAATCATTATCGTCACAATCTTTTTTAATCGACCACCTTCATGATACTTTCAATATCCTGCATATTATATAAAAAAATTAAAAAAAACAATAATGCAGGAGCTTCAAAAATACATGTACCGAACTTTTTACATACTTAAAGAAAAGATAAACACACACATAGACATATATATATATATATATATGACAATATGTGCAGCCAGACCAATATTATTATTACTTGGTAATACGCATAATGTTACAAGTATATCTGACATATAACATTTATATATGTGTATAGTTGTATATATTTTCTACTAAATAATAACACTTATTCACTTTTTAAAAACTGCACCAGCCTACCTAAAACAGCAGCATACCAAAAAAAAAAGGGAAACAATATGAACTAATACATACAGGTGTACTCTAACCTCATCTGATCATGAATCAAACTGTAATAAATATTCAGTTGGATCTTTATTCTCATCATGATTAAACATTAGCTTTGCATTATCTTCTGCCTCTGCAATATCACCAGATAGAAACTGTTTCAAATCATCAGATACCAGTGGGTTATTTCCCTCCATTTTAATATGAATATTATCATGAACAACACCTGTATCATTTTGATTATTATTCAATTTTGAAGGCTCATCAATATCACCTAATTTCAGCCCCAAATTATCTATTTTAACCATATTTTTATCCCTTTTTATATCATCATCACTATTAATGGCTAATTTTCCTACCATTCTTTCTAATTCGTCAATTTTGTATAATAATTGTGATCTTTTCTTCTCTTGTGCTTCTAGTACACCCAATAAAAAATTTATATAATCTACTGTCCTATTCAAAATAATACCTTTATTTGGTTTAATTTGCTTACCTTTTGCATCAAAACATAATAAAGAAGGAGGTACTAGATTACCCAACTCCTTAATTTTTTGTTTTATCAATTCCCTTCTTCTTCTTTCCACAGCATTATGAAAGTCTCTTTTACGTCGTAATTTTTCTTCTGTAGTGAGATGTGATAACGATTTTGGAACACTTGTGCTTAATCTATCTAAAGTATTATTTCCATTGGTATTATTATTACTATTATTATTTGAGGAATGTCTTGATTTTGGAGTTGTGCCCATAAATGTTGGTTGTCTTGAAGACTGAGAAAGATAAGTGTTACTTCTTAAAGAACCTGGGGTTGTAATGCTGGTTATTGGGGATTTCAATGATGTGCTTAAAATACTGGACGTATTATCATTCAATGATTCAAACGGTTGTGGATTGAATGAATTTGAAGATGGTGTCATTATGTCCGATGTAATACTTGAGCTTAAAGACGATGTAATATCCTCTGCATAGTTTAATACACTATCATCTATCCCGCTTATATGTTGTGTATTGAATAAGAAATCTGTATTTATGGAAAGTTTGTTGAGTGAATGCGGTTGTTGAAAACTTGAACTTAAATTATCATTTGATATACTTGTTGAAAATGAAGGGTTATTAATTGTATTATGTGATGAACTAAATCCGTTATTTATATTTTGGAGGTAATCTTTCGATAAAGATTGAGATAGAGCCATTCCAGAGTCATTTAAAAATGAAGTATCGATATTTTTAACAACATCAATATTGTTGTTATTCATATCACTATTCAAATGACTTGTGGTGAACATATCGTCCAAGAATGATGCAACATGCTCATTACTATATGTTAAATGGTTAGCTCTCATACCGTTATTATTATTATTATTATTATTATTATTATTATTATTATTATTATTATTATTATTATTATTATTATTTATACTACTCATTTGTCTCTGATATAATAATCTTTCATGTTGGTGTGCAGGAGAAATATGATTAGGATATATATTTTCATGATTAGTGTTATTAGTGTTGATATTGTTGTTCTGTAATGTATTAATATCAAATTTTAAAAACTCATGTATATCTTCTACATTTCCAGATAATATATCATCTTTCTTCTTACTATCGTTATAGTCTTTATTGTTATTTTCATCTGATGATATTATATTCTTGGAATTTAACTGTGGATATGACTCAATATTTAAAAAACTTGAGTCTCTTAAAAATGAAACCAAATTACCCGATTTATTCTGTACTACAGTGTTATTATTAATATTACTCTCATTACGAACAGAACTAGTGATATTAAAATTCATAATTTCTTCTAAAAGTCTGTGATTATCATCAACGTCATGACTGATATGTGAGACATCCATTTTCACTCTTTTTTATTAATTAATTAATTAGTTAATTGATTATCGTTTCCTTTCTTTTTTTATACAAAAAAAAAAATAACTTAGTTAATCTTAGTATGCAAAAAGGAAACTCTAGCAAAAGTAGTATATAATTATAATTGATTTATCAAAGATATGGAATATTTAAAATGCAAAACAAAAACAAAACAAAAAGAAAATAAAGGAAGATATATAATAATTCTAAAAACCACTATGTTTGAATATAGCCTTTGCAGCTGTTGTTTTTATGAGCACACTCTAACTTGGGACTGACAAAACCTATGTATTCAAAGATATACTGCTACTTATCTAACATATATTTTACTTTTCCAAACCGCGATTTGTTTCTTTGTTCGAACTAGCAGTACATGTTAATCATCATAACAAACAGTACACCTTTCAATTTTTAAAAATATTCCATCCACCGTTAAAACAAGTTTTACGACACTGATCATTTTTTTCTCGAGACAATATCTTTTTTTCCCGTGTTTCCCGTATTTTTCCGTATTTGTATTTTTATTCCCGTTTTTTTTTTGTTCCTGTTTTTTCTTTTTTTTTTTTTTGTTTCAATTAGCACCAATTTTCTCGAGAACAAAAGGAAGTTAAAAACCGACAGGATACTTTTAATTTTGTTCTTGAATCTTGCCAGAGAGAACGCGCGTTCGAATGTCTGCTGGGAAGTAAATTGAGTCGTTGAACCCTAGGGTTTGGTTGTGCTGATAAATTAGGGCGAGTATCTGAATTTTCAATTTTCCTGGTTCAATTTTCCCATTTCTCTTCTTTTCTGAGAAATGAACGCCATTTATAACTTTATAAGTCGAGTCAATCTGAACAAAGATTAAAGATGACTATTTGAAGAGCATGAAAGTATGTACTTATTCTGTTCTTTTTTTTTTTTTGCTTTTATTTTTACTCTATTATACCATAGATAATAATGCAGCTACCAAAATACACAAACACTTAAGTCACTCCTTCACTCTGGTCTCCCTTTACCTATATAACAGTTTAAGAGTGTTTGATATTATTTTTTTTGTTACCTATTACCACTTTTTACTAGTCCATCTCCTCTCTTCAAAATATGGCAAGTGATGCTGATGCCCAAATTAATCAATTACGTGAGTCTTTAGGTCGTTGGAATAGATCGAATACAACAACCGCTAGTACATTTGGTGAAAATGCTAGATCATTTTTCAATTCATGGTCAGATTCAATCACTGAAAGAGCTAATGACATGTATCAAAGATTACCAATAACTACACAGGATCTCCCCTTACTGTCACAGAATAATAACCAGGATGAACCATCTTGGTTTAATCTATCACGTTGGGAACGTATCACACTATTCATCTGTTTCCTACTAGGTTCAATTGCATGCTTCACAATATGTGTCTTTTTGTTCCCTGTGTTAGCAATCAAACCAAGAAAGTTTGCTTTATTATGGACTATGGGAAGCTTGTTATTCGTTTTAGCATTTGGCGTAATGATGGGTCCCTTCAAATTTTTAAAACATATAATATCAAGGGAAAGACTTCCATTTACAGCATTTTTCTTTTTAAGTTGTTTCACTACTCTGTATTTCGCTGCTATTCAAAAAAACACAATCCTTACTATCATTTGTGCTGCCGTAGAACTAGTTTCAGTTCTTTATTATATTATATCCTATTTCCCTATGGGTGCCACAAGTTTAAGGATGTTAAGTTCCTTTGGAATGAATACTGCTAGAGGAGCTTTACATATTTGAGTAACTACAGCCTAAAAAAAAAAAGACCAAAAAAAAACCAAAAGGATAAAGCTAACAAATTAACGTGTGTATAGATTTGTATGCGTAAATAAAGTACATATATATGAAGACAATAGAGAGTGTACAAAAATAAATAGAGGAAAAAGAAAAACAACATAATGTGAACAAAAAAACACTGTGTTCTTTAAGTATTTATTGCTTCGTCATAATTTGGTGGGTCAGATAATGTCTCTACATCACTATGTGAATTGACATTATCTTCAACAAAATCTCTAGAAGTGGTAATAGGTGCATATTGTTCATCATTATCATCATTGTGATGATTATTATCATTATCTTTGTTCATATCATAATCTTTCTTAAATAAAGTTGGAGAATTTAATACATGATCCAAATTATTAAAAATGAGTTCACCCCCACTTGCATAATTTATTTGAGTATCACTTTTATTAACAAAATCATTATTTGTGGCATTTTCATTATTATTATTATTATTATTATTATTGTTATTAGCAACATCATTATCACCACTACCATTAGTATTATTATTTATGTTGTTTGCATTAAACAATGACGTTGATTGGGGAATCCCAGAGGGTCCACTAACTGATGTCGCCCTAGATAAATTTAATTGCTGGATGTACAAGTTATCTGGATCATATGATGCCATAATATTTGGAGATCCAATAGGTGATACTAGAGGTGAGTTAGGAACTGAGATTGCTTCTTCAAAACTTGGTGGTAAAGCACCATCCATAGGATCATCACTAACAACCATATTTTTATTAGAATTCGAGACTCCATCAGCTACAACACTGACAGTATTAGAAATATCGACACTTGAAGTAGCCATATGGTAGGTAGGTAACTCCATATTACCACTGTTACACATTTCTGAGACTAAATAGATTGGTGTATCTATTATTACTTCATAATGTCTTAGCCTTGAAGGATCTCGCGGATCAGGCTTACTAATTCTTAACATGATTTCTAGTTTATGTCTTGCATGGATATTACTGAAATGCATACTATCCAGATACAAACCACGCTTACTTTCATTTAATCTAGTATGAAATTTAACTTCAACACCTAAATTGGATTTGATTTTTGTTTGATGAAACCTCCGGTCAAAGTTTTTATTATTATCTTGACTAGATCCAACTGTGTTATTATTTTCACTTTTGCTTGAATTATTATCAATTTGGTTATTGTGACTTTGATTTTGGCCATAAAGGTGAAGATGATGGTTTCCTGTAAGAATGCCGATAACACTGCTACGACGTAAGCTATCATTTTTATTGTTGTGATAATATTCTGGATTCGGGATCATTGTAAAAGAATCAATTCCATATGGAGGGATAATTCTAGCCTTTCTTTTATCAAAATCTTCAAACTTAGGGAAATCCAAAATGGTCTCAATAGTGATTGGTTCAGTGATTCCACTTGAGGTGTTGTTCTTATTATTCTTACTGTTTCTACTAGTATCGTCTGAAATAGTTGAGTAGGCCATTAGATTATCACCAACTGCATTCTCTATAATCTCCTCTCTTATAGCTCTTGCACCTTTTTCCTTTGCTCTAATTTCTAGCAGAGGAAGATTTCTTTCTTTACGTCTCTTCGCTTGAAAATCTAAATAATATGGATTGTACGGATCCTTTGCCACTGGATCGACTTGATCATATTCATATTCCAAATTTTTGGATACAAAAGTAATCTTTTCATTAACACTTACTCTGATTCTCTTTATGCAAATATTTTTTTCTAAAGGCGCTAATTTAATCTTTATTGGGACTTGACTATTCAACGAGACATATTTCTGTGCAAAAGAAATTTCATAAGATAATGAATTAGTCCATATTCTATTGATATATATTGGTTTATTTGCAGTAGAAACTGAGACCAAAGGAGGGGTTCTGATGACATTGATTGGATATTCGCCGAAAAGATGGTCTTTAGTCAATTCCATAGATGGAGAGATATGAAGCGGTCCTTTTTCAGGTGATGATGAGATATGATGGAATGAATTTTTCATTCTTTGAAAGATAGCTGGCCTATTTTTAATCAATTTTTTAGGTTGTGCTTTTTCTAATTCGGTTTTATTCAAGGTGATACACGAATCTGAGGATATTATAGGGTCATTTGCAATTGTGGTAGGGACTGTTATAGATATTCTTGATTTAAGGTTTTCATCTGAATGTTCTCTATTCTTATCCATTAAATCAGTAGAATTTGAGTGTCCTTGAATTGTACCTACTTTCAAAGAATAATTGACTCTTGCAGACGGGTAGTACAGAGTCTCTGGAACGTGGTTACTGAAGACACAAGGTAAGATAAAAATGTATTCACCAGGCTCCAACAGTTCTTGTTTTGTGGATGTCATATCTTGGAAGAACATAGTTTTAGTTCTTTTCTTATCTACATAGTATCGTTGTTCAGTAGGTATCACAGTGACGAATTTTCTCTTAGTACTGCTATCATTATCATTATCATTATCATTATCATTATCATTATCATTATCATTATCATTATTGTTATTATTATGGTTATTATCTGTATTATTGGAGCTTGTGTTATCCATAATAATGGAATTATTGGTATCAATAAGACAAGTTGGTTTAGATGGATTCAGATCCCATTTCAAGGATATACATTTATAGAATTCCTCATCAAAGGTTTTTGACGGAGGAACACCATTATGCCAAAACAATTTTATTCTTGAACACAATTCTACGTGTATAGGAGACAATAAATGAATTTGTTTCTTTAGAGATAATATAAGTGCAATATTGTATGGGGTCATTGAGCTATCCAATTCATCATTTTGAGGAGAATTAACAGAATTAGAGTGTATTTCTGAGGATAAATCATTTGTGGAGATATTACTAGTGTTTGTATTATTATTATTATTATTATTATTATTATCGTTATTTGATAAAGTATTGGAATCTAAATCATCTATTACATCATTTTGAATATTAACATTAGCATCAAGAAACATATCAGTATCATTAAACCCATTCAATTGCATCAAATATTCATCATCATTAGAAGATATAGTGGGCAGAAAGACATACTGGCCGGTTGTGGCAATGGATATAGATAAATCCTTTAAATCGTTTTCAATAATCTTCCTCGGATTGATAAACCCACGAGACAATAAGAATTGATTCAATATATTATTATTGTTTTTATTAGTTGTAGAATTAGTCGTATTTGTTGTGTCAGATGATTTATCCGAACCTATTGATCGATTAGATAAAGAACCTGTAGTTTTTAATCGAGAAGGAGATACGTTTTTCAGATTTTGTGTATCTTGTGATTTGAGATTGGTGGAACCAAAATTAGAATTAGAATTAGAATTAGAATTAGAATTAGAATTAGAATTGAAATTAGAAGTAGAAGTAGAAGTAGAATTATATTTAGACTTAGAATTAGATTTATTTGAGGAATGAGAAGTTGTATGATTAATACTAGATGTTATCGATGGAGATAAAAAAGAAGATAGCGCATGTTTAACAGAGAAAGAACCTCTTCTTTGTGAAGGTGACGTCATTTCTTGTGCTTATTGAAAAGTCGAATACTAACTAGTTGACTAAATATGTTGATCAAACTATTATTATTGGTAATGTATAATGGGATGTGGTCAATTAGACTTTGTGTTTTATAAATAGTGCTAACAGTAAACGTAATTTTATATTTTATATTTTATATATATGATATAAGTAATGTATTCATATGTTTCTTTGAAGAGATATAATAATTTCTATTTGGTTTTGTAGTAAGTAGATACAGTAAATTACATCACTCATATTCATTACATGCATTCCCTGAACTATATCTTACTAGTTATTACAACAAAAAAGACAGGCAAAAGGTAAAACAAAAAAAGAAAAAAAAGAAAAGAGAGAAAGAGAAAAAGAAAAAGAAACAAAAATGGAAAAACCTCAAACGAAAACTGACAAAAATCGTAGGGTTAAAATGAAAAAACATAAATTTTATTAGGGTCATGTAAGAAACAACTTAGGTCATTAATCAATTAATTAATTAAAAAAAAATGAACACAAACAAAACTTGACAAACATCCATACCCCTACAAAATCACATGACCCAAGCACCCATACACTGTGTTTCTCTTTTTCTTTTCTTTTTTGTTCGTTTTTCTTAAAGAACAAGCAAAATTCGACCAATAATAATTAAGCCGAATATTTTTCACATATTTTGTTGTTTTCAAAAAGAGGGGAGGGGAAGGAAGAGGGGGGCCACACGAACAAAAGAAGCAAACAAAGAAAAAAAAAAGAAAAGAAATCTAAAATACACCATAGAAAAAATTTCTTTGGAATTGAGCCAAAACTCAAATCCCGAAATCCAAGAAACATTATTGGTCTAATTCTTAATCATTTTGAAAAAAGCATGAATTCATTGGAAGATAATAAGAACATACAGTTCTTTCAGCTTCATCTTCATGGCTTCTTACGCTGTGTCTTTTTTTTTTTTATTTATGCCCGTTTGAAGTCCACACTTGATGAATTATTTGGCAACGCATTGACACACCCACCACACATCCACCAAAACTCCTTTACCTGTCCTCGAGCCTCTCCAAGCATCTCTCTATTCTTTACACTTATTTCCCTTTCTCTCTCTCTCTCTCTCTCTTTTTATTTATATGTCCTTGCCCCATTGACGTTTTCTTGCAACTTGGCGTTCTTTCAATAACTGTATGCTCCAATAATTGTATGCGATTTCTTCTTTCCACCCTCTCGAACTTCCCTATACTACTTTTATATATTATTAAACTTTTGTGTTCGAACATCAATATATACAGGCTTTCTTGCTTATTCTCTCTATTTTTCTTGTCTTTTTTTCTCTAATTTTTTGATTCTTCGGTTCTTTAGTTCCTTTTAACTCTTTAACCCTTTAGTTCTTTAGCCTTTTCTTTCTCTTTTAATCCCTTCTTCCATTATCAAACTTCTCCTGTTCACATAACCTGTACATACTTCTTTCCATACATACGTACATACATACACGTTCTCAAATAATAATAATAAAAAAAAAAGAAGAACAGAAAGGAGTTTTGCATATAACACAGTTTATAAGTAAAAAGAGTTTTGTTCAAATAACGACAAAGGACAAACCACATAAGATCATATAAATAATAGTCCTCAAATATACTATTTTCTTTTTGTTTTATTTTGTATTTATTTCTAGTTTAGTAAGAGTGGAAATACAATAAAACAAATAAAAAAAAAAAAGAGATCATTGAAAATATTCTTTCATTTTGTTTTTTTTTTTTTTTTTTTTTTAATAACAGTTTAATATAGATAGAATCTCTACATCTTATATTTATTAGAACTACAACTATTTGAAAAAAACATTAACGAATTATCTATTTATTCCCCCTCGAATTGTGATTCTTTTCTTCCTTTCTTTTTTTATTTTTTCTTTTACTCCCCCCTCCCCCCCTTCCATCAATTATTACTAGTTAAACAATGCTTTTGAACAAGATGGTCACTTCTCGTGCTTTACAACATGCTACCAAATTGGCAGCCACAAGAACTTTCTGGTCCCGTGCTATCTCTTTGTCTCAAAGATCTATGGTTCGTAATGCCTCCACTGCATCTGGTAGCAAGCTAGGTCCAACCGAAGTCTCTTCAATCCTAGAATCTAGAATCAAGGGTCTAGCTGACAAGGCATCTCTTGATGAAACCGGTAGAGTCCTAGCTGTCGGTGATGGTATTGCCCGTGTCTACGGTTTAAACAATATTCAGGCTGAAGAACTGGTCGAATTCTCCTCCGGTGTTAAAGGTATGGCCTTGAACTTGGAACCTGGACAAGTCGGTATCGTCTTGTTTGGTTCTGACAGATTGGTCAAGGAAGGTGAACTCGTTAAGAGAACTGGTAAGATCGTTGACGTTCCAGTCGGTCCAGCTTTGCTGGGCCGTGTCGTCGACGCCTTAGGTAACCCAATTGATGGCAAAGGTCCAATCAACACCACCGAGTTTGCTAGAGCCCAAGTTAAAGCTCCAGGTATCCTGCCAAGAAGATCTGTCCATGAACCAATGCAAACTGGGTTGAAGGCCGTTGATGCCTTAGTCCCAATCGGTAGAGGGCAAAGAGAATTGATCATTGGTGATAGACAAACCGGTAAAACTGCAGTTGCCCTAGATACCATCTTAAACCAAAAGAAATGGAACGATGGTGCAGACGAATCCAAGAAACTATACTGTGTCTATGTCGCTATCGGCCAAAAGAGATCTACTGTTGCTCAATTAGTGCAAACTTTAGAACAACATGATGCCTTAAAATATTCTATTATTGTCGCTGCCACTGCCTCTGAAGCTGCCCCATTACAATATTTAGCTCCATTCACTGCCGCTTCCATAGGTGAATGGTTTAGAGACAACGGGAAACATGCTTTGATTGTCTACGACGACTTATCTAAGCAAGCCGTTGCTTACCGTCAACTATCCTTATTATTAAGACGTCCACCAGGTCGTGAAGCCTACCCAGGTGATGTCTTCTATTTACACTCAAGATTGTTGGAAAGAGCTGCCAAGATGTCTGACAAGTGTGGTGGTGGTTCTTTAACTGCTTTACCAATCATTGAAACTCAAGGTGGTGATGTCTCTGCTTATATTCCAACTAACGTCATTTCCATTACTGACGGTCAAATCTTCTTGGAAACTGAATTATTCTACAAAGGTATCAGACCAGCCATTAACGTCGGTCTTTCTGTCTCTCGTGTCGGTTCTGCTGCCCAAGTCAAGGCTTTGAAACAAGTCGCTGGTTCTTTAAAACTTTTCTTAGCACAATACAGAGAAGTCGCCGCTTTCGCCCAGTTTGGTTCCGATTTAGATGCATCTACTAAACAAACCTTAGTTAGAGGTGAAAGATTGACACAATTATTAAAACAAAACCAATACCAACCATTATCAGCTGAAGAACAAGTTCCATTGATCTACGCTGGTGTTAACGGTTACTTAGATAGCATCGACATCAACCGTATTGCCGAATTTGAATCCTCTTTCTTATCATACTTGAAGTCTAACCACGAAGAAATCTTGACTGGTATCAGAGAAAAGGGTGAGTTGACTAAGGGACTAATGGACAAGTTGAAATCTGCTACTGAATCTTTTGTTGCCACCTTCTAAATTATCTAGTCTATTCCAAAGAGAATTAAAGATAATCACATCATAATTGAGGTACGTATTGTTTTTATATTACCTCTCTCCCTCCCTCTCCCCCCTACTTTCTCCTTTTCTTCTCTATTCTTCTCTTTTCTTTTCTCTGCTGAGATTAGTCTGCTTTTTATCCCATTTTTATTTTTTTGATTTAACCTACATCTTACTTTTATTTCTATTCTATTCTTGTAGTGTGTCTTCTTTGTAAGTATTTAAAGTCTATATATATATATATTTTATATTCTCTATCCAGTAAGTATTATTATTATAATTAATATTATAATTATAATTATTATAACCTATATTATTATAAACCGTAACGATGATCATGATCAGTTGACTGTTTCTTTTTTTATTTTTATTCTTTTTACTTATTTCGTTGCTAATTAATACATATATGTTTCTATTTCTTACCCTTAACTGTCCCATAATCTCACTTCGGTTGACAACCTTCAGGAAATAGCAATGTGACTAACAGAATCCATTGCTTCTGTATTGGTTTAAACTATCACCTCAACCCTTTTTTGATTATCCCTACAGACCCTTGTAATAATAAGTGGATTAGGGTTTGCTCTCCAAACCCTATGTCAAAGGTGAAAAACAAAAAAAAAAAAAAGAAAAAAGCACGATCTCAATTTTAATTGAAAGATATATTGCTCTAACAAAATTTCAAGAGAAGAGTATAAAGTAGTGAAAGCTAGTGATAGGTTTTACGAAACATCCAGATAATATAACCTTCTCTGAATTCCACAATTACATATATGTATTGAACTGTAATAAATATTCATATACCCATATATATACGTACAAAACAAAAGAAAAAAAAAATTAAATAATTGAATAATGGCATCTCAGCTGTTGCCATCGTATGGCAATGATGAAAATGATCAGGGGCTATTTACAAACAGATCTGTTATGATGGCCAATTTTGAAGAATGGATCAAGATGGCTACTGATAATAAAATTAATCCAAGAAATAGTTGGAACTTTGCTTTGATTGATTATTTCCATGATTTGAATGTTTTGATGGATGCAGAGAATAAAATCAATTTCCAAAAGGCTTCAGCTACATTAGATGGGTGTGTTAAAATCTATGCTTCCAGGGTCGATTCGGTTAGCGATGAGACAGGGAGATTATTGAGTGGATTGGCTCAAAGAAAAACAAAGGGGAAATCAAACTCTGATTCTAATTCCAACAGCAATATTAGTAATAGTAGAAATAACGATAGTTCTCGAGGGACTAATTTGAATGGAGAAAGTGATAATAATGATAATGCAAATGATCCTGAAGGTGGTCTTCCGAGACGTTCTGACATCAATAACGATAGTGATGTTGATTTTGATGATAATCGTGATGAAGGGAAAAGATCTTTTAGACATGCAAGGATATTAGAGACTACACTAGTGGAATTCGATGCAATTAAAATGAAATACTTGGACCAAGAATTAAATATTGATCCTCTTTTTAAAAAAGCATTGGTTGATTTTGATGAAGGTGGTGCGAAAAGTTTACTTTTAAATACATTAAACATTGATCCATCCGGTAGAGTCATATTTGATGCTACTATTCAAGATGGAGTTGCTGAATCTGATAATAATAGGAATGCAAATGAAAATAATAACCCTGATAATATAACCTCTGCGTCAGAGATGGATGAGAATTCCAAACAGGAAGATATAAAAGAATCAGAAAATTCACATATATATAATACGTCTATTATTGAAGATGAAATACTGACCCTGGGCATGGAATTTCTTAAATTTAATAAAATTACGGAATGTGAAATATCTTCCTCACTGGGTCAATTAAGATCTTTAGTAGATGATATAAACAAGGAACAATCTTTTATTGAGACAATTAATAATAAGAGTGAGAATTTTCTTACTGAACAAGAATTGGCAGAAGCTATACCGACAAATGATATACCTGATTTAAATGATGATGGGATTCCAGATTTAGAGTATTCAATGTTGCAAGATGAAATGGACGAAAATAGCATCACAAATGACCCTAATAGTAATATAACTACCACAGATAAGCACCACAACAATAATAATATTCCTACAAATCCAAAAGAAGTTGATGAAGTTGATAATTTGATAAGTGATTCACAAATAAGTAAAAACAATAATATATCTACAATAGTTGATCCAGATGGTACAATTACGAACGGATTAATTGAACAAGATTTGATGGCATACTTTGATGAAACGATGAAAAAGAATTGGAGAGGCAGAGAACATTGGAAAGTCCGCAATATCAAAAAAGATTTTCTACATCAAACAGAAAACAATGATACGAAAAATAGTATAACTGACACCTCTAAATCATCAGAAGAAAATCAAAATGCTGAATCTAAAGATAATGATAAAGTCATATCGGACAATAAATCAAAAACAGGTGAAAACCACAATCCTATTTGCAACAACAAAAATAATAGTAAAAAAAAACAACCACTGGAGTTGGACTTTTTTACCTTCGAAGACGATCTAGAAGACAAAATATTTGTAAAACCAATTAAACCATCTATTATTGAACTACCACAAAGATTAAGGATCGAAGATTCGCATTATTTATTGCCTGATGATTATCATTTTACCAGTGAAAAAATAGTTAGATTGTTTATTAAGCCTGAACAGAAAATGAGTCTATTTAATTCAAGAAAAAAAAATAGGCCTTCAACAAGATATAATTCTACTAACATAATCAATGAAGAACATTCTATGTCTACAAATAAAAGGGCTGTTACAGGTGAAGCACCAGAAATTGCAGATGAAAATTTCTGGGCCGAAAACTATAGAAGAAAAGAACAGGAAGATAATGAAGGTTACAATGAAGATGGAGATGATGAGAATGTTAGGGGAGCAGAGGTGGAAAATCCATTTGATGAAGATAATGAAAATGGTATCGATTTCAATCAGGCCTTTGATAATGGCGATGACTTTGATGATAATGATGTCTCTGATCACAAGACTGAAGAAGATTTGCTGAATGGGGAATCTAAGCTACAAAGTAAGGATAAAAAAATAACATTTGCTCGTGTAGCAAAAAGAATAGATGTAAGAAAATTAAAAAATAATGTTTGGAAGTCGATAGTAACTTTAATAGCACTCTCAACTGATGATTCAAGTTCGACTTTTACCCCTGGAAAGGAAAATAGTCAAGATATAATTAATCTAAAATTTACTGATATATCTCACGAACTTTTTAAAAGGTATACTGCAGAAACTTTCAAGGATATATCAACTAGTTTCCAATTTATCTGTCTATTACATTTAGCAAACGAATATGGTTTTCAAGTTAAAAAGATTGATACACTTGATAATCTTGAAATAGAGATTGATAGATCAAAGTTATCACATAGTTAATGAAAATTTCAGTAAATAGATATCTACACCATAAAACCGCAAATGCATATATATATATCAATATAAATACAAATAAGTCAGATTAATAATAAGCATATTAAATTTCCTTAATATTGGAACATTGCTCTCAATAAGAACAAACTCATGATTGAACTATACATATCAATGACGTTAAAATGTTATTTTTTATGTACACAGAAACATACACGCATATATATATGTGCGTATAATTGGTATCTGAAATTTAAAATACACCGATCTTTATTTTTACTATTTTTACTATTATTATCATAAATGAATATATACCATTCGAGTTTTTTTCTTACAAGCGAAAAATTAAATCAACTTGAAAAACCAAAACGACTTTCTGCTATATAGACCGTACCAACTAGTAGGATTAGACGATTATAGTACATTCTGAAAAAATTTGTAACATATCATGAAATATGCTGCTATTTCTGTTATAAAATAATAATGATAACAATTTTAATGATAACCATATTAATTATTACCCAAGTGTTTAATTTATAGTATTTAACCTTAACATAGTGTGAAAAATATTCTATTGTTAAACCGATCATGACAATATTCAGGGTATTTAATAGGTTTTTTTTATTACCTACTGCAGGCATCACATTTGGGTTCATCACATTTGCAAAAGCTTGGCCGGATGATTCAACAGCTCTTACTTTAAAGGATTCAGCTTTACAAACGGCAAAACATAATTCGAGATATGAACCATTATCACCGATAATCCAACGTCAAGATATTTTGGACAAAATTTCGAAATTACCATTATATGAGAAATTGAAGAAAAATCCTCATTTAGACCATACAGTTCAGAGTGAGAATATTCCCACTGGTCATCGTCCATATCATGTAGGACAAGGTCAATTATTTGGTCCGAAAAAATTAGAAATTGACCCAGTAATTTTTAGAGATGAAATTAATAAATCTCTAGTTGTATTTTACCATTTGGGATCGGATTTGAGTAATGAAAACAACAAGATTCATAAGGGTATTTTATCCTTATTGTTAGATGAAGGTCTTTGTTATTGTGGATTTCCATGTTTGCCAAACAAAAGAGGTGTAACAGCACAATTAACACTAGATTTCAAGAAAGATATCCCTTCAGATACAACAGTTGTATTAAGAGCAAAAGTCAGTCAGCTGAAGGGCAGAAAATGTATAATTAATGGAACTTTGGAAGCCATTCCACGCAAAAATCTTTTCCAATATATCTGTGGTATGGAACCAAAACATGGAGATATCTACGTAACAGCAAAATGTATATTAGTGGAGCCTAAATGGTTTAAGTATTTCAGTTGGCTCCCTATGTTTTGATGACAATTCATATATACAAAAGTAATTATATACTTTTTCTATATTTTTGTATATGCTTTCGTTAGTGAATATATTATGAATGTGTATAATTACAAATGTAAGAGAGTGCATTATTAATGATTAAAAAAGTAATCTAAGACCTTTATATAACAAATACCACTACTATCTCTTAAAGAAACGTCGTATGTCGTGTTTTGAAGAGTCATGATTAGTTAGACGCTTCTTTTGGACACCGTTTAGTTTCAATTTTCTACTCATTGAATTGTTTTGGTTACTACTTCTGTTTGTCACAGAATCTTTACCCGCACTTTGCTTAAACAGAAGCCGTTTCTCACCAATCGACAAGTTGGAAGACTCCTCTGTTACTCCATTCAAGGCTTCAGACAATTTAACTGCAATATCAAAATCAAGATGTTCTTGAAAATCCTTGTTACAACTAAATTGCAAATTACACTTTTTACAGTAAAATGTAATATTCTCATCTTTATTATCGTTATTGTTAATACTTTTACCTCTTATGTCCTTTGGCGAACTTTCATACGTGGATTCCTTTGAATTCTCTTCATTGCTAACTTTAAGGATTTGTACCTGATTTCCAAACATATCCATAATATTCTTCTGTAAGTCAAGAATATCAAAATTGGAGATACTCAAATTTAAATTGATCAAAGGATAAACTCGAAGAATTTTATCTTTGCAAATTTGTGAATCAAATTCATCAACAAGCCTCGAAGCAGATTTAAGCAAACCTTGACCATTAAAAGCTGAACTCCTGCAAATTATAGGACCCGATTTTCTATACACTTCACCGGCTGCAGTTTTCAAAAACACTGTTACCGTGTTGGGTTTTATAATCTTTTTATACTCCTGCTCTAATTCTTCAACACGGTACACCAATTCACTACAAAACACTTCAAACCATGATAATATATCTACAAGGGAATTACAGGCATTTCCCCTCATATTTTTATTAGACATCATAGACTTGACTACAGCTTTAGGGTTCAGGGATTCATGATACTCGCCTTTTATTAACTCATATATCTTTTTTGATAAGGCTTCAGTATTCTCGAAATTGAATTTATTATGTTCAGGAATGAAATTTGTTTGTTTAATTTCGGCTTCAATAAAATCTTGTAACTGTTTGCTACTATCCCAGTTATCTCTAATGTACCTGATACTACCCTTTGAGGGTAATTTTAATAAACCTGATAAAGATTTACCAAGTGATCCGCCCATGGTCCAAAAACTAGTGATTTCAAATTTGCCACAGTCCAAAAAGTCATTAAGATATTTATTCAATATTATTGTTTGGGCGTTAGGCTTTTTAAAGTTAGATCCTAGTTTAGCTACTACCTTTGTCCTGGCAATCCCACATGATGTCGTATATCCAAGTGTCTTTTCAATATACGTTCTACTATAATCGATGATATGTGAGGCAAGAGCAAAAATAACATCATCCCAATCTTCGATATTTGGTAATTGAGAATTTTGACCAGAAAATGATGAAGTTAGATTAAATACATTACCTTTAAACTTAACCTTTTCGTTTATATCTTCTGATATCATAGGTAACCTAGAATCTAATTCATATGTACCAGATACAAAAATAGTTCTAATATCTTGGAACACTGAATAGTCAATATCCAAATTTAAACGGTCATTGTCATCACTTCTATCAAATAACAATAAATGTTGAAAACACAATCTTCCTAAATCTAGAAACATTTCATCAACACTAGCTTTTTCCACTAGATCACAACACTCCTGGAATATTTTTAAAACTTTTCTACCTTCTCGTCTATATGGAATCAAAGAAACCTTATATGATTCTGGTGATAACCTCTTATTGGGATTCTTGTTCCATGAACCATATCCATCGTGATATTGCCAAAAATCTTCTCCCTTCTTAAATACAGCAGTATGAATAGGAACCAAACTTGGACACTTTTCAAAAGCAGTTTTCACTGAATCCATTCTTGATATTCCATATTTTCTTGCGGCGTATGAAACCGCAATAATCGACTGCCATTGTACACAGACTACTGGGTCGTCTCTTGAGTATCCACACCGAACTTGTTCCACTTGTGCAAAAAAGGCATTTAGATCGACATGTGCTATACATGAAAGTGGCGACAAATATGCCTCTGATTTTGAATTTAATTTTAATAGGTCCCTCCACTTAAAATTTGACATTAACTAACTTTAGCCTTTAGCATATAGTTTAAATGGTCTAACCTGGATAAAAGTGATTAACAGCTCCTTATTTGCATTACTTCTCAATACTTATTTTTAGTACTCATAAAATATATATTTAGTTATTTTCCCCTACCGCTCCTGTATTGACATAGCTTTTCTCTTTCTTGTTTTCTACTTCCAGCAAACACAGATCTCAGAAACAAAATTTCTCAACTTCTTTACTACTATGCATACGTTAATATTAAATGCATTATTATGCAAACAAGAAATATTCGAAAACATGCACCAAGCAGCGTCGCCATAGACGTAATAGCTGTCAACAGGGTTATGCGACAACACACCATGCACAAATAAATTGCCTGAATTACATCCTAGCTACAAAACTAATCGCAATATACTAAGAACAAGAACATGGTGACATCAAGTAAATATATTTAAGATACAAGAGTATCATGTAAAAAAAAGGAATAAAATAGAGGAATAAAAAGATATCTGACTCAGTGAAAGATGGACCAATATAATCACAAAAAAGATTATCTTGGTGAGTAAATGTCATGTAGATCTTGTTTGAACCAAAATAGGAACCTAATATGAACTGGATCAAGTACAACTGCACAAATCTCATAAGGAATCTGAACGATACTAGATCCACTAGGCACCAGAGTGTTGTCAAACTTATAACAATATAATTATGGAGCTTTGATACATTTCACAAGCAGAAAAAAAAAGGGAAAACAATTCAATTAAGAGCCGACGAATTTGAAAGAAGAACTTCATACATATATTCTTGGATATATGTAGTCGTCTCCACTCTGTGTTATCGACAACTGAATAGCTCTAAACATGTATACGATGATCTCTTTCTACACAATAACTTAACAAAACTCCGGACAATACAAATATGACCTATCAAAAAAAAAAAACTGGAATTACTTTCAAAGAGAAATAACAATACTAAAAATTAAAAAAAGAGTTAATGACGTAAAAAAGTGTTTTATCTTATTAAAACCTTACATTAGTTAAAGATATATTTATATTGCAAAAAGTTTTGAATAATAATAAAATATGTGGATGTTTTTTGTTGTGTTCAGGATATGAAAAGGATAAAAATATTATAATATTGTTTTATAATATTATTTAGTTTTCTGGAATTTCAATTTCACCAGCATTGATAGCTTCAATGATATCATGTGGGTTCTTGAAATCAACACGACAACCAACAGATTGAGCAGTACCTAAGATTTCCTTAGTAACAGAAGCTAAGTTTTTACCAAAGGACTTTTCTTGCATTTGTCTAGCAATTTCAATGATTTCATCTAATGGGATGTTACCGTTATGCTTGACATTCTTGTCCTTCTTTCTGTCTCTTGGTGGTTCCTTCAAAGCAGTGATAACTAAGGAAGAAGCAGATGGAACAACGGAAGCAGTGGCTTGTCTGTTTTGAATCTTCAATTGGACAGTAACCTTAATACCCTTGAATTGCTTGGTAGCCTTAGCAATATCTTCACCAACCTTCTTTGGAGATAAACCTAATGGACCAATCTTTGGAGCTAAAGCAGCAGAAGCACCAACTTCACCACCGACAGCTCTTAAGTATAAGTATTTAACTTCGTTTGGGTCGAATTTTGGAGGCATTTTAACTTACTATTCGTTGCTCTTGGTCGACTATTCTTATACCCTAAAAATTAAAGCACATATACAAATACACGAGGTTTATGAATGCCAAACGAATTAATAATAAAATACGTTAACAATATAACACGTCTATAAATTTACTAATATGTATAATGCTTCGGTTGGTCAGTTCCTGAATGATGGTGGACTTCACTACAATATCTTGGGTATCTAAGAGTAATATTGCTATTGAGACTGGTATGGAGAAACTGCATAAATTGGCTCTGCAAAGAATTGTTGTGCTACACAGATGGGTGGTAGTACCATTCTGCTCTGTCCACACCTGGGAAGAACATTACTTACACAGAACATTTAGATTGACAGCCAGACAGCTAGACAGGTGAGTAAGCTCAAACAGATAGAGGTTATTCTGGCAAAGATTAGATAGAGGTTCTGATTTCGCAACCCCTCCTTCTACCAGAGTATCCAAGTAACCGAAGAGCCTATAGAAAATTACATGACTGTTCCACAGAGAATGATTTTCTGTCTGGACAAATTCAATGTCAAGTGGAAAAGAATTGAAGTAAATCCTAACCAAGCCTGTTTCTTTTTTGTTTTATTTTCTAATTTTCCCAAATCCGAAAAAAAACAAAAAAAAAAAACAGTGGAACTTTATAACAAAAAAAAGACGCTTTCTGGGTGTATGGATGCAACAGTCATCATATATCTAGATCAATTTCGTTTGGGTTAGACTCCTTCTCGCTGCTCCTATCGTTATGGTTATTAGACCGTTTAGCTGAAACAAATTGAATATGACTGTTTTCTTCACTTATAGCTTCACTATCCACTTTCATACTGTCTTCTAGTTCCTTCTTTAACGTTAACATCTCTTTATATTGGTCTTTGTCACCGTATTGTACTTCAAACTGATCCCAAAAATTCCACAAATTTGTATTAAGAGCAGGTGCCAGTAAACGGGCACCATAGCGTAAGATCTCTCTGACACGCTTGAATTCCCGAAGATCCATTTCTAGCTTAGCGAATTTAATGATATATTCAACACATCTAGAGTCTGGCGTAATCTTCTCCACACATTCTTCATAAATTGGTCTACAAGCTTCTGCACCTAACAACAAATTTGTCTTATCCAATGCTAATTGCCATAGTTTAACTTTACTGTCCATGAAGTTATCTGCAATCGATCTTGCTCCATCCAATAGGATATTAATGCCTTGTCTTGTTGGAACATTCTTGTTAATGATTTCCTCTTCAAATGTATTATATTTTAAATAGATCGAAATAGTATCTATTTCGTGTTGATTTTTCAGTTCTGATATACAATTATCAAATAAGTCTCTAATAGATTCCTTCTTCATTCCAGAAACTGGTATATCACGTATCACATCAGATAAATATTTCATCCATATCTCATATTGTATTATGATTGACTGTGAAAATAAATTCAGACATCTTTGGTAAATCTTATAACTCTCTAGAGGAGCATTAGCACTCACATTTACAAAATTAGCATAATTTACAAACATTAAGGGGGTAATTAATCTAAGCTTTACTACTGATTCATATGCGTTAACAGTGTCTTTAACATTTCCCTCTGTTAAAGGTCTGCTTTCAAGTAAATCTAAATAATATTGCCATAACTTCAATGAATTAAATAATACTGACTGTGCAGGAACAGTTTTATGACCTTCATTAAACTTTGTAATGTAACTTTCAAATGACTCAGGAATCTCTAAAATATGAATCAATATATTAAGCGCCCTCTCACTACCAAATGTATTTAGTTCATTGTTAACCCAGTCTAGATAAACAATCTCTAAGTCGTCCAAAAATGGGAAAGGAACCCTTGTTCCAGCTTCATAGATCTCCCTAGCTGTATCATAATCCTCAGTGTCCCAATAAATTTTAAGGTATTCACACCAAAATTTACCTAGATTGCCTGGTTGATTTACTTTCAATGGACTAATCTTTGCTAAAGCTTCAGAATAAACTTTAGCACGGTCCTCCAAAGAATTCATAATATAAACTCTTTCTCTCCAATAATCAATATTATTGATGTTTTGCCTTAACTTTAAATCATTAATCATGATATCTCTTGAATCTAATAGATTACTTAATTGTACCACATGCGTATTTAGTTTGGAATTCCAATCATCTGAATTACAGGTCCCTTTCATCTCTTGTAAAATAGTATTAATACACGCTTGTTCAAAGTCAATCGAGTAATCATATAATGTAACAAAATTTTTTAATGTTTCCATTTTGGATAATTCTTGAACCATTTGAATACTCAACGTATCGACATCCTTTCTCTTAATGGAGTGATTTATATCAAATATTATCAATCGTGCTTGCTCCTTTGGATATTTGTCCTTTAATTCAGCTAATAACTTTTGATATTCATCTAATAGCGATAATTGATCTAAACAGTTTAAATAGATTAAATATAGAGAAAGTGGAACTTCAAATGTTGTCAATTTAGGATTTTTGAATAAACATTTATCAAAACAGAATTTTATTCTTTGATGGTCAAATGTTTTTGAAAGTAACAGAAGTATATCATTAATCCTATCATTCGGACACACTATTAAGTATCTCTCTAAGAATTGGGATGCCCATATATTAATGGAGTTAATTACTTCACTTTCTTTGTAATTTTCTTTACTGTTATTTAGCTTCTTAGTATTCTTAGATTCGACTAATGCTTTATATATTGATATTTCCAATTTTTCTAATTGTGATTTCTCAGAATCATCATTATCCTCATTATTAAGAATATAATCATCGTCATTATTATCACCTTCCCTTAACATAGAGCAGACAGGAATTAATTTCTCTTGCAAAAAGACTATAAGTGTTTCCCAAATTTCTGCATGTTTTACTTTGCTGTTGTTGTTGTTGCCATTACTATGACTGTTTCTTTGTAAAGAGATATCGAATGCTTTCCTGATATGACTCAGATTACATGATTCAACTGCTAATTTCAAATATTGGATACTTATTTTCCCACTATCTTTAACTTTAACGTGTTTTAAGCATTCTTCATGTAGATCTAATATAAAATCTGTGTATTTCCTATTTTCTACCGTATTAATCTGAATCATCCATGTAATGTATTCACTCCATGGGTCTAAATTATTCCTAAAATGATTGACATATCTATTATATAGCCATATTAAATGATCAATGGTTCTTCTAGTAGGATCAACAGAATATTGTTTTTTCCAGGAATCTAGATATCGAGCCCAACTCACCTGTTCTGAAGAATCCTTTTGTAATTCGTATTCGAAAGCAACATCCTCATCGTTTATTATATATTTGTCTATAATATTTTCCATAATCCCATCTATATTCCCTTTTCTCGTTTCTTGTTTGCTGTTGCTTGTTGATCTTAGAGTACTTGCCAGCTTCTCTTTAATATCTTATATATGTTCCTCAGCAATTAACAAAACACACTTTTTTTAAATATGAAATAAAGAATAAGAAAATTTTATCGGTTATTTGGTGACAGGGTGGTGCAGTACCAGATATTGAAACCAACATAGAAGAAGACTGATGTAAACGTATTATAGATCTATCTAACTGACAATCAATATACCACTAAACAATATAATAAAACCAAAAGAATTAAGGAAAACCCAAAACGTTACTGTCAAAAAAAAAAGAAATCATTTGGAGACAATTTGACAACCGCTACCATATTCTGACCTTCAAAAGGACTTCAAAAAATGAAAAAACATAACTATAATCACTTTATATATTGACTACACAACAAATAAAAGAGACAACTACCGATAAGAGCCATTATTGAAATATACACAAAACATCCTTACACAAAATGAAGAACTTACTTTTTTATTGAAATAAATACTGTAGCCTACAAACATTATACACTGTATATTAGAATCTGTAAAAATCATCAAGAATGAAATTATTGTCTTCTATCACCCTTTTGGGAACGTTATTAATATCACAAGCTAACTCATTCCCCTTTGGTTGGAAGTTAGAGAATCTGAATCCACTCAACTCCAAAGAACTAAGAACTTTACAAATCAATGAAGATGAAATAATCATCATACCAGAATCCGATAAATTGGATCTTATTAGAAGAGGTGTAACATTTATGGATATTACAAACGTCAAATCCAAATGGCCCTTTAAGACTAAAAATGACAAGAAAAATGACAAACCTACAATTCCTAAATATTCATACCCAACAAATATGACTCAAATGGATAAGATCACCAACTTAATTGAACAAATAGATATGGATTCAATGCATTTGACATTGGCTAAATTTACTAGTTTTTATACTAGGTATTATAAATCAAAGACTGGTTATGATGCAGCTATGTGGTTGTCCAAAAGAATATCTGAAATTGTAGCCAAGTTACCACAAGACTTTGTATCTATTGAGCATGTAGATCATAAGTTATGGGACCAATTCTCTATTATTCTGTCAATAAAAGGTTATGAAACACCAGAAAATAAAGTGATCATCGGTAGTCATCTTGATTCAATCAACTTGTTGATGCCCTCTATCTTACCAGCTCCTGGTGCAGATGATAATGGTTCTGGAACCACAACGAATCTTGAAGCCCTCCGATTAGTTGCAGATTATATTGAAAGAACTGGTAAACCATTTAAAAATACTGTTGAGTTTCATTTTTATTCAGCTGAAGAGGGTGGTTTATTAGGGTCATTAGATGTTTTCACTCAATATGCAGAAATGAATGAAAAAGTAGTGGCAATGTTACAACAAGATATGACTGGGTATGTAATGGATCCAGGAAATGAACATATTGGTGTTGTTACAGATTATACAACTCAATCCTTAACCGAATTTGTGAAACGTATTATCGATTTATATCTAAGTATCCCGTACGTCGAAACTACATGTGGGTATGCATGTAGTGACCATGGAAGTGCTACAAGAAATGGGTATCCTGCCTCTTTTGTCATTGAGAGCGAATTTAAAAAGACAAGCAAGTTTATTCACAGTACTTTAGATACTTTGGATAGATTAAATCTCTCTCACATGGCTGAACATGTCAAATTAGTTTTAGGAACTGTTTTTGAATTGGGCAATTGGGAATCCTTCTAAGAGCACGACCATGAAGAAGAAAAAAAGCTATGAATTTATATATCCTTACATACAAACAGACAAACTCACACCTATTTATACTTATACATCGTTTTTATACATAATGAATTCTTTGCTCTTATTGTATTTATTATATTTTTACTATTATCTATCGATTTCCTTTAATTAATTCAAGGAAAAAAAAGTAAACAAGTAAACAAATAAACACGTAAGCTGTTCAATAAAATATAATAAAGAAGTTAGAAACATACTAAATTTGTTTGTCAAATAATATCTATTCACCTTAAAGACTATCCACAGAAAAGGGTATTCTCCAATTTTAATTATTATGATCTTTATATATATATGACGAAATACCAATGACAGACTTGATAGAATTTTTTAATTGTCCTACACCACAGAGACTCAATCTTTTATTATTGGGCAGTATTTGGTTATGGTACGGAATCTTAAGATATTTAAACTCATATAAAGTTAACATTTCTTCTGTCTTACAGATAAAGCTGCCTCATGATATGCATCCGTCTCCTACTAATAGACAATTGATCCAAAATGTACAAAGATTTGCGTTGAAAATGTCTAGACTTATGATACCATTACATATTACTACATTATTTTTATTCCACAGATTTCAAAATACCACCGATAGTAATGAGCAATGGGGTACATTACCATTTTTAATGCTTCATCTTTTCCCCTTATGTCAATTATTGTTGTTGGTCTTTTTCATTGTCCAACAATCTGTAATTACCAGGTATGCAGTTAAAAGATTGCCTCTTATTGAATCCAAACCAACTCAATTGAGAAATGTCTACATTTTATTATCTGATTCCTTAACATCTTTTACAAGACCATTAATTGATTTTTTACTTTTTACACATTCTTTATTTAATCGCCCACATACTGACATTGATTTATTATTGTCTTCTTTACCATCCTTCATTAGAATCTTTCAATGTCTTCGAGAATACCAATTTGTTAGAAATTTATCTTTGTTGGGTAATACATTAAAATATACTTGTAATTTACCAATCTTAATCTTTACGTGGTACTTAAGGATTCATCCTGAAATGTTATCTTCATCAAAATTTAAAACCTTTCAAATGTTATTTCTTACAGTTAATTCTACATACTCATACCTATGGGATATCAAAATGGATTGGAATATACCAAGTTTTATTTCATTAAGAGAAGGTCATAATAAAATGGTTTTTAAAAGATATACTTATTATTTTGCTATACTAACAAATCTTATTTTAAGGTTTTGGTGGTTGTGGATTTTTTTAGGAAAATATTCAAAATTTGTATTTTTTGATGAAGAATTACAATATTTAGAGATATTAAGAAGAGCTCAATGGGTTATTTTCAAATTAGAATCTGAATATATCTCTAGACCAATGCCAAAGTCGTGAAAGACATATGGGAAAAGAAAAACTCAATATATGAATATATTTTAAATCATCTTTCTTTTGATTATATTGTAAAAGAAAATATGTAGATATATTAATGTTTGTTTGGTACAATAATCGTATATATAGAAATATAGATTTATTTATTTATAAATTTTTTAAAGTCATATGTATATTGTATATTCTAAAATAGTGAAATGTTAGATCGTTCTGCGAATAAAATGCGATAAAATAAAAAGATACGGGAGATTTCAGACAATCAAAATAAATGAGAATGGAATACTAATGTCTATGCTTATTTCTATATGCCTTCCTTTGGTTTTCTTTTCTTTCGTTTTTAGTTAAATATCTAAACCTCTTTTTCTTTTTCTTTTTGTTACTACTACTATCATTATTGTCACCGATGTCTGTATCACCCATTCCTAAGAACTTAGCATATTTTTTGGCCCTTATTAAACTTTGATTTAAAACTTTTTCAGAGGATTCTAATTTCACATTATTAATCTTTGCTAAATATTCAAAATTTTCGTTTGGTTCCAAGCTTTCAATTTCTACTGTTGTATTATCATCATAGACCGATGTGGAGATTTGCCCTTTTTTCAGTATAGATTTAATTCTATTGCCATTGCTATTTATACGATTGATTTTATCTTCCTCCTCCTCATCAAACCCATTCCATGATTCTAGATCACTCTCTTTTTCATCAATATCATCATTATCTAATTCTTCTCCAATGTCTGCTTCTAATTCTAAACTCTCTTTAAATTCACACAACTGTTGTTCTAGTTGTTGCTTTCTTTCGTCACGAATCTTCTTTCTCTCTTCAATTTTAGCTAATCTATTCTGTTCTTTGTTAAATTCACGAGCCTTCTTCTGCCTTTCCAATTTACGTTTATGAAATCCGGTAAGATAATCTAGTCTAGAATCCTTATCAAAAGTCACTTCATCAGTACCAAATTTCTTTGCTTGTTTATTAGCATAACTCTTACCTTTTGTAAGAATTTGTCTATTTGTTCTAATTGCCATTATAACTTGTTAGATATAAGCCTTCTATTCTTCTTTTTCTTCTTCTTTATTCTTTTGTCCTTTTGCTCTTTTATTTTACTAACTTTAGTGAATTCTTTTTACAATAATATAGTATACTTTACAGTCTATAGAATATAAGTTATATGTTAATAATACGTAACAATCGCTGTTTTACAGAAAAGTTACTAATCACTTTTATGTTTAAGCATTCTCCTATAATATAAAAATGCGATGAGCTAAGTTATTTTTTTAATTTTTTTTATTTATCAAAAATTTAAAATAGTAAAAAAAATATTTTCCATCTTACAATTTTCGAGACATTTTTCCGGTTGTGAGGACTTTCGAATTCTAAAGAACATCAATGATAAAAAAGGACATTATGAAGTTAACTTGAGTGATCACAATAAAAAGTTCAAATAATATCCATTATATAAGATTAAGGTTCACAGTGAGACATTAAAATTAATTTAAATTCACTGGGTGTGAATGTGTATATACATAATTTGAGAAAAGCCATTAGAAAGTTGGAAAATAAAAGAACTACTTGGACCGTTTATTATTATAATTCTACCTAATTGGATATATTTTGTAAAACAACCACATATAGTTATTTATTAAAATTCACTTTTACCAATGAAGAATTTCTACACTATTGATGACACGAATAGAAAAAAGAATACAAATGGTAGGAGTTCACCCGGGACTGGTAATTTAGAAGAAACACCAACTTTTTCAAGTATGTGGAAGAGTATTCCCCCTGTGTCTAGAACTATCATATTATTAATGACAATTCTGACCTCTTTAACTTCATTACAATTAATTAACATAGGTTATTTAGTTTTCCAATTTAATGAAGTTTTAGCATATAAACAATGGTGGAGACTATATACTGCTTTTCTTCTATTACCATCCAATGCAATGTCTGCAATTATGGAATTGTATAATTTGGGATCTAGAGCTGTACATTTAGAGAATGATAGGTTTTTGGTATCCCGTTACCATAGTACGTCTATCGATTTTGCATTCTATCTGTTTTTTTGTTCCACTTTTATAATAACTGGTTGTGTTATCATATATGGAAAATATCAACCTTTGGTATTGACCTGTGCATTTGATGCATGTTTAACTTTAACCTGGGCTATTGATAATTCCAATGTAGAAGTCAGGTTCTACGGGATACTTCCAGTCTATGGGAAATTCTATCCTTTATTACAAGGCCTAGTAGCATTTGTATTTGGTGGGGATTTGATTCTGATGGTACTTGGATTTAGTGCTGCATATATATTTAATTGTTTGGATACAAGATCTTTAGGCCCCATTTATGGATCTATTGCAAAAAAAGATAAATGGTATGGTGTCGTACCAACTGGTAAATTTCATGCACCAAGATGGTTTATTTGGGGATATGAATTTTTGTTTGGTGGGAATTATTTACAAAAATTAGATGAGCTTAAATCAGTCAATAAAAGAAATGGTGGTCAAAGATTAGGTACTTCCACCTCTACGGTAACTACTACTACTACTACTAGAACATTCGGTAGTGGACAAAGACTTGGTGGATACGAGACATTGGGATCTGATAATAATATTCCAAAAAGAGATTATCTGGCTACTAGTTCAAGAAAAAATTTAACAACCACCAGGGAAAGATCCTCTAATCCTCAAGAAAATTAATATATACTATTTAGAAATGTTCATATTTATTTTTATGTATATTTTTAGTGTTTTTGTTTAAGTTAAATCAAGAAATATTCTTTTTTTACAAGATCGATTGATCTAAACCTATTGGTATTTAATGTTCTTGTACTCCTTGTAAATATCCCTTTTAGGAAATTACACAATTGTCTCACAAGATTTTAATCTAAAACTTGAAACATTCTTCAATTTTACCAAAACGTGATTCCAATGAATATATATACACACACACACTTTATGCATATATATGTGGATACAAATGTAGCTGTAACATTAATGGCATCTAATGATAACTTTAACGGAATTCAACTATTGAAAATATGAATTCCTAGTAATAATCACCAGAATCAAGCGTGGGTGAGGAAACGGAAAGGAAAACGAAAGCAACAATTGTGATTCAAAACATTCTTTAAAGAAGGAATAATGGAGAACAGTTCTAAGATATGTCAGCACTGTACGAACGATATATATCCTGATATAAGAGACAATGTTCCTCATGAAATTGCAGAAACATCTTTTGGATTAGGTATTTTGTTTGGAGTTGCACTGGGCTCAATACCATTCCTTCAGTTCAAACCTTTCAATCTATACATCTTATCTCTAGCATTATTTCATTTTTTGGAATATTATATCACTGCAAAATATAATCCAAAAAAGGTCAATAGTCAATCCTTTCTTTTAAATAATGGTATTGAGTATACAATGGCTCATGTTGTGGCAGTTTTAGAATTTTTATTAGAAGGATACTTTTGTCCCAAATTGAAAGCTTACAATTCTTCTAAGTTTTGTCAAGTATTTACAGTAATTGGAATAATATCAGTAGTTGTTGGTCAATTGATAAGATCATTAGCTATGTACACTGCTGGAAAATCATTTTCACATAATATTAAAATTAAGAAAGAGAAAGATCATACGTTGGTAACTCATGGTGTGTATTCATGGCTTAGACATCCAAGTTATTTTGGTTTCTATTTGTGGGCACTTGGAACACAATTAACATTATTAAACCCAATCACATTTATAGGATTTTGCATTGTTCTACATCAATTCTTTAGTAGAAGAATATCCTTTGAAGAACGTCATTTACTTGATTTTTTTGGTCAAGATTATGTTAAGTATAAACAATCAGTTAAGATATGGATTCCATTTATGTAAATTTTATTGATGAAGATAGTAAATGAAGTATGCATTAATATTACAAATACATAAATAGCACATTTGTATGTAGGTATGTACACTTTTGTATAATAATCTATAATTAGATGGTCAACAATGTCTACAAATTTGGTGAATTTGTAAATTCAGATATTAATAGACAATAAATAGAGCAAGAATTATTCTGATATGTTGCCTTCGGAGAGCTGTCTCTTCTGCGGTACTGCACTATCATTCCTTTCATTAGATTTAGAATTAAATGGAACAAAAATTGGTTTTTTTGTAGGCTGTTTCGATATGCTAGTATGATCTTGTATAGGTTGATCAGTAAATTTCAACGGTAAACTTGGTAAATCAGGAAGTCTTGGTGGTTCTGTTGGCATTGACATATAAGATATGGAAAAGTTTCTTAATATATTTGTATTACTATCGTTATTAAAATCGGTAGATTTTCCAATATTTTTATGTATCACTGATGATCCACTATAGTTGGATGTTGCCATTGACTTATCGATACTATTTTCCAATATGCTGTCTGTATTATTAAATGTTCTTGAAGAATTGTAATCTTTACTTTGTGAACGAATAGGAGTGATATTGGATTCATTAATAAGAATAGATGATGAATCTTCAATTAAACTAATATCGTCATCCAAAGATGAACCAATGGCAGCAAGATTATGATACGTTTTTGTTGTCGGAAGTCCCTTGTAATTGTTTTTATTTAATGGTGTACTCCCTAATATGTTAGGTACTCTTCCAAGCACTAATGGAGAAAAATTTCTTTTGTCATTGTCTGCATTTTCATTTTCACTATCATTGGTGAATGTTATATTGCTGCTCATCTTAGTACTTAGGGGAGTAAATTCTAATTCAGAAGAAGTTTTTTGTCTTTTCACCGTGATTGACGTTGCTAAATTATCTTCATCCTCAAGTTCTGATTCATCTGTATCGTCTGAATCAATGATTGGTTCCCACGAGCCATCATTTGATAACTGAACCCGACGACAACGCGTGGGAATTTGTTCTAATATTTCTTCAATAAATTCAGATACAGAAAGATCATCAAATTTAATAAATTTTGAACAAATTGGACAACGACCATTCTCAATTTGTCTCTGGGACTCCAAATACCAAAAGGCATCGAAACATTCTATATGGGAACACTTAGTAGATTTAATTGGAGTGGTTATCTTAGAACCAGATATTGGACATTCCAGTGATAGTGTTAGTGACGTGGTCTGCAGACCGAATTCAGTATCTTGGCTTTTAGCTAGATAGTATAGTGTTGCATTCCTTAAGATCTTTGTATGTTGAGTGATATTGTAAACTAATTCATCTGTTTTGATTGCACGAACAAGATAGATAGACATATAATATTCCATGGAGGGAACAAAATGGAAAGAAAATTGTAATGGTGTTTGGCCCATACGTTGTTCATTTGATAGGAGGCTTGTGATATCGATAGGTTTATACTTTTGACTTTTCTTACTGTTTGTAGTAGCATATTTTTCTAAAGAGATCCCATTTCTCATATTGATCAATTGATACGTTTGAGGGAAACTTATTTGAATAACTTCATGTTTCTCATTGTCGCTATTACTGCTACTATTACTATCATCATCACTGTCGCTGTCTATATCGATATTTATTGGAATAGCACCACAAAAAAAGAAAATCTTATATTCATTACTTTGAATACCCTTGTATTGTTGTTGATTCAATTCAATATTAAATTTTTTCTTCAATTTCTTATTTGTGATTGGAGATATATAAGGCTGATCCAATAATTTGATCCTTGGATAGAATGATAATTCAGGAAAAGAATAAGATATTTTATTATTGTGGTTGTTGATTATGATATTGTTGCTTTTTGAAGGATGTTTTGTTTGAGAAGAGATTATCTTTTTATGATCTAAGCATCTTGAATTTCTTTTTCTAATTTCCTCGGATTTTAGAAGAGGAACCGATTTGTCATTATTATTATTATTGTGATTATAATTAGCAGTTTTAGAATAAGATGGAGATGGAGATAGAGATGGAGATGAAGACGAAATTAATAAAAGAGATTCAGTAGTCAAATTGTCTATTCGATATTGAACGTTCTCAGGAACAATTTTTTTTAATTGATAAAGCATGAAATCTATCGCATCTTTACTTAAAAGAGAAGAGCCGATATTTGATTGAATATGGTTGTTTAGTCTATAGATTAAGTCATTTTTTAAAGATGAATTTTCGATATCGAATCGATTACAAATTTGAATCAATTGATTCTTCTTCAATTTAGGTAGATACGTACAATATAGTAGTATTTTCTTTTTACGTAACCAACGAGGCTCAATACTAGTCATTTAATATTTTGCGGGATTCATCAACAAATGTACAGTCTCTACATCAAAACTATAATATCATTCAAAGAAGGCAAGTGTGAGCTAAAAAGAAATAAGTCTTAACATGCTTTCTAGTAAGTCGAAATCTAGATTTCTAACCAGCTGACTTTGAAAAGGACAATATACATAAACGTTGTCCACATAATACTCCTCCTCGAGAACATCTAGATCAAGAGTAAAGAGAGAGAGAAAGAGAGACAAAAAAAGAAATAAAAAAATAAGATAAGAAGAAAAGGAGAAGAAGTCGAAAAAATTGCATGCACGACCTGTATATGGATAATATTTGAGAAAAGGAGAAACTTCCTGCTATTCTTTTTCAGTGGTGCTATATTTGTTGACTTTTATTTTATCAAAACCCTAATATATACCAAAAACAACGACAAGTAAAGTTTGTTAAATTAATTACCAACCCTAGTTTGTTTTTTTATTTTTTTGGACACAGAGGAAAACAAAAAACAAAAAACAAAAAACAAAAAACAAAAAACAAAAAACAAAAAACAAAAAACAAAAAACAAAAAACAAAAAACAAAAAACAAAAAAAAAATACTTTTTGTAACATCCACTCCGGATCCGTGGATCGTGGCTTTGTTGGAAAAACTTTTCTTTTGTTTTTTGTTTTTGTTTTTTTCTCAGTGTCTGAAAACCAGAGTCAAAGGACTGTTTTACTATGATGGATCTTAATGATTGATTGATTAGTGGTTGATAAAAAGTAAATAGGCAAGTATTGGACATATTATCGTTATATCTCAAAAACATGTAGAATTGGTGGCTAACAGTATGTTCTTATATAATTGAATTTCTCTTACATTACATATAGGTTAATCTCTGTTCTTTTCTCTTTCTTCTTTATTCTTTTTTATTTTTTCTTTTTTTGTGTGTGCCTGTCAGTGTGTCTGTTTTTTTATCTCGTGATATGATGATAACATCAAATAGAGACCGTAGTGAGGTTAATTACTTTGTTTACCCTCGCTTTCATTTTCACTTTCAACATAGCTAAGCATGTTTAAAAAAATCACAGTTTTAATCTCAGGATCAGGATCCAACCTACAGGCATTGATTGATGCACAAGAAGAAAATTTACTGGCTAATGGAAAAATTTGCTCAGTTATCTCCTCAAGTAAAAAAGCGTATGGTTTAACAAGAGCCTCAAATCACAACATTCCAACAAAGATTCATTCTTTATACCAGTATACCAAAAACTTATCTAAGGATGATAAAGAAGCACGTCAATCAGCAAGAAAGCAATTTGAGATCGATCTGGCTAAGCTTATCAATGAGGATCAACCAGATTTAATCATTTGTGCCGGTTGGCTATTGATCTTAGGTCAAGAATTCTTGTCTAGAGTCTCTAATATTCCCATTTTAAACTTACATCCTGCTTTGCCAAGACAATTTGATGGTACTACACACGCTATCGAGATGGCATGGCAGAAATGCCAAGATTCTAATCAGCCGTTGGTTGCCGGTTGTATGGTCCATTACGTTATCAAAGAAGTTGATAAAGGAGAACCCATTATTATTAAGGAATTAAAGATAGTTCCTGGTAAAGAAACTCTAGAAGAATATGAAAATCGTGTCCATGAAGCAGAACATAAAGCAATAGTGGAAGCTACGGTTAAAGTTTTAAACTCTTTATAAAAATAAAGTCTGTAATTATTCTCATTTCTATGTATTTTTTGTACATGCATTTTTTTTCTATTTGTTGTCCATAGATTGTTCTCATTCACTATAGAATAAATTTATAGTCTTATATTTTTTTTTTTTTCTGTTCATAAAAAAATAAAAAAAAAAACAATCCATATTCTTTAGAAAATATACCGGAAAATAAAAAACTGTAAATCGAAGAAAGTTGTGGACAATTTGAAAATGTCGTTGTACATATCTTTTAAGATATACAAAAAGAATATATGTATGTACATAGACCAGCATGAGAACCCAGCTAAAAGCACATATTCTATATATATACATATATATACATATATTTCTGCATCGTTGAAAATACAATTCTAAAATTTTTAAAAATTTTTGATAGATAGACAGGTAAAAAGTTAGAGAAGAATAAGTGAGAAAAAAAGAAAAACAAAAAAAGGAATAGTCATACTAGTATACTATATAACAAAATATACAATCAAATGGACTCTGTGATACCTTATCCATGTTTTATAGGACCAAGCAAAATTCGAACTTTAATAGTACCAATTGGTAATTGGAAAAGGAAGGATTTTTTACAAGTTTTAGATAAATTTAAAGAGTTTGATGAAATCAGATTATTAGATATTACTCCCATTGATTCAACTTTATTTAATCCACAGGGGTTTCCTAACGGAAGGTTGTTTTATAATTTTAATACTTTGAGTTATAACAGGAATAATGAATTGGATTTATTTCTCTATGATTTTGAACCATTTAGGAAGACTTTCATTATTATTGGGTTGGTTAACGATCATAGTGATCCACTTGAAAATATCAACATTTTAAAAGATAAATATCCTACAATAATATCGCATAATTTAATCTATTGTACGGCTTCAAAGGATAAAACTTTTGATGATATTAATACTTTAAATAACTGCTTCGTTACTAATATTTGGCAATTTGATAATTTAGAGACAATTTTATGTGATATAGGTAGAGATTTTTTGATCGCATTGAATCGTTATTATTCTTCGTATAAGCATGTTACTTTAAGATCTCCTGGAACAGTCGGTGGTAATTCAATTAAAAAGACTGTAATAAATAAATATCTAGAAAGACCTGTCTTAAATTCTCAGTTAATAAATTCTTCAAATTCTATTATAGAAAATTCAACCACATCTAAACGATTATCCACTTTTGAAATTACAACAAATAATTTAAAACGTTCTGCATCTATTAAATTGACATCAACCTTGACATCATCTGAATCCAAAGCGCAACAAAGATCAAAGGGTAGGCAATTGAAAATCTTAGGTAATTTTCAACTATTAGCAGGTAGATATTTGGATGCATTGAATAGCTTTACTGAATCCATAACATTATTATACAAAGTTAGAGATTTGTTATGGTTGGGTTCAGCATTGGATGGGATTTCAATGACTTTTGTTCTTTTGTCTTACCTTAATATTTCTTTTGTTATCCCAGAAATAATTGATATCGTATGTTCATTAAACATTCAGATAAACAATAGTTATAATGATATTGATAACGATAGAAATAGTAACAATAATTCTAATTCATATATTAATACTAAAAATAAAGGAACTCCTTCCAAGGTTTCAACACCAAGAAATAGTGTTTCGGTGACATCATTGCAACTGCAAACAGCGTCACCTCGCAATTCACTTGTATTTAATAACTCTAATAATTATACTGGTTATTCAAATAATTGTTTGACTGGTAATATCCCAGTAGAAGACATTAATTTGCCTAAGTTAATTAAATTAATAAGTGATAAAGTATTGTATTATTACGAGTTGAGTCTTTCTCACAACAATGAATATGTTCCACAAATAGTCTATTGTGATACATTTTTGAAAATTTTGATGTTTATTGTAAAAGCTCAAAGATCTATTGATCAATTTTCGCCATCAGTGATTAAAAGTATAATCAGCAGTACATTTAATCCAGATATGTTTAGAACAAGAACCTATAGTTTAGAGAATTGGGATCCTGTCCAATTTACACCAACTGATGTTTACTATTATGTAAATCGTTTGTTCGAATTAGAGATTTGTACTATGACTCTTGACTTACAATCTGCAGTATATTGGACAGCAGCAGCAACTTATAGAACACTAGGTTTGAATAAAAAAGAAGCGTTCGTTTTAAAGTTATTCGTTACATCATTATTTAAGTCATCACAACATGTGATGTGGCATCAGGAATTCGAGCTCTTATTAGATAGAATTGTGGATTTATATGGGTGTAATAAAGTTGAGGACAACAGTTTTGACAGAATAAGTAAAAATAATAATGTTTGTTTGACTTTGCAAAAAAATATTTTAGAATTAGTAATTAATGTGAGCAAAAGATTAGATAATTTAAAATATGTTGTAAAATATTCAATTATACTTCTTACTCAATATGAAAATGTTTTAATGGCTGAAGAACAAAGGAGCATTCTTCAAAACATTAAAAGTAGTATAGAGAAGAATCTTGTTACAGAATACTGGGATAGAAACATTTTGCAGGACATAACAATAATCAGACAAGATGCTGATAATAATCAAGAATCATTATTGCCATTAATTAGAGAGATTCAAGATGATAAAATTTCTGTAGAGAATGATGTTGAATCAACAGTGAATACAGAAGAAATTTTTAATCCATTTAAAGAGGAACGGCATATATCGAAGAATAATGATGAACTTTCTTTCGATACATACCTGGTTAATGATAAAGTAGAGGTATGTTTTGCTATTCGAAATCGTTATAAATTTCCATTATTAATAACAAACATAGATTTACTAGACAATATAAAAGAATTTTGCATGTTAGGTGAGAGTAATATCACCATGGATAACTCATTTGTTGTTGATCCTGAATCAACTGCTTTTATTAATATTCCCTTAATTTTTAAAAAGGAAACCAATGGTAAGATACTACATATAAGATCTGCATTGCTTTCTATATTTAAAATGCCCAGTAAAGAATATGAAATTAATGCAAAATATGATACAGATAAATCAGTTTCTTTGGAACATTCCTTTAAATTTAAAATATTACCTGAACAGCCATGCTTAGGCATTATTAACACATCTAGAATGACAGATAATTGTATTATGATGTTGGATGGTACGAAGGGTGACTTTTACTTAAAGCTAATAAACAAATCATTAAATTGTCCAATAAATTATTTGAAATGTTACATAGTTACGAATGTACAAAAGAATTTAAGTCCAGATTATTGGCAGAAACAACGACCGGATGAGTTATATTTTTTTGAAAAACAGTTAGAACAATTGAAAAAAAAGTGTATAACTATACATAATTTGCCCTCAAAAATGGAACCCAATGAGATGTGTGATTTGCATTTAGAAGTAGATCTAGGTAATGCTCCTTCTGATTTTTCGAACTTTGATTTAATTATGGAATATGGGATGAAAACTAACGATGGTTTACACCTGTTTGTAAAAGAGTTAAGTAGTCATTTTGAAATAACTATAAAAAAATCTCTGGAAGTTTCAAATATTGATATTATTTTATTGAGTCAGGATATTAGTGATAAAAAAGTGGATACAGATTGGATACAGTATCTTCAAAAAAAGCTTCACGAGAACACAGGTGACAATATGTTGAATATTTACGATTATTCTTTATTACTGGTAGACATTCGTAATTCCTGGATTGATGGTATATCTTTACAAACATTTTTTGATGATTTCAAAAGTAAAAAATATACTGTAGAAGCTCAACATACATTGAGAATGATTATTCCTGTTCGAAGGATTGAAGCACAAGGAGAACTATTATCTGAAAAGCCAATACCTATCATATTCAAGGATAGACAATTTATTCAAAGTGGTCTGTCAAAAGCTGAAGAGAACACAATGAGAACAAAGTTTTGGTGTCAAGATTATATTTTACAAAGGCTGAAATGTGAATGGAGCTTATGTCATGATGATACAGTTAATGGAATATTAAACATAAAAAATTACATTTTTAACTCAAATGGTGATATTGTTCCTGTCTTATACAAGGGTGATAATTTGTTTTTAATTCAAATGAGCACAGGTAAAACCTGTGTAGAAAAAGGAAACCTTGTTTCAGTTTATGTATCTCTAAGTCCCATTAAGATAAAAGATTTGATGGATATGCCAGATATTGTATCGGTAAATTTGTTGATTTTTGACAATAAGACAGCAAGGCCGTTGTTAAATCCTAATAGGCGTGTACTGTATAATGGGTCTTTGAGTAAATTTGTGGCAAGTCGTAGTGAGACATTATCAACTTTTGAACTTTTACCAATTGAGCCCGGAACATATCGTTTATCTGTGTGTATTACATCTGGTGCAGACCGCAATACTATTCTGCAAGATGATATATCCATTGTTGTTATCAACGTCACCTAATTGTATGGCAACATCTACTAATTTATGTAGGTATATAGCTGAATTGAGCTGATATAATTTATTATTTTGCATTACGTTAGATACTATTCGATATATCTTGTGCTTAGTGGTGAGTGATGTTCTTTTGTCATTGAGTGCCTGTGTAATATTAATAAGGTTGCGTAAGAGTTGTGGTAACAAAATAGATAAATTATATCAACTAGTTTAGATGTAAAAACTCTTATAGAAGCTCTGAATATAATAATTTGAGAACCTTGATTTGTGGATATTTACCTGTTATTGATATGGGTTATTTAAAGAGGGGTTAATTTAGTTATTTTTTTAATATTACATTTAAAAACACAAAGAGAGTGTAGATTATGTATTAATCTAAGTAAATCAGCATTAATATTATTTCTAAAATTGACTACTATTATAGGCTTATCTTCAAAGGGTTATCTCATCATAATATTAAATTCTGAAAATCATCGTTTTAATGACAGATGTAAATTTAAAGTTTCTGAAATAATATACAGCATTCTAGTTATATGACCCAGAGTATATGGATGGTAGTTGGGATAAAAAATTATTGTACAAAAATATATATGTGTATATTGTTTATTTTCTGCTCCCTTGTATATTAGATTATCTAGTCTTTCTTGCAAATTTAGATAGTACAACTAAGTTCTTCTAGGAGGTTATAACATATTGCAAAAAATATAACAGAATGAAGTGCAGAAATGTATTAAATACATATTTCGTATTATTGGATATTATATAAATATCCCTAATTTACTAGAACTAAAATAATATATGCTTATATACTAAATATCTATTCCTATTTGATCCTTGTTTTTTCTTCGTTTGTTGCTCCTTTTTTCTTGGTTGTTCCCTTGTTCTTATGTTGATTGCTTTTGCTTTTATGTATGTTTGTAAAATTTTGTAAAAAAGTTTAGAAAAATATAAATATCACAAACCCTCATTTTTCTAAGAAAAACCCTAAGCAATATTATCAGGGATATTACAGAAGCAAAAATGAAGGGTGCGAGGTTCGAACTCGCGCGGACACCGTCCAACAGATCTTAAGTCTGCCGCCTTAGACCACTCGGCCAACCCTCCAAGTTCCACTACTGTTTGTTGTAGTATGGTGTGGTGAAGTTCTTTGTGTATTCCAGGGAAGCGCAAATAATATTAATAGTAATTCAAATAATCGAGACAGTAATCAACTATAGTCGATAGTATAATTACTAAAACGGTCTTATATATTAAGCGGCTTATATCGAGCTAATGTACTTATTCGAAGTTACTTGACTTGTTACTTGCTTGTTCTATTTTGTTTATACATAATATATAAATTATTTACAAGAAACGATTATGGAAGATGATCTTTTATCTCCTGAAAACGTTGTCCTTTTATATGTTTTCTGGAGCTCGATCGATTATTCAGATTACTACATTAATGACTTGACTGATTCAAACCCTAAAATTTATTATATTAATTTAGGTGCACTACTGGATTAGAACTGCATCCCAATTCTCTAATCATGGTGATTAGTAATACACGTGGGACTTAATAAAACAATAGGTAAATTCTAGATTTGCCAAGATCTTATGTAATCCAATCTTTTTATTATGCAGCATCTAATGTTGTAGCACATGTATGGCTTATTAATACACTAATTGGTTCTAGATTCATTCAGGATCTTATGTAATCTTGATGGTTATAACTATTCTATTCCACAACATCTTCCTCTCTCTCTTGGGAACCTTGTTTCCATAATTGTACGAAATTGTCAATTAAAGATTGACCAATATTTGTTGGGAGTAAGTTAAATTCTTCTACTGGATATTCTACTGTAATAGTCGGATCAACATCTTCCATATGACAATAAAACACTTTGTTATCTTTATCGTAACCGACTACATTAATAATTTCATGTACTCTTAATTTCCTTTCGGCAGCAGTATTAGGCGGATCTTTTGGATAGCGGTCTTTTCTACGTTTTAACGGTTTTAGTTTTTCAACATTAATAACTCTGTGAGTCTTTTTCATCGAAGGTAAATCTAATTCGTAAGCATTGTCATTTATTTTCTTAACTACCTTAAATGGGCCAACGTATATGGGTTGTAGCTTTAGATATTGACCTCTCTTAAAATAAGCATCACGATGTAGCAGTACAAAATCACCAATTTCAAAGGTAACTTCCTTCCTCCCTTTGTTATGTGTAACTTCCATGTTGATCTGATTCTCAGTTAAGAAATCTTTTGTGCGTAAAGTAAGTGCTTTCAACTTTGTGGCTAGTTCTTGTGTTGAATCATGACGGGAAGAAACAGCATCTCCTGTAACTATGATTGGTTCATTAGGGATGTATCCAATATCTACTTCAAAAGGAGCTGTCTTGGTTACGCGATTGGGAGTAGAGTTATAGACGAATTCGATGTGAGGAAGTAAACGATCCCATTGTCTATGATTGTTACCAGTATAAGTCTTTAATAACCTATTAAGGATCTGTATTGTACGTTCAGTTTGACCATCTGTTTGTGGGTGATTTGCTGTGGACATTTTCAATTTTATATTCAACCTTTTTGCCATTTCTTGGTATTCTGTAGAGGTAAAACGAGGGTCTCTATCTGAAGTAATGGAATATGGAAATCCATGGTAAGCGAAAATATAACGGAATAAAGCATTAATAACGGAAGTAGTATCAAATGGGTAACTACCAGCAATTAAGTGAGTTCTTTTTGAAAACATGTCGACTACAACCATAATCATGTCGTTACCTTGTTCTGATTTAGGTAAACCAGATACAAAATCTATGCTAATATTTAACCATCGACCTTCGGGAACTTCAGAAGGCATCAATAAGCCCTGTCTATTAGGGCGATGAGATTTAATCAACTGGCATTGTATACAGGAAGAGACATATTCATTAACAGAGTGGTGTAATTTTGGCCAATAATAACGACTTGCAATTTTATTGTATGTAACGGTTGAACCGAAATGACCACCATAAAGGCCATGGTCGTGATATATTCGAAGGACTTCATTTCGTTTAGCGTCGGGAACAACATAGCGTTCTTTAAAGTAAATAATATTGTCATTAATTGTAAAACAATGGCGAAAGGTTCTTGATAAGTTCAATTTCTTCATATATTTCTTGAACAATGATGAGTTGCAAATGGGTAAGTCTTTTGTATCAAGTTTGGTAATATAAACAAAACAGGCAGCACATAATGGGTCAGCTAGGTATTCTTCGTACCAATTTTTCGGATCTAATGTGACGGCAGCATCTTCAATAGCAGCAATATTGTAATCTGCTCTGGAAATAGCATCAGCTACTACATTCTTTGGACCTGCTAAGTATTCTAGTTTAAAATCATATTCGGCTAATTCATTTAACCATTTAATTACTCTACGAGAGGGTTCTTTGTTCTTTTGTGCCGTTAGTAAACTAATATGGTCTGTTCTCAATATAAAATGCATGCCATGAAGCATATATTTAAAATGTGATAAGGCTTCGACAATGGCTAGGAGTTCAAGATCTCCAGCAGAGTAATTTTTTTGAGCGCCTTGTAAAGTTTTTGAAAAATAACCCACGACCCCGAGAATTTTTCCTTGCTCATTCACTTCTTCGAGTACAGCACCTAATCCATTCTTTGAAGCGTCGGTTGTTAATCTGTAATGACCATCGTGTTTAAAGGAGACTAATATTGGGTTTGAGATTAGGTGTGACTTTAATGTGTTAAAGCTCTCATCTTGATCCGTCGACCACTTACTTTTACCATGTATGTAATCCTGAATCGGTTGTTGGATGTGAGAGCAGCGGGGTATAAAGCGTCTATAATAGTTTATCATACCCAAAAATCTTTGAGCTTCTTTAATTGTTCTGGGAGTGGGAAATTGTTCTATAGCTGCACATTTCGAGATCAACGGTTGGATTTTATTAGCAGAGATAGTGTATCCCAAAAATTCAACAGATTTAGCGGCAAAGTTACATTTTTTCTTTTTTACAATTAATCCTTCTTGAGTTAACCTTTGCAATACGATGTCTATATGTTTCCAATGTTCATCAACGGAACGGGAGTGAATTAAAATATCGTCGAGGTAAACACAGACATATGGTAAGTCCCTAAATAAATCAGCCATATAACGAGCAAACGTGCTTGGAGCATTAACGAGACCAAACGGCATGACGGTATATTCATACTTTCCATTAGGAGTAACGAAAGCGGTTTTGAAACGATCGTCCATTTTCATAGGTATTTGGTGATACCCTGAGTGGAGGTCCAAAGTTGAAAAAATGGTTGAAGAGCCAATCTTGGCCAATAGGTTGTCGATTCTAGGTAATGGAAACGGGTCTTTGATTGTCACAGTATTTAGAGCTCTGTAGTCCACACATAAACGATATGTACCATCTTTCTTTTTAACTAGAATCACTGGTGAACTACAGGGTGACTTGGAGGGTACAATGAATTTCTTTTCGAGAAGGTCGGCAACGATCAGGTTTATCTCTTGTTCTATTTTTGGTGTCGTCTGATATGGCTGTCTTCTAGGCAGGCGTGCACCCGGCTTAATTTCGATCTCGTGTTCAACCTTTGGAGGTTCAGCGAATTTCTTAGGTGGTAAATCATCGCGGACCGTAGCAGAATATTTCTCTTTTAACCAGCGAGGTAGTTTATCAAATCGATCATCTGTATCTGTTTCAGAAATCTTTATAGCAAACACAGCAGCAGCATTTTCAACATCTAATTCTTCGGTATCATTCTCGGTAAGTACGGATACAATGTATTCAGGGACCGGTTTCTTGTTATTTAATATCTTGTGGAGCAGCGGGTGAGATGATATAATCGGGTGTCCTATTATGATTTCAAAAGTAATAGCATCAGTTATGTATACGGGTGTTTTAATTTTTATGTCATCGAGTTCAAGTAAAATTTCGGTGGATTCGTTAGTGTATGACGATTCGGATGATACAACACCTCTAAAACGGAATGGCGGAGCGGTAGAACGTGTTAACTTG